TCCTATTAGAGGCTTAATAGCTGTGATGGCTCGGTCAGGGGAGTCCTGGACGAGAGCCGACATGATATTGAGGAAGCGGGGTAATATATAATCACAAGTTAAAGAATTGAATGGGTCTCGGTGTGGGTAGAGACGGCACCCGAGTGGTTGCACTCGGGCTTATAACCTATTGTAGATACAAAAGGAAGCTTAATTCTTCTTCTTGAGGAAGTACATGAGGCTATATATACAGCATGAAGTCCAAGTTGATTGGAAATCAACTTGGTTCTTCCTATACATAGAGCAGGAATTATTTCCGATGTTGCGGCTTCATTCCTGAGCAGCAAGTGCCAGGTATCACAACACATATTAATGCTGGACGAGAGCTGCGAGCGTTGATTCGATAGAGATATGGATTGAGAAGGGAATAGAATTTGCGATTGATCTGAGCCGCCCGATAGATATCATATTCTGTCTCCAGAAACCTCCCAATTTCCAAGATCAACTCTGGGGGAAGATCTGGAAGCGACATGGCGGGGTGGCTTTTGTTTGAAAGTCACCAACCCGAACCGACCAGGCAATAACGAGAGCGTAGAAACGGAGTTTAATTCAGGTCAAGAAGGCTCTTCGCTCATTAGAAACACCAAAGCAGATACTTGGCTGTTCTTATGCGAAGACGGCAATCGAGACAATGGCCGAATCCTTGAAGCGGCGATCGAGGGACTTCGCTACACGAGGGGGAAACCGACCCTGGCGGCGGCTAAGCCACATTACGTAATGCAGCAGGTGTGGATCCCCAAGTCGTTCCTAATTCGTTCGACTGGAGACTGTTCCAGCCGCCCAATAATCACCGAGGATTTCAAAAGCAGTGTTTTTCCTCCCAGGAAACACTTGTTTTTGCTGCCAGTTGAGGTGATTCAACAGCCGTTGTATACTTTTTAGAGTTTGCACACAAAGCGCCCCACTTCGAACCATGGCGTGTGTCGATCTAGGCGGGGCGCCCCCTTGGATTCATATTGGTAATTGCCTCATATATTGAAGATGTTTAGGGTGAATCGCCTTCAACAGTCGTTGAAATGAACGTTGAAAAGTGCAAATAAAGGTTGTGAAATGCCTGGCGAGAAGAAAATTCCTGGGACATTTGGTAGGCCGCTTGGATGGCATTACAGTATTAGTTGATTCCATTTTGACCAATGCATTAACTGGAAATACTTCGCCACTGTTGTTCACCAGCTTCAACGGTTATACGCATCACTGATAGCTATTTACGTAGTGGAATGCGGGCCGACAGATTTTCTAAAATAGGTCCGCAACCTTGTGTTAGCTACGCTTGGCTTTTTCTGGCGTCGGTGATGAGTTTAGCGTTGGGTCCACAGTAAAGCGAGGGCCTTTGTTTGTGCTGGCAGGCCGAAATGTCCACGCCTATAGGTTCAAGTAATCATTAGGGGTTATTTCTCGGTGCTTGAAAACGTAATTGTTGGGTCAACTTTGAACTGTGGACAGAAAGAACCGGGTAATCCCCGAAGTTCCGATCATTTCATTGATCATAGTCCAATCGTAGACGCATTTCGAGGTCTTGACCTATTATTCGTCAATCAACGCTTTTTTAAACGATGCCATGTCCATAAACCCATCACGGCTGTTCTACACTACATGACCTTGGCTTCTCCGGTCACAGTCTCAAGTTGGCATTCTAAATGTCACACATATTAACGAATATTATGGTTTTCAACGGGCCTCGGATTTGGCAGCTACCCGCACAATTATCATAACGGTTGCCACGGCTAGTAGAAGTCAAACTGGTGCTAACAACCATGTGGGTGACAGGACAAGTCGAGATGCCTATAAATACTCTCTCCTTCCCCGGTCCTTTGCTCTAGTCCTTCGGACTTGACATTGCAAGACACTATCAGCGGACTGGTGATGAGTTCTCCTTCCACTATTAATCACCTCTTGACTCTTCCATTATGCTGACACAGACAGAGCACCTCGTCAACTCATGAGAGTCAGTCAGTACCTCTGACAATACCGCGCGAAGGTACGCTTTATTGACCATCCGGGTATGTATCATCTCGTTGTCCTGTTTGAACTGAGAAAGCCAACGAGAAGAAATTCGGGCCATTTGACAAAACTCCCGTTTATTCGAAATGTTGCGGCTGCCCAATCGAGTTGACCCCTTCACTATCAAGACCCGCCTTCATTTTCAACAGTGCAAAAGCGGGACTAGGGTATGTGCCTTGTTCCCCTTGCCTTGCCTGACACTAATCTCGAAAACTCTTTGTAGGGCCTAAAATTGTGTGCCTATGGCCTGAATACACAAGTGCATTGTATGTGGAACTCTCCATTCCTGATGGCCACCAATCGGTTAATGACTGGCAGCAAATCACAAATTGTGCCTCAGAAGGACCTCGCAAGCTTTCGAGCACCACCATGAATGATCGTATCATAAAGCTGAAGCCCAGATGCTATTTTCTGGCTGGCGGGGCTGGTAGTATCAGTGACCACCGCGCCACCCGTTCTGCCAATTGTGAAACCCTGCGACCGGGATAGAGCGCCACGGTTTATGAATTGTTTGAAGCCACTCAAAGCCCCGTGATCTGAAACCACACTGCAGTCAGATGACCGACCGTAAATAGGGAAACGAGAAAGAAATGCGGTCGCCCCCAAATCGGAGTCGCGGCTCTTGATATAATTCGTTATCCACCGAGTTGCCCCAACGGCGTACGTACGGCGGACCGATGGCGGATCTCGATGTGAGTTCCTGAGCGCTCCCAACCACTCCAACACAACGACAAACCATTTTCAATGAACTTCGAACCGTCAATCGTTTCTCGCACCATTTGCAAAAGGAGGATCCCGCGCCATGGAGACAATAGCGTGCAGATCACCACCAAGCAGTTACGATGGCTCGTCGACAACACCACTCGAAGCCCCATCAGAGAACCCACGAAATCAGAACTGGGGTCAAACACGAATAGCACGCCTTCAAAACCGTCAATGACAAGTGGAAGAAGAAGTGTGAGCGCATTGGAAGCAGATCGAAGGGCTTCCCCTCCTCCTTCTTCCTTCTCGAGATTGCTGGTCACTGTGGGAGCCAGCTCTGCGAATCTCGGACTGCGGTGAGCCACTAGCGATCTGACATGAACCGCGACTGTGTCCCAATATTCGTCCCTTGATCTCCCGAATAGTGAAGACGAGGATAAGAATGCCTTCGGCCGGTACCTCCGTGAGTTCTTGCTCCAGCAAATAGTCGCATCCGAACGGCCTCATCGATTGCTGCCGCTTCGCAGGATGTGCAGTGGCCTCTACTAGCACCACGAAGACCGAGTATGGCACCTGGTTCGAATACTCGGGGTCGGCTGAGCTCGCATCAACACGAGTAGTTACACAAATCGGGTAACAGCACCAAACGGCCAAAACATAGCCAGAATCATTGTTCACCCTACCGCAATAATCTTTGATCGGGAAAGCGTTCAGACGCAATCCATCGAGAAGATCCTTGACCAGAACGAGCTACTGGAACGAGACTTCAGGCATGGTTGAAAGAAGGGTACAGCGTTTAGAATTCGGGTCGTTGGGCACCTGGTTCGGCTCAAATTGAGGCAACAGAATGGATTCCGACAACCGCCTCTAGTAGGCTACGGGTACATTGGAACTGTTCATCGCGGTCATCAAACGGAAGAGGTCTATTCGTTGGTTCGCGATTCAACCGCCTGTCCTTGCCATGCAAGGCAACACCGCGAGGTTGACACCACGCCAGTCAAATGAACGTCAATGCTGCCCGCCAGGCATGGGGATGCATTAAGATGTATCGACAAGCATCCGACAATAGTCAGACCCTCTTGAAATGTGAGAGCTGAGCGTATGAATGCTTCAGCTGCGCGTGACAAATTCGCGGGCAGGAATGGAGGCCCTCATTATCGATCACCAGACTCAGAAGCTGGATATGCCGGCTCATCCAAGGAACCATCGATCCCCGCGTACCGAAGGCATGTCCGCCACAGTGCTTGACAGGTGTCATAACAGACTCTGCAAAGCGGCTCGGTCCGATTTCGAAGCCTAATCCATGCCAACAGAGGGATCTCGAGCTTGTCCAACCGACAGATCCCATGGACCTGATAGTAGTCGAGATCTGTGTAGCCGACTTCTAGATCCTTCTGGTTGAGTCTACCTTCTGTCAGTGTCGCTTCACGCCTCGGACGGGCGTCAGCGGATTGGCGTGGCTACCCTTTGGGGCACCGTTCTCAACCCCAATTGCTTGCCAGGATCATCTCTTACCACCCAGAACATGTCAGTGGTGAATCAACTCTTTCAATCCCCTAGCTAATGACTGGCAGGGAGGAATGAATTGGAAGAACGGTACCAACACATGGAGCTAGCAGCGTTCTGCGAGCTGTTCGCCTAGCTTCGCGTGACCGCGGTTGCATCCGCACGCGGAGCACGCCATCAAGGTAGAGCGGAGTGCTTCCGCCTCACCAAGAAATTCAATGCAAGCCATACCACCAAGCCAAGATGAAGAACAGCAGAGTCCGCTGACTTCCAAGAGACCGGCAATCGATATCGTGATGGCGAAGGGGACGCCCCTTTTACTCCCACCCCAAACCAACACCACAACCGCCGTAGATGCCGGATTCCACCGCCACCAGTCACACCTGTTAGGGCCGGAACTGCTTCAGCAGCCTGCAGTCCCACCACCGGATATAGGACCAGGCTGGAGGCCTAGTGACAATATCGAAATGACGCAGCTTACACGCCAGTGGAAGTTCAACCAACCTACGGTCTTGAACAATGTATATTTAGCTCCACGCGCCGCGAGTAGTCTGTGAGAAAAATCTTTCGAACCAACAATGAGCAACTAGTTGCCGTTGATATTGCAGTTGCCACTCCCCAGCGTCTAAAAGCACTACTCAACGTCCAATACCGGTGCGTGAGAGGGAGTACTCTCAGAAACAATGTGGTGCTCCGAGATAGTGACACACCATGTCAATTACCAATCGGCTTCAAGTTGGTGCTCCTGCTTGTCAAATGCGGCGAAGGCCAAAACCATTACGGTCTGGACGTCCGCCGCGACCGCCACCAAAGCAGTCTGAGTTCCGGCCAAGCTTGCCGCCAGTGCTAGCCGCAATGCGTCGACTGATCGCCTTGGATGAGAGGCCAGCACCAATTTCGATGTCTGGTTCCTCGACAACCATTCCCGACTTAATGGAACGACCTCCGCTGCCACCGTACTCCACTGTGAGCAGCCATTTGCGATCCACATTGGTAAGTCGCTCGATTAGAATGACGCTGATGCCAGTCTGATAGTCGCTGCAGTCACGCGCGGGCCGAAACCAACGCCCCATCTGGTGCGGAGTTGCATCTCGCCTGAACGGAACTGGGCGCTCACCGCGTCCTCGCGGCTAATCATCTCAATGAAAGCATGACGCTTGTCCATATTGACAATACAGGTCTGAACGACGCCGAATTTGTTGAAGAGCGAGCGGAGGCGAGTCTCAGAGGAGATGCCACTGACGAAGAGGGTGCGGCTCAGAACCTTGATGTTACCCGGGCCGATGGAATAGTCGCACTCGACGAGCTTGGGGCCAGGCGAGGGGAGATTATGGTCTGTCCGCAGCGGGGAATGAGACAGGCGCTTCCAGTGTGGAGGGCTACGTTGACGGTATTCGTTACTCTGACGACCTCCGGCATCGCGAGGATCACCCTGGCGCCCAGTGGAATCACTGTAATATTGGTCGTGCACCGGCCTATCGTGGCGGCGAGGCGGCGAGGCAGAGTGACGTCGGTCCCAACCGGGCAGGTGAGAAGGACGGCCGTACCCAGCGGGAGGAGAGCCAGAGTGGTCACGATCCCTCCTGCGAGCACGATCGACACGGTTCTGCACGTCCGAGTGGCCCTGGCCACCATAGCCCCGGCAGGGTATCGCGCCAAATCCAGGAAGCTGAGCGAGGCTGGCAGCACCTATGGCATCGGATATACTGACGAGTTGCAGAGCCGCAGCCCACTTGTCCTGCGAGATGCCCTGTTGCGACAGTAATTGCAGCAGGGAATCTGCCGTGACATCGGGTTTCCATCCATCGCCGGAGCGGCGGCTGGCCCCTGCGCAAGCATTGCTACTAATGGGCTCAGGGTCTGGCTATGGCCCCGGGGCTGCGGTATGGCAAGGTTTTCTCCATGACCACCAGGGGTGGCAAATGGATTGACCATGGCGCCAGCACCAGCAGCAGCACCTGTGTATGGGTTAGCCGTCGAGGGTGGCAGGAGAGATGAATCGACAGATGAGGCGAGATGCAGAGCCGTGGCTGATGCGGTCAGGGTAGCGGGCGGGTTGGTGGGAGAAGTAGACGTCACCGCGCTCTGTTTAGCCATATCGGCGAGCGGCTTGAGTTCGCCGATGGTATGTGTTGCCGCGGGCGAGCCATTGGCAGGCTTGAAGCTGCGCGGTGAGCCTTTGGACGTGGTGGACTGAACATCTATGAACCATGCCAGAAGCGATGGAATCAGAAGACGATGAGGGTAAAGATCCGAAGGTGGATACTTACTAAGTGGTGGAGCGTTCAGTTTCTCGCGGAATGAGTTGAGCATAGAGGGCGGGAAGGAGCAGCAGCACTCCCAGATGTCGACGAGCTTCTTGATCTTTTCCTACAGAGTCCAGAAAGGCATACGTGAGTGATAAGATCTGGCAAAGCAATGAAAACGCAAAAAACTGCCAGCACCATGTCCAAAGTTGAGCGGTCGCGGGAGAATACGGCCATTGGGCGCGATTGGCACCCAGAGGCCCAGCCCCAGCCTGAACATTCACGCCAAATGTATGCCTACCTTTTGATCTTGCAGGACATTGTCGATGATGTCGGTCATCAAAACGGGCAGCAAGTTGGTCAATCGATCGACACCACCAGCGTAGGTCCCATCCGGCGCGGCGCTTCGTGGAGGCCGGCCAGCCTTGCGAGTGGCGTCCACCCAATGCCGGGCTATAGAGTCGACCACATAGAGAACGCCCAGCTTGTGGGTGGCTGCAGCCTTCTTGAAGTGGGTGTAGACTTTTGGATGAGAACGGGTTCATCCTGGGTGCAGGGTTAGCATCTCATCAACGTCTCATCAACTTCATCTCAGCCATCTTAACAGTCTCAATCATCTCAACAATCAAATATCTCAGGAGTAGGGAACGTGTCCTCCTTGAACATTGGCAGTGCAAAGTTTGGTGATACTGTGAACCTTGGGGACTGTAATCCCGGGAGGCTTCAAAGCCAGCATGGACCGAAGGTAGCTATCCATCTCCACTACAACCGACGACATGATGGGCTCGCGCGAGTCTCCGCGAGACAATAACGTTTCAAACAGCGAGGATCCTGGGTACGTGTTCTTTGCCGGGCGGTGTTATGTGACTCTCTTAAGGCGGTCTGTAGCGACCAAAAATAGAAGATAGCGGCGGCGGTTCTACTTGCGAAGCGAACAGAAGAAAGAAAAAGTCAGTTGTCCAGGGGAAAGAAAACCTATAAAGCCTTGAGGGTGTTTATTTGCGGCCATGTTCCATCGAGGACGAAATATCTTGTCGATCGGTGCAACACCTTCAAGCTACAGCGCGTGTATTCACTGTCGAACCAGAGAATCTGCCACCTTCAGCTGGAATAAAGCCCAAGCGAGGAGAGAAGAGACTGCCGAGGTGTTGCTGAAACAAATACGCCAGTCGCGTGAATAACGAGGACAAGGAGTGTATATGTAGAGGTACGACCTATCGTTTACTGTAGAGATCTCAGGAGGTCTGTCCTGCCTGAGAGGAGCGAATCGGCGACGTATTTACGGTGGAGGCAACCCGTAGATGGGGCGATAAGAGAATAATAATGGAAATGAGAGGAGGGGTACGGGGCCATAACCCCAAATTCTACTAAGTACTTATCACGTGACACCTGAGCACAACCTCGATCCTGGTGAAGACAAGTTGATTCTGAGCTTCAAAAAATGCACGCCTATTTTATTGCCGAGCTGAAAAGCGCAGAGAATTCTGTGTTCAGTGATATCGATTTCACCCGAAAAATGGTTCTGGGTGGCTGTGGGAAGCTATGAAGAGGAAGCCATGATGGTGCAAAAGCTGGGTGTCCGGAGGGAAGCGAACACAGACTGTTTGCTAGTAATATATAGAGCTAAAATGGATGCTGGGCCAAGGCTCATGAACACCAAAAAAGATTCTCCGGCTTTTTTCAGCCGTTCCAAACCTGACATTGGTCCTAGGAACCCAATGCTGCTTCTAGGAGTATAGTGAATTGTCGCGAGGAACAATCCTGTTGGGCCATAGGAACGCATCGGAGACCAGGATTCGCCACGCAGACTCCAGGGAGCCTCGCCTACCCTGGGAACATCTAGTCTATTCCCTCCCGTTACCAAAGTGAGGATCGCCCCGTGGCAAATACGGTTTATAAATAATCTCCGACCTTTCATAGATTTAGCTTAGGTATGGAAAGGCGACCTGAATATTTATTACTCTTGAGGATTTCCTACCGAATAAGTTACAGCTGGTTACCTAGCATGAATAGCTTGCCTAAATTGGTAGTATTGGCAGGTAGTGTGAAATTTAATTCACCCAAGCTTCTTTGTTTTTTAGCTAGCACCGGTAAAATGTTGGAATTGAGGGCAATCAAAATATGTGGGTTAGTCGGAAATCCCAACGCCGGGATGTCCACATTGGCTAGAGCATATGGAACCGTTCAACATCAACACTTCAACACATCAACACTTCAACACATCAACACATCAACACATCAACACTTCAACACATCAACACATCAACACATCAACACATCAACACATCAACACCATCAACACCATCAACACCATCAACACCATCAACACCATCAACACCATCAACACCATCAACACCATCAACACCATCAACACCATCAACACCATCAACACCATCAACACCATCAACACCATCAACACCATCAACACCATCAACACCATCAACACCATCAACACCATCAACACCATCAACACCATCAACACCATCAACACCATCAACACCATCAACACCATCAACACCATCAACACCATCAACACCATCAACACCATCAACACTTCAACACTTCAACGCCATCAGTACCAGTATCAACACATGACCAATCTTTCCCCTTATTCATAATTGCGTGTGAAATAAATTAGACTGCAGTAGTCGGGTTTCTCACCTACTACTGTAAACGGAGGCTGTTGACCCAATTCACTTGACACTTGACAAACCGGAAAAAAGTCATTCCTGCTGGCTACTTTATTATTCTGTTCACGTAGTCCGATGGATCAGAGCGGTAAATGGGATGATAATGGCTGTAATCAATTGGAGAAGTAAAGTAGTGTACCCGGTATAGTTCAAATTAATATGGAGCAACTTCAGGACTCGTCATTAAAACATATTGAGCAGAGTAAAATTACGTGAATTGACCCAATTGGTGCGACCTAAAAGGATGCCGGAGCCCCAAGTAACTTACTTCATAGCAAATGCTGGTGGCCTATGCCGTGCTTTAGATGATTGGACCTTGGGTTATCGCGAAAGACCGCCTCACTATCGGCATGAGACCGGAGTACCTCGTGTTATCTCCAAGAGGATGTTATTCGTTGAGCTGTATTCTGGTTGAGCAAGACTAGATACATTACCACGTGGGCTTTATGATGAAATCCTATGCTGAATAGTATTCAAAGACTTTGAAATGCCTTGGCTTTTTCCATCACCCAAAGCATGCTGGAAGATTCAATCACTACAGAGAAGTGCAAAACCAGCTTCACCAATTTACACTCACTCATTCTTTCTGGGCCCCACTGCCAAGCCGCTAGTTCAGGAATTAGGTATATATAAATGGTCCTGTGTACATTACGTCATGAGCAACCTGCTGAATACGACGATAGATAGTGGAGTATCAATGGCTTGCAGTCCTTATGGGTAAAGTAGACGAACATAACTCGGCTCCACGGCTCAATATATCTGCAAAGGATATCTTAGCATCTACACGCTATTCTATGTTACTGATAGTTATGATCGAACGTTTGCTGCAGCCAGCCGCTTCGGCCATTTCTGAGGTAGTCAGCGATCTGCTGTCAATCATATCACGAATCATCACAAGCTGGGAGGGGGCGAGTCGAGGCGCCATGATGGTCTTTGTCGCGCTGTCGCCCAAAGTTGATGAGGTGGGCAAGGCAACAAGATGGGTCTGGGTCGGTTCGGGCCGACAGTCCAGCCGAACTCCTACTAAGCTTTGCACCAATAGAAACGCGTCTTAAAATCAGCCGCACTTGCAATGGCGACTGCCCCGCAGACAGAACACGACACCGGAAGACTTCAGATCGGCCGCAACATCAGCCGGGCGACCGTAGCACCAAATGTGCTACTATATCACAAAATGGCGGATCCAAAAGTCTACACTGTCGGCTGGATCTGCGCTATTACTACTGAATATGTTGCCGCCCAAGCCTTCCTCGATGAACAACATGCGCCCCCGGAGTCCTTACCGCCTCAAAATAAAAACGACTACACCTTAGGGAGAATTGGAAGACACAATGTGGTGATTTGCATTTTGCCCCTAGGAGAATACGGTACCTCTTCAGCGGCCCGAGTCGCCGAGGACATGTTACACAGCTTCCCTAATGTTCGGATCGGTCTGATGGTCGGCATCGGCGGCGGAGCTCCAAGCCCTCAGCATGACATTCGCCTTGGTGATGTGGTAGTAGGCATTCCTCACAACGGTCGGAGTGGAGTTATTCAGTACGACTTCGGTAAAATGATACAAGGCCAAGGCTTCTGTCCCACAGGCTTCCTTAATCAGCCCCCTACCCTCCTTCGTGCAGCGGTCAACGGCCTTCAGGCCCAATATGAGATGAAGGGGCATCAACTTGACGAGTCCGTCCGTCACGCTCTTGAGAAGAGGCCACGACTACGGAAAAAATACCAGAGGCCAAATCTCGAAAGCGACCGGCTTTATCAAAGTCATATCGTCCACCCACTGGACGGCAGATCGGATTGTAAGATGGTTTGTGGTGATGATTCAACTAAATTAATCCCGCGCCATCCACGCGCCGAGGATGAAGACAACCCGGTAATTCACTACGGGTTGATCGCATCAGCCAATCAGCTAATGAAGGATGCTCTTGTCCGTGACAAACTTGCAGCAGAAATGGATGTATTGTGTTTTGAAATGGAAGCTGCCGGGCTGATGAATAACTTCCCATGCCTTGTGATCCGCGGTATCTGCGACTACTCAGATTCACACAAGCATAAAGAATGGCAAGGGTATGCGGCAATGGTCGCCGCAGCGTATGCCAAAGACCTTCTATACCGGATCGTTCCTGGGCAAGTGGAGAGAGAAGGGAGGATTCTGGAAATTCTCAAGCCGGCTGTTGAGCATATGGCTCGAATCATAGATCGTATGGGCTATGATTCCATACTGGATAAGCTGCCCGATGCGACTAACGCCAGGTTTGACGCGTTCGACGATCGAGACGCAGTGGAATGTCTCCAAGGCACTCGGACCGAGCTCCTCCAGCAGATAAAGGGGTGGGCAATGTTGCCGTCCCAAAAAAGCATTTTCTGGTTAAATGGAATGGCTGGGACAGGAAAATCCACAATATCTCGGACTGTGGCCAGGTCGCTCAAGGACACTAATCATCTAGGTGCTAGCTTCTTCTTCAAGAGGGGTGAAGGGGACCGAGGAAACGCGAAGAAGTTCTTCCCTACATTAATAAGGCAACTAATGCTGAGGATCTCTGAGTTAAGGTTTGGCGTGCAGAAGGCACTCGATCATGACCCTGACATTGCGTCAAAATCGCTCAGGGAGCAGTTCGAGAAACTACTCCTTCAACCGCTGCTCGATCTTGACCAACTCGGCCGACAACCTCAACCCGTTGTGATAGTGATCGACGCTTTGGACGAATGCGAATATGATCAAGATGTCCGAAACATCCTTCGATTACTGCCTCTTCTACAGAAGGTAAAATCGGTTCGTCTTCGGATTTTCTTGACTAGCAGACCCGAACTCCCAATCGGTCTCGGCTTTTCAGAGATCGCGGATCATTCGTATCAAGACCTAGCTCTTCATGAGATACCCGAAAAAGTGACAGAACGTGACATACGTTTATTCCTGCAGGGCCGATTTGCGAAAATCAAACACAACAGAAATATTTCCCAAGATTGGCCCGGCGATGACGTCGTCCAAAAATTGGTCACGATGTCCGTTCCACTATTTATTTCGGCTGCCACTGTGTGCCGTTATATCGAAAATGCAAAGTGGGAACCTAAATTGCGCCTCGCAGAGCTTCTAACGGACCAAGCTAAATATGTATCGAAAATGGATAAGACATACCTGCCAATTCTGACACGACTGCTGGACGATCAAGAGAGTGATAAATCGGAGCAGCAGCAGCTCCTGCAAGAGTTCCAGGACATAGTCGGTGTCATCATCCTTCTCGTTGATCCGCTTTCTATCAATGCCCTGTCACTGTTTCTTGGGATAGGAGCAGACCAGATCAGCAACCGATTGGATTCATTCCGCTCTGTTTTGAGCATTCCCGGTGACCGAGCTCAGCCTGTTAGGATTCTACATCTATCGTTTCGGGAATTTTTGGTCCGGTCTAGCAGCAAATTTTCCGTGGATGAGCGAAGAAAGCACAATGAAATTGCTCACTGCTGTCTCAAAACCATGCAAAGTTATCTACGGAAAGATATCTGTAATCTCGCAAATCCTGGAGCGTGTAGGGCAGACATCAACCCCCAAAATATCCGCCAATATCTATCGCCGGAATTACAGTACTCTTGTCGCTACTGGGTACACCACCTCGAGCAAAGTCAGGATCTATCTTCCGGGATAGATGATGTGCTACTGTTTCTCCAGAAGCACTTCCTGCACTGGCTGGAGGCGATGAGTCTATTAGGTCTTATATCGGAGGTGGTGGGTATGCTTAATCTCCTCCACACGGTTATACCAGTAAGTAACATAGAACACACCGTTTTAAGACTTAAACTCATAGATATAGGGCGATGATAATTCTGGAATATCGGATTTTCTGTATGATGGAACGCGCTTTGTTCTGAAAAATCGCCAGATAGCCGACGAAGCACCACTTCAGATTTATTGCGCAGGGCTAGTGTTTGCACCTCGAACGACAATAATTCGTAGAGAGTTCAAATTGGAGCTTCCAAGTTGGGTATGCCAGTTCCCACAAGTTGAGGAAAAATGGGGTGCAGAATTACAGCATCTCGAGGGCCATTCGCACTGGGTCAACTCGGTGGTCTTCTCGCGCGACGGCCGTCTGCTGGCGTCCGGCTCTTGGGATAACACCGTGCGGCTCTGGGACACGGCGACGGGCGGCCTACAGCAGACTCTCAAGGGCCATTTAGGCTCGGTTAAATCGGTAGCCTTCTCGCCCGATGGCCGGCTGCTGGCGTCCAGCTCTGATAACACCGTACGGCTCTGGGACACGGCAACGGGAGCCCTGCAGCAGACTCTCAAGGGCCATCCGCACTGGGTTAAATCGGTAGCCTTCTCGCCCGACGGCCGGCTGCTGACGTCCGGCTTTGATAACACCATGCGGCTCTGGGACACGGCGACGGGAGCCCTGCAAGAGACCTTGAACACTAACGGAATCGTCAACGATCTTGGGTTTTCTCAAGAGGGTTCATATCTAATCACCAACTTAGGCACCCTCGATGTTCAGTCCGGGCAGGAAAATCTTGCTTCTAATTCAAGCCTTAAGAAGCGGGCGATCTTCATTGACCAAGGACGGTGGGTAAACATAAACGGGAACAATGTACTATGGCTTCCTCCTGACTTTCGGCCTACCTGTTCCGCGATTAATGGGGATTCACTTGCCTTGGGACACGCATCAGGGCGGATTTCTTTCCTACGATTTCGTCTATAGCAGTCATCAATAAATTTCATTTTCATTCCTTCATCTATTTTCTAATCTCTTTGTAAAAGAAGGGCCTGGGAGAAAAGTAGAGTTTATATGGCCCTTTCGTGCTAATGGAATGTGCCATCAAGTTCCACGATGCTCCAGATCCTACAAAACTCACTGCGTGGTGGTTTGCCGCAATTAGATAGCTGACTCAGTGACAAGATCTGGAAGGTTCTACGCCAGAGGGAAAAGGGAGTACATACCATACCCCACTAAACAGCACTCAGCTTTCAGGCTAGAGTCTTATCAGTGGGGCACAGAATTAACAGAAGTGTGCGAATTGGTGAAGCTGATTTTGCACTCCTCTGTAATTAGACAAATAATAAGAGTATTCGACACTCACACTCACTCCTGTAGATAGAGGAGACAGATGGATCCTCATCAACCAGGCCCTGGTGGGAACCAGAAACCTTTCAAAATCATCCCCAGCCCGTTCGCAGCCTCCCACCCCACCACCGAATCCACCTCGCCGTCTAACCGAACCACCCCACAACGCAACGTGAAGCCCCTCTTTCGTATCTCAACCACCTACTCGACCATCGCAGCCAGAGCTATCTCATTTCAACGCCAGCTTCTCACTGGTATCACGCCCCATCAACTTGCCCAGAATGGTCTCTACCACCAAGTCCGCGCTGGAGTGGGCGACACCGCTTGTTGCTTTACCTGTGAGATCATGGTCCCGCTGAAGGCCATCCAGGGAAACCCCACCGGCGATTTATCGAAAATACACAAAGAAGACTGCTTATGGCAGGTTATCTGCCACGACCTTAAACCATTCCTACCATCTCCATCTAATCATGCCGGTACGCCCTCTTCCGCAACCCGATCTACTCAAATCACCGCCCCCGAATCCAACATTCGACCGGAACCTCACCCAGCACCAACTGCTCCTACACCCGTGAACCAAGCGGAAACCGATCTCGAGTCTCCTGCGGAGTCGTCACCCGCCAGATTCGAGACAGAACCGTTAGCACCGCGACCAGCCACCTGTCCTCCACAACCCATCCAACCAACCCCGACAACTTCCTCTCCACCCAAATGCCAACAACGCACCTACGCCTCTGTTCTCCAGCAACCTACTAGATCTTCACCGCCACCGACGACTAGACCGCAACCCACACCTCCTAACCCCACACTTACAATCGAAGAACTTCGTCGCCGTTTCCACAACAAACCGTCGCCATTTGAGCTTGAGAAACGAAAAAAGAAACGCCCAAAGACCGTATCTGCCGCCCAGTCGTTGTCCAGGTTCTTAAAATCAGCATTGCCAGCATTCTCGCGATTTTTGGTGGAGATGCAGCCAGCCGCAGACAACTGTTGGCCGCCTTAAATGGAAACTCGTTCTAGCCGCGCCACGAGGGCAGCCTAATACCGTAAATGGCAACAAGGCCATGACAGGCTTTACCAGGTGAGGCTCAAAGTTCACCGTTCAGGAAGTTTGGTACATTCTCAGTGGATCAGAAACCATGTATTTACAGTTGTTGTATGCTGCATATCGCTTAGCGAGGGGTCAGCGTAAATGAATTCACACACACACACACACACACACACACACACACCCTATACCCCGCGACTAAGCTCTGAGACTAGCGCAACTAGGGTCATGCTAGCCCGGGTGGTTTAAGCCTCCTATAACGACTAACCATACGGGCTGCCTTACGATCTATATAAGGACCAGTGGGTGTCTAAAAGAGGGATGTAATAGCGGGGACTTAGGTTTGAAAGGACGGTTAAGACGCTTGGGATGTTCTAGCTCTCGGCGTCCCTGTTAAACTAGAACGACCTCCTTCTTAGCCCTGCTACCTAACCAGCACTCCGATTCTTCTTACCGGATTCCCAGCAGACCTATAGAGGGCAACGAGCCCTGGTTGCCACCATTCATCTACTATATAAGTAAGTCGACAGAATCTCCTAGCCCTTAGGCCCCCGCACTCCCTACAAGCATACGCTAGACCGGCTACGACGCATTTACTTTCTCGCGTTATCTATATAGGTACTGAAATATAACCGGAAGGCTTTCAAAGGCGAAGCACCCAAAGAGTTAGAAGCTTATAACTATGGTGTATGCTATAGCTGGTTAATACAATATTACGAGGACGAACCAGCTATCCTCAGTCGCAGCTAAGTACGGCTGGTTTAGAAGCAAGAGTGCAAGACCCGACCTGGGCCGATCTACTACAGCAACTTTTTGACTGGGATGATCAGGACCGGTATAAATCTCCCTACCCCCGTAAGTCTTGGGACGGGTTAGAGTATCGTCTGATTGCCCGACACGCCTACCAGAAGATTCATCAGTAGCTGGGGCGACGTCTCGCTCTCCGGTGGAAGCAAAGCTTTAGAGTAGATGCTACACGTTTCGTTTCGATGATCCCAAAGTGCGATAGCAGCAGATTCAGCACTCAGACAAAACGAGTCCGGATTGTTAACGGGGAAAGGAAGATAGACAGCCTAATGTCGTGGTACTCCGCTTCCCATATAGATATAAATCACCTGGTGGAAGGCGAGCCGCTACCATCACGATAGTAGTGGAAGGATCAGACAAGATAGAGCTGGGAGGCCGGAGAACAAATAAAGTATGCTCTGCTAAAGCTGTTCACGGATCTCACTACGTTTGACTTTAATGACTAGCGATGCAATACATAATCCCGCCTAGCGCGAAATTAGACTAGAAGTGGAGGGGGTAGTAATACTCCGTATCTCATCTATAGAGTTATATAGGTTTAGTGCCTACCCTTACCTTGGTAGAAGGAGACTTGCATTACGTTCGGACATGATGCGTCGGTGCCAGGAAGCGGGGCATATCGTGTGTGGAATGGGAGAGTCGGCGGCCCCCCGATGAGGCTAATATCGTGCTGGTCACGCCCGAGTCGGCATTAGGAGGTGATTTCCGGCAGGTTTTGAACCGGCAGATGATGTTTCAACGGTTGGACCGTATCGTGATCGACGAATGCCACGTGATGTTAAACTAGTCCAAGATATACCGGCCGCAGTTACAGCGGTTGGGCAAGTTAGCGGGTGTGGGCACGTAAATAGTGTTTTTAACGGCCACGTTACCGCCCAGTGCGGAAGAAACGATAGAAGTTGATCAAGGTTCCGGCGTCGAATGTGAATTTATACCGCAGTCAGACGCGGCGGATCAACGTGGCATACCGAGTGTGGCGGCCACCGATCGACGCTAGGCATCAGGGCCCCGACCAGTGGATTCAGATGCCATCGGTGGTGTCATTCATCTAGGAGCGTATCCGGCGTAGCCACGGTGGCCGTGTCATTATTTACGGGCACACCATCCCGCATGTGTAGGCCATATCGTAGATAATTAGGTGCGAGGCGTATTTTAAAGACTAAATCGACCGCACCGGGGTTTTGGAGCGATTCCGCTAGACACTATCCGCCGTTATAGCGGCCACGAGTACGTTGGGAATAGGTGTGGACATCCCGGATATTCACAGTATCATTCACATCGGTCGACCGCGGACATTGTTGGAATATGTGTAGGAAAGCGGGCGGGCCGGACGTGATGGCGAGGCCAGTGAGACGGTGATGATCATCCCAGCCGAGATAGACGGGGTGCCGGGATATGCGATGGAGTAGTCGGAGGAGGATCAGGCGCGATTAAGAGAATATATCGCCATAGAGCATCCGGGTTACCGGCGACGGGTATTAGATCGATATTTAGACGGGGTCATGGATGGTTACGAGCGCCGCGCGTGCGGTGATAGCAACGAGGATTTACCTATAGTGGAGTTGTTATGCGATAGATGCCAGCCCGATTAGGAGGTGCATAAGGCGGTTTTAGAGCATAAGGCGATAGAGGGGGAGACCGAGAAGATACCGGACGGTTTGTCGATTGGCCGTGTATCGAGTAGCAGCAGCAGTCCCGTGGGCACGCCGTCCAGCACAGGTAGTCACAATCCCAATATCGCACCCACGCGGCCGGTCAGTGTGGTTCGCGGTGCGGGATACACGGAACAGATATTTAGGGTGTCGATGTCCCGCGAGGGTGTGAGCAATAAGGGTTACCGGTAGGGATTAAGCAGCGATTCCGACAGCAAGATATCGAGCGGCGGCAGCCGATGAAGACGTACGGGGCAGAGTGTAGGCGCGAGTTGCAGGACGAGGAGATTTTGAAGGAGGATGTATTGCAGTGGCGGGAGCGGTGTTGGAGTTATTGGCGCAATAGGCGGGCGGACGATCATGAGTTGTTTTACTGTCCGATACCGGGAAACTAGGCAGCGAAGCAGTTTAAAAAGGCGATAGACTTGGGCAAGATCAAGTTCCCGGCGTTTGCGGCATGTTGGCGATGTGGGATGCCGTAGAGTATATGTTCAGGATGGCAGCGGAACGATCGTGGCGAACGGCATTGTGAGTATCGGTTCGCGTCTCGGCCCGTCCCGCCATTTTTTTTTCCTCGCGTCGCTCACGATACGACCGTTCAATTCAACCGTAGGTAACTCCGTAGTCCTCTCAGTAAATCTCTTTGCGGTCCACTCGAAATCTTAGAGTCCGGCGCTTAATACCGGAGAAGAATTCTTCACCTTCTCTCAGCCAATTACACTATATTACGAAACCGGTGCAACCACCTCCACACTTTGATGAACTTTCCTGCTCCGCACGCTAGAACACACTAATCTATATTTAGAGATCTTCCCGGACTTGCGTGTGTATTTCTTCGTACCTAAGTTACATAATAATTCTAGGCCTGTAGTTCCTTGTAAAATTGTAACTTAATACGTAAACCAAGAGAAAACATGCAAGTAACCCAATAGGAAATCTTCTTACGATAGAGAACCAGCGGCTTTGAAGAAAAAAAAGGTTTCCAGTAACTTCTGCGTCAGGAAAACACCAATAACTGTCTCAAAAGCTAGTCCACCGCTCCAAGCCATCGGTCCGTGCTTCGCGGTGTGAGTGATATAGCCAAAAAGCCATCCTCCTGTACAAACTAAATTGACTATGGAGACCCACCGTGGGATGAGCGGCTTTGAGCGCGGGTCTGAGAGGCATGCTACCGATTTGGCAATTTCCCGAGGTGCAAACATTGCACTCACCATACTGTACCTAAACAAGGCAAGGTCGCTGTAGCCTTGAGTAATGATAGGGTCTCTGTCTAGTCGATAAATGACTGTAGCGAAAAAAATGGCTAGGTTCGTTTTGTCTAAGTAACCCTTTGACTGTTTTGAGTTTTCTCACCTGAGAGTTAGGGCCACGAAAGATATGCTGGCAGGCCAGATATATCAGCCTCTCGTCAGGATCGCTTTGCAACATTTTGCAGCTTGATAAATGCCTTCAGATACCCGGAATATACCCCAGCTTTATACACAGGCATCGTAAGGGTCGGATCAGGCTTTTACGCAAGCGTATACACCACCATTAAGAAGTGTCGGTTATTCAGAGCCGTCTTTAGCATCATGCTGCCAGTCAAGCATGATTGCACCTTCACCATGAATTCCGGAAGCTCCCGAAACCGTCCTCACTGTTTGTATTTCAGTGAGAGTGGCACGTTGAAGACCGGAATGTAGTGTCCATGCCCTAGAGGGAAGGCTAGAGGCACATTCCACGGATGTAACTTTTGACATTCCATATACATAGGTCGTTTGATACCACCGAAGCCTTCAGGTTTGTAACCGGAAGTACAAAAGATCTAAGGTGGTCCAATTCATATCGGTATGCGAGAATATAGGACAGTGATAGTATGACCGAATCGGTTATCCGTCTCCACCTCCCAACAAAATTTGCATCACCCATAAGAGTGATCTAGCCCAGCCCTTTCTCTTCTCACTCCACTGAATTGGTCCTCTGCTTCGATACTTCTGGATAAATCAAGAGATTGGATGCATGCAGAGCATACCCCGAATGGAAGACTGCCGGGAACGTAAAGTGACAATATTCTTGGCCGCTTCGCGGTCAACCACTCTCGGAATCGAGATACCTTTATGAATTTCAAAGGCAGGAAAGCCCACACAAACATACCATTGGAAAGTGCGATTATTAGTCCAGGGCCTGTTGGGTAACTAGGCTCGTTGGGTAACTACCAAAGCATCTTACGGCAGGCTCTAGCCCGCCCCCAAAACACTACATACCCTTACAGGTGATACTATTCGTCATGTTTGCGATTTTGATTTCTTCTGGACCTACTCTTCTCTGGTATTGCTGACTGATCCCAGCAGAACGTCCTATGTTCCTCCTTTGTAATTGTATCTCAATCAGATCGGAAGAAATTGACTTGAGTCAACTTAGGTAATCCGGTATGGCCCAAAGAATACACAGTGATATTGGTCACGAGTGAACCATCCATTTTTTTTCGTCTTACTATGCACTACGATAGTCCGCCGTATTTACGCACAGGACAAAGCCCATACCAAATTTTATATTAAGCATAAGAGGGTTTCAGCTTCGCCTTAGCAATTCCGTGTTCATTTATTTGATTCAGCTACTGCCATTCTCTTTTCTTCACGTAAAGCGACCGTGCTGGGGCGGGGCGGAACACACAGAGCGTTCGTACGCTTCATTCTCGGCCTCATTCAACAGGTGACCTATTAGCCATGAACAAAGTGACTTACTAAGTATACCCGCCATAAGCGATGGAGAAATGACTCGTATATTGTGTCTCGGGTGTCACGCTGACATAAAGTACGCCGGGATGTCTCACAATCCTAGCTGCAAATGGCTCAGGTCTTCCTCGCCTTGTTTGGTGAATACCGATCGCCCTGGCGAGGCGTTTTTGCTGTGATACATTCCCGAACTATGAGATTCGGATTGGGCGCATCGAAAGTTCCATGACTCGCAGCGGCATTCAACCCCTGTATTATACCTTTGAGTTGGAGAGGGTAGCCTTTCGCTCCAGAACACGTTGCTCGTCACCCTGTGTCATGCATATGCAAGACAACTCAGCACACCCTGGAGAGGCCCAAGCTTCTACAATCCTGAGGCTCATTTCTGTGTGCACAAAGGTGAATCCACCGTTCGTCTACGACATCAAAAATCTATGTGTAGCCATATGTGCTTCCAGCGTAGGAAAAATTATAAATAAATGCGGTCACCACCCTGTTAATTCCACTATTCTCAATCCAGTGCCTAGGTCATTATTCGTTAAATTCATTATGTCTTCAACAACAACTGAGTCAGTCCAGCAACGAGGGGCTGTCACTAAGAAGGCGGAACTTGATGATGCCTTGATGAACAAAATAATTGAGCACTGTCGCAAACTCACTTTGGATCTCGACTTCAAGAACGCATCGGCAACTTATAGTCAGGTCAAAGAGCAACAGGAGCAAATTTGTACTCGAGATGAAAAATTGACCAGATTGCAGAGGGACATTGAAGCTCAGAAAGAGAGGGAATCGGTTGTGATCGGCAGATTCTCCGCAGCGAATCAGGACCTCGCCATCCAAAAGGAGATCGCAGAAAAAAGAATAGTCTCCCTCCAAAAAGAAGACGCAGAAAAGGGTAAATCTTTGGCTGAGATCTCTCGAAGAATCCAAGAACTTCAGCGCCAGCTACAAACGCTGTTATCGGAGAGATCTCAGGATGAAAGAAAGATGAGCTCAATGATTGCACAACACAATCTGGAAATTGATTCCTTCCAGAGAAAGCTCAAAGAAAGAGATGCATCAATCGACAAATTAAAGGAAAGTTATGCCAGACTCACTAGCCTACTTTCCGATGAAAAAGCAAAAAGGGGCTATCTTGAAAAAGACAAAAAGTCGCTAGAAGAAAAGATGCTCAAGGCTCACAGTCGACTTGAGAAGTTCGATTCCTTTATCCTTAAACATCACCAAATTGACGAGCAGTCAATGTTAGTACCTCCCCCAACCAAAACATTGCAGGTCATTGATTTTAGGGCTCAGAATAGACGGCTTTTCGAGCCTCTGGGGCTTTGCAGTGAGCGAGATCTGGACCATTCTACGGCAGGATCTGAACGAAGAGAATCTCAGAGTAGGTTATTCTACATATATTCTATGACCTCAACTGCTAAACCGAAACTGAAACTAACTTTTCCCGGAAGAACGACGGACCCTGGAACAAGTTCAGACAAGATACTGAGGCTGCTTTTCGAGATGGAGCTATTCAGAGACAGCGTATTCCCCTGTGTGCTTCGAATTCCGATGCCGCTAAGGGAATGCGTGTAGCCGTGATATTGGGCATTCTCTCCCGGCAAATCGACGAGCAAATTTTTCAACCGATTCACTTTCCATCTGAGACCGGCTATCTCAGGATGAACCTAAATAAGCTCGTGAAACATGACACCGACAATGAGCATTTTTATCGCTCCGTTCTACGTTCTATTGACCGTGATGGGCAGGAAGCTGAACTTCGGTCTAGGGCTAATTCTATTGTTCAGATTGTTTCCCACTGTCTCTATGGAATCGTCTCGACTACCCAGTATGGTGAGCTCAGAGTGCGGATAAAGAATGTTGTTGATAGGGCAATTGAGGTCTGGCGTCCTATCCAGAATTCCACGAAAAGATATGAGACAGAATTTGACCCTACCGATTGGGCCCCCGAGGAAGATTCCCTATTCCAGTTTCCTGTGGGCGGTGAAGATTCAGTCGGGGCTGAATACCAAAAAGATCACTCTCTTGTCATTTTCCCTGGATTGTATTGCTTGGAAAGTGACGCCTTTATTTTGACTTCCGTCGTTCCGCTCACGAGCTCGCAGAAATTATATATCGCTGCTGATCAAGAGCTAAGGGAAGAATTTCAAGGCAAAGCGAGCCCCACGACAAGACAACCCAGTCGGAAAAGGCAGAACTCTGTTGCTAAAGCCCAATTGCCATCAAATGGTACCAGTTTTTTAGGAAGGCACTCCTCTGGAGGTTCAAGCAATTAAAGATACGCAAGTCGCGTGCTAGGGCCACGAGAGGACTCTAGACATCTCCGAGGACGTTTTACGGATGAAGGTAGCTATAAATGGTTTTAATTTTCTGAGCACTCATGTTTATTTTCTCTTGGTTCATTCACGGTCTGCATTTCGCTTCCTTATTTTATCAACCAAATTGTTAACATAGTGATAAAACATGAGCTCCCTTTCATGGCTCTGCCTAACCAGCCACCAGTTTCACCAAGCCGTATCCACGTAGCCTAAAACGAGGACAAAACAGGTCACTTAGATGGAAATGATATAGCAGAAATGTTCCATTCAAGATCAATGCTACGATTGATGATAAGGCAAAAAGGGGGTAGGGTCATAGTGCTACTATTGTACAAGCAGGTGAGGTCCAGAGTCCTTTCCAGACATCATAGCAGAACGAAAGGGAAGATAAAAATATCTGAAGAAGCAGATCATTTAGAAAACATAGACACACTCAATCTTGATGAGGTTTTCAGACTCAAGAACATCATCAAGTAAGCTACTGACATCATCTTGTGGGTAACCCAGGATATCATACGTAGCGTTCCCCTTTCGGACAGTCAGAGATTTCATGGGCCAACATGGATCAGTTGGAAGCTCATTCATTGTCCAAACCTGCGCCACAGCTTCTAGAAGATTCCGACGACTGGGGGTTTCCAAAAATCTCAGAGCTCCTATAGGTGTGCTGAACGGATACTTAATATCCACAAGTACTGCGTAGCCCCTCCCACATGCGTGGGAAGAAACTGAAGTCGAAGGAGTCAGCTCCGGTTTAGAAACCTCTGAAGCGGCTTCTGTTCGAGGAACGTTCCATCCTGGAGGTAGAGTGTTCATCCTGGGTGATTCTTCTGTCCGGGTTAGTACCACCATAATTTGTCAAACTATGGTCAATGTTTAATTTCATACCTTTCTGAAGGTCTATATGGCCATGCTCCGCTTCATGAGATTTGAGCTCTTCGTTCTGGACCTCTTCCTCTGCGAGGGGCATGTCAATAATGACATTGCTTCCCTCCGAAAGCGCCGGAGTTTCCGACCCAGACTGACGCTGTGGTTGCATAGACACAGCTATATGGCAGTTTGTCAAGTGCTCAGCATCTAACGTATGGCCGCAATCAGTGGAAAACTCCTTCAGGTACTTGCATGACATATCATGTAACGCCTTCAATGCTTTAACTACATCTCCGGCATAAGTTTGCATGATTTTGACTGGTTTCCCTTCATGTAGAATTTGATATGCAAATACGATTACGCCGTCAGGGCCTCCATCGCAGGTCAGGATGTCAACGGTTCTATTGAACAAGAAGCGAAGGTTTGCTGTATCTTCAATTAATGCTGCACTGGATTTTTTTCAGAGATAGAGATTATTCACACCTAGTGTCTGTTCACGATAGAACATGCCAGACTTGACGTCGGATTGCTTCATGTTCGATGGTACATGGATGAAGAAACAAAATTGCTTAGTATATCGACCAATATAGGTAGATGTCATCGATATTTAAGCGTACTTTCCCAAGCGAAACTCGATTCATTTGATATTAAGCATTCCAAGATGCCACACTACAATCCTACTGTATCATCGTTTGTTACCTTGTGTTTATGCCACATAATACATTTTAGAGAATTCCAAAGGCGCGTCTCATTCCCAAGACAGTAACATAGCTAGCCCCAGCATACATTCCTATCGCCTAAAGAAACGGCTCAAAAAACACTCCAAGATGCTAATTACCGACAACATGTAGCACATGGTCAAAATAGGAGAAGGTGCATGGTATGCTATAGAAATTCTGCTTGGGAAAAGCTTGATTCCTAGATGTATCACGATTTTTTGATAACTCTAATGGAAAGCTGTTTAAGCTAACCGGTGAAAACTATTCCGAATCCTGCTGTGGCTATGCTATATACCCTCTCTGGTTACAGTACGCCAGCATGCCGGAAATGCTCCTCTGCGCTTATTTCCACGTCACACCGACGCTATCAACACACCGTTCAAGGAAGGTATCAAATTCATAGTCAGGATTGCTCTTGTAGGACTGCTGATGCCGCCGAATGAAGCATTTCAACGCAGCGAAGAACTCCTTAGTGAGGTTTAAGTCTGGAGAATATGGAGGCAAGTACACTAGCTGTACAGTACACGGTCGTCGGAGCACATCTCTTCCATTCGGTTATAGTGCAAAAATGGATGTATCGTCCATGACTCACACAGAATAAAACCCCATCAGACAATGTGCTGCGCCACTGAGAGAACTCTCTCTATCGTTCTCGTTGAACTACCTGCTTTGCTGCTGTGTGCCAGGGTGCCAGGATCTTGTGGCACTAGTCCGTATCAGGCTTAGTTCCACAGTCCATCTTCATCTCCATCTTAATGCCTCAGTGCCGCAGCCGCCCATGCCTATCATTTTCTCCTCTCGCCCAGGATAGTTAGCAGTTGGTGAGTTTAATATAAATGCACCACCTGTCACAAAGAATGGTTTCATCTCTCCTCTCCCTTCAGAAGCGCTCGCTCAGGAAAGAAAGCCCCCTATACTTAGTAAGCAATTCTATCCTTCAATCTCTTCTTCGGGTCCCTTCTAACGACATTCAAAAATACTCCTAGGCTGGTGAAACGGACGCCCGGTCTTCTGTCATCAAAATGGTTCTTAAATACCACAGGTATACAGTCCTCATCTCACAAATTGTACTGATTCTTACTGCTGATGTTCACATAGCCTCATGGAGTCTGGTGTTGTCCTGGTCTCCGTTGGCAAGGACCAAAAGCGGTTTTTAATTCACTCGGAGCTAGCTAGCTCCTTTCCCAGCGAGATTCTTCAACCTCCTACAGCCGAGGAAATTGACGAGGTAGTCTTCGGCCGTTGCTGTGAGTTTGCATATACTGGTGTTGGGGGTTTTTAGGGTTTTTAGGGTTCTTCTGGGGTTGCTAGCAAACTTCACCCTCTGCGAGGAACGAACTGGAGACATTGTAACTCTATTTAAATTTGCCTTTGAGAATGTTGATTCCGAGGAGTTTGAAAGCATAGGAGATATCAAGTTTGAAGGCATGGGAGACATCAAAGGGGACTATACAATCTTCTTCTATTCTCCGACACTGTAAAATGGGTTCGTATTTCATTCTATTCGTCCGATAAAGTCTGTGCTCGGTGCCAGAAATAGCTCTATGCCGTCCTCGTGAGGTACTTTAGTCACAGACCCCCAGATAAAGATTCATCAACTTCTTTAGTTGTATTAATTTCGGGGTTCCAAGAAGTTATATACAGCTCTGATATTGAGACATCCAGTCAGGGGAAGTTGATAGCCAGCGGCTTTGCTTAACATATCTCCGTCATTCCATCCTGCATACAAGAGTAGCGTCCAACACTGCTCCTCTTCATTATACTTGACGAGGCCCGTAACCGAGGATGGAAGGTGCAATTTCGATGGATCACGGCACATATCGGAGTGCCCGGTAACGAAGCAGCCGATCAAGCTGCAAAAGAGGCTGCCGGGGGTGGTCCAAGAACCGGACTCCCTGCGAATACTCACAGCAACCACCAAGTCTACCATTCGCCGAGCGATGAGAAACGAGTGGGATCAGGCCTGGGAGAAATGCAAGCATGGAAGAGAGCTCTATAGGCTCGGAGTGCGACCGGGGAAAGCGGTCCTTGACACACACATCGGGGCACACAGAGCAATTAGCTCAGCAATCACACAGATGCGTACAGGCAAGATCAGCCTCCGGGCCTATCTTCACGCCATCAACAAGGCCGACACTGACATTGGTCAGTGTGGCCAAAGACCACAGACGGTACGACAAATCCTGCTCGAATGCCGGAATTGGGTGGAAGAACAACATCGAATGTGGACAGGCAAGACTCCATGCATCGACATCAAGCGCGTTCTCTGTAGCCCGCAAATGGCAGTACAAGCAGCCAAGATGATCTTGAGGACTGGATTGCTAGGACAATTCCAAGCAGTGCCGTCCACGATACTCAAATACATATAGCGAAGACGAGTGATTTTTGGTATACAGAAGCTGGGGAGGGCCAGGAAAGGTCCGACAGGTACATAGAAACAGAACGATCAACAAGAGTATAAGATGGGAGGTAACTTACTGGAGCGGACGGAGAAGCCATTCGGACCAGGAACGACTTGTTTTCTGAAAGCGAGGGGGGGACACCTGTACTTATAGTTACACGCTGCATAGCTGCTAAAATAGGGCGGCTGGGACAGTCTATGAATAAATCAATCAATCAATCAAAGAATTTATGCTCCTGGGAACGGCCTTTCCGCTCCTGGGTACTCCCGGCTAGGCCCTAGGAGCGTAGATAGTGTTCCCAGAGCTCTATAGGCTCCCAGATCCCACGCTCTCGTTTTCCAGGAGTCACCTTTGATGCTCCCGGGTCCAGAAATAACCGTTCCCAGTACAGTATGGGCGGCCGTTTAATTTATAACGATCGCAAGTGTCTCCTAGGTAGCCCTACATTTCTTTCTCAGCATCACCATGTGGTCCGAAGCTGTCCAGTACTCCGTTTTCACGACATTCTTGTCGGTCGTAAATGGCATACGGATTGCAATTTTTCATGCCCGACACCCTGAATATCGACTACAAATCGTGGATCTAACGCAATGAATCATACTTTTTGGCTGTCCTATCGTGAGCTTCACTTTGACCTGCAGCAATGCCAATGACTACAACGTTGGTGTCACTCTTTTAAGAGGAATCATTTCGGTGCTCATACCGATTCCTTGGGTAATTTAATGCAACGCTGGGCTAGTAGATAAGAGCTAACACGAACGCATCAGTATTGCCGAATCAGTCTCCAGCTGATCGGATTGGATAGCGCTCCTCATCCTTCTACCATCGGGCTACTGTGTTTTGTCCCATTCTCTATTTTGAGTAAGATTGCAGTCACGATGGTGGGTACATTTAACGACCCCTCCATGTGGGTTGGAGTGGCCTTCCTGCTCTGTCTTGATTATATTACCATGTCTGGTTTCTACTGGTGGCTACGAGGGCGAACCCTGCGGGGGTATTCAGCTCCAATCCAAGTAAGCTACATTGCGATTGTGCTTTCATGTCATTCACTTCTTCTACTAGTCGTCGCCGTCATTGGTGTTGTCTTGGATCGTTGGTTATTATCGCTAGAGGTAAGCCATAAAAGCCTCCTTATACCCGAAGACGTTCTGACCGTAGCAGCTGCAGATTCCAATTTTCTGCTATCTTCACTTATGCTGCTTCTTCAGGGTAAAGTGGCCAACTGTAGCTCTATGGATGCAAGGACACGCCTCAGATCGCTGAGCACGTGTGCGTGAGAGCTACTGGCCACGCAATAAACACGACAAAAGACACTTGCTTTCCGTCAGGTTGCTGTTCTCTGTAAATGAATGCACTTTATGTAAAGGAATTGGTCACTATGCTGTGGGTGATCCGGGCAACTAGGGAGTTACAGTACGGTCCACTACCAAAGCAGGGGTCCAAAGAAGGGGTCCAAAGAAGAGATCATGGAGATCTAGCCACACTTCTTGGAGAATGTCCTATCCGAAATTTGAACCATGTGTCATAATAGAAATATCTGTTCAAAGAGTAAATTCGTGGGAAGACTTATGAGGGCATCATCCACTCTGTAATATATTTTATATTGCAAAAGCATATCTGGCAATTACTGATGTTTGATTTCTTCCGGGCTTGCCTTTAAGTGATATCCTCAAGAAAGCGGACGAACCAGTCCCCGGCCACCTACTACGACAATCCCTCCGTTTCATTCTTCCCTCCTTGTGAATCTTCAGGTAAGACATTCAAGTTCCCAGTGGAAGTGCTGCTCCACTCGTTCAGTAAGCGAAACATCCCCCCGCCGAGCATCCATCAGCTTCTGCTCTACGGCATGAAAATGATAAAGCTGGTTATCGTGGGTGTTTTTCAGATGGTTTCCCTCCAGCTACAGCTGCGAATTCATGGTTCGTAACTGTTGATTACCCACTTCAAGACGCTGACTATCGATCTGTTTAGAAACTGACGACTCCCACAGACGGCGGAAGAGACTTAATAAACGAGCACCCTAAGCCGCCGCTTTAGGGTCATCGTGCTCCATCTATGCTAAGGCCTCAAGGACCGCGCGAAACGGTTCCACAGCTAACTTTCGTTTCTCCTCTTCTGCATCTGCATCACAGACGTGGGACTGCTACCGTCAGCGGGATTCTCTAGATGTCGGGAAGCTCTTACCGAAAAGAGCTAGAGAATCTTGGGGATCTCAACCTCGCTTATATCTGGTTGCCCTGGCCGCAACATGTCTTCACGCTCACATTTCTCCACGGGTGGCTGGGTTGAAGCGTCTATTATGAGATGGTCTGGGAGGAATGGCCAGGATAGGGCTGTTACTTTATAGTCGGTATTTCTTCTCTATCTAACTTTAACAACGTAAGCCTTGTTCGGGAGACTAATATTCAATTAATCATAGGCAGATTTTGCATGATGAAGTCTCGCGTTTTGCACACTGGGTTGATAAACGCCTTCATCTAAAGGTTAGTCTCCCGTTGGTTGATGGTCCTTTCACACCCCTCAAATATGATATATACATATGGCATAGGACGCATTAATGGTGTCTCCTGCCCGGAACCATTCCTATCTATTTGTGTACCGGTTGTTGGTTATGTCAACGTTGAAACACTACATCCGGTGCATAGCGAGAATTCTATTTATATGCCTCTCAATGATGGACTGCGAGGACAGGCTCCTTCCGTACTGTACTATGCGGGTGGAAAGTGCCGTACGATGGGCACTTAGCCTGTTCGTCTGGTTAGCGCCGCCCATCTGCTTAGCTAACCAAGGGCGTGGCAATATCATTTTGCACAATAATTACCGCTTTCCTCTATTAGTTGAAGGAGTAGCACACAGCACAGACCTGGACACTAAGCTTAATCCCTAACACAAGCTCTCCTAGCCATTTCGCTTCACAGTTAACGATGTAGGAAGCTCCCTCAAGGTCTCAACAGCGTGGAGAAGCTCCAAGGTCACCCAGATAGAGTACAGTGCTTGTTTCGGAAATGAGAACACCACTCATTGTCGCTCCCCCAAAATGGTCTATTATGATCTTTCGAAAATCAATGACCCATCGAATACTGAGTATAGAGTCCGGATTAAGCCAAGCTATAGTGGATGTCCAACCATTAATTGCCCAGCACATATATATCGATGTGAATCCACCTACTACCAGCCTAACGACAACTTTGCAACTAAGGCTTGCAATGTTGGTACAGATCTAAAGGTTACATTTTGTCCGCAGTCTAAATGACGTCGTGCTAGACCACGGTTAATACCGATCTTAGGTGCTGAGTTCAGATCGGTGTGTACCACCTAGAGGGAACGTAGGCAATGGGAAATATTCCGGCACCTTTAAATTTTGATCACACCTTTATCAGCCAGGTTCGAGCATCTTAAGCCTGGAGACAGGCTCAAGTAAATATTTACTGCATTTGACTCTGTTGGTGGTTATTACGTGTGGGTACTGTATAGAACGGAGAGAATTTAAAAAAAAACTGTTCCTCCTTCAGAAAGCATTTTTCTTTCCTAGTGTCCGATTCAAACTAATTTGCGAGGTGCTAAGATATAGTAAAAGAAATAATCATCATCATCTACAGTCATAGACGGAGATATATTAGTACTAGAGATATTCAGATTCGCTATGCGTTTGGAGAGAACCCCTTTACTATCATTCTTTGGCCGGTTCTTCGAAACGTCTTTGCAAGTCGATCTGATGTTGAATAGCGCTTCTCACTAAGCTATTCCCCGTCTAACTCGCGTCCTTCATGGAGCGGGTCGATAACCTGCTGTCTTGAAGCAGTTCGTTAACCACCTGTATGTGTCCTCGCCTAGCTGCCAGGAGCAACGGATGCTCAAAATGATTGTTCTCCAAGTTTAGATTGAGATTAAGGTGCTGTGATAGTGCCCTTACGATCTCTACGTTTCTATGGCGGGCCGCGATGCATAGGGCGGTATCTCTAATCAAGCAGGTACGCTCGTTGACCAACAGCTTTTCACCTTGACTCACGAGTAGCTAGACTGTCTTCAGCGTCCCAATCTCCACGGCTTGGCAAAGAGGTGGATCTCCGCCTCTCGCATTAAGGGCAATACCCGGGAAGTCGACGAGTAACTCCAACGCATCATTTCGCCCCAACTCCATAGCGAGTTCCAGAGGGGATTATCCTCCGGCTTTTTGATTCACATCAACCCCCGGCGTCTCTAGCTAGGCTTGTAGAATCGTTGTATCTAGCCTCAGTATGGCGTGGTGTAGAGCGGTCGAGGGCGTGTCGTACTTCCCGCGACCACCGATGAAGTTGATGTCCACACCTCCATGCCTAAGAAACCGTTTCGTAATCTCATCGTACTGTAAGCGTGATGCCATCCATAGCGGCGTGTTGCCGTTCTTGCTAAGGGAATTGGGATTGATACCGGGATGGGCCAAGAGAAGATCAACCAGTTCAGGGGAATTCATTCGCACGGCAAGATAGAGCGGTGTGTCACCGTTCCGATCATACCTTTGTAGATCATCTTCTCTTTCCCCGAGAAGTTATTTGATTGCATTGGGTGAGCCATGTGATATGGCTTGGTGTAGTGGTGGATCGTCGCTCTCCACAATTTGTTGCCGAAGGGCCACAGGAAGCAGAGGGTGCGATGTTATCAATTTCGCCATCGAATCCCGGTTTGCCTAGGTCGCTAAATCTCGTGAAGAGTGGCCGGCGTAGTTCTTGATATAAAGGTCGGCTCCGCGTAGCAATAGTATTCGTACAATACCAATTCGGCCCAGGAAGACCGCCAAGTGTAGCGCCGTTCCTGCTTAGCCATATTGCGTGTGAAGAGCAAGGCTAGATTAATGCAAGACCTTCTCCAATAGCCCCTTGGCGATACTAAATCTGGCGTATCTGACGACATACCACAAGGCGTCTTTCTGCTTGCTGTTCTGTAGGGAGGCATCCAACTTTGGGTGCTTATATAAGAGCTTGATCACAGCCCCTGACGAGTGCCTAACTGCTCTCATCAAAACAGTCTCTCCTCGAAAAAACGAATTCACATTAGCGCCGTGATCAATCAAGTCCCGGAATAGAATACAGTCGTTACGCTTTACTACTAGGTGGAGCAGGTTGCTGTTGCGATATTTGATATTCAACCTTAGGGTGAAGAGCCGCAACTTGGAGGAGAGTTGAACACAGGATCTTGTCAAGGAAGCTATGTCTTCTATATCTAAGTAGAACATAATCAACCCCATCAGCTTATTTGGTAAGTCCGGTAAATTTATCTAAAAAGTCTTAGTTCTTCCCGTTCCTCGATTTTCGGCGGCTAAGAGGAAAGCAGATAATACACACTATGGCTAGATTTAAACGCGATCGTACTAGGGATGCTTTGCTGGACACCTTCCAGTCAAGGGAGTTTTTATAGCAATTTTGTTCAAGAAAAATAGGATTAAATTAAAATTGAAAAGCACTGAAAGTAAATTTGTGCTCCTGGGAGCTTTAGGTCTCTGATCCAGGAGCCAAACTTGGGAAGGGTACAGGTGACATCACAGTTTCACTTTGCAAGTGGTACTCTCAAATCTGATCAGACGAGGCTTCCTTCTTGGGATGCTTCTGCCCTGCTCAGTATCCCGGCCGGATCTAGATGCCGGCCTTGAGCAGATTCTATCCACAGCTGACTTGACTCATTTCAAGCTAACATCTCCCCACTAGAATATACGTACCCCATGGACTCGCTCTTTCTTTTAACCCAAAGTACGGCTACATTATAACATGTAAAGATAGGTTCTCGTGTGAATCCGGATGATGGCGGTGCAGAATTAATGGCACGGGTCCATTATTCGACATTTCAAATAGATTTTTAAACAATATAAATCAATGCTACGTAAAATTCGTATTTCTTGTGCTTGCTCTTAGTTCTTTTACAGCCTCTTCTCTGGATGAGTTGTCTATATTGTAAAAATGCATTTTCATCTACTCCGTGGTAGATCCTTGGAGTCTTGTGAGGCCTCCCGCTCATCAGTCCCATCAATCTTCCTACTCATCCGCGACTGCCTTCTTTCCCAGTGGAAGAAGAGAATAAATGTAAGTCATTAGCTATGTGTTCATCGGTCTATCATAAAGTTGATGAAAAATTCCACTTGTTCAGGAGTCAACTGACCTATTTAGACATGCCACAACCCATGCCACGACAAGGGCATAGGTAATGTCTTGTAAACCTCTGCCAGTAAATTAAAAATCGGGCAAGTGTTGGATTTTCGCTAAGTACTTTTGCTTCTTCAGGCCGGAAGATGCGAGATCTATGGCAAGACCCTCTGCGCAAGGTATTTGTACATAGGAAATTCGCATAGTAGCTCCTTCGCACGATATTAATTGGTATACCCCTGCACCTTAAGGCACAACCCGCCCACGGGGAGCTTCAAGTATTTGGTCTATTCTGATTATAAAAAGGAATGAATTTGGAAAATTGAAAAATGACAGGCTGATGCTGCCTAACAAGCCAGAACTATTTCATCTTTAATCCGGGCGATTCACAACGCGAGAGATATAAAAAAGTCTACAGGCTATGCCACTAGAATTTGGGAAGGGCAGAGCAATCAATGGTTCGCTAAGAAAACAAACTAGAAAGCCGAGAAAATACCAGGCACGAAAGGCTGGGACTGTGCTAGTTCCCTGGAATCGAAAATGTTATCGGTGTGCTGAGATAATGATTGCCTGCGACGGGAAAATTACGTGTAATAAGGTGCAAAATACATCTACAGCAGCTATCATGTCGGATATAGTTGTCGAGGCCTTGCTTTCGGGTATTACGTGCAGTTAAAGCAGTGGTTTAAAGCAATATTCAATTCTGAAGGTTAATATAGACTGTATTAGCGGGGTATTAGCTATCTATTCTTAGTAAATTGTCTATGGAGATTTCCTGGTGGAGTCATAACAGGCCGCATAGTATGTAGTGAAGACTGTGTTAACACTTACGAGGAGAAACTAATAACTAGCACATACCAGTATTCGTCGTTTCGACCATTTATAAATCATGAAAGTATTATGTAGGTGCTATATCCAAAAGCCCTTCTATCATTTACGAAGCGTAAATTTGTAGGTGTCAGGGAAAGTTGCCTCCCGCAGGCTTTCAAATTTCCCTTCGGTTGATTATATCTCCGCTCGGAGATTCAATATGACATCATGGGCATTTTCAAGGATCGCCAGTCGACTCATCCGTTTAGACATTTTGTGTGGTGTCATGTCCGTATTATTCTGGGAGCCATGATCAGGAGTTAGGACATCCTCCAATCGTAGAAATTTGAGATCGATACTGTCACGATATCGCTTTTCTGCTATGTTGTGCGCTCTTCCTCGGCGTGTTGCCACACTAATAGATTCATTCTCCGGCCCAGACGTCGGATTCGGAAGACATCCAGATTGCGAAGTCGTGCTTTCAGTGCCGCTAGAGGGTTTAGAGGGCCGTGTTTGGTAAATTGGCTGTTCCGTAATATGTGAGTTTCTCGACGGGTTGGCCATTTCAATATTATTGCCATTTATACAGTCATGGCTGATATCAATGTTTTCGAAACTGTAAGTGCCAGGCGTAGAACAGGATTCGTTTTGGTAAGGGTGTGAGGCCTCATTATATTGAAATTCCCAAGTAGCATTCTTAGCTTAACCAGCCACGTGATTAGGACTGTACATATACGTACGAAGTAGACCTCGCCAGGCGCGGGTTTGGGTCGGGTTTTCAATTTCTTTACCCGCCCACGGGTAACCCACCGCGGGTTTTGGGCTTCGTGAACCCGCCCATGGGTTCTTGGCGGGTACCCGCCAAGTACCCAAATACCCAAAAATTTGGATAACGTAATTCCCGGCCGTGTCGGTCACCCGGCCGTCCCGGTCACCCTCTCCAAAATCGCGTCTTTCTACCAACCTACCTAATTCAACCACCTACCATGCCACCAATTCGCACTGAATCTAGCCATAAATTGGCCAATCAAGAGGGCAAGATCTTATTAGCCCTTTCCGATCTAAAAAATGGCCGCGTCAAATCTCTTCGTGCAGCGGCTATCCTATACGAAATCCCGAGGTCAACACTGACCGACCGCGCCAAAGGGGTGGTTTGCCGCGTCGATTCTCGCCCTACAGGCCATAAATTGACCCAATTAGAAGAGGATTCGCTTACTGAATGGATACTCTCTATGGATTCGCGCGGTGCATCCCCTAGACCGGCTACCGTAGGAGAAATGGCTAATATCCTACTGGCTACGCGTGGTAACCAGCCACTACCTACTATTGGAAAGAATTGGCCATCAACCTTCATTAACCGCCGTCCTGAGCTTCGTACACGCTTCTCGCGAAGATACGATTACCAAAGAGCCCTAAACGAAGATCCGAAATCGATTCGGCAGTGGTTCGCGACCGTACAAAGTGTGATTGACGAGAACGGTATACAACCAGAGGATATCTACAACTTTGATGAGACAGGCTTTGCAATGGGCCTTATATCTTCGCAGAAAGTAGTCACAAGAGCTGAATACTACGGTCGGAGATCTCTTCTACAACCGGGAAATCGTGAATGGGTCACTACGATCGAAGCAATCTGCGCAGATAGCTATTCACTTCCGCCATGCATAATCTTCAAAGGCAAAGTGGCTATTGCAGGATGGTTTAACGAAAACCTACCGAAAGACTGGCGAATCGAAGTCTTAAAGAATGGCTGGACTACCGATGAGATTGGTCTACGCTGGCTAGAAAAGCACTTTATCCCACACACGAATTCGCGTGTACGTGGGCGATTTCGACTATTGATTCTTGATGGCCATGGTAGCCATCTTACACCCTAATTCGACCGAATCTGCGCAGAAAACGATATTATACCGCTTTGTATGCCTGCGTATTCATCGCATTTACTACAGCCACTAGATGTTGGGTGTTTTGCAGTGCTAAAGCGCGCGTACGGTCGGTTCGTTAGCGATCTTGCGCGCAGAGGATATAACCATATCGACAAGCACGATTTCTTAGTGGATTACTAGCACGCGCGGCTAGAAGCCTTCCAATCAACCAATCCTACCATCAAAAACAGCTTCGCAGCTAGTGGTCTAGTACCATTAGATGCCGAGAGAGTGCTTAACAAGCTTAATATCTCTCTACGAACTCCGACACCACCAAGCAGCCGGCCAAGCAGCAGATCTAGCGAATTCACACCACAAACGCCTAGAACCGCTACTCAGCTATTCAAGCAAGCTTCTATGTTAAAAGATCTACTAAAACGGCGGTCAAATAGCCCTCCGAGCCCATCAAAAGAGATCCTAGACCAGATGATCAAGGGGTTCCAGCTAGCGCTACATAGCGGTGCTTTACTAGCAGAGGATAATACGAATCTACGCATGGCGAATGAGAAGATGATCAAAAAGCGCAATCGGTCAACTAAGAGGATACCCTGCACAGAGGGTTTAACCATCGAAGAGGCTATACAGCTAGCTGAGCAGCTAAACCAGCCAGAGGAAGATGATGGGGTAGTATTGCATGCACAGGACGAATTGCCTATTCAGGCAGATCCACCACGTACTAGGGCACCTCCTACGTGTAGTGGGTGTGGGGTAATTGGGCATAGGATCAATCAATGTAATAATCGTTAGTAATAGGAAATTCTATAAGTGTTGATGGAAATAATCGATTTTGAAATTCTAAACTATGGTAGGGTGACCGGGACGGCCGGGTGACCGACACGGCCGGGAATTACGTTAAATCGTGAATAAAACTGATTAGTCATCTTGTGTAATTTTGGTATTTTATTACTGTCACGCTTTTGAGTGAGTGTTACATTGAATAACGCTCACTAGTTGTAAGGAAATATATATTCTCTGCATGACTCGATTTACCTTATTATGCTCTTTGTGTGTCCTAGGCGACCCATAGCCGTATTGGTGAACTTATCACGATTTCATGGATTCCAAGCTTACTGTCCTATTTCAAAACATTAATTTTTAACTTGACGAACTAAATCAGCGATTGGCGATGTTTTCAATGTCTCCCAAAGTCGGGTGGGTTTTGGGTTGGGTCGGGTTTTGGGTACCCGCGGGTTCACGCGACTCAAGAATAGATAGATCCAAACGCACGACGCGACTCTAACAAAATCCACCTTCAAGCGCACAAGATGAAAAAAATTCAGTTTCAACTCTCATGGCATGAGCCATCAACATGTCGTCTTCTTCTTCCTTATCATCGCGATCAATGCATAAGGCTTTCAGCCCTCTCCTCTCCATTGAGCCATCGTCTGACGTTTTCTTGGACTCGGACATTCAGTCTTCTGTATGAGAACAGATCCCTTCTTCATGTGCCTGGCTATCGCGAGACTCCCCGCAGGGATACTAAGATAGCCTGTAGCCTTTCACTGAACCCCACGAGAACTGCGATATAACCTCTCGAAGACCTCTAGCGACGCTAAGACGTGTTGGACCTCAACGCAGAAAGAACTAGATTCTGTACGAGTCAAGCCTGGAGAGAGAATTTCTAGGATGGTGGGAGGATACTGAATATGGTCACAAGCTAAATGGGGACGGACAGTCCCAAATCAAGTGGTCTAACGAGTCGCGTCACGCCGACGTTTGGAAGTACTTTGACCAAGTAGCCGACATCGATTCTGGGCGCCCACGAGTCCTCTGCAAAGCCTGCCTTACTTTGCTTAATCATCCGTAGTACAAAAACCATGGGACAAGCGCCATGAGTAGACATCAAAAGTCTAATGCTTATCGTAAGGGAAAGAAGCGAGGATCTCATCAAACCCTGATCTCCGATTCGTTACAAAACAATTCTATGAGGGAGTCACTCAATGTGCGCAAGGTAACAACATTCCAACTTGAGGAGCAGTTATTGAAGACTATCACCTGTCTTCGGTTGCTATTTCAAACGGTAGAGAACCCTATATTCCAGAGACTACTGAACGTTGTATACTCTGGACCCGGGGTACTGGAACTTCCATTAGCGAAAACCCTACGAAGACGGCTCCGGGATGCGGTTACGGTTCGACAGGAGTCGTAGTTGCAAGATCTACCTAAAGATGCCAAGGTGTCACTTGCCTTGGATTGTTGGACTAGTCCAGTCCAGCAAGCATTTATAGCAATCATAGTCTATTTCCTTGACAAAGATTGGAATTACCGGGAAATGCTCCTCGGCTTTGAACCGTTACACAGTCCCCACACAGGGAGTAACCTTAGTGATGTTCTCCATTAGTTACTAAAGGAACGTAAACTCTTAGATCGCATCTTTAGCGTTACTATAGATAATACGACCAATAATGAGACTTTGATCCGAGCTTTGCAAGAGAAACTGATCTCTAGCGGCGCGATTGGCTCTAGGGAATCAATTGTCCGGGTTCCTTATATGGCCTATGTGATCCAGCTTTGCCTAAAATAGCTTTTGGGGCATATTAGAGCAGCGCCTAAGAACAAAGAAGTGAAGACCTTTTAGTCCGACACTTAAGCTATCGGTTTGAGAGACTTAGTAAATCATGGGGACGTGGCCCATGCTCTGGCGAAGGTGAGCCTACAGTGTCCACGAACGATTGTCACTACAGACAGAGTACTCACCAAGACAGATTCGATCTTTTGCGGTTTTTGTCAATGCAAGCCCTCAACGACGAGATGCATTTTTATGTCTTCAATCAGGCGGTACCCGGCTGTTTCCATTGTATGATGTTCAAACACGTTGGAATTCTATATTTTTGATGCTTCGCCGTGCTCGTTGACTAAGAAGTATTATCGACAAATACTACTACGATCATGACTACTCGTAGTTCAAGGTGACTGACGTTGAATGGCGACAGATTGACTACCTAGTCCACTTGACCAAACCGTTCTTTCAGTTCACTATGGCTCTGATGAAAACCAACGACGTTATAATCCATAGCGTGTTCCTCGTGTATAGGAAACTTCTAGAGTATATTGAACGATCGAATCGAAAATTGAAGAGAAAGACAACGCCTTGGAAGAAGGATATGCATACTGCGCTGCTTGCTGTGAGGCAGAAACTGAAAGAGTACTATGAGAAGACCTATCGTGACCACGGCTTTCTCTATGGCACGGGAACTTTACTTGCTCCGCAATATAAACTATCTGCCTTTGATGACAGAGAGTACTCTACTTGCCATGAGAAGACAACCCGCCCACGGGCCTGCTGACTAAGACCCAACCCAACCCACGGTTAGGGTTTTCGCGGGCGGGTTTGGGCGGTGGGCGGGTTTTGGCGAGGCCTAGTCCTGCCGTATACAAGATATCGCGCAAGAAATCCAGGGAGAAGACTGCTGAATCTCCTCATCTTCAACACAACCTCGTATAGTGGTGCGGGCCTCTGGTATCGCAGGTTCTTCTATCATGGCTGCCTGCTATATACACAACTCTTCAAGTTCCAATAGATCCTCAGGTATAACAACCCAGGGATGCAAGGCAGGGATTCCCAGAAGCAGAACAGCTTCCAGGGCCAACAGATGTGTTCCCAGGTGCATAGATGACGCCTCCAGGAACATGAGCCGGGGTCCTGGAAAGCGATTATGCGTTCCCAAAAGCTGTGTGCAAGTTCCTGGGTTCTACGTTGGCCCTAGAAACTAGCATCCATACTCGTTGGATCGATGGAGACTAGAACAAGAGCTCAGCAGCGACCAATCAGCAATGAGGCTGGTCATCATTCCCACAAATGGCCGACGATCATTATTCCCCGTGATCGATATGAGAAAAATCCGGCAAGAGATGACTACTGACTGGCTCTTCCAAATGCAGCGTTGCTTTATGGCAGCTTAGAAATTATAAGGAAGTATGTCTATGTGAAGCTTCTGCTGGGGCAGTCTAATAGAGGGGCCCATTCTTTGTCAACGTGGTTCAGATTGAAATTCATATCGAACATATTGCTATTTCTTCCCAAAGCTGGATGGTTGACCTCGAAGCACTATTCCGAACTTCTAGGGGACTATCTCCGCCACGCAATGTTCCCCAACAGAACTTGAGCCATTTTATTTCTCCCACACCTAGAAACTCAATCTCGCACCAGAAGACAGTTCGAAAACTAAAGTGCCACAACGCAAATCATGGTCACGATGAATACCATAGATCCGTACCTGACCATTACCTCCATGGTACATCATACTGTAGTATGGAAAGTGGCCAGCGCTATGGTCAAACTCTGCAAACAATGTCTGGCAGCCATGGACGCCATTGTCAATGTCCCCCACTTCCCAAAGGGAGAGGACAGCCAAGCTTTGGACAAGCTAAATACAACTAAAGTAAAGTCGTGCTCCGCTGTTCTCTCATAGGAATCTCGGAGCCACAATGATCATGCTCTCATGGACGTTTATCTTCAGAATTTCGAACATGATGTGTAGCATGGTGTCATTTGATATTGTAATGCTGGATCTCGCCTGGCCCTGCAGAATAACCGCAAAGTGCCCCAGAGTATCTCGGAAGTACGGCATCGTAACACGGCCTAGCAGTCTACTATAAGTCTCTCAATGGATCTTGCACCTACACAAATCTTAATCAATTCAAATGCTCTTATGAATACTAGTCCGTACGGAGATTCCTCTGCTTGTCATATAGTCCCAAGGCTGGTATCAAGGTATTACCACTGTCCTTGATTCCAGTACCCCACCGGATGGGTTCTCTCAAACCAACTGTCGCGAGGTGAAGGGGGCCGGTTTTTCTCCGCTTCTTCCCACATTCTTTTTCTTTCTGCCTTCCACTTTTCCCAATCGCGTCGAACACCCACGTACTCAAAAAGATCAGGAGCATCGGCAGGCGGCTCCTTGTTCTCAAATGTCAGCTCTTTAGGGAGACTCATCTTGATGCAATCCCTGCTGAAGAACTTGATTCGCACATCATGCGGGCCACTCGGGACAGGTGATATTATGAAATCCGACCCACTGAATTCCTCGGGTGGATCAAACGGTTCAAACTGGACGCCGTTGCTTGCGTTGATATAGATATGTCCGTGCATCCTCTTCGGGTCAAAATCCGGGGGTGGATTGGAACCAAAGTTATCCTCCACTGATAGGTGGTAAAATTCAACATATCCTGGTCCCAATCCATTGTAGAAATACTTAGGTTGATCTCGGCAATGAATGATATAAGTGGTGGCATGAAGGGATAGCATGGAGGTCAGTTTATCCTCCTTTGGGGCGTCAATGAAAGAACGGTATGCCTGGTTGACCTGGCTTTCTATTTCACTTTCGGACTGAATCATGAAGAGTATATCTTGTCGTTCCCGTTCAAGCTCCCTTTTTCGTTCTTCGCGTATTTCTTTGAATTCATAGTAAACGTCGGCCAAAGAATCAGCATGTGACCTCTCAGATGTACTGTCGTCTTTGTCATCGTCTTCCTCTTCGTCGTCTTCTTTGTCTTCGTCTTCGTCGCTTTCCTTGTCGCTATCCTCAAGTTTCCTTCTTTTCTTCGTTGGCTGCTCTTCTTCGCCCGCTGTTCGCTCTGACGCTAAATCAGAAAGGTCTTCATCAAATTCGTAGCCAGAGGGTGAACGGTCGCTAAGGACACAAGGACCAAGGACGCGAAAGAACCACGGAGGATAAGGGTTCTCCTCTTTCTTAGGCGCGTTTTTAACCATTCCCCTGAGCCATAAAGCGCCAATCTTCCAGAGCCGTATCTCTGATTCAAGAAGCTTAGATCGTCGTTTGTTCGGGATGATCGTACTTGCGTGTACACCTAATTCCGTGTATTGCCTTGTCCGTACGGCATCTTGCCCACGCGAACTCGCGAAACGAGGGGCAAACGACCTCGGACCTCGGACAAACTATTACTCCAAGCAACTTAGCCACACCGCTAACCGCCTCAACGAGCTAGGGCGGACTAGTCCGCCGGGGGCAAATGCGGAAAAGGGGGCCACGGGCCACTAGGCCCGTACTTTCATCCTTACAGTAGTTAGTTAACGTAATTCCTGCATGAGCGCGACACCCCAAACACCATACTAAATGCAATATTTCACAACTTCAAATTTCAACGCTTAAGGCTGATTCTACGATCTTATGGTACCTTGTATTAAATATATCCTACTAGATATTTTTATAGGCTCGAGAAATATTTTAGGGTGTAATAATATCCACTATATATAACTGTTTTGCTATATGAATTCGACGTGTTCATATCTATATAACACTATCAGTCGTGCCGTTCGATCGCTCATATTACCTAGATGAGGAGGATGAACCTGGCTGTGATAAAAGTACTAGGATTTAAGCGAACGGGCTGAGGAAACGCGTGTTATGATTTACCTACTAGCGTGTTCTGGCGCGTTATAAATAAGGCGGTGTAGAGTAGACTCTGACTTTCGGGCACCATGACCCCTTCCTTGCCTAGTTGTCGAGCTTCTTTAGGAGGCATCTAACACGTAGGCATAACGATAGAGAAGACATAAGCGGCAGATAATTTTTACTCTCGTGCTATTTGGAATTATTGTTCTACATATCCATACAAGGGCACATATGGTGTAGTTTTTAAACCACCTTGGTGTTAAAACCACATGGGTATTATGAACTACAGTCATTGTCGGAACATATCCTCCCGTCAGAATAAGCAGAGACATGTCATACCTAAATCTGCTAAGCTGCGGCTCCCGCTGCGTAAATTCAGGGGCATTGGACCTGGAAGATACATCTATCTACATCAATCAATTTACATTCTGCTTTTGGAACATACACGCTGTCCACTTAACTGTGTACACAGGACCTAGCTGGTGATACCAACAGTCATTAGAACCCAGTGGTATTAAAACCACGATCCAATTTTGGCCAGTCATCTTTTTTCGACTGCCAGTCAGAGTTCTATTTTTAATGCACCCATTTGGTTGAGATACCCACTGGGTTGATTGTCCCTCTCATTGGGAGGTCCATCGTCAAACTAGTTAAATGCTATCGGATGCCTTACGTAACTATGTGGCAATCCATTGGAATCAATGTGTCCGTATCAATTCCCATCGGAGGGCTCTTCCATCAAACCTGTGGCGGTTATAACTGGCCGGCTGGCTAAATGGCCCATAGCCCTTGGTTACATCATTGCTCAATAGTTCTGAGAGCAACAAGGAAGTAGTAGCTACTATCGAATCAATTGACTATATATTCTCCTTAGAAAACTGACCGGTTAAGTGTTATGAGCGCACCTATAGGCTTCCTCCAATGCATAGTATACGTGGTCAATCTATGACAATCTATGAAGAACTATGGTTTCAAACGATGTTCGGAGGCACATCTAGTCTGGCTCCTATGCTTCCAGTACCAAGTGCAGGGGAAGACTGACGATTTAATGAGCATAAATTTCCACCGTAAGTATCCTACGTATGCCTCAGGCCTAGGACTGAAGAACTTCCCGACTGTCAACCTTGAGACTCAGATCATGCAGCATCTTACACAAAATCTCCTTCAAACACCAGATCTGGTGGAAGAGTCAAACGGGTTTCTTGATTCAGATTGTCTAGGCTCTTGTGGCTCTGAGAGTAGCCTGACTTACGACAACCAACAACTTTTGATCACGAGCTGCAAAATTGTGGGCCTGGATTCACGAACTTGTTGAATAACGAGGTTCTTCCTTTCCTTTGGAACAATGTGAGTTGCATTTAGCATCTATTACTTTTCACTATCGAGCTGAGAACGATATCAAGGACATGACATATGATGAATGTGCAGTCATACTAAAACACCCTTGGTACTCTTCAACTGCACTGCCGAATATTGAAGTCCCAGAACCGTCTGATAGCTCTATTTGTAGACACAGTAGCGTGCAAGCATACCAAGAGCCACACATCGTGCCCTCAAATCTTATCCACTACTCAACTCTTCCTTTGAAAGAACGACGCAATCCGGAGCCCAGAACCGAAATCAGGCATCAATTGCAAAGTAATGACTCCAAGACAAAAGATTGCACACAGTCAGAGTGAAAGGCGGTACCGCCGGAATCTCGACGCCGAGTTCTTACAATTAGAAGATGTAGTGAGTCGGGACCATGGCGAAAACACGAAGGATTGCCCTATGGCATCCAAAAGGTTGCGGAGAGTGCAATTACTAGGGATGGCTCGTCTGATTATCTTGGAACTTCAAAAGAAGTCATGTATTCGAAGAGGGAGCTTCGGATTCTACGTGAGGCTACTATGTCTGAGACCTGCAGATTAACGATGGATGGTGAGGTTATTGGACTTTAGGGCCAAGATTTGTTTGATCTGTGCTTGTGCTTTTGCTGGCGCAGCTAACTGGCTCATCTACACATAGGACCATCATGCCATATCCCATATCATCTAATATTTCGAAATATTGAAGAACCAAGGCGGTGATCCAAAAGAATTCAACGCTTATCATAACGGTTGGCCATGTCTTCATTATGGCGTTTAACACCATTTGATTTGGATTTCGGGCCCAATTCGCCACTCTCAGTATTGGGACCTTCACGGTGCATTTTGAGGCTGTAATATTCATCATTTTCTTTAGCTCCGTTCCTTGCTGTGGATTTTGGGAGTTCTAAAATATTAGGCATTTTGTCAGCAAATATAATTAATACCAACATATGAAATCCATGATGCAATAACTAAGAAGTAGAGCCAGGTGTAATATTACCTTTGTCCTCTGAACGGTCCTCATTTGGATTGCTGTCCGGCGGACTCTCGGCATCGTCATCGCGAGCCTCTGCCTTGTTCGCCAGACCCTTGGGCTTGTCTTGAATAAAAATCGCGATGCCTGCCGGGCGGGCCATATTATATTGACAGTAGCGACAAATCAAGAAAGTTGTTCGCATGCCTCGTTTAAGACTCATTTTGTTTAGGCTCTGCATTGTGACAATATAGACAACAGTATTTTCCTACCTCTGAAGTGAAAAGAATAATCGTTTTAAAAGGCCGGAACTTGGCCTTCGCTGTGGCAAAATTTGGGTCTAGTAGCTTGCGTATTACGTTAATCATGTGATGTCCTAATACACATAAGATTTCACCACCCCATCCAAACCAAGGCACGGCTATCCTTAGCTTCTGTCGCCACTCATATAGCTCTAGATCAACTCTCCAAAATATACGTCATGAGCGGGCGTAGGTTTATATAATGTATTCAATACCTCTTCATGATGCCCATTATACATGTCTAGAACACGACACGGGCTGTTTGTGCTAAAGCAGGCAAGTTGATCATCCTAGCTTACCATGATGAGAACAAAAAGCCTAGAGAAACAACTCTTGCGGGTGAGAAAACAGCCAACAATGTCCAGAGAGCTACGGTACTAGCTACTAAAATAAAAGTTCATGTCATCTAAGGATGAAGTATTGGAGGATGAAGTATTGGTTTCAGAAGTCTTCCGTAAGTGTGAAGTAGACTACGAATTTAGAAAACCAAATCAGCGGCGTTAAAGGTTATTTGATAGACATACGAGGATACCGTAGAGGATTTGATATAAATTTCATCTTTTCCCCTAGTAGTACAGAGAAATTTCGAGTGCTAAGGTAGCGATATGCACTTAATCAAGCCGATCCAGGCCTATTCTCGGCTATCTGAATAAACGTGCCAAGATCTTGAGTAGAAACCTTCCAGGAATCAAGCATCAAACGAAAGAGATTCAACGGCGAGTAGTGCTCTGAGAAATAACTCACGGTCTACGAGAAAACTTTATTGAAGGCGACAATGACCTCCATCATTTGGGCTTCTAGGTCATTGCTTAATTTGCCTTCATCTTCGATCCTGGAGAGCAGCTCTGGCTTGTTGTGTCTGCAGTGGGCGAGAAACTCAGCTTCCCAATCCATAATCCTGTTAACAGGTATATTATCAAGAAGACCATTAATACCAGCATAGATCAAGGGTACCATCTCATTGACAGGCATAGGAGCGTACTGTTTTTGTTTTAAAAGCTCCATCAGACGCTCTCCACGTCGAAGAGTTTGTTTCGTGGCGGCATCCAGATCCGAGCCTAGCTGAGAAAAGGCCGCAACTTCGCGATATTGGGCTAAAAATAGCTTGAGGGAACTGGCAACTTGTTTCATGGATTTGAGTTGCGCGGCAGAGCCAACACGAGACACGGAAAGTCCAACATTGACCGCGGGACGGATGCCCTTATAGAAGAGTTCGGATTCCAAAAATATCTGCCCGTCTGTTATGGAGATCACATTGGTAGGGATGTACGCAGAAACATCACCGCCCTGAGTCTCAACGATAGGAAGGGCGGTAAGAGAGCCGCCACCATGCTTGTCGTTCAATTTTGCTGCACGCTCCAAAAGACGTGAATGGAGGTAGAAAACATCTCCAGGGTAAGCCTCACGGCCAGGGGGCCGGCGAAGCAACAGCGACATTTGACGGTAGGCCACTGCATGCTTTGATAGATCATCATACACAATAATAGCATGTCTGCCGCTGTCTCGAAACCACTCCCCCAGAGCACAGCCAGCAAAGGGAGCAAGGTATTGTAGAGGAGCAGCTTCCGAGGCCGTAGCTGCGACAATGATCGAGTATTTCATGGCATCATTTTCTTCAAGAGTCTTGACAAGCTGGGCCACAGTAGAGCGTTTCTGGCCGATAGCGACGTAAATACAGTACAGCCTGTTGGATTCAGCGGAGGAGCTATTCCACCTTCTCTGATTTAGGATGGTGTCTAGAGTGATGGCCGTCTTCCCAGTTTGACGGTCCCCAATGACCAGCTCACGCTGACCACGGCCAATTGGCACCATAGAATCAATTGCTTTTATACCAGTCTGAACAGGTTGATTGACGGAATGTCGAGGTAAAATCCCAGGAGCCTTGAGCTGAGCCCGCCGCTTCTCGGTAGTTTTGATGGGCCCTTTGCCATCGATTGGACTTCCGAGTGCGTCAACCACTCGTCCCAGCATCTCAAGGCCGACGGGAATATCAACAATCTCGCCAGTCCGCTTGACAGTATCTTCCTGTTTAACAAGGCGATCCGAACCGAAGAGCACGATACCGACACGAGCAGCTTCCAGGTTCATGCACATACCCTTCACACCGGACGGAAATTCGACCAGCTCTTCAGCTTGGATATTGGTTAATCCACGGGCGCGAACGATACCATCACCAACAGACAAAACTCGGCCTGTCTCTGTTAACTTAGTATCCTCCTCAATGCCGTGTATTCGGCGTTCCAACGTTGAAGAGACTTCATTGGACCCAGCCTTGGCGTTAATAGCATATGAACGAAATTGCTTGTGAAATTTCGTCCAATCTGGTGTTGAGCCATAGAATGACCTGCTGATCTTACAGACAGAAGCACAATCGACGGTGCGATGAAATAGCCGCGAGGTGGGGTTGGGCATATCGAGCAAAATTCCACAATGTTAATGATAAGACCTCGCAGAAGTCGGAGAAAAGAGGAGGTTAACGGATCCCTAAATTATGACGTAACTATGAATTTTGACTGAGAATTAACTTTCTAGTCAACTAACCTGTCTATTTTCCGACATACTTTGTCTTGAGTCCGTCCAGCCTTTGTTAGCAGTGGGGTAAGCTATGGTAGAATTGTCTGCGATTATGACTGCACACACATATTGTGCACTAGTATGCGGGTAGTGACGTATAACTAGCAGAGTCATATGACTGACTGCCATAGTTAATTAGTTAAATTGGTCTTAATCCGCGGGTCCAGAGGTTCCTTAACGTGCACACTATTGCTACAACCAATGAATTCGCCTGGCCCCCGCAAGGGTGACGTAATGGTCACTCCGACATATCTCCAACGGTATTTGGACAATAAATCTCAGTATAAGTTATCATACGATATTCTGACGGTATCCAGTACCTAAGAAGGATTCTACGATGTCATCCAAAGTGGATTATCCAGAACTTGAAAATGGACGGCATGGCTCAGTGTTCTCTGTTTCAGGACCTGTCATCATCGCGGAGAACATGAGAGGCTGTTGTATGTACGAACTTGTGAGTATAACGGGGCTAGTTTGAGCATAATTTTCCTGATTGCTCTTTCTCTAGTGCCGAATAGGGTACGACCAATTAGTAGGAGAGGTCATCAGAATAGAGAGAGACAGGATTACTATACAAACCTTCGAGGAAACAAGTACGTGTTGCAAAGTTTTGCTCAGCAACACCCGCTAATACGGCCAAAAATCGCAGGTGGTATAGCAGTCGGCGATCCTGTCACTGGCACAGGACAGCCCCTGGCTGTCGAACTTGGACCTGGATTGATGGGCACAATCTACGACGGAATCCAAAGACTGTTGGAAGCTATATCGTCCCTGGCAAAAACCATCTACATCCCATGTGGCATTGATGCCCCGTCACTCAACCGTGAAAAATCTTGGAATTTCAAGCCGGGAACTTTCAGAGTGGGAGATCACATCACAGGTGGCGATATCTGGGGAAGTGTTATCGAGAATAATTTACTTGATGACCACAAAATCATGCTTCCGCCGCGTGCGAGGGGACAGATTACCCGAATAGCAGAGGCGGGTAGCTATACAGTCACAGAGAAGCTTTTGGCAGTCAAGTTTAACGGGAAAACCACCGAGTATAGCATGATGCACGTTTGGCCGGTGCGTGTTTCTCGGCCAGTTGCTGAGAGATTGCGCTGCGATGCCCCGTTACTCACTGGACAGAGGACCCTAGATGCTCTCTTCCCATGTGCCCAGGGCGGTACAGTATGTATCCCTGGTGCGTTCGGAAGTGGCAAGACCGTCATCAGCCAAAGCATTTCCAAATTCTCGAATAGTGATATTGTCGTATACGTTGGCTGTGGGGAGCGTGGTAATGAAATGGCTGAGGTCTTGATGGAGTTTTCTATGGTATGTTGGCGATCCGGCACGGACGTTGATTTTAAGGATCTAATTTGAAACCCAGCGGTCAATAAAGCTTGAGGGGAAATCAGAGCCTATACTGAAGCGAACTTGTCTCATCGCCAACACCTCTAACATGCCTGTCGCCGCTCGTGAAGCTTCAATCTACACTGCTATCACTATCTCGGAGTATTTCCGTGATCAAGGAAAAAACGTAACGTTGATGGCCGATTCTACCTCTCGTTGGGCTGAAGCCTTACGTGAAATATCTGGTCGCCTAGGTGAAATGCCTGCGGATCAAGGGTTCCCTGCGTATCTAGGATCCAAGCTGGCTTCGTTCTATGAACGTGCTGGACGGATCGTGGCTCATGGCAGCCCGAAAAGAAAGGGTAGCGTCAGCATTATCGGTGTAGTGAGCCCTCCTGGTGGAGACTTTTCAGACCCCGTGACCAGCAGTACTCTTGGTATTGTTCAGGTGTTTTGGGGCCTTGACAAAAAGCTAGCACAGAGAAAGCACTTTCCGTCCGTCAACATCTCTTTATCTTACAGCAAATACCTAGCAGTATTGGATGAATACTACGAGAAAGAACACCCTGGCTTTCCACAGCTGAGGGAAAGGATAAAAGAGCTTCTATATTCCTCTGACAACTTGAAACAGCTAATACAGCTGGTCGGCAAGGCTGCACTAGATGACCACGACATGGTAACACTTGATGTGGCTTCTCTGGTTGAAGAAGATTTTCTACAGCAGAATGGATATAGTGAGTATGACGAGTTTTGCCCTTTATGGAAAACTGAGTATATGATGAAAGCTTTTATGCGTTTCCATGATGAGAGCCAACGAGTTATATCTGAGGGTCATAACTGGGCAAAAATCAAACAACTCACCGGTGGGATTTTAAGCACACTCCGAAATATGAAGTTTGAGATGCCTGATGTTGAGGACACGGTTTCATTCAAGGTAGGGAGCGCCCAAGGTTGCTTTATTAATTTAGCCTGACACCTTGACAGTACGATAATTTCCTGCGAAAAATGTCAGAAAGGTTTGTCTCCATTTCCAACCAGTGATAGTGCCCACAGAGAAATGGACGCCGATACCTAATTTCCTGATATTTCAATATATGTTGCAAATCCACGGATTCACCAATTCATTTACTTCATTATAAGTTCAATCGAGCCTTACCAACCAACACTAGACAAATTCACCGAAACGAAAGCCCGCTGCCTTTAGGAAACAGCGTTGACACGGACATCAGCTAGCTAAATAGACTTCCGGCTACTTTTGAAAACAGTATTGTGCATGAGGTTGAAGCTCTTTGATCAAAGCAGCTTGAACATGACCACCATAATCAATAGATGAAACGATAATTAGTCACCAACCAAATTGATATCCGTAATCTGCTTTCTTAGAGGTCTTAATGAATACCTCGTGGTCCCTGGGATTCGTTTTTGATTCCTTGTCGCTCAGAATTCTGTATGCGAACTGATGGTTAGGGCTTGTCTTCAAGAACATGGCATTAAGTCTTGGTATCGGCATCGGTAATGAATATGGATAATGATTTGCGATACAAACGAGAAATCAGTACTTACGAAACTCTCCTGGATTTCTCCTTTCTGCAAAATGTGAAATATGACCTCTCGGTCATTGGATGTTCCGAACTCGTGCTCAAGAGTATCCCTGCTGGCTTCATTATGCATCCCTTGAGGTCCATGTCTGCAAGGTCGCAAGGTTCCATTAGCACATAGCCTTGTGTGCGCGTAAAAGGCATTCATTACTAGGCTGACAGATATTCCCTGGACTCGGGTAAAGCATGTGGATAAATGAAAACAGGCACCTACTGGTGTGAAGTAAATATCTTCCACCCATCCATCACCTGCGCAAGTGGGAGTGTATGATCTTTCTTCCAGTTCTGCACCGCGGTAATGTCCCCAACGAAAATAACGAAGTCTTCGGTCTGGCCCTTATAATAGACCTTGGACTGCCTTGTATTCCCTCGGGTCATTCTGAATGGTGGTAGTGCAGATTTGTATCCGCTATATCAGATAGTTGTTGTGACAAGATAAGTAGCGTGGAAAGATAGCAAAGACAACATTCATGCAACATCCTCAGAATGCGGCGAAAACAATAATCAAGAAACACAGGGGTGGCAATATCGGCAGTTTTCGATAAGCCCCGTTGTCATGATGATGCAAGGGAACCGAGAGCCACAAGGTTGATACGGGGATCCCGGTCGATCTCGACCGGGTTGCGTACGATGCCCGTCTCAGGAGTTGATGGGCCGGAGACATCGGGACAATTTTGAGCGTAGTATGCTTGCTGTAAGGTATGTCCTACTTAGAATCAAGTTATGGAGACTGAGATCGTGAGAAGGTTTTGGACTAGATACCGCAACTTATACGGATGTCAGCAAGTAAGGGTTTCTAGGGACATGTTACTGTATCTTAGGTTGGTACTAAGATTAATTTCACCTCTAGCTTAAATGAGATTATTTCGAAACATCTTTCACCGGTCGGACTCAATGAATTCCATCAAAATCTTGAGAAGGCCAAAAACCACAGAATCTTCATTTGCAATCACAATTCATTTCAGCAAATTCGGCCAATAATAGTGATGTAGTATCCATGATTTACCAAGATACCTCGCAGGTGTGACCGTTGAAAAGTAAGTGACGATTTGAACACTGTTTTTTGAGCATAGTTAGTGGCGCTTAATGTAGTGATGAAACAAGAATATGTATAACTTTTTATCAACAGCTTTAGACTACAGCATGAGATAAGCTAAAGCTTTCAGAATTAGCCTTAGATAGCGCACCCTCTAACTGTTGAAAACGAACAGAAAAGTAAATATTGTCAGTCGAGCAAAAGTAAGTACATAGTCTCAAACTTTTGCACTGCCACTGTATAATTGTCAGAGTAGTTGAATTGGCCATTGAGTAATTTCTATCACCTGCCCAGATGCACCACGTCATAGGCTACCGCACGTGGATCTGTATCCCTCTTTTCCACCTCTCTTTTCCACCCCTCTCATTTCCAACCCCCAAATACTACTCGCAACTATGGTTTTTCTCTCTCGTGTCGAACAGGACGACGAGGTCTTCGACCTATCTACCCAGAAGATTGGTTCCATCGAGAGTGGGTCTGATAAAAATGACTATACTAATGTTTACGGTAGCCATTTCGCCACTGATCATCTTCCCTTACATGAGATGCCAGAGCGTGAGATGCCGCGCGAGATCGCTTCTCGCATGGTCACGGAGGAACTAAGCCTCGATGCCAACCCCAGACTCAAGTGTGCTGCTCTCTTGCTTAATTTCCTGGCAGCATATACTAACATCTGCCCAGCCTAGCTAGTTTTGTCACGACTTACATGGTATGTGAAGAAGGCAAGAGATCACCCACCGTCCGCTAAATGAAACAAATATAGGAAAAAGAGATTGAGTCAATTATGACCGACTCATTTGGGAAGAATTTCATTGACTAAGAGGGATATCCCCACACCGCCGAGATTCACAACCGTTGTGTCAACATGATCGGGCGCCCATTCAATTGCCCGACTGATGCCAAAGGCGAGAACGCCATGGGCACGTCGACGGTTGGATCCTCCGAAGCCATTATGCTGGGTACGCTCGCCATGAAGAAGCGCTGGCAGAACAGGCGCAAGGCCGAGAACAAGGATTTCTCCCATCCCAACATCATTATGAACAGCGCCGTCCAGGTTTGTTGGGAGAAGGCTGCCCGGTATTTCGATGTTGAAGAGAAATATGTCTACTGCTCTGAAAGTCGCTACGTGATCGACCCTAAGCAGGCGGTCGATCTAGTGGATGAGAACACGATCGGCATCTGCGCCATCATCGGCACCACCTACACCGGCGAGTACGAGGACGTCAAGGCTATTAACGACCTGCTGATCCAAAATGGTATTGATTGCCCTATCCACGTTGACGCAGCCAGTGGCGGCTTTGTCGCCCCGTTCACCTGGCCGGATCTAGAATGGGACTTCCGCCTTGAGAAGGTAGTTTCTATTAACGTCTCTGGCCACAAGTATGGCCTAGTATACCCTGGTGTTGGTTGGGTCATCTGGCGCTCCCCTCAGTACCTTCCCCAAGAATTGCTATTTAACGTCAACTACCCAGGCGTCGATCAAGCTAGTTTCACCCTTAACTTTTCTAAAGGTGCCTCTCAGGTCATCGGCCAGTACTATCAGTTGATCCGGCTGGGTAAACACGGCTACCGGTCAATTATGATTAATCTCACTCGCATTGCCGATTATATGGCGGGTGAGCTGCGGAAGATGGGTATGATTCTCATCAACCAGACTAAGGGCCGTGGCTTACCACTGGTGGCATTTCGTCTGCCCCCAAAACCCGACCGCTTGTACGACGAGTTCTCTCTAGCACACAAATTGCGAGAGTACGGTTGGGTCGTTCCTGCGTACACTATGGCACCCCACAGCAATGAAATGCAACTAATGCGCGCCGTCATTCGCGAGGACTTCAGTATGAACCTCTGTGACAGCTTGCTGCAGGATATCAAAATGGCCCTACTGATTCTGGAAGGCATGGATCAGGCTATGATAACCAATTACAAAGCGTAAGTCGGCCTTTCCTTCGCTTCCGGCCCTTCTGACATTCTTCAGGAATATACGGAGCCAGCGCGCCCACGCACAGCACCAGGAGCGAACTCTTCCTTTCTACCAAAAAGAGAGACACTCGCTGCAGGGCAAGAGCGGCAAGACATACGGGGTGTGTTGATTGTTCAAACACCCTGATACCGTCTTGAACAGATTACTAGTTCGTTACGAATTATTTCAAGTGGGCACGTTAAAACATAGACAAGTCGTTGATGGATCGCAGGATCTCCGTACGCCCTAGTACTGAAAGAACCAAGTTCATATGATTGACTGAAGAGCTATATAGGCAATCGATGTTGAGAGCGTCTTTAGCCTAAGAGGCTATTGTTGGCATGTTGCGATTTGGGTAGTTCAACTTGACCCGATTTACCATACAAAACACTAGGGAGATTGCATATTTGTCAGAGCAAGCTAAAACAGTATTGACTAGTATGCATTACGTGGAGAAATCTTGCAAAGAAAACGAATTAGTAGAGATTGAAATAACTGAATTGATTGAGGAAGTAAAGGAGTGGAAGGCGAGAGGGTATGTTAAATACCCCCAGAGGGCATTTACTAGATGCCGTTGTACCCGCGAGATACTCGACAGTTTTAGCGCAGGATCACAAGGTTACTTGCTGAAAAGCATGAAGTTACATACAAAATGCAAGAAAGATATGGAGGCGGAACAACCGAAACGAGTTAGCCGCAAGTATCGGCTCCATTTCCTTGACAATGTTCAATCGTCCCATCCTTAGCGGTAAAATATCCCTGCTCAGTTCGACAGCAATTAGCGCCTCTAAAATGCTTGGCCGCACGACGTGAACAATTTTCTTCAGTATTCCCTGGCCCACCATGTTTCCACCACCACAATCCGGTCCCCCAACCCCAAACAGTCCGAGGCCCTTGGACGTGATATGGGCGACTTGGGCGAGTGACAATCCATGATCGACCGGGATCTAAATCTCTGCGAGAACTTAAATGCCGAAGCATCTGATCACCTCTAAGCTCGCGAAATGATCGCTCAGATATCGCATCTATCCCCGGTTTCCTTGCTGTTTCGCACCTCTGCAGCCAATCAGGCATATTGACAGCGGCAGAGTCTATGTGGGAGATAGCTTGTGTCGCGAAGCATAATGCCAGATATGCAGATACGGCATCGATCGTTCCTCTTCCGATAGCCAGCAAGTGCGGTGCTTATGGTAGATCCTAAAATGCGGAAGAAATAGCGGCGATCTAGAAGCTAGTGGGTACATTTTCTAATATCCAAAATTATGTTCATCTTCTCGCCCCGACATCAGCTAGCACACAACTGACTTCGCTGAGCATCTTATCCAATCACAGTGGATCTCAGTCATTGCTTTGAAGGCCGAGCCCTCACAGTTTTAGTATAGTCCTCGAAGTTGTATGCTGTCCGACTTTGAATTCTCCATTTTCATCTCCATGGTGGCTAGTCGACTAAGGATGTTCACAATATTTCTACGAACTATTTTCGTTCCAGCTGTCTCAGTTCTTCATGAAATTCTCTACGAACTTGGATTGAAAGTATGGAGCCGGCAGATAGACCTATTAACTGGTAATAGAGAGGTTCATTTGAGCCAGACGTATACTGAAGGTATGTGTATGAAGGGAGATCTGATAAGAGACCTCCCTTGCACAATTATAGTGCGTTACAGCACTATGCTTCCGACTTTCCCCGGGTTACCATGTTGAGCTGCGCAGGCGCTTGCCTGAGCAAGCCAAAATAGCATGAACTAGTACGCATCGGTGGCGAATGAGACCAAGGGGAACCGAATCAGCAGAAAGGAGTTGATTGAATGAAGATCATCAGCATGTGTTTTGAGTGCAGCAGGTTGAAATACTCTCGGTGATACTCGATGCTTACAAAACCAGGGTTACGAACTTGACCGTATAAACTATACAAATGAGTAGCCAATATCTTGCTGTAGTAAGCTAGTTACCACTCCATGCGCTGACAAATTCACTTGGTGGAGCCTGACCCGCGCTTTGGCGAGGACTAGATTAGACGTCCCCGTATGACGGCATCATTCTGCCCCATGAAGTCATTGAATCTGTAACGCCAATAAAAGGACAGGCACAGCTTCGGAGTTTTCTTGAGCCTTTATAAGTTGTAAGGTCACCAGGCATCTTGTTTCCAGTGCTTTCGGGGGCCTGACAACCGGCATCTAGTTTCGATCGAATTCATAGCTTATATCTCTTGACTCAGTGATGCTTCGATCAGTGCGGCAGCTTTCCCTGCGAACTGGCTTCCTACTAGCTGACCGGCCATTTTCGGTTATGTCAACTCCGAGGAAAGACAGCGATACAGGAGCTCCTCGACCTACAGGATCCCTGGATCTGTACGTCATTGTTTCCTAGGTTCCATCTGATTCCCATTGTTTGTTTTCTGTTTCTTGTGCAAATAGGAACCAGGTAACAATCTGTAATACTGAAACAAAACTAACACATCTAGACGGGATGAATTTAGCCAACATGGGGCTGCCCAAGAAGCCCTTTACGTCCACAGGCATGAAATGGAAAAGTAATGAAAAGACCCCAAATATTGTGGATATTTTTGAACCCTGGTTAACTTCTTTCCCCCTTCCTTTCTTTGGCAGGGTGAAACTAATCAAAGAGAAATTGAAAATTCTGCAACCTCATCTCGAGGAACTGACGAAACATATGTGTGTGCTCTTTCTGCGTCGAGAGACATGTTCAATTGGCTAATAGTTCATCTCCGGCTGCCTCTCTAGTCACGACATGACCAATGACCAGGAAGGAAAGAAAGACTAGCTAAATCTGCTTTCCAAAAATCAGAACTCAAGTCGACGACTATCTCCTTATTCATGGGAGTACAAGCAAGACTATGTCGTGCTAAATTGCAGTAGCTGGTATAATTATTTCATTATTTCATTAATTCACCCCAAATCCTGTGCAGTAATTTAGACAGTGAACGGAGTTATGAGAGTCCAAGCAAAGTACAAGCGACGAGAGCTAGTTCAAAATGGGCCATGTGACCAATTATCATATCGAGTCTGTTCAGTCCCAAAAGCGTTAGTCTAAACTAGGGGCGATGACGAAAGACGCGCCTGATTAACAAGCGTCATCATCTTTCAGACTTCAGCTAGTGCCCCATCCAAATAACTTCTATACAAAAAGCATCTAGGCGCTGCGTCTGGGACTAGGCTTTTTCTCATTCTCACCATCCTTCCTGGGTTCTACTCGGGCAGTTTGATGACTCCATCCATACTTCTAAAAGTCTCTAACCTGCGGCTGTTCTAGTTTTTTACTCGCTCATGTAAGATTGCCAGTGAGAGCAGTTGCCCAATATGGCACTCGTTCAGATATCCCTAATTTGGACCTTGTATGTATTTGTGGTAGCTCTCCTGCTTATAGTCGCTGCTGTGTTTGTTCATGTTTACCAAACTCCTCGATTTCACCATCCATCTGTTACTTTCACATGCGTCCTCGCGATCACCAGTCTTCTTGCGACGCTGTTTCTTCTCCCGGTGGACGTGGCGCTTGTTTCATTAACAACCTCGTCCAAGCTTGGCCGTCGGAAAGACTGGGCCACGCAGGACGAGGTTGACAAGATCACCTCCTCCTTGACAGTTGCCTATGATCTCCTATATTCCTTGGACGTATTGCTTTGTCTCCTGGGAATTCCATTTGCGTATTTCTGGTACGATGAATATGACGAGACTACGACAGAAACAGGTCAGCAAACAGCTGGGCAGCGGCTTTGGGGCGCCCTCAAGTACACCATGTCATTCGCTACGGTTGTGATTATCCTGTTCCTTGTCGGATTTTTTGTCCCAGTGTCAAGGAATAAGAATGGTATGGACCTGGATTATTTCAAAAAGTTATTCAATGAGAATCGTGAGCATTTCCGACCTCCCCTAGGGATTTTGGGACCGCAAAGTTGATACAAATTGACAGATGGGGAACGTGCTTTGACTTTTGTCCTTGGGGTGCTGACGACCATCGGAATCTGCCTCTATGTCATATATACCTCCTCAGGTCTCGCGCTCTTCCCAATCAGCTTGATCAAGACCGCCCCATCAATCTCCAGCATGCGCTTGCGAGCCAGAACGGCGGTACATCTCGAGACAAATCGTGAGCGGCAACGTCAGCTGGAAGGTTCTTGCGGAGGAAATCCTGATCTCCTATCATCCAATGATCGCAGGGAGCTCAATATTCTTGTACGGGAGGAGAGGACCCTTATTCAACGACAGCGCCTGGTGGAAGAAGCTCAGGGCGAATGTTGGAGCTGCTTGGTGAGGGCATGGTTCAAGATCGAAGCGATTTGCCGTCCCTTCAAGCTCCTGGGTGGCATTCTACTACTTTTGGTTGCGTCCATTACATGGGTATCTATGCTTTTGACTTCTGTTGACAAAGCAAAAAACTCGATCTGCAAGATCCTTTGTGGATATATCCTCGGACACGTCACTTTTTTCAATCCCGTTAACTGGGCTCTTGTCCAATGCGCTAATATCTTTCCCGTTGACTATGCTATTTTCACCGTGCTTGTGCTTTTTTTCTTCTGCAGTTCTATTGCCGGGATTGCTGCAGTGGGAATCCGATTCTTGTGGATCAGAATCCTTCAAATCCGACAGGGGCACACGTCTCCCCAGGCTCTACTCCTAGCGACCGCTATGTTGATGCTGATCATCTTAGCATTAAATTATTCCATTTTGATGGTAATTGCTCCGCAGTACGCAACATTTGGCCCACAAACTTTCTGTGATCGTGCGCCTGAGCCGCCGCTGCACCAGCCGGACTGCTCAAACAACAAAGATCTCATCAAACCATGCTCGGAGCTGGCAGACAACCCTGCAGCACAGCGAGTCTGTACACCCTGTATTGGCAGCACCTTGCTTAATCGTGTCACTCTGAATTTTCCTTTCTTCGGCGCCGTGTTCTTTTGGGCGCAATTCCTCTTTCTAGGTAGGGGTTTTTTTTCTTTAATTAGCCCTGTCCTAGTCAAATGGTTCTCGAGCTAACGATGTATCAACAAAATAGGCTTTTCCCTTATCACCTTTCTCACCTCTCTGGTTCGCTTCCCGAATTTGGGCGAGAGGCAGCTCGGCGAAGATGCCGAGGAGCCCGAGGAGGAAGGATTATTGGCTAGCACTAGAAGACGCTTTAATGCCTCCTGGCAGGACATCACTGGCAGAGCCAGCGGGAATGGCTCTGATGAGTGACCCTATGTACGGTTCATTTCCCAAAAGTTTCATGTCCTTGCAAAGTGTGAATTAACTGTCCAGTAAACTCGCAGATCGCAGAGAATTGATATACGATGAATTGTTGTCCGAGTTTTACGAATTGTGACTGGGGCAAGAAGCCCGCTTTCCAGGAGAAGATCAGATCTCGCAGAATGTGGAAAATGGCATGCCAGAAGAAGCTGAATTGATCGTCTACGACGGTGCCATATATAGAGGCTAGATCCCTTTTACGTTCTCGTGGAGAGAACGACATAACGGACATGGTCCAAGGGCCAACCTCTCTTGATATATACCCGTGGCTTTGACCACCCTCCCGTTGCACGTGAGGGTGGTCCAACTTCCAACGTCAAAAACTTTCCAACGTCAAAATCTACCGAGTCCATCAACTTTCTACTACTACCAATCGCCACCACCATGCCTAAATCTTACGAAGAAGAAGAGGGTCAAATTGAAAAGGCCTTAGAAGCTTATAGTTCTGGTAGAAATCGGAATCTATCTGCATTGGCGCGCGATTATGGCGTATCCTACTCGCGCCTACGGCGCAGAGCTAATGGGATCTCTTCGAAACTTGGCAACAAGAACCGCCCACGACTGCTTACTGAGGCCCAAGAAGCTGCAATTGTAAGGGTAATCGATAGCTTACGCCGGTACAATATCAAATTGAACGGTAGAGATATCGAGGACTATGCAAATCTACTACTTTGGCGCCAGTACGAAAGGGACCATCCCGAGGCTACCTTACCAAAGACCACTGCAGTCCTTCCACGATTGGCTAAGGCCAAAAACCGTCCCCCTGGTCTAAAACTAGTTAATCACCAATGGGCCTATTCGTTTATTAAGCGAGTAGATCCTAATTTGGTACCGGTCGCTGATGAGCAGATCTCATCGGAACGTGCGCGTATTACTGCTGCCGAAATGCAACATTGGTTTGACGGACTCGAACCAGTGATTCGGCAGGTAAAGCACTATAATATATTCAATTTCGATGAGACTGGCTTTATATTAGGCCAACAAGCCTCTCGATCTCACTCAATTGGGCGTAAAGGGGCTAGACAGGCACGATCAGAGAAGGCGGATACTCGAGAGATGCTTACTTCAATTGAGTGTATATCGGCTGACGGTCGAGTAATACCACCCTTCTTTATCTTTGAAGGCTCTGTGGTTCTCGAGAGATGGTTTGATGAGCCATTGCCTAACGATTGGGTAATCTCCGTGTCCCCTACTGGCTATGTGAACTCGGAATTGGCATTCGAATGGCTTCAACACTTTGATGAACACACTATAAATCGCGTTGAAAAGGGTATGTCAAATGAAATCGCCGAGGATTTATAGTATTTAGAGGCTAACCTCGAAGGATTTATGTAGATGAGCCACGCTTACTACTATTTGATGGGCATACTGCGCACTTAACAGCCGAATTCTTCGAGTACTGCGCACAGGCCCGAATCCTTCCGTTCTGCTTCATTTCTCACGCCACACATCTCTTACAACCTCTTGACGGCGATGCATTTCTTACGTATAAGACCTACTTCCGCAACTGGAACCGTACGGTTACTTAATGGGGTGGTAATCCTACCGATAAAGCGGTCTTCTTACGGGGGATACGTGAGATTCGCGATGAGACCTTCACACCTCATATCATTCGCGGAAGCTTTAGAAAGCGATGGATCTATCCATTTAACCCAGAATTAATAGTTAAACCCCTTACCGACCGGGAGGAAGACGAATTTATACCGCTCCAAGGCTTTGACCAGGTTGATGGGGACGATGCGCATGGTATTAATCGTACCCGTGAGCGTACCCGCTCATCCCAATCACCTACACTCTCTTCAAGTTCAATTGAGTTACCAAACACCCCTCGGAGTGTAAAGAAGAGCTTTACCAAGCTACAAAGAGTAATTAAGAGTCCTTTGGGTGCCGAAAGTGAGAGAAAAGAGAAGGTTATCCGGCGAATTGAGCGCCTCGAACGCTTTACTATCACCGAATTCGAAGAGAGTATTATCAAAGACTCGGTGATTTCGAAGTATAAAAGTGTACAAACCGAATTCACAAGCACCAACAAGTCGAGGCGTCAGATTACTAAGGTTAAGGTCCTTACACCGCGCGATGCAAATAGAAGGATGGTTGAACGGTCGGAAAAAGAGAACCAGGCGTGGGTACGGCGGGTACGTAGGGAAAATGCTCGGAAGGCCGAAATTGATAGGAAAATCGCTGAGGCAGAGGCTAAAGCGGCATTTGACGGAAGTATCGATAGTATGTTCGAGCCCTTTGGTATTTTCAGGGTGGATACTGAAGGGGACAGCTCGTTGATGGTGTAAATAGTTAGTTGGTAGGTAGATTACCTTACCCATGCGCAGCGAAGATACACGAATATCGCGCGCCATAAAAGTCCAATTGCATTTTCTCGTTTTCGCATATATTATACTAGTATTTAAGAAGAATTCCTACTATTTATTAATAAATTTAGGCATGGTTGTGGCGCTTGGTGGTATTACAAAGTTGGTAGACTCGGTAGATTTTGACGTTGGAAAGTTTTTTACGTTGGAAGTTGGACCACCCTCACCCGGTAGGGGGAGGGTGGTCAGAGCCACGGGTAATTCGAATCTCGTCAAACGGTGTTGGTGAAAACTGCTCAACGACGGAATTGCTGGAAGGGACGCACTGGTATTTGCTCAAACGTTGACGGTCAACCATCATTTTTTTTTATGACCGCCCGTGTTCCACTGACAATATTTACTTTGCCGCTTCTTGTTCAACAGTGAGAAGTCGCGCTATGTAAGGTCGGTTCTGAACGCTTCAGCTTATTTGCACGTGCTGTAGTTCAAAGGCTGTTGATTAACAGCTATATTCGTTCTTTTTTCATCACTACATTTTGCGCCGTTAAGTATGTTCAAATAACAGTGTTCAAATCAACACGTAATTTTCAACGGTCACGCCTACGACTTTTGGGGACAAACTATGGATACCATCACCATTATTCGGCGAATTTGCAGGAATGAGATTTGATTACGGAACACACGACGATCAATTCGGTCGGGCAAATACAGAACAGTATCAAGAATCTATAGTCACAAAATTTGACCATCCTCTGATACCGTTATTCATAGAGTGGTGACATTTCGTACAAAGATGCTGTAGCTTTAAAGCTTCTCAAGATTTTGATGGAATTCACCGAGTCTGACCAGTGAAAGGTGTTTCAAAATGATCTCATTTAAGCTACAAGGTGAAAATAATAGAGTATCAATCTTAGATATAATGACAAATACTGGAATCCCGTTAGTTACTTGTTGATATCCGTATAACATGAATACCTGCCCGGAACAACTAACGTAATTCACCAACGAGCGAGCCACACGGCCGAGCGGGCCACGCCAAAACATCATACTAAATCAGATATTTCATAATTTATATTTCAACGTTCGAAGCTAATCATCTAGCCTTAAGTTATCTCAATATTTAATATACCATCATACGTATTCTCCCTGATACAGGAAATATTCTACGGTGCGATAATAGAGATAAGTATATAAGTATATCTACATCGGTCGGTGGTACCGTAATTTTGGTATTAAGTGTAAATAATCAAATTCTGAATATATCAGCTATACTTTACTATTAATAATGCTCAAAAAGAATTCTCTATCAAGAATCAAGTAAGAATCAGTTCTCGTTGTTGATATACAATGACCTAAAAATTTGCCTCTAGTATGATGTTCTGGGGTGGCCCGCTCGGCCGTGTGGCTCGCTCGTTGGTGAATTACGTTAGTTAACGTAATTCACGGCCGACCGGGTCACACGGCCGACCGGGTCACCACATCCAAAATCGCGTATTCCTACCAACCTACCTAATTCAACCACCTACCATGCCACCGATTCGCACTGAATCTAGCCATAAATTGGCCAATCAAGAGGGCAGGATCCTATTGGCTCTTTCTGATTTGAAAGATGGCCGTGTTAAATCTCTCCGCGCGGCAGCGAAGCTATACGAAATACCCTTCGCTACACTGCAAGCGCGCGCCGATGGCCGAGTCTCACGCGTTGATAAACGCCCATCTGGTCATAAATTGACCCAAACCGAAGAGGATGCGCTTGCTGAGTGGATAATCTCTATGGATTCACGTGGAGCAGCGCCTAGACCGGCTACTGTGGGAGAAATGGCTAATATCCTACTTGCTGCGCGCGGTAGTAACCCTCCGTCTACTATTGGTGTTAATTGGCCATCAAGCTTTATTAAACGCCGCGATGAGCTTCGATCTCGCTTCTCGCGAAGATACGATTACCAAAGACCCCTAAACGAAGATCCAAAATCGATTCGGCAGTGGTTCGCGACCGTACAAAGTGTGATTGACGAGAACGGTATACAACCGGAGGATATCTACAACTTTGATGAGACAGGCTTTGCAATGGGCCTTATATCTTCGCAGAAAGTAGTTACAAGAGCTGAATACTACGGTCGGAGGTCTCTTCTACAACCAGGAAATCGCGAATGGGTTACTGCGATCGAAGCAATCTGCGCAGATGGCTATTCACTACCGCCATGTATAGTCTTCAAAGGCAAAGTGGCTATTGCGGGATGGTTTAACGAAAATCTACCGAAAGACTGGCGAATCGAGGTCTCTGCTAACGGTTGGACTACCCATGAGATTGGCCTACGCTGGTTACAAAAGATCTTTATACCATACACGAATTCGCGCGTACGAGGTCGGTTTCGGCTATTAATCCTTGACGGTCATGGTAGCCACCTTACACCCCAATTCAACCGAATCTGCACAGAAAACGATATTATACCTCTTTGTATGCCTGCGCATTCATCGCATCTACTACAACCACTAGATGTTGGGTGTTTTGCAGTGGTTAAGCGCGCGTACGGTCGCTTCGTTAGCGATCTTGCGCGTAGAGGATATAAGTCCAGGATTCGCCACGCAGACTCCAGGGAGCCTCGCCTACCCTGGGAACATCTAGTCTATTCCCTCCTGCTACCAAATTGAGGGTTGCTCCGTGAAAAATACGTTTTATAAATAATCTCCGACCTTTCATAGATTTAGTTTCGGTATGGAAAGGCGACCTGAATATTTATTACTCTTGAGGATTTCCTACCGAATGAGTTACAGCTGGTTACCTAGCATGAATAGCTTGCTCTAAATTGATACTGTATTGACAGGTATTGTGAAATTTGATTCACCCAAGCTTCTTTGTTTTTTAGCTAGCACCGGTAAAATGTTGGAATTGAGGGCAATCAAAATGTGCGGTATAGTCGGAAATCCCAACGCCGGGATGTTGACGTCGGCTAAGGCATGTGGAGCCGTTCAACATCAATACCTTCAACACCTTCAACACCTTCAACACATCAACACATCAACACATCAACACATCAACACATCAACACCGTCAACACTTCAACACTTCAACACCATCAGTACCAGTATCAACACATGACCAATATTTCCCCTTATTCATAATTGCGTGTGAAATCAATTCGACTCCGGTAGTCGGGGTTTTCACCTACTACTGTAAACGGAGACTGTTCACCCAATTCACTTGACAAACTGGAAAAAGGTCATTCCTGCTGGCTACTTTATCTTTCTCTTCACGTAGTCCGATGGATCAGAGTGGTAAATGGGATGATAATGGCTGTAAGCAATTCGAGAGGTAAGTAGTATACCAAGTATAGTTCAAATTAATATAGAGTGACTTCAGGCACCCGTCATTAAAACATAACTATTGAGCATAGTAAAATTACGTGAATTGACCCAATTGGTGGGATCTAAAAGGATGCCAGAGCCCCAAGTATTTCATAGCGAATGCTGGTGGCATTATGCCATGCTTTAGATGGTTGGCCCTTGGGCTATTGCAAAACACCGCCTCACTATCGGCATGATACGGAAGTACATCGTGTTATCTCCAAGAGCATGTTATCTCGTTGGGCTGTATTCTGGTTGAATAAGACTACATACATTACCACGTAGGCTTTATGATGAAATCCTATGCTGAATAGTCTTCAAAGACTTTGAAATGCCTTTGCTTTTCCATCACCCAAAGCGTGCCTGAAGATTCAATCACTAACATGGTTAATTGCATTAAATAAGTCATCTTTGCTCACAGACCCAATGCACATAGTTCCAGAGCTTAGAAAATGATCGATTCTCTCGTCCATCGCGACCCGGTGAATATGATTCATGAGCTACAAAAATAATAAGCCTTAAGCCAGAGAAAAAGTGAAGATCTTCTCATACCATATGACGGTGCTTCGGCCGACGGCAGTTCTTGACACTTAACGCTATCTGGCGCAACCTCAGGAATGTCATGGAGCCATCGTCTAACATTTCCGCAACTGCTAGAATCACTGCTCGAAAGATTGCATCGTGTAGTAGCTCTCAGACGTCGGGATTTTCCCCAGCCCTCTGAGGTTGTCGCCCGCCGCGATGGTCTGACACGACCAAGGCGACGTTTTCGTATGATATGGTATTTCTTCCCTCGTAAGGATTCAACCGACCGTTTCACCCCAACTTGTTCCAAATAGGCATCAGGGCGAGCGATCCATGGAAGTTCGCTATTCTCCTTTAACCAGGGAAGAAGGTTATCTTCCTCCCGTTTAGACCACGGTGTTGCACTGCGCGAGTACATAGTAATAATCTTGACCCAGATGGTTGGAGGCTGGTTATGACAACAAATAGAGGACAGGTAGGTAGGCTTTGTTGAGCTTTAATCCTCTCGTGTCGCATAATTTCATACCTGCTCCATTTAGCAACAGAGCGCCTCACAATTAGGTAATATATTCCGGGTGTTCAATTTAGGTCAACTAAATTGATTGACAGAGCCCGTTTTAACGTTGACAACAAAAGTAATTTTCATCGTTGCTAAAAAGAACCGGGGACGTACTTCACACGCTTTTGCCAGGGAGGTGGAGAATGTAACGTCAAATATACTTCGAGGTCAACCATAGGACTAAGAACAAATCATTTATCATGTTGATAATTAAACATCTCAACGGTGAAACGAAGGGTTTCAAGTTAGCGCCATTCAACTTCATGCATACATGGCTCTGTACCTAGTAGACACAATCTGGTTACTATCTAATAGGACAAAGTACACGTTGAGTTTATAGGACCATCAACGTTGACCTGAGAAAACTTCAGACGGTCTCAAACTAATCACAACATATAGTGCCGGAAATAGAAAGTTTAGAAAACCATGGGATTTTTGGCTACAACTCAATGGGCAACGAGTTGTGAATTAAAAGCAAAAAAACAAAATACCGTAGCTCGATTTAAGAATCTATATAATAGCCCTCATCTAAACAACGTGAAACAAGAGCCACGCGACCTCTTCCCGGGTCCTAGACGCCAACATGGGAGCAGTTCGAAAGTCTACGTATTCTACACGACGGCCCGATTTTCGGAGACAACTATAACGTGCCCTAAGCCTGTCCTCTTTTAAAACAGTGGAGACTCATAGTGCGTCAAAGTCATCCGCTAGTGGCACTACCGAGGACCAGCTATCAATTCACTCGGAGAACGATGGATCTAGCGTGTAAAGCGGCAGTGTTAGTAGTAACCACGAAGCCCAGATTGATCCTACGTTACTTTCGACTGCTCGAGATGTGGAAAAGATTAAAGGTCAGAGAGATCTTCCTGAGGATCGCGACCTAATTGCCTTAGAATGTATTACAGAGTAAGTATCACAGCCGTGACCTTTGAATTACTTACGCTAAGATTACATTTAGCAAAGGCTAGATGTCCGAATGAAGTAAGCCGATCTAGGGTGCATTATCTGAGGGAATTTGTGCGCTAAATATTGACATAGGAATGTGGAATCCTCCATAAATAACCAAGAAAGCCTGAATGAAGTGGTCCGCAGTGATTTGGCGAACATCCTCAGTCGATTAGCTATTATGGAGGAGAAAATCAGCAAGGCCGACCTAGACGAGAGGCAGGCGTCTTCGGAAAATCGCCAGACCGAGCGAAGACGGGTTTCGAGGCGATGAACGAGACCTGTTTCAGTCATCAGCCTTTTGCTACTCCATGAATTAATCTCAATAATGGTGACCTCGTTACTTTGTGATTATAAAGGACTATCATATATTTTGGTTAAAAGACTGGTAAAAATCGACAGTTTAAGGGAATCGACGTTCTGAGTATGGCATTCGCCGATAGCTGATCTATAATAATATTGCGAACTCATGCACTGCATCTAGAACGCGAACCCTTATAAAAAGGGGAAAGATGTGGTATCCGGAGAACGGCGAGAATTAGAACTGGAGGACTGAGGAAACTCTATATAGTACCATAAAACTTTTACGAGATCGTAGATCCCGGCCGATCATGATTACCGTCGACAGTTTGAAAGTATTTCGGGCACTCTGCCAGGTAGGGAAGGCTAGACTTTGCCTATGATTTCTGTAAGTGCCGACCCATATTGCGTATCGAACGCTCTGAGGAGAATCTGTGAACCTTAATTCGGTGGGTCAGACTCAATTGAGTTTTTGGAGTCATTTAATACGAGGGCCAGACCGTAAACCTTGATCGGCGGTGGCGCGGAACATCCTCTGGAGAAGAATTTGCCATTGCGGAAGAGATCTAACCAAAGGTGAACAAAGTACGGGCCTAGCGGACCCCTTTACCGATTTCCCCCCGTGCGGCCCGAAGGGCAGGCTTTTTCAAACGTGGGGCGGTCCCACAACCAGAATGTTGTGCGTTATGCATTATCTCTATAAAGCATAGTTCTAGAAGGACTCTGGCCTACGTAGATTTCTGATATTAGAACATGTCGGCTTTGTTCTAGATAAATCACATTTAATCCTTAGAAACTAACTCAACGGCAAAGATATAATCGCACCACAACTATAGCTATTCACCCTATAGTAAGGGTGGTGTTTTAGCTTATAGTTGGCGCTTGGCGGGGCAGAATGGAATATTCGCCTATTCCGGAAAGTTCGGGTAGTGGAGTAGAAATCAGAGGCTCTGGTGCGCTTCCTTGACCAGGCCACATCCCATGCACCACTCCAGAACCGGGTAAATAGGTAGCTAGCTCTCGGTTTTGAATCGCTTCCACACTCCTCCAGAACTGCGTGGCAGCTGCTACCAGGTCACTATGTGCCTGATACAACGCCGGCTGGATATCATTCTATGCCACTTGGCCCTGTATGGTGGAATTGAAAGACTCAAGCTACTGTTGCAACTGACCAGCCTCCATATGCAATTTTTTTGCTTCGCCCGAGAGTTTCTCGTTCTCCGCCAGTACCTTTTTCAATTTGGCTATCTCTTCTGCCTTTTCCATTTGGAGCTGCTGAATTTTCTGGGTACTTTCAGTTCGCTCTCGGTCCTGGTCCTCCCTGGCCTTGTCAAGCTTTTCTTGGGCCCTGTCCATGTGTTTGAAGTATTCTCTGTGAATTGACTAAGTGTCTTGGCTGTCGCCTTCTCGAGGTCTTTTGTGTGGGGATGGTAACTTGCAGTCAAGGTTAACATGGGATCAAATATTGTGAAAAGGGCGATTAAAAGGCTGCTTTTAATTGACGGATTCAAGAAGCTGAAGAAACCTACCTGATCTATAGCCGAGCGCTTGACTGATCGTAGTACACGGTGTTCGGTGGTGTTAGAGGCAGCTAATCGTCGCGAATGAGCTCTTGCTAATTCGCGTATGTTACGGTCTGCCTTTGATCTTGAGCTACCTGTCTCAGTCTGCGTAGACTTAATATTGGGCTGCATCGTGGAATTTCAGCCGAGGATAATTAGAAGTTCGCGAGTAAGAAGAATAAAGATGATAGTCGCTCCCCTTACTGGGGAACTGATCGATTATATATAGGTGATCATAACACAGAACATGAAACATGAGACGCCGCTAGCCAGAATTCAGGCCATGCAAATGCTGAATTAACATCAAAATGTTGCGCCTTGGTGCCATTGAGACAACTTACTGATGGCTGGGTACGGCGGACGATATCGGCCAATCTCCAAAACCCCTTCCCGCCCTTACTACCGCCCCCATAAGTAGACTAGCCTACTAGGCCCTTGTCACCGCCCTTAACTATCTTATATAACCAATCAATCACCTAATCCTCCTCCATCACCATCGAATGCTCCTCCATTATCATCGAATGCTCCTCCATTATCATCGAATATCACTATGCCCCGGCCTTCTGTTAACCTTGATCCTTACCAGGAGGAAATTACTAGGCTTGTTTATGCGAATTCTACCAATGAGGATATCTGTGCTTTCTTGCTAAATACATATGGTATTAGGATCTCTCCTACTACTTTATGTAGACGGCGAAATGCATGGGGTCTTCATACTCCACGGGCTTACTACCAAAAGGATACTCCTAATGAGATCAATCGTAATCAGATAGTATATAACCTTCTTCAGCTATCGTTAGATACGCAGGAAATCCTTCGTCTCTTACAAAAGAAGGGGATACCATCATCTGAACGTTCTCTTTATCGTATACGGCAAAAGCTTGGTGTTAAGCTACGTGTTAACGATGCTGCTGAACGAGCGTCTCAGGAAAGAATTATTGAGAGGATTCTTACTGCAGAGGATCAGATTGGAGATATTGAAGGATATGGCCGACGTTACCAGCAAATTCACCTGCGTAGCCAGGGAGTTTTCATCGCAAGGTAAGTATCATATGGTCGTGTTTATCGGTCATATAGTCGTGTTCATCGGTCATATGGTTGTGGTTATCGGTCATATGGTCGTGTTGGTTAGCGATATGTTTACTAACGATTATATAGAGATCGTGCCTATGAAATCTACCGAACTATTAACCCAGATGCGATTGATGACCGCCGGTCTGGCTTTCAACGCCGACGAGGTGCCTATATATGCGATGGGCCTAATGCAATTTGGCATCTTGATGGCTATATGAAATTAGAACCTTTTGGTATTGAAATCTACGCAGCAATTGATGGCTACTCTCGATATGTTATATGGATATATATCGGGATATCTGCACGTACTGCAGTAAGTGTCCTTCGGCAGTATCTTGATTGTGTGAGATCGAATGGGTATATACCACGAAAGCTTCGGGTTGATCTTGGTAGTGAGACGGTATTGATTGGTGATGCCCATCTTACTCTACGAGAATCGCTTCTATCACCATCGAATACTCCTCCATCACCATCGAATGCTCCTCCATCACCATCGAATGCTCCTCCGTCACCATCGAATGCTCCTCTATCACCATCGAATGCTCCTCCGTCACCATCGAATGCTCCTCTATCACCATCGAATGCTCCTCGATCACCATCGAATGCTCCTCGATCACCATCGAATGCTCTTCCATCACCATCGAATGCTCTTCCATCGACATTATCATCAGTTTCTCGGTTTCGAAACTACTTTATCTACGGGCGTAGTATTGATAATCAACGTATTGAATCCTGGTGGGGGCAGCTTACACAGTCAAGTCTCTTCGTCTATCATGAGTATTTTAATATACTCTTAGGCGATGGAATCTATTCAAAGCAGTGCATTCCTGAGCAGGTAAGCAGCGGTATATCCTCGACAATTTAACCTAGTAATCCCTACTAAAAGATGTCTAGATAGTACTTCTTGCCATCTACATGCCTATTCTACGAGCTCGCATTCAATCATTCGTGAGCAGTGTATGGAATGTACACCCGATTCGTAAACAGCCTAAGCGGCCACATGTCGTTTCTGGTAAACCAATGATGAATTACCACTATCCTCCCGAAGGTATTCCTGATTGTAAGGAATCTTTTGACCCTTCTCTTCTCCAGAGGTATGATTCTATGGTTAATTCCTTATATTCTATGGTCAATTCCTTCTATTCTATGATTCATTAATCGTATACTATGATTCATTGATCGTATACTATAATTAATTCATCTTATATTAGGCTCCAGGAGGATGTGGCAGAATGGGATCCTGCTGAATACCTTCCACCTTCTACACTAGCTTGGTGCCGTCTACAATTGATAGAAATTGGCCAGCAAGAAGTGGGCGAGCCGTTTGACCCTGAAGACCCTCTCATTCAGCTTCTAGGTGATAGAAAGCAGCCATATCGGAAGGTATATGAGACTATGCGTGCTCGGGCCCTTCTACACGACCAATTAGGTACTTTACCTATATTAACACTAAGTATAAAACCTACCGGTGCATTCTCATGGGGTCCGAGCGCCCAATGGCATCAGGGCGCATAAGCTACTTAATCTATAAGATTAGAAGACGGCATAGCATATTCTCTCTTTCATCGAACATATTCTCTCTTTCATCGAACATATTCTCTCTTTCATCGAACATATTCTCTCTTTCATCGAACATATTCTCTCTTTCATCGAACATATTCTCTCTTCCATCGAACATATTCTCTCTTCTATCAGGATGGCATCTGAACTATCTATCCCCCTCGCTACTCTATAGGCTACTCTTAAACAGCTATTAGAGACTATATCGGCAGCTATAGATCCTTCTTCATCTACATCATCATCAACAAGAACACCAACAGCTACACCAACACCATTATCATCATCGATATCTGATATTTCGACATCAGCTTCGCATATTCCAGCATCAGCTTCGCATATTCCAGCATCAGCTTCGCGTATACCATCGCAGCTCAATTCGCGTTTTGGAATGCTTTCTAGTACTACTAGCCAGGTTCGCAGTGCTTATATTGGACGCCCACAGGCAACTATACCGCCACCACCACCAGAAGAGGTCACAATCAATGTATCCTTCTATCTATTAATAGAGAGTGAGGATATTATACCAATTGAAGGTAATATACTATCTTCCCTCTATCATATACTTCTATATTCTTACCATTTACTTCTATAGGTGCACATATCTCTACCAACATAATTCCTTCGCAGGAATAGCTCACTATAGGTAGTTTTGCATACTCTCTGGTACAAAAACTATGTTACCTACCTATTAATTTCGAATTCAACCACGACGATGAGGCATTCCTAGCTAGGACGGTTACACAGTATACAAAGAAAGGACCATTAGAAGCGCAGTATCTCCTACCTACTAGTCCATCTGGGTCTACTAGGTGGACTTCTGGTCAGTTATGCCGATTGGTCAACCAGGAGAAGGGGGCAAAGGTCTTCTATGTTATTATAAAACGATCAAAAGAGACCGTGGAAAGGATGGCACATGGACTACCATCTCGAGCTACGATATCAATTGAAAGACAGCTAGGATCTATGGAAGACCCGGCGGGCATCATGGAAGACCCGGTGGGCATCATGGAAGACCTACCACGAAGGAAGCGAAGACGTGCTACACCACCACCAGTGACGCGGCGGAACTTACGTCGGCGACTACAAGGATGACAGAGACTATGTATTTATACTAGAGGAGGGAATTACTATTGTGATACATGGCACTTGCTACTCAGGAATGAAGCCGCAACATCGGAAATAATTCCTGCTCTATGTATAGGAAGAACCAAGTTAATTGGAAATCAACTTGGACTTCATGCTGTATATATAGCCTCATATACTTCCTCAAGAAGAAGAATTAAGCTTCCTTTTGTATTTACAACAGGTTATGAGCCCGAGTGCAACCACTCGGGTACCGTCTCTACCCACACCGAGACCCATTCAATTCTTTGACTTATGATTATATATTACCCCGCTTCCTCAATATCATATCGGCTCTCGTCCAGGACTCCCCTGACCGAGCCGTCACAGCCATTAAGCCTCTGACAGGAAGCGATAACTACGCTACCTAGAAGCGCCTCATAACTTCCTACTTGAAAGCCAGGCAGGTCTAGGATATAGTGTCGGGCGACCTCCAGCGTCCAGATTGCCAGTTCAAATATACCAAGCCAATCACGGCGGATATCACTCCGCTTGTGGAGCCCCACCTTAATAGGGCGGTGCGGCAGAGGGCCATCGAAGCACGCCTCGAAGTGGAGGTCCAAGCTTTCGAGCGTTATAAGGAATAGTCGCGGCGCGAAGCCGAGGCCTACCATATCATCTTCCGGTATCTATCGCCCAATATCAGTATACACGTCGCGGGACTAGAGACATCCCGGGAGCTCTGGAATGAGCTGGAAGAACGATATCGGCGAATGGAGCTAGCCACGTTTTGCGAGCTGTTCGCCCAGCTTCGCGAAACCACGGCCGCCCGATACGCCAGCACACGGGAATTTGTCGATCGTATGCGGTTACTAGTACACCGGCTAAATGCCATTACTCCGGGATCCATCAGTGACCGAACACACATCGCGATTCTGTTGACCTAAATCGGACCAGAATACGTCCTCGTCGTGGATACCATCCAGAACGACAAGGACCCGGTCAATCCAACGACGATTGGAAACCGTCTCGCCAACGCCGAGCAGACGGTATAGCGAAAGGACGCTACTACGGTCCCGCACGGAGTATCAGGACCCTCAAACAACGCCTCTATTAATACGGTGTAGAAGACCGCAAAGAAATGCACCTACTATAAGAAGCGCGGCTATATAGCCGTGGACTGCTAGAAGAAACAGCGCGAATAGCAACCACCAAGGGACCATACCCTAAAGACGGAAAGGAGTGTTTCTGGCTCACCAAGACATAATTTACAAACCATACCAGTAAGCCAGAGGGAAGAACGGTAGGGCCCGCCGACTTCTAAGAGACCGCGGATTAATATCGTGAGGGCGAGGGTAACGACCCTTTATACCCACGCGCCGGCTTCCTCCTCTCGGTGGATCCTAGATTCGGCCGCTACCAGCCATATCTATTAGGATCGGAGCTACTTTATTAGCTTACGGCCGTACCGTGAGATGTTAGACACGGCGGGCGATCCAGTAGAAGCCGAAGGGATTAGTACGGTGAAGCTCACGCTCCGGGGGAAGTCCAGCCACCCCCTAGTGTTAAAGAACGTGTATTTCGCGCCACGTATCGGGATGAACCTAATCAGCGTGCCGAAGCTATTACGCGACCGCTACTCGGTAGTAGCGCACCCACAGAACGTCTTTATACAGCGCCGAGGACGAACCGTGGGGACCGCCTACTATGCGGAGGAGGATCTATTAATCCTACGGTGCCATGTGAGCCTAAGATCCCGAGAGCGAGTCTAACTAGCGAGGGCGCCGACAAACCGTGGGCATACAGATCCCCTAGAACCGCAGGCGGTAGTCATGGATGTCGACGACCCTCAGGAGTCAAGTGGCGTAGGATACGCATCGCCAACCTCTAAAATCGGTAGTAAAGCTCGGATACTCGAAGAAGATACGTGCATAGGAGTGAACCAGGCCTCCGAAGCATTATAGCACGCTCGGATAGGACATCTAAACCGGGGTGACTTAAGGGTAGTCCTCCGGCAGACCGGCACTCCGTACCGACCGCTAACGCACAGCGAACTACTAGCAACGCCGCAGTGTCTAGCGTGTATGTCGGGTAAGTAGCATCAGAAGAGGAACTCCCGTGTAAGACGGCCACGTCTGCACTCGTCAAGAATCTTTAAAATGATCTATTCGGACATTATGGAAATACCAGTTACTAAAGATGGCTCTAGGTACGTAATCACCTTTACTGACGATTATTCGCGCGGCTCCTGGGCCTATGCTATAAGATAGAAATATGAAGCGCTACAGAAGTTTCGACAATTCGAGGCCTAGGTACACCGACAGTTCGGCGCCCAGATCAAAAGGTTCCTCACCGATAATAGGAGAGAATACTTACCGATCGGAATACACCTCGAGTCCCAGGGAGTTAAGTTTAACACGTCGCCGCCATACTGTAAAGGGCAGAACGGGCTGGCGGAACACACGAATCGCACTATCCGGGAGCGGATCAACACGCTCCTATCCGATGCGAAACTTCCTCCTTCCTAGTAGACCGAGCTCTTAGACACGGTAGTCTATCTTAAGCTACGCGCGCCAGCATCAATCCTACAGAAGAAGACACCGTATAAAGTCATCTACGGGAAGCCACCCAAGCTATTACATCTACGACGGATCGGCTCCCGCGTATAGGTATTGATCCCTAAAGAGCATCGGGCGAAGATCGGACCACGATCGTCAGAGTGCCGACTACTCGGGTACTACGAACCCAATCAGTATAAGCTTTATAAAGTACACTCTGGAAGGACCATCTTTTCCCGTGATGTCGAGTTCGATAAAAGGACCCCTATAGCGCCACTCATCGAGGGGGAAACAAGCAACGACCTCCCGGATAATACTCCTCCATCACCTATCTTTCCTAAACTAATACTACCTCCATCTGGTGGGCCACCTACGCCGCCGCCATCTCCTAACAAACTAGAGAACGCTACTCCTTGTGAGCGAGTTAATAACGTGCCGTCTGATTCTGAACCGGTTAATGTTCCCTCACTAGTCAATCCAATCTAGCACGAAACAGAGGCCACACAGGACCTTAGTTATTCTTTGTATAGCCGAAGACGAAGACCTTCCAGGCGTCTCTTAGAGTCTCTAGGCAAGGTGTATACGACAGGGACATTGAATGCAACTATCGCAAAAGACGTGGATCCTCTGACCTTCCACGAAGCTGTATCAGGACCCAATCAGCTAGAATAGTGGGCTGCGATCCAGAAAGAATACGCTTCTCTTCTCGAGCATAGCACATAGGAGAAAGTTCCACGAAATAAAGTTCCCCCCGGGGATCGGATTATTGGCTGTAAGTGGGTATTCAAGACGAAGACTAATAGAATCCGGAAAGCGCGATTAGTGATTAAAGGCTACCGACAGAAACATAGCATCGACTATCACGAAACCTTCGCGGCTATATCCCGAATAGATTCGGTCCGTAGCATCGTTACGAGTGCCGTGCTGCGTAGGTGGAAACTCCACCAATTCGATACCGTCACTGCGTTCCTCCACGGTGATATCGACTCGTCAATCTACATAGAGCTACCAGAGGGCTTTAAGGAAGATGGATACGTTTGCCGCCTTCGACGCTCCTTATACGGACTAAAGCAGGCACCACGGATTTGGTACTAATACGTCCACCGTGTCCTAGTAGCTCACGGCTTTACTATAGCCCAGTCCGACAACTATATTTTCTATAAGCCTAACTATGTCGTCTGCGTGTACGTTAACGACTTTCTAGTCGCAGCCGCGGACGACGCCGAGATCCAGCAGCTTCGAAGGGCCTTAGAATCGGAGTTCAAACTGAACGATCTAGGAAAGCCGCGTTCATTCCTAGGAATTCAGTTTAACTTCCACGCGGACAGATCGATTTCGATTCACCAACATCAATACATCCAAAAGGTCCTCTCTGACTTTTGCATGGAGACCTGTCAACCGAAGTCTACACCGATAGCTCCGAAAGTTCTCCTAAATAACGTTCCCGACGGGAGCGACCTAGATAAAGATACGAAGGCTCGGTTCGGGACCGCAATCGGATCACTAATGTATCTTATAGTCGGTACGCGCCCTGACATCGCGTTTACGCTTAGGACGTTGAGTCGTTTCACATCCCGACCGCAGTCGCATCATCAAGCCGTACTGCAGAGACTGCTACGCTATGTCAAGGCCACTCAATTCTATCGCATCACATACCGCAGCGGGCAGTTGATCGGATACACCGATGCCGACTTTAGTGGCTCGGTCGTCACTGATGGTGCATACTCCACGTCCGGCTATATATTCAAACTTGCGGGAGCACCAGTTTCCTGGTCGTCCAAAAGACAGGGGGAAGTAGCGACGTCCACGACTCACGCCGAGTATATTGGCCAATACAATGCCATCCTTCACCTACAATAGCTCCGCACGTTCCTAGCAGAGACCGACCTATTTCGATCGCCGGTGACCAACATCATGGCTAACAACCAATCCGCCATTGCTCTCTCCCGTAATCCTGAGTTTCACAAACGGACGAAGCATTTCAACGTGAAGTTCCATTACCAGCGAGCTGTTCTGAATTCAGGAGAGATTAGTCTCGAATATATTCCAACCGAGGAACAAGCAGCTGATGGACTCACCAAGCCTTTAGGGCCTTCTCCATTTATTAAGTTCTGCAAGCTTTTGGGAATCTGCACTGAAGAACACATGAAGGAAGATGTGTAACAGGGATAGCGCTCTTTCCACTATTTCTCCTCTTCGAGGTTTTGAGTGGTTTTACCGAGGCCTGACCGATGTGCATATATTCAGTATCGCCTCGCTAGCAAGGCGATCCTGAGGGGGAATGTTGTGATACATGGCACTTGCTGCTCAGGAATGAAGCCGCAACATCGGAAATAATTCCTGCTCTATGTATAGGAAGAACCAAGTTGATTGGAAATCAACTTGGACTTCATGCTGTATATATAGCCTCATGTACTTCCTCAAGAAGAAGAATTAAGCTTCCTTTTGTATTTACAACAATTACTACTGTCGGTAAATCATGTACTTAATAGTTATATAATTTAAATTATCCTTTTATTATATCAGTCCTTAATGACGATAGAAGAGCATTCAATGGCGATGGAGGAGCATTGGATGGTGATGGAGGAGCATTGGATGGTGATGGAGGAGTATTGGGTGATGGACTTAGAAGTTTAGATGTAATTCTGCCGTTTTTCTGCCAGTTCTATCTAGGGGTTTTGGAGATTGGCCGTTATCGGCCGCCGTATCCCGAGGCCTTAGCGCGGATCTTTTATTGATTGGCCGATATTAATTTGAGGGGCGTTGAACAATTCACTGTGTATAATACCGTATTCCCTTCCGTAAGAATGGACTCACCGGTGAACATTAGGTGGTGAACCCCCGAAGAAGGCAGTATCATATAATACATATTGTACGGTGGTCGTCAACTTTGCATTCTCCAATAAATAAAAGAGCCGCGCTAAGGCCTCGGGAGTGGGACTCGACTCAAGAAAGCTATCCTCGGGGTGGAAGCAGATTTCGCTAGTGACTATACCACGAGACACGATCGAAAAGGAAAAGGGTAGCGTTGATATTGACTCTGAATTGCGATTGTGTACCGAGCGGAAGCTAACCGCGGATCAATGGAGGACCCACCTACAAGGGCTACCGAATCTCCTCCCACAAACGGACGAGGATCGGCAGCGACCCCTACACTGGAGGACCAGGGATGGTCGACCGCACCCCGCACGAGAAGGCAGACTCGCCATGGAGATAATCACGGCAGTACCGCCAAGCTCGGGGACAACAACGGACGTGTCACGACCAAGGAAATCCGACAACTCATCGAGAACCTAAAGCAAATCATACACCACCAAACCACCCTCATCGAATCAACCAAAGCGGAGCTACAGGAGGTCAAGCACGACCAGAATATCCTCCAAACCCAGAACGAGAAGCTCCATAAAGAAATTCGAGCGCTACGAACGCAAGTTGAAGCGCTACCATCAACACCCCCGGTCAGATCCTGGGCCGCGGTGGCGGCTAGCAACGGCCAGCAGCATTCTCCTATGAACCACCTACGCACCAACAAAGATCAGAACTACGTCCGAATCAACACTCAGCGCTCGTTCGTAGACCCAAGAGACAATAACAGCGACGAAAACACCTTTGGCCGATACCTCCCAACGGAGGCTGCGAACGCCCACATCCGCACGGCGTTGTTGAGCGCGCCGTCAACACAGGACGCCTAGGTTGCCGGTATTAGCACCACCAAAACAGGATATGTGATTCGATTCAAGAATGCGGAGTCGGCGGACGCGGCCCGCAACAACATCGAATGGCTGAACGAGCTCGGAAATAACACGAAACTCGTTAAGCCACGGTTCGGCGTCGTCGTGCACCGTACTCCGACAGAGGACTTTGATCTGGACAACGCAAGCACATAAGCGATCGAGAAAATCATGGAAGAAAACGAGCTGACCGAGCGGGGCTTCTAAATCGAAGAATTAGCATGGCTAAAAGCCAGAGATAAGCCACTAGGGAAATTTACGTCCCTAGGAATCTGGTTCGACTCGGCAGAGGGGGCAGAGCGGATCCTGGAACGCGGACTACTAGTTAGCTAAAGATATATCGATAGCGTGGAACGACGTGAGATCAAGAAGAAGAGATGCTTCCGGTGCCAACGGTTTAGACACCTAGCGTGGTCGTGCAGGGAAACCCCACGCTGCGGCCACTGCGCCGGCCACCACCTCCGTGAGCATTACCCACCTGGCGTGCGGCCACGATGCCTCGACTGCAGTGGGGAACACCAGACTAGTAACCGTCAGTGTCCGACCCCCGCGACATCCAACCCCTCTCAATGTTAGGGACCAATTTACGCGTATTACAGTTGAACATCATGAAATCAGGGCCGCGGATGGAAGCCCTTATCAACGACCACTAGAGCCAGAACCTGGATATACTCTTGATCCAAGAACCATCTATCACTACCTATCAAACGCACGTTAACCATAGCGCCTAGCGGCTATACCGACCGACTATCGAAACCGACGCAGTTCGGTATCGTAGCCTGATCTATATTAACCGAAGTATCTCGACCTCCTCACATCGGCAGATCACCTACAACCATACAGACCTTACCGCAATCAAGATATGGACAGCAGACTCTCAAATAATCATCTTTTCAGTTTACATCCCACCCGTACCGCTGTTCACGCCTAACGGGGCGTCAGCGGAACCAGCACTCGCAGCAATCCAGAACACAATAACCACCGCTCTCCGAGACGATCCAAAGCTAGCGAGCGTGATCCTCTCGGGTGACTTTAACCGTCACTACCCGACCTAGGGTGGCAATCACATCCAACCGCAGTTCATAGAGGACGCAAGCGAGCTAATCAACTTCTTCCAGGCCAATGGCCTACATGGCTGTCTCCCCCGAGGAACAGCAACATTCTGGTCTCTCAGCGACCCAGGGAAAAACTCCATAATTAACCAGACTGTAACGAACCGGCTAGATCTGCTAATAAAATGTCATCTGCACCACGATAACTATGGTTCGGACCACCGTGCCACATACTCGGAATAGAGCTTAAGAGCCCAGCGTAAACCCACCGCCAAAGCGAAGAAAGCGTACGAACGAGCGGATTAGGGCAAGATTAGGACCGAAGTGCTCCTGCTGGTTAGCCCATGGACAGAGATCAAAACGAGACCAGCGCTGGATGCGATGGTTAATAAGCTCACGGAAGCGACCGCAGCGGCAGTGGACAAACACACCCCTGACCTCCGACCAACACCATACTCTAAACGCTGGTTCACGCCAGAACTCAAAATCCAGCAGACTAAAGTTAATCGCTTACGCCGGAGGTGGCAAGAGAGCTACGCGGAGCTTAGGCGACACCATACACGTTCGGCGACTCTCTTCCAAGAGATACAATAGAAACGACGTGTATAGACCCGAACTATCGAGAAAGCTAAGGCAGCGCATTAGAAGCAGTTCCTGGACAAAGCCGGTAAGGGGAAGCTCTGGAAAGCGGCTATATACATAAAACCGAGAGAGACCTGGGGCTATGTCCTAGCCTTACATATCGACGTAAATGAGATCACGAAGAACGAAGGCAAAGCGCAGGCCTTCCTGGACGCTTTCTTCCCCGAGATGGACGAACCCCACGAGGATCCGCTAAGCCATCTACCTCTGGAACTACCGTGGCAACCGATCACCGCGTTAGAGATTCAACGGTCTCTTAAAACCGCAAAAGGCTCCACAGCCCCTAGCGAGGATAGCTTACCGACGCTCGTATGGAAATACCTTTGGAAGCCCCTGAAAGAGATCATCACTAGAATTTTCACTGCGTCTATCAACCTAGGATATCACCCAAAGCGTTGGAGGAGCGCGAAGATCGCGGTGCTACGGAAACCCGGAAAATCGGACTACTCGATTCCCGGAGCCTACCGCCCGATTTCACTCCTTAACACGTTAGGCAAGTTACTCGAAGCGGTTATAGCTCGACGACTATCGTACTTCGCCGAAAAGCACGGTTTGCTACCAGACACGCAATTCGGAGGACGACCGGGCAGGATAACCGAGTAAGCCCTACTAGTCCTTACTAGCGCAATCGACCGCGCGTGGCTTAAATATAAGGTAGTGACCCTCATCGCTTTCGACCTGAAGGATGCCTTTAACGGGGTCAATAAAGTGAGCCTAGATGCCCGCCTCCGGGCAAAGGGGATCCTAGCAATAGCGCGCAGGTAGATCGCAAGCTTCATGAGCGATCGCCACGCGAGTATAGGATTCGACGACTTCCGCACAGAGGTGACCCCACTAGCGAATGCGGGATTAGCATAATGCTCGCCTCTCTCCCCGATTCTGTTCGCGTTTTTCAACTCCGACCTAGTCGACCAACCTATCACCTTTCGCGGGGGCGCATCAGCCTTCATCGACGACTACTTCCGATGGCGGGTAGGCCGTTCGGCCGAGGAAAACATAGCCAAGATCCAATCGGAAGACATCCCACGTATCGAAGCATGGGCCCGACGAACAGGATCCTGCTTTGTAGCGGAGAAGACCGAACTTATCCACCTCACTAGGAAAAGAGGTGAATAGCTCCAGGGGCAGGTAGTCATGGGTGGTATGGTTATCGAAGCCTCGCCTAAAGCTAAGCTGCTAGGAGTGATCTTTGACTAGGAGCTTCGGTGGAAAGAGCACGTCTAGCAGGCTATAAAACGAGTAACCAAAGTGACTATCGCACTAAGCGGGTTACGGCACCTACGGCCGGAACAGATGCGGCAAATCTACCAGGCCTGCGTGACGCCGGTCGTAGACTACGCGTCGATAGTCTGGCATAACCCACTCCGGGATAAAACCTACCTCCGCAACCTAAACACGGTCTAAAGGACCGCATTGATTCGCATCTTGTCAGCGTTCAGGACGGTAGCCACTATAACCCTGGAGGTCGAGGCCTACGTCCTCCCCACCCACCTCCGTCTCCGCCAACGAGCTCAAAACACCATCGTAAGGCTCCACACACTACCTCGGAGCCACCCCATCTGGAACGCGCTGGTACGAGCCCAGAAACGGCGGAATAACGTCCCATCGTATGCTCGCTTCCCGCTGGCGGAAGCGTTAAAGACGATGGACCTAGAAAGGTTAGACGAACTAGAGACGATTGACCCAAGACCACTACTACCGTAGCGAGCCGAGTCCTTCACTGAGATTGAGGTCGAACCGGACCGGGAGATAGCGAGAGAACGTGCCGAAGCAGTACGGGCCACATCCGACTTGGTCGTCTACTCGGACGCTTCTGGACGAGACGGTCACCTAGGAGCTGCCGTCGTAGCGCTCAACGACAACCTCGAGGTCATAGAATCGCAACAGGTCCAGGTGGGGCTAATAGACCGATGGTCAGTCCACGTAGCGGAATTAATAGGCATTTTCTAAGCAATCAGCACGGTGTTTAAGATCGCTCACGGCCGTCCTAGGCTAAGCGGAGGAACGACCACAGCCACGATTCTCTACGACAGCAAATCCGCCCTACAAGCAACCCGAAACCCCGGGAACAAATCAGGACAACGAATCATTCACGCAATCCTCCAGGCAGCGACAGAGGTTCAAGCGGAAGGAATTGCGCTCCGCTTACAATGGCTTCCGGGGCACTGTGAGAATGCGGGAAACGACGTAGCAGATCGACTAGCGAAGGATGCCGCGCACCCAGGGAAAATACACCCCTTTCGCCCTCTGCTCACGAGGAAGAAAGCATTGATCCAAAGCAAGATTTCCGCGCAGTAGGCGCACGAATAGAAGTCTACCCCCAAAGGTAGCTATCTGCGAAAAATCGACAACGCACTGCCGGCCACATACACGAGGAAACTGTATAGCAGTCTGCCGAGGAACCGGGCGTACCTACTCACGCAGCTGCGTACTAGCCACAACTGGTTATCCACATACGCTAAGGCGCATAAATTTCGCGACGATGATCTCTGCGTTTGCGGCGCGCAAGAAACAGTCACTCATGTGCTAGTAGACTGTCCGAATTTGAGGGAACTGAGACGGGAGCTGAGGAAAGAAGTTGGGGACGTATTCAGTTGCATATCGAACCTGCTGGGAGGTTCAGCTGAAGGTAGGAAAGGTAAACCAGACACCGTCTCGCGGTCCAGGACAGTCAATGCTGTCTTGGACTTCGCAGAGGCGTTATAGCGATTCCGTAGTCGCGCGCCACGAGGGTAGCCTAACAACGGAAACGGCAATTAGGCCACGGCAGGCCTTGACGAGGCTCTAAGTTCGTTTTCAGGAAGTGGAACACTCTACATGTACGTACGCGGATGTATATATAGTTGAGGTAGCCTGCATATCGCTTTGCAAGTTGAAACCCTGGATTGAAGTACAAGTGTAATTGTCATTCTCTAACTAGGCAAGGATGTGCAGCTATTTGTAGTCACAGTAGCGGCCTTCTGCCTAGAGTGGTAGTGGCAGCCTAATAGGCTGCCACAATATATATACATCACCTAATCTGGGATCCAACTTTGCATTGCGAGAGGTCAGGGTAAATGATATCAACCAACCAACCAACCACTGTAAGCATCCAACTCGGCTAGTATCCCATTGCATCGTGTTTTCAAGACTAGTTCAACTCGATCATTTTATAAGCGCGTTTCTCGCTTGCCTTCAAAACCTCGACAATCCCATCATTGAGAGCAGCCGCGGCTTAACGGCTACCGAATAGATCTAGAGCCTGATCATTGCAGCACTGGAGTAATGCATCGCATTCCGCGGTTAGCTATATAATTGACCGCTGAAGCTAAACCTGCTCCTCTTCGAGCTATATCTTTAATGCAGAATCGACGACATAACAATTCCATAAGCGGAGGTACCAGTCGAGAAGGCTGCTGATGGGAGCCACGAGGGAGATGTGATGACGTAGGATATATTCAAACTCTGTCGAGAGGCTTGCTGAAGGAGTAGGACGCTGTTTCCACTCTGATTAGCATTGCTATTTCAAAGTTTGGGTGGCTCTCTGACCTGGTTTTCGCTAGCATAAGTGATTTTTCTAGGCGCCCGATTGTGTGATCCCTTCTGTGTCTCCCCATCTGCACTTGTATCAACGTGTTATCTTTTGGGGGACTGCGAAGTGGGAGAAGACAAAGGTCGTTTCGGAGAACTCATAGCGGTCGATTGGTTGCTGGATGGAAACCTGACTCACGAGTGTGTTAAATAGACCGTACAACCCTTCATAATATAGCATGTGTCGTGCCTAGTAGCGCACAGTTGTAACGTCCAACGGTGGAGTTCACTGTTTCTTGAACTTTAAATCCACCCACAATCAAGTTGATTCAATGTTCAATATTAGCCCGTCATACCCTGCCCTTTAGCCGATGACCTCAACCGACCTTAGCTCTTGGATCGATGCATGCCATCCATAGCCACCGAAGACATCCTTTCAGACTTTTATAAGTGGCCATTGGAAGCAGACGTCGATCGCGTCCGTCGCAGATTTCGATTCTAGGCCGAGGCTTGATCGACCTTCTTTTGCCTCGACAGGATTCGTTATTTATGGCGTACGTTAAGGCACTTTCTCTCTCTCTTGATTTTGCATACGAATATCAATATTCCGATGACTGGGCAGGAGTTTAAGAACATCTAACGATCCGTATTGGATAGCCTTCATCAAAGGAGTCTTCTAACTCAAGAATATATTAGCATCGGCACCACGAAGAAGCATTAGATCAGCCTAAGCATAGTCGTTATCTGTGGCCGCTAGGTGCAGGAGGTAACTATCCTAGCCCTGAATGTTGTAGCTAAGGAAGTAGGCCTGCAGTCTGCAGTAAAGATCTCGGCCTGATATACTTAACGAGCTCAGGCCATGGCAGTTTAACTGAATTCCAACAAGTACGATAATCTGATCTAGTAGGGTTTGGAGAATTCCCTACAGGAAATTAACGTATACCTTGGTAGAGAACTGAGGGTTTGCAGTAGTGACATTAAACTTACCATCATTGAAAACAAGTGTGTACACGGCGAGAAGTATCTAGAAGGCGGCAGATTTGTGAATAAGATGAGCTTTTCACTGCTTTTCTAGGATGGTTCTGCGATTTTATACTCGACACCACTTCTTGTAGATAGCTCCTAAGAGCTAACTAAACAGTTTTGAAGGCAATATGTCTACTTAAGGATCCTGCTTGTGAGTTCCAGGAACCCCAGTACAGATTCCTAGAAGCAGATGCGTGACTTATAGCAACGTAAGAACTATCAGGATATTCGGGCCTACGTGGAGAAGGTGCGCATTCTTTCATGGCAGGAGGCGGCAATACTACTCACCCGAGGTGATGCTAAGAGATTCGTTCTACTCAGGTGAGACGAAACCATAATATAGGTAAAAACAGCACCTAGGCCCAGGATGACATCTTAACTGCCTCAACCATCCTATTTCAACAACTGAATCGTTCGTAATTTCCACCTCGCAAAGTTGTCCCTTTCACCAACATTAAGATAACCTTACGCACAAGATGGGCGACTGCCATTTTAACGAGGCTTAATTTACCGTGAAACCCCCAAGACGTGTGCACTAAGCAGGAACTCAGTCCTGTCCCAAGGGATCAGGACAGAACAATAGCAATTCGTGAAACTTGGTGTGCCTAGGGGGGGGGGGGGGGGGGGGATAATCTGTTTTCGAGATCCCCTATATCGTCATAATAGATATTTACGGGCCAACGGGAGAGGGGGGAAATACTATGGCTGTGGGGCGCGTCCTCGGCTTCGTCATCATGTAACTTCAGGTACTAACCCCACCCACACGGCTTCTCAAGGAGGTCATGCTTCCTAGGAACGGATCGACCAGAACCAGAACGAGTGAACCGGCCGGAATTTTCTATATAAAACGCTTTAGTCTTATTGCCTTAAGAGGATTTTGCTTCCGAAAAATTCAAGCGGACAATCTCCACAACACCCTTCTTCATTTTTAGTCACCCTAGACTGAATATTCAAACCCCAAGCTCATTTTAAGCAGACGATCATCTCATAAATATTACTTTAATTACCACGTGAGCTACTGGTATGTATCGTAGAGCACTTGACAGCCGCAAAACATATAAATGCTTTTGCTCGAACTAACACCTACCTTTACAAAGTACTAAATCTATTTCTCTATCATAACGATGTACAAAATTATACAAGTTCGGTATTATTGTGGGCTGCACGACACGGGGAAATGAAGACGGCTCAAAATTCGATAGCGGCGGGGGCTGACTTAGAGTCTCTGGCTTACTCGCTGATGCTAGCAGCAGTAAAGGATCATAAAGAAGTGGTCGAACTTTTGCTGAGAACTGAGGGCGTCCACCCAGACTCCAAAGGCTTAGACGGACGAACGCCGCTATCGTATACAGCAGAATATGGGCATGAGGCCGTGTCCAAGCTACTGCTCGCAACTCCGGGCGTCAACCTAGACTCCAAGGACTCAGTCGGACGAATACCGCTATTATATACCACGGGAAATGTGAATATAGCTGTGTTCAAGCTTCTGCTCGTAATGGAGGGCGTCGACCCAGAATGTAAGGACTATGATGACTGAACCCCGCTATGGTACGTAGCGCGAGGGGGGCATGTGGAAGTAGCTAGGCTATTACTTACAACAGAGGATGTCGACCCCGACTCCGAGGATTCTAACGGGGTAACTCCACTATCAATGGTAGTAAGTATAGGCCGCGGAGTAACGGTTAAGCAACTTCTCGGAACGGACGGCGTCGATCCAGACTCTAGGGATTTTAATGAACAAACGCCGCTTTCGCGTGCGGCACAAAGAGGTTATCTGGAAATAGCAGAGCTCCTGATCGCGACTGAGGGTGTCAATCCGGACTCCAGGGACTCCAATAGACAAACGCCGCTTTCGCATGCAGCACGATTTGGGAAGCCGCCAGTGCTAGAGTTACTGATCGCGACGGAGGGTGTCAATCCAGACTCCAGGGATAATAACGGACGGTCGCCGCTATGGTAATATGTAGCAGAATATGATCATGGGGCTGTGTTCCAGCTACTACTTTCAACTGAGGGCGTCGATCTAGACCCCAAGGACTCATATGGACGACCGCCGCCCTCTTTTAACTTATATCGGCAGATTCGTTGGAATAGCTTGAATTTTCCCTCTTCTATCAAGGCCCGCTCATAGATTCTCTCTCTCTCACTTTTTTCTTTTTCGTTTATATCGCTTCTGTCCCGCGATACGCCCCTAAGGGTTTTTTTTGGCGGAATCCACGCTCATAGTAACCTCAAAACACAATTTCAGCCACACTACATAACGACCACGGACCCACAGGCGTTCTTCGATAAGGCAATTTCAATTGTTATCACCTAAGATACTGGATTATACCTAACTATCTTGCTGTTGCCTCTCAGTTTAATGTTTCTTGCTCGATAATCTATCCACACTGAGGCCGTGGCGGCGGGGCCAGGAAAGAGGTACTCAGTCTATATTGGACAAGTTGCACTTTTGTAGTTGGATCTGTTGAAACAGAAGTGAGTGGGCCATGTACGGTCAGCGTTCATTACTATAATACTAGGCAAAAGCGTGCTATAATCTATAATATATAGCACCTCTTTTTGTATTGCTCTTTAACCTAACGCGCGTATGTCGGAAAAGGCCTTCTGCACTTTCTCCTCCAACCCCGACGATATCTAGGCTCCATTCAAGACAATCTTTGGAGTCTTGATCTGGGTGTTTTTGCTAACTCCGTCTCACAACTTTTTTGGTTCTATCCATCTAGCCTCTTTCTAGGACCATCTATGCGCTCGAAGGACTCGACTGATAGTGTATGTAGATACGAGCACGCCGAATTTATTACACAAGAACTCTGCCGTTTCGTCTAGATATACAGAGGATTTCGAAAACAGTCCTCCCTAGACACCCACGCTTTCTTACGAATATGATTCGTCCGCTTTGCCTCTAAGTGATTGCACCCTTTTCTATTTCGACACACATGTTGCAGAATTCCCATGACGTAATGTGTGGAGGTCCATTTAGATGTACCCATTTCTTGACCTAGCGTCTTAGCGGTAGGGCCCAGAAAGAATGAAAGAGAGTACAGTAGTGAAGCTGGTTTTGTACTTCTCTGTACCTTGCTTCAATAGGCATAAAATGACCAAAAATATATTGTGCAGTGACAATTAGCCATTTCATTGGTTTACCAGAGAGGCCATTGTTTATCTGTCAAGTTTTGTACCAAGACATCCGGATTCAAGCATGTTGCCGTGGGATGCGTTGTGTGCAAAGGGCATGCTGGGTCTGGGAAACGTGTGGGTAGCTCTGTGCGCGGTCGTAAAGACAATCGGAAGAGGCTTCGCTGTTTATCCATAGGCCCGGAGATGATATCGAGAATTTGCCAGCTAGTTTAGTACAGCCTGTAGATAAGCGTGTAAAACCAAAGTCTCCATGCACTGCAGCACTTCCTGACCGCCTACGGCCACTCAAAGGAGGCGACAGGGGCAAGGGGTAATAGTAATAGTCTTTGTGCAAATCTCTCGAACCAAAAGAACATAGATGATTCGCCAAAGGATGGCTAAATACGCAATGTACGGTCATCGCCACATCGCATGCTCCAGTGACGTTGGACTTCGACGACGAGGCCCCCGGTTGCCAATGGCTAGCAGGTACACTCAACTCTATCCGGCCTTGCAACATTCTGTGAAGACGTTCATTGAAAGGACGAGTACATGTCGCTCGAATCCTTGTCATTGCTCAGCCCTTTTTTCATTTCAAAGCTCGATTTATCTCGTTCGGAACCTAGTACAGGAGCCTGCAATAAATAATTGCGGTTCATATGGTGCAGGATTTGAATCACCAGTCGTTTCATGTGCGTATGGGTGCTTGTTGAAGGGGGTGCTGACCATGCAGAAGATATATATTGGAACAACAGTACGACCGCCATACGACTCAAGCTGGAAGATGGTGGTTTGTATGATATGGAATTGCTAGAATGTGACCTGACTGTGTCTCTGATAAAGCCATCTAATTCCAGATGCGAATCCGACAATGAGTCGGTGGAGAAAACTATCGATAAAAATCGCAGGGAGCTTTGGCGAACGGCCCGGGACAGTCGCCTCAGAGCTACTTGCTTCCCCATCCTGAATGAACGTGGCCGGCTCCTGCGAGAATATGGCCTGGTGGCGCCCGCGGCTGGTCGTTGAAGCGATATATGCTCATTCTCCGTGATGGGATGATTCAGGGTCGAGTTCGGTTTATCGGTGGTCGACACTCGAAAGGGTGTTTGGGTTATCGGTCGGGTAGTGCAGAGGTCGTGCAGATAAGGTGGGTCTTCCGCCATCTTCCACATCACGCATACAAGGAATCTCCAGAAAGAAATTTCATCGCAACCGGACTGCATTGAGAAATACGGGACTGCAGTTCCCAGCGATAATCTTTGCATAGGTCGGGTTGTGGACAGACAATGGAGGTGCGAAATCTTGGGCCTGTACATGTGCGAAGCATGCCGTAGTGCAATGTGAGATGCGACAAGCTTTTAAGGACGTGAACGAACCAAACCGTTTACCACATCTGCGCGACCATCCAGTGTGTGTTTGTCTATACGAGACTTCAATATTAGATGGATTGAGTCCTCCTCAACATTCTTTGAAGCAACGAGAGTGCCGACGATAAGATTCCGGCCCGCAATTTCCTGCAAGGAGTCCAGCCGCACATTTAATCCAAGAGGCCTACACCCAAAAAGTCATCATGGAGTTTAGAGCAGTTGAGATGTTGAAATTTCAACAAAAGGGCGGATGCATGTTGAAAGTGTTTTATCGGTCGGCATTTAAATGCTTTCCCTCAGAAAGTCCAAGCGAAGACTGACATTCGATGGCGCCTGAAGTCTCCAAGCATAAGTACGTTTGAGTCAGAACCTATAATCGACCCCAGAGAACGACTCCCAATGGCTACTTCTTTGAGTCGTGTCAAAAAGGAACAGCTGCGGAAGCGTCGAAATAATCTTTTGCGCCGCCACAATGAATTTTGGCTCCTATACGCGATTAAAAGCTGGCTCATTATGGAAATGCCAGATGGGCAGATATTCACATATCATTCACATCCTGATAGGGCACCTCCAAGTCGTGCGAAAATCGTAAGCGGACCGTTTTGCTACAGTTGATTCGGCCTGGCCACTGAAGAGATTATAGGAGCAGCAATCCAAACCATCAGGACGAAAAACACCATGCGATTATGATGGCGTGGGGCAGAAACCGCAGCCAATTGAACAAAAGACCTCCACGGCCGAGCCGCTGATTCGTCAGGACAGTATCTGGGATCGACTGGCCTGGTACATAAAGCAGAATGGTATATCGAATGAGGGCTGATTCCGTTGACACGAAGGCGCATACTGTATCTCCGACATGTTCTAGACGCACCGATAGTAGATGTTTCCAATCTTTGATGAATTTTGACCGTCTCTTATTCACTGGATTAGTATCGACTTGTATTGTTGAGTTCTTTCAGATACAGAGGAAATATCGAAAAATTTCTCCTCTAGCCACACCATTCCTGAACCCCACTCCGACTATTCTAAGTCTAAGACAGCACATGGCGCGGTATCCAGGTAGAGGCTAGATGGATGATGAGTCGAAAGGGCTTTCGTAAAACTCGACGATCCAGTTTTAACCTGTTGGGGCATCCTGGCAACGTAGTGTACCGCGTGGCGAATTTTCATCGTACAAAATCTTAATTGCCCATTCGAGATTCAATTTCTATCTGCTTATTGTCCTTATAGATACATACTGCGCCACAAGGAACAAATCGGGCCAGCGGATCGTGCATGCGATCCTACAAGCTGCCACAGAGGTTCAAGCCGAGGGAGTTGCCCTCCGTCTCCAATGGGTGCCAGGGCACTGCAACAACCCTGGAAACGACGTGGCGGATCGACTAGCCAAAAACGCCGCGTGCCCAGGTAAAACCCACTCGTTCCGCCCGCTACTCTCGAGGGAGAATGCACGCCTGCGCGTCAATATCCTCAGCCAGTGGGAGCAGGAATGGAGATCGTCCAGCAAAGGCAGTCACCTACGAAATATCGACAGCACTCTACCAGCAACCTACACGAGGACGCTATATGGGAACCTACCCAGAAACCGGGCGTACCTGTTAGCGCAGCTTCGTACTGGCCACAACTGGCTATCTACTTACGCCAAGAAATTTGGCTTCCGTGACGACGACCACTGCGCGTGCGGAGCACAAGAGACTGTCACTCATGTACTAGTGGATTGTCCACTTTTGAGGGATATTCGAATGGAGTTACGGAGGGAAGTGGGGGACGCGTTCAGAAGCGTCTCGAGCCTGCTGGGAGGCTCAGCCGAAGGTAAGAAAGGTAAACCAGACACCGTCTCAAGGGCAAAAACGGTCAACGCCGTTTTAGACTTCGCCGAGGCGTCACATCGGTTTTGGAGTCGCGCGCTACGAGGGCAGCCTAACAATGGGAACGGCAGTTAGGCCACGGCAGGCCTTGACGAGGCTCTAAGTTCGTTTTTCAGGAAGTGGAACACTCTACATGTACGTAAACATATATATAGTAGTCGTATGCTGCATATCGCTCTCGAGCGAGGGGTCAGCGTAAATGACATCAACCAACCAACCGACTGTACTGCGCCATTGTCAACGAAGGATCTCTGACGTGGTCAAGGATGAGGGCCTGTCCAAAAAAAAGGATGTTCTGAAATAGATTGAGGGGAAGGTCCCATCTGCTATTTGAAAACGTGCTGACAGGAAATTTATCAGTGGCCACTCACTCGTGTAGTGCTACATTCATTCATTCCCTGAGAATGGCTGAAGGTGGAGAGTTGAGTTGAAAGTGGGGCTCTGTGGCTGGGTAAGCTTGCAAATATCAACGTTGAGCCATCCCTAGTGAATGTCCAATCTTCACAGCTGATGAAGTGTACTGTACCTACGAAAACTTTTCATGCCTTTTCGCCTTCGGCCACTCGTAACCAGATATGCAGATTTATAGGAGAGATGATGGACTATGCTGTAATTCCGCAGAAAATATTTCATTTTTGCCGCCAGTTGAGGTGATTCAACATCTGTTGAAGTAGGCGAGCTAGAGTTTGCGGCAAATCTCACAAGGCGCCCCACTTCGAACCATGGCGTGTGTCGATCTAGGCGGGGCACCACCTTGGATCCATAACTTGGTAATTGCCTCATATATATTGATGTTGAGGGTGAATCACCTTCCACAGTCGTTGAAATGTGGGTTCAACAGTGCGTTGAACCATGCAAATTGAGTTTGAGGAATGCCTGGCGAGAAGAAAATTCCTGGGACATTTGATAGGCCGCTTGGAGGGCATTATGGTATTAGTTGGTTCCATGTTGACCACACCAATGCATTAACTGGAAATACTTCGTTACTGTTGTTCACCAGCTTCAACGGTTATACGCATCACTGATATCTATTTACGTACTGGAATGCGGACCGGCAGATTTTCTAAAATAGGTCCGCAACCTTGTGTTAGCTAGACGTGGCTTATTCTGGCGTCGGTGATGAGTTCAGCGTTGGGTCGACAGTGAAGCGAGGGCCTTTGTTTGTGCTGGCAGGCCGAAGTGTCCATGCCTATAGGTTCAAGTAATCGAATTAGGGATTATTTCTCGGTGCTTGAAAATATGATTGTTGAGTCAACTTTGAACTGTGAACAGAAAGAACCAGTAAACTCTGAAGCTCCCATCATTTCATTGATCGTAGTCCAATCGTCGCGGTATTTCGAGGCCTTGACCTGGAATCCCGCTAAAAATTTGTTTGTCAATCAACGCTTTTTTAAACGATGCCATGTCCATAAACTCATCACGGCTATTCCTACACTACATGAGCTTGGCTTCTCTGGTGACAGTCTCAAGTTGGCATTCCAAGCGTCACTCAAATTAACGCATATTGAAGGTAAACATAATTTTCAACGGGCCGTAGATTTGGACAGCTTCACGCACAATTACGATAAAGGTTGCCACTGCTAGTAGAAGTTAAACTGGTGCTAACAACCATGTGAGGGACAGGACAAGTCGAGATGTCTATAAATACCCTCTACTCCCCCGGTCCTTTGCTCTAATCGTTCGGACTTGACAGTGCCATACACTATCATCGGATAGGCGATGAGTTCTTCTTCCACTATTAATCACCCCTGGACTCTTCCATTTCAGTATACTGATACAGACAGAGCACCTCGTTGACTCATGAGTGTCAGTCAGTGTCTTTGACAATACCGCGTGAAGACACGCTCCTTCGCTTTATTGACCATCCGGTTATCATCTCGCATTATCCTGTTTGAGCTTAGAAAGCCAACGAGAAGAAACTCGGGCTCCTTGACAAAAATCCCGTTTATTGGAAATGTCACGGCTGCCCAATCGAGTTGGCCCCTTCGCTATCAAGACCCGCCTTCATTTTCAACAGTGCAAAAACGGGACTATGATACGGGTATGTGCCTCGTTCCCCTTGCCTTGCCTGATACCAATCTCGAAAACTCTTTGTACGGCCTAGAATTGTGTGTATATGGCCTGAATACACAAGTGCATTGTATGTGGAACTCCCAATTCCCGATGCCCACCAATTGGTTAATGGCTGGCAGCAAATCGCAAGTTGCGCCTTAGAATGGAATCGCAAGCTTTCGAGCGCCACCATGAATGATTGGTACCACAAAGCTGAAGCTTAGAGAGTTTTTTCTAGCTAGCGGCGCTGGTAGTATCAGTGATCGCGCCACCCGTTCTACCAACTGTGAAACCCTGCGACCGGGAATGTGCTCCAAGAACGGGACCGGAATAGAGCTCGCCAAGGTTTGTGAATTGTTTGAAGCCACTCCAAGTCCTGTGATCTGAAACCACACTGCAATCAGCTGACCGACCGTAAATAGAGAAACGAGAAAGAAATGCGGTCGCCGCATGCAGATCCACCTGTGGTTCCTGAGACCTCCCACACTCCAACGCAACGACAAACCATTTTCAATGAAGAACTTCGAACCGTCAATTGTTTCTCGCGCCAAGGATCCCGCGCCGTGGAAACAAATTATCACTTTCGCATGCTGAACACTGAATTTGCATCCGCTGGAGACAATATTGTGCAGATCAGCTACTCGGCTCATTGACAATAGTTCGGTCGCGATTTTCCGAATTGAGTAATTAGCCTTGGGGAATGCTGTAATCTAGCCTCGGAGGAATGGAGATAACTCTTTTTTCCACTGCCTCTTACCATCAATAGATGATAAAGGCGTACGTGGAAGCATAGCTGGTTGGTTGTAAATAGGAGGGTTAGTTGGCACGACGCGTCGAAGCGCGTTAGTGCACGGAATCTTTTGGCGATGGCTATAGTCGCGGCTGAGTCCAGGATCCACCAGGGTTGCGGCGTGTGGGTATAAAGGGTCGTCACCCCCGCCCTCACGATATTGACCCTTGGTCTCTTGGAAGTCGCCGGGCACTGCCGTTCCTTCATCTGGCCTGATGATAAGATTTGTGTGGTATTTCTTGGTGAGCCGGAAGCACTCTGTTCAGCCTTGTCGGCAAGGGTCCTTCTGTGGAACGCAATTCAGGGTGTTTCTTTCAACAATTGACGGGCACATGCCTCGCTTCTTGCAATAGGAGCACTTTCGTGCATTGGTTTGGACTATATTAATCAATGGTCCCTTAATATAGTCCCGGCCCCCTTTGTGGTGGCGTAAGAGAGTCCATCCCCCGCACCGTCTGTTTGGCATTCGCTAGACGGTTTCCAACAGTGGTCGGATCAACCAGATCGCAATGTGTGCTCGGTCGCCAATCAACGCGGGTTCGATGGTATTCAATCGATGTACTAGCAGTTGCACGCCGTCGACAAATTCGCTCGCGTTGCCGCAAACTCGCCGGTCCTTTCGCGAAGCTGGGTGAACAGTTCGCAAAACGTCCGAGTTCCATGCGTCGGTACCGTTCGAGTTCATTCCACAGGTCGCGGGACGTCTCTAGCCCGGCGACGTGGATGCTAACGTTAGGGGACAGGTACCACAAGATAATATGGTAGGCATCGGCTTCATGTCGCGCCCATTCACGGTGGCGCTCGAAAGCTTGGACCTCCACTTCGAGGCGAGCATCTGTTGTATTGCAAAAGGAAGCTTGATTACTTCTTATTTCAGAGGGATACAAAGAGGCCATATATACAGCATGAAGTCCAAGTTGATTGGAAATCAACTTGGAACTTCGTATAGATAGTGCAGGAATTATTTCCGATGTTGCGGCTTCATTCTTGAGCAGCAACAGCCTCAAATCACAACAGCATCGATAGCTCGCTACATCACAGTTCCATTTAGTGGGGCTCCACTAGTGGGCTGATATCTGCCGAGATAGGCTTGGCATACTTGAATAAACATTTACGGCCCTGAAGGGTGCCCGCCACTAACGTCCCAGACCTGCCTTGCTTTAAGGTAGGAGGTCATCTGGCGTTTCCGGGTGGCGTAGTTTTCGCTTCCTGTCAGGGGCTCAATGGCCGCGACTGTTTGGTCGAAGGAATCCTGGACTGAAGCTGATATATTGTGTTGTTTCCGTAAAGCGGGGTAAATATAGTTCAAGATGGATGGACTTTCTGAGTGAGTAGAAACCGCACCCGAGAGGTTCGCTCTCGGGCTCATAACCTGTTGTCTTTCTGAGGAAAGTTGTTGAATTGTTGTTTCTGATGCGATACAAGAGGATATATATACACCAACGTGAAGACCAAGTTGATTTCCAATCAATTTAGTTCTTCATATAGAAATGCAGCAAGTATTTCCAGTGTTGCGGCTTTGTTCCTGATGTACACTTGCTGTATCGCAACAGGTGGTTTGAGGGTGGAAACCGGGAAACAAAATCACCCCCTCTTCCTCTCCCCGGAGCCACAATACAGTTACAGAGGATTTCGAAAACAGATTACCCCCAGACACACACGCTTTCTTTCCCAGCGTCCCGCTAAGGTTACGCTAAACTAATTGGGGCTAGATAAAGCCCCTTTCCCGCGGTGTAACGCCATATCATTGGCTGCGGGAGAATCTAGAGCCCGGGCGATCCGGGCCAGGCGCAAAAGTGGGTCATTGGGAGACTCAACGTGTATGTCTTGGGGGTAATCTGTTGTCGAAATCCACTGTAGAGTGGCTGGTAATTACGGGAAACTAACTAACCACATGCACGGCTCGTGGGCAAATGTGGCTCGGTACAGCGCTACCCGTGGCTCCTGATTGACCATGACGCTATCTTTGGAAAACTTCTCCATCTCACCTCACTCCAAATGATTCAACAGGGATGAAAACCATGAGAAAGTGGCGTGAGCCACAGGGCAGAAACATGGCTCGTTCCGCCGCTGTCACATGTTGCTGTGCCACAGGGCAAGTCTGGCCTGGGCCTTTCAAAAACATAGCAGCTAGGAAGGGATAGCAAATTGCTCGATCTCGAGCTTCGGAAAAATTGCCACCTCAAAACAATCCATACGTCCCGCACGCCGACGGCCGAAAGGACATGAGGCCATTGCGAAGCATTTATCATAATCGGTCCTGCACTTGTACTGTCGAATTTTGCAACATCATAAAAAGCGGATCCCTTAGCCACTGCTAAAGCTAGCCTACTCGAAGCATCATTTCGATTGAATATCAACGCCACCTGCGAGATCAGCTCGGTCTGGAACCTTCAAGTCGCTTTTCTCCTAGAATTGAATTTGGAACGGCAGTACATCGACGTGGAGTATGTGCCTTTATCTGATATTGCAGGAATATGTGCGAATTTGATCACAGACATGCCTACTTGTGGGGAGCAAATTATAGTGTCATTAGACCCTCCAGTTATTAACTGCGATTCCATGCGGCATGCTGTGGGCATTCGAGGAGCAATTCAGCTCTGCTTCATACTGCTCGAGCCTGTCATATTCTTGCAAGGAGACGGCAGGCGTGGTCACCATTCTGAGGGCAAGCCAGCTGTCACTCGCAGCTACCTCCATCTGAAAGTCACTCAACAGACCAAAATCAAGAGCATATGTGTCTCCTTTCAAGGTCTGGCCAGCTTCCAAACGTTGGGAGGTATGTCCTTTATTTGCCCTGGGTGCTAGCACGGAACCGCCGGACGTTTCACGAGCTAACGCATAATTCTATGCTCTTACTAGAGAGTACAAGAAAACAGAATCTGATCACATCTTGTCTTACCTACGTCGAGGACGGGCATACGATGCTCTCAGACAGAGGATACTACCGCTTGTGCGAGGGGTCTATGGCCGCTATAGAGACTGGCCAACATGTCAAAATCGCCGCTACAGCATTTTGGGACGAGCAGGTTTCTCCGCCCAATTATGATCCAGGAAGCTTATATCAATCTGGTCATCTGAGCGCTCGTAGCGAAAACCCACGACATACTATCAATAGTCATCTGAAAGGCAATTATGGGATATTTCCTGCCGGGGATTATATATACCCCTTCGAGTTTCTCGTGCACAGCTCCCTTCCTGAAACTATCAGCACCGAGCTGATATCTATTGGTTACTACGTCGAAGCTAAAGTCGAATGTCCTGGAATATTCCGTTCAAAAATGCGTTCGAAACTCGAGATCCCGCTTCTTCGATTGCCTCCAGAGCATTCGTTGGAGTTGATTGAGCCGATTATTATCTCTAAGGACTGGCGTGAGCTGCTCCACTATGAAGCTTGCATCCTCGGCAGAAGCTTCTGTTTTGGCTCGGGGATACCAATAAAGTTGAAATTGACGCCTTTCGTGGATCTGAAATGTTGCTGGATTAAAGTCTACGTGTCTCAGCACATCCAGTATTGGAAAATGGGACGAGAGACTCGCTTATTACAGCTAGGCAGAAGGAAAGTGCTTCTGTTCGAAAAAGAGGCTGGAACGGAATGGAAAAGCACTTTTCCTGGCAGTAGATTTCAAATCACTTCAGACGAAGACTCGACACGATCCGCAGATATGCAAACTTTAAGTCTACTCGGGAAAATACTGGAAACGCGTCAGATTGAATTAGAGGTGCAGTTACCCAGGTGCCACGAATTGAAAGAAAGGCCACAATGGCAACGGCTTCAAACAAGCGCTAAAGCAGGAAAACTTGATGTGAACCACTGGATTCAGGTAAGGAGTCGCCAAATCTGCCAAAGTGTCTTGATCACTAGATATTGGGCTGTCTATGCAGTTTTGTTAACGCACATATAGATCGTTCTGTGTCTTTCCGTGAAAGATAAGGATGAGACGGCCACGAGAAAACAGAATGCTTTCCAGCTCCTGATTATTGAAACGCCTATCACTGTTCTGTCCTGCAAGGCGACCCCGTCCAACATTTACGTTCCGCCATATACGAATGAACCCAATATAAATCCACTGCCATCACGAAATTTGGAATGCGATTGTGTTGAGAGTGACTTTCCAAAGACTTTCACACCCCTGCACAAAACCGACTTGTGCATAGCCGAACAATCCACGTCTGTCGAAACAATCTTGCCGGACATCTTGACGAGGCCACTCAGTTTCGACAGAGTTCCAGCGGCGTTAAGCCGCCAGCTCAAGTCCACATAGCTATCCGGGGTCTTCCTGAACTTTCCCGAAGAGCGAGCCTGTGAGGAGCGACCTGTGATGACACGCAGTGAATTCGAACGTGCGATCCTAATGTAGGATGTAACCAGGGGGCCAAAAGCAGTATGTTTGTTTTGAATTGCGCTGTGAATGGAATGACAGGTGTTTCTTCCGAACTATCGATTGCCCCACAATTTCAAGCGTCCAGGTAGCTTTTTATTATTCTTCGGTCTCAGCTATTAGGCCAAAGAAAGCTGTTCAAAAGGGCAAAAGCTTTTCCAAAAAGAAAAGCAGTTCTGCTAAATTGCTGTGCACCTGCGGCCATTTTCAGGTGTTGGTGTTAAGAATATACAGTATAACGCTTTCCGGCAGTGAAATAAATCTATATCTCAGACCAAGCCTTGGAGGAGTGCACGAAAAATACGCTGTATCTCGTGGCTTACTCCCTGTATACAACCTATTGATGCCATGTGTATGTTTATGGGTCCTTTTGGGTATCCTGGGCCTCTCCCAGCCACCGGTGGTAGCTACTGCTTCAATAACACACTCCACATGGGAGTTATATCATCTGACACTCTTCTCAAAGTAAATATTATAATATATCGTCTGTTCTGAGGGGCGCTCTTTTGGTGAAGCTTGATCTACTCTAGCAAAGGTCTCGTTTCCCCATTGTCTCGAGCTTCTTCTACCAAAAGTTGACTCTGTCCATCTCTTTGGCGGCATTTCCCAAAGATTCTAACCAGTGCAAAAGGCAGCTTGTAAAACAAAGTACCGAATGCCAACCCTTCTCCTTGGTCATTCAAGTTCCCGCGATTTGTTCCTGTCCAGCGACGCCGCACGCTGTTCGCAAGGTATGTGATCCCAAACCCGGTCGCGATTGCTGCCAAAGTCCCCAGTATTGAAACAACAACAGAGATTACCGTCAAGGAGCTAGCATTGCATCCAAATGGAAGAGTTCGAAGTTCCCATCTCTCCTCGAAACCAAGTGGACAGATGTGGGAGGAGCCTATGGGTGCTAGGATTGGTAGCCGTGCGGAGTTGGGCACGCAGGCAGAAGACTAAATAGAGCGGTTAGCAGGCTGGAATACAAAACTCCACTGGAGTTTGGTATAGCTTATTTACAAGGGTAACAACGGCATTGAGATAAGAAAGAGGAATCATGAAATGCACTAGTTGAGAGGGGATGAACAAGGCTGATAAAGCAAAACATTGTTGATCGAACGGAAGCCCTGAAATAATAAACTTTACAAGTAGGAATTTACAGTAAGAATGATCACAATCGCAATAAAAATAGGAAACAGGTATACTTTCCATAACAATTCCGCAGATCGAAGACAGTAAGCAGCGAGACTTACTATTGGGCACCAGCTGCAACCAACGTCACCCGCTAGGCATGACGAGCACGACTGGCGACGCCAGCAGAGGCGAAAGAGTAGATCATCCGATATCCCACGAGAAATATTGCTGTAGCGGCCCGTAGTCTCAACAGGGGCCATCATTATAGGGGCAAAAAGGCTGGTTACCCAGCTTTGTACCAAGGTGACACTGTGAATCAATGCGGCCTCTTGGAGATATAGCATGCTTTTCGCTTCGACTTATTATATTCTAGAAGACGATATCTAATGCTCCAGAAATGTGGACGGATTCTCTTATGTGCGCTGGCATTCGCCACCCGGGTCTAGACTGTCTAACCTAGCTTCCGAAAACCCGGGCCAATCAGCTTGCGATAGGCTGGAGTTCGCCCCCCAGCTCTAGGCTTGTCGGTCTACATTAGCTTCCGTGCATCAACTGCGTGTTTCCCACTTTGGTGGGCAGAAAGGCACGGATACGGTCTAGCCTTCCGAGATGATATGCCGCGGCAGCAAACCACGGTCAATTTTGCCCAATTCCATTATTCCTGTGGCTCCATTTGGTTATGAACCCAGAAGATGGCTTCAGATCGGTATTTATTTTAGGTAATGGGTAATGGCACGAAGGTACACCACTATCCCAAAATCTCTACAGATTGGGATCAATACTAGTGCTTTCTTATATTCACTTCATGGACTATTGTGGAAATGCTACCGATTTTGATTTTTGCGTATATTATTGTACACAATTTGCACTGTCGCGCGTTCGTCAAGCCCGACTTACCTTGTGTTTGTGGGTGATAATAGTCCCCTCTGTCTTCAGATTGTTATCTGAGCCGTATTGGTCCGCCAATGCCGGGAAAGAGTTAGTAGAGTCGGTCCTGATAGAGGTATCCCTGGTCAGTCGAACGCAGCTGGTGGAGAGTTGTGGGAAAAATACACCACATAAGGATCTCTAAGTTCATTAAGTTGGTTGGCAAATTATCTACAGATAATAGCACTGCGAGAGGATCCTTCTGGTCGCTTCAGAGATTGTGTTCAGCTCATTCTGCATGCCTGGAAAGTCGTATTCGTATCTTGGAGAAATGGCAGCACTGGGCTCGCATAATATGGCTGCCGTATCATATCTGATACGCTTAATACACTGATCCTGTTCGAATATAGCAGCAAGGACCGGAAACATCGAAATCCTTGGACGATGAAGTTCTGGATACTAACATACATGAGTCTAAAACAGTATAGAGCTACATCTGATTTGGCAAACGGGCCATGCCGCTTCACTAGGTTCCCTCTGTAAAATGATGCTGTCTGTCACCTCACAGTACGTAGAGGCCAGAACGTGGCAATGGGTCTCCGTCGAATTGGTCCTTAATGCACTGTCACTGCCTCGTGAGCTTTTGATATTCAGCTGTATTTCGCATCTCTTTTCGGAGCTTGGATCTCTAAGGCTTACAAGGCCGAGTCTGCAGTGTTCCGAACTAATACACAGGACTGTATTGAAATACAAGATCTGCAAACCCGGCGGAAGAAAATTTGTAAAAGCGAGCTGAATCTGTATAGACTAGTATGCATATGGACGAATGATAACTATCAGAATCATCAGAAAAGAGTGATTGATTGATTGATTGAGGAAGGAAACAGAAACGAATAGGAAAGAGGGGCAGGTTGAACTGTCCCATGGCGGTGTAACCCAGTATTCAAGTGACAATACTGATGTCGAGTGTTACCCGCACATTACATACAAAACATACAGTGGCGCCGCAAAAGTCTGTGACCCCCTGTACTGACCGCCTTCTTAATATAGACTAGTGTTCGACAAAACTAGAAGTGTTAGACCACACTATACTACTTAAGGTAGTTACTAGTCCAACATAGGTAGGCGGAGACAAAAGCGGTCAACAAGGGGGTCACAGACTTTTGCGGCGCCACTGTATAGAGACTATGGGTTTGTATAGAGACTATGGGTTGGTTATGTCAATGTAATAAACATCTCCCACTTTTCACGACAAAATTCAGCTGGTATTGCAACCAGTTCCGACGAAGTGTAGCTCACCGTCCCGATGTTGTCCCCCAACCTATCCCATCAGAAGCCAGCCGGCGCACCACACATTGTGATAAAACCATTCATGGTCTTGATTCACGAGCGAAAACTTGGTTTACATAGACTAAAAAACTTCATACAAAAACTAAAGAAAGGTGGGTTTTTAGACAACGAATCAGTTGCTAGTGATTCGGTCGACAATTCATGTGCTGACAAAATGGTAGCGCGTCTCCACCCATTAAAGCACCTGTTGACAGCTATGTTGGTAATATACAGACCTTGCTCCGCTCTTCAAAGTCCCCTAAAGCCTTATCAGCCAACGTTTAGCACGTACTTGTAAGTGTCCGGAAAGGCAGTCTGCACTAAAATTCTAAGATTTTCTTTGAGGAATTTGACCTCTTCACGGAGCTGCAAAATATTTTCGTGGGCTTCTTGGAGGATTTTTGTTCGCTTGACTCGCTGGTTCATTTTCTCCAGTGAATTGCCCGCGGAGCAGTGGTGGTCATCCAAGACCTCCTCCAGTTGTAGAAACTTGAGATTCACATTTTCACGATATCTCCTTTCTGTCAGGCCGTGGGCTATTTTTCGGCGTGTTCCATCATCGACGGTTTCAGTTTCTGGACTAGAAGTTGGGTTCGGAACAGCTCCTAATTTCGAAATGGTATTCTCAGTCCCGGCGGCGAGGGAGTCTGACAGAGATGCCCGGCAAATAGATTGAGTCAAGTTTCCTGGCACCGTAGGACAGACCAGCCCTTCGTAGTCACACCTATAGTCCTCCTTGTGGCTGATTTTGAGGTCCTCGAATCCAGGGGCATCAGCTAGGAAGGAGTCTTTCTGAAAGTTTTGTGGGAGCTCATCATCGAAGGAAAATTCCTTAGCAGAATTATTAGTATGGTTCGCCACGGAATTGGAATAGTGCCTCCATACGTAGTCGGAATTGAAAAGGAAGTGCGGGTCCACCGATAACTCCGAGGAGTTAATCCAAATCTCAGAGGAATTTCCCAATGAAGCCTCGTCATCGTAAATCCGACTTCCGGGGGATATGAAATATTGCAAGGACATGAGAGCAGCCTTTGTTGGCCAAAAGCCATCAATAACTTTCTCCACGGTAGGTATAGCGTGTAGATGGTAATAACCAGATCGATATATGGCAAGTGGACAAATGTTATAACCCTGTGCAAAATTCTTCCTCGCGACCTTATCTCAGATTTCTCAGAACAGATCCATATATAGCATTTTCGCACTCTGGGTTCGGCCGGCTCTCGGTCGTAGTATTCTTTGATCATAGCAAAATGCTCGGGATATGTGGGGAGTGATAATTTAGTGTAACCGCCACTTGAAGCGTCGGGATTTAATACCACCAATCATACCGGGAACAAATACAGGCAAATGATTTCAATCTTGGCTGGGAGGGGTAGCAGACAAAGAAAGAATTTTGTGATCCTGTTCGGATGAAACTATTCGGAGATCGGCGCCTACCAATATTGCTGTTTATCCCCGGTATCCTGGACCATGGTTCCTACTATTGCCGCATCTCGCTCCACAGTCGTGATATCATTATCACGGCTTCACTGTTTCCCACAAATCCTTTGCTTCAGTGTCAGATTACTCCGTACTCGCCCAGCAATGGTGTCAGGGGAATGTCTTCGCGCTAATTCACATGGGCGAGCTGAGCGATATATATTGGTCCTGGGCGTTTTCTTCTCTGCTACACACTGTTGGTCACCGTGGCTAGTCAGATACTAGTCAATACATCCTCCGCGTTCGACGCGTATTAAGGGTTCAGAATTTCACATCTCTATGGACGATATGCACAAGTGGTCGGACTGGACAAATTTTGTCAAAATCGATCGTCCAGTCTGGAAGCACACCGTGTTCCTATTAGGGGACTACTTCTATTTACAGGTGACTAAGACGGGGCGCAACTGGAGGGAGATACTAATAGTAAAAAAGAGATCGTCATGTAATCACTCCTGCAATCACTCCTGCTGGCGGGAGGCTTGGTCGGTCCATGGCCTAGACCCTCAACTTTCGAGCCCAGATCCTTGGTCACCTGATACCCCAGATTGATGGACCTTGTTGGCTTTGCAGAACCGAATACGGGACCTACGGTGAAGACTCGGAATTGCTTGCAGCTGAAGCCCCCTTCGGAGCCGGCCGAGGAAGGAGGAAGGTATCATGTTCCTAGGTAGCTAAGGTGATCTCGGCCGGAATACACCAAGCGAATAGTTGAATCCGAAACTCTCATTGCACGTACGCCGTGTACAGGGCATAATCTAACTGTCTAAGCTGAATCAGATACATACACAGTTCCAGCCAGGTGTATACCGTTTTCAACCCGCCAAATAAAAAAAACCTCTGACATCAGAAGTCAATTTGAATCTCCCTTGGCTGGTAAACCCGGCCAACAAGCCACGATCCGAGTCATCATCCGGTCCGGCCTTGTCCACGTTTTCCCTGTCCGTTTTCGAGGTTTGACTCCCTTCGAAGAAAACTCAGGCATTATATAGCGCTAACACAGCCGGGGAACAGGAGAATTCTGGTTTCTATGGTTTCATCCAATCCATTCTCGACTTTGAACTTCAGCTCGAAGATTTTCGTGATATATATTCTCCTTCCCGGCTTCCTCCCCCCAAACCGGCTCATCCATACATAGTACAATACTGTACATTCACAAACCAAGCAATCAAGCTCGGTCTTTTGACCAATTACTCCGAACTACTAAACCCTACATTGCCCACGATCCCCAGTCTCCTGCATCGATATTTATAGTCATCAACCCCGCCATGCAGTGCCAACAACACTCCTGCAGGGTCGCAGCCTCCTCCCAACCTAGTCCAACCATGGCATTCAACCATACTGCTTTATACAAACTTTCTCTCGACAACGAGAGCTTCCTCGACCAACAAGTCAGTCCACAGTCACGCCTAATGGAGCTATTCCCTACAACGAAGGCCTCTGATCCTTTGCCGGGCGATTGGTCCTACGACAGCGCCGTTGATCTGTTCTTCCTCAACCTGGCCGATATGGATCCCGTCTCCTTCAATTTTGGTGATATGACAGCAGCCGACTCCATGGATTCCTCAGGCATACCCGCAGCCATCGGCGGGTTTAGCATGCCCACAGCTGAAGACACCGTCTCGCTCTCTTCAGTATGATACTCACCACTCACTCCCACCATATCACATGTGACATCCCTCGACTAACCGCAATCCAGCAGGATCTCGATAGCGGTACACGCCCTTCAATCGGCATGGCCATGACATCCCCCACATCCTCCGCACCATCAAAACCATCCACACGCGCCTCCACCAACTCCCTCACAAACAACACCAACACCTCACCGTCAGCATCAACATCCTCCACCCACTGGTCCTCCAGCCCCGAAATCAAACCCAAAGAATACATCCCTACCCGTACCAACAAGCGCCACAGAACCCGCTCTCTTTTCAACGAATCCACCACATCTACCCAATCCCAAGCCCAACGTTCGACGTGCACATATGTCCCCGCCCCAAAAGACTCCCAAGGCCGCGACGCCGCGAAACGCGCCGCCCACAACATTATCGAAAAGCGCTACCGCACGAACATGAGCGCCAAATACCTGGCCCTGGAAAAAGTAATTTCCCCAGCCGGTGTGCAGAAATCGTCTCCCAGGAGAGCGAGCACGGGTGCGGGGTCGCTCAAGAAATCCGAAATTCTGAGTAGTGCGTTGACGTACATTGAGGGCATTCAGCAGGAGAATCTTGCGGCGCAGAAGGAGTTAGCGCTGTTGAAGCAGGGGCTTGTTTCCGGGGGAATGTGATCCAGTCCTGAATACATTTCTATTGTTCTTCGGATTACATTGACCTTCATGATGATTCTGTCGGGACATATCCTCCCGTCAGAATAAGCAAAGATATCAAAGCGAGCTGAATCGGTTAAGACTAGTATGCATATGGACGAATGAGAACAACCGGAACCATAAGAAACACGATTGATTGATTGAGAATCTAGGGGAGAATGTGGAAAAGGGGCAGATTATGCGGTCTCTAGGCGGTGTACTCTGGGCCAATCCTGTGCCACTGTAATATAAACCTCCACTTTCTCGACAAAAGATAAGCAAAGACATGTTAGTTACCTGTATGTTGTACGTGATCTTGCTAAGCTGCGGCCCCCCGTATGGATTCAGGGGCATTGGACGAGGACCTGGAACACATCTATCATATCCGAATCACTCAACTTTTGCTTAGAAGCATCAATTGTCTGCTTAATTGTGTACACAGTACCTAGCTGGTGATACCAACGGTATGTAACAAAACGTTGTGAAATCGTATCTGCTAGTATACACTCTGACGAATGAGGATCAGGCGGAACCAACCCAAACAGGATGAATTGATTGATTAAGAAACTAAGAACATTGAACCTTTGCGAGGACAATTTGAGTTGTCCTTGCTTACAAAGACGGGATTCGGAGTTGGCATGGCCGAATTCCCTAAATGCCAACACCATAAACTACGTACAAGAGTGGACACTTGGCGAACCAATCAGTTGTGGGCGTAAATAACGGGTCCATTTTCCTCGACAGTATGAGCTCATTGAATCACGAGACAAACCATCCTTGCAAGAACGAATAATCTGAAAAGCAAAAACTCCGAAGTGCCGCGCAACCTGAGCGGAATAGATCGTAATGTTCAATCAGATTCAGGAATCGCCCATATCTGCAATACACATCCCAATGATGCTCTTTCCTGGTACAGCAAGCTGTGCGGCCCAATAAGGATATTGTTGGCCTTGACCTTGAACAATGTATCAGAACTGAGCCCTTGGCGTGACTTGAGCTGACTCTTCTTCGTGCCCTTAGTCAAATCTATATAGTAGAACAGGTACTCCAATAGGGCTATTTTTAATGCTGGCTAGATTCTCCGTCACCCATTCGTAATCGCTAATATCATCCAACACAACTCTAGGTCACCTTATTATATCTTTTTGTTCGGTCTTGTCTCTTGGATAAGCTGCGGCTCCCGCCGTATGGCCTTGACGGGGAACACCATCTATCATATACACGAATCAACCTTTGCTTAGAAGCATAAACTGTCCACTTAACTGTGTACACAGTACCTAGCTGGTGATACCAACACTTACTATTTTGGTGCTTGGTGCTGAGTGGTATATTGGCTTTGGGCGTTTTCTTCTCTGCTACACTGTTGGTCTCTGTAAGAATATACGCTACAAGTCAGGGTAGAGGCCTGTCAATCAGGTAGGAGAAAGGAACCAAGTCAGATTGTTCAAAGAGAAGTCAAAGACTGTTTCTTGAGGAACGTAATACCTCCTCATCACGTCTCAATTTATGTACAGTCTCATCCGGGGAGCATACCCCTGGAAACCGACTCCGGGCTGAACCGCACGGCCGGGGACCAGGTCATTAGGACAGCACCTAGCTCGACAACTAGCCAACATCCTACCAGCCGATCCCTCTGCGGGCTTTGACGGCGCTCGGCACGGCGATAGCAGTGGATTTCCAGGGCGAATCATCATCCAAAGGACCGAGGACGCTCTCACTGCGGCGCGGACAATGCAACCAGGCCACGCGATCTGGTCAGATGGGCCAAGACCCGAAAATGGCCGAAGCGGAGCCGAGATCGCCTGGCAGGAGACTTCCGAAGAGTGGAGGACATGGAGCTTCCCCCTTGGAAAGGGACAAGAGGTCTTTGATGCAGAGCTTGTGGGAGCCGTGCAGGCCCTCCAGGCCGCACTGAAAATGGATGGCAGCGGCCCAATGACAGTTCTACCAGATTCCCAAGCGGCGATTGCAAGGCTGCAACACACGCAAGCAGGCCCCGGTCAGGAACTGACACTTCGAGCACATGCAGTAGCCAGGGCTCTACAAGAGCGAGGCCGAGAACCCATCATTCAATGGGTGCCTGGCCATTCTCGTGTGGAAGGGAATGAAAAAGTTGATGAGGCGGCAAAGCTCGCGGCCAGTTGACCAGGATGCCATCCAGAAGGAGTCGCAGGACTCTCACTGGCGTTTGTCAACCGGACCTACACGGAGAACATCCGAAATCGCAAAGAAGCCTGGCTTGCCCAGACACTAGCAAAACGCTCTTGCAGCAGGCAGCGAGCCTACCGACCCGATCGAGGCTGGACAATGGACCAATTGAAGAGTGGACATGCAGCCATCGGAGCTATCCTCCAGAAGGAGTCACTCAAACCTTCGCTGGCGACCGTTGCACTGACAATCAAAAAGCGGTGTATTGTCAAACTGGCGACTGTAATTTCTGGATACATCTCACAGAGTAAATCAATGTAGGGGTGGAATCAAAAAGAGATTTTCCCTATTCGTATTCGAAAAGATCTTTATATGGTCTTATTCGAAACCGGAAATATTTAGGAGACATTGTTCGTATTCAATATTCGAATATTCGAAAAATATCCGTTCTTGGCAGAATTTCAATCGCGTGAAATGATTGGCTGACGCCCAAATAAATCTCGTCCGACTTAGCGTGGCTTCGTCGCATACTCTTTGTTTACCACGATCTCCTCATAAATATTTCCGACATGATGTGAGATATTTCAGCCTCTATATTTTATCGCAATGAGCAAGAGCTGTATTTGTTCATCACCTACAATGGATGATCCCTCTCCTTACGTTCCGAGACGATCTCAACGATCACACAGGGAGTCAGCACGTCTATCTGACTTGTCATTCCCGCACCTTGGTATTACTCCCGCCACCGGTTTCACTAATTCACTTAAATCTCTCCGTCCACAATGCCTCCATACCGCTGATCCTGCTTACCGTGCCGCATTTCAAACAACGATGCAGTCGCGAAGGGCCTTCTTGCCAGACTTGCGTTGCTCGCGGTAATTCCTCGCCCTGTGTTTATGAAGACACGAGTCCTCCAGGCCGTGATAATCGGCAGCCACGACAATCCAAGCGACGGGATCAGTGCAAATCCACCTTGGAATGTCATCAGATGCAATCCCAAGAGTCGCCCAACAATGGGACAACAGTCCTACAATATTGCGGTCAAACAATGCAACCCGCCACCCAGCATCGAGACGAAGAACAAGCTCCCCACGTCCGTTAAGCATCCTTCGTGCACTAAATCCCTTGAGATATTAACAGAAGAACACTCCTTCAACGAGACCTATGGGAAAATGAACAACGCCCTCCACACAACTGCCTATGACTGCCTCCCTTCTACGACTCTATCCAATAACGTCTTGTGCCAATCAAAGCTTTGTTGGACGAAAGCATACTTGAAATGCCCCTCTTGGTAGAGTTTATCCTACGGTACTGGTGTGTTGGAACCCAGAGCTGACGATTGAACAGGCTACCTTGCCAGTATCATACCATGGTCCAATGCAGCTGAAAAGAAGCCGCATACAATTCACCAACTCCAGCTAGTACTGAGCTACCTCTTCATTCCTGCAATGCTTCCCGGAGATGAAGGGGCATTGTGGCGTATCATCTATCGTAGCGGAAACGACTGGGAAAAAGGGTTTGTTTTACAATACGATGGACTGTTGTCGTGGTTTGTCAGCGCACGCGAGGCTTTAACCTAATCTGAAGACCTACATCGCGTGTCTCTGGAAGATTTGGAGCTCCGGATCAGGTACACCCTGTTCATTCTAGGACAACATGCATCGCGTCATTCAAGTTTCTTTCATACATGCTATCAGCGACTACTTCCTTCATATTGGCCTTCTGGGACCAAAGCAAGTATCGCGCTGATTTACCACACCTTTATGGGAATCAAAGCCACAGACCTGGAGGGATGTGAGTCCAAGGAGATCTGGTTACGTGGCGAAGAATTTCTTTCCACGATGGCTTTCCAACTAAAAAATCGCCACTTTTTCAAGCCAAGATCTCAATACACCAACTACAATCGATGGTACCGAGCCTTCAAAGAGCCTTCCAGCTCGAGGAAGTCCTTGTCGCCTCGACAAAGACGCAGAAGATCTTCAGTAGAATGATTCAGACCGGATGGAGTTGATGAATTTGACGAAAGCCACTTCGTTCTAGGCGAAGGCAAGCGCCAGGCTCTCCAAAAGCAATTGTACTGCAATGAGGTATACGGTGAATCAATCACTCTAGTTGAGTGAAATTGCTACTGATGACTACTTATTGGCTCCATTTTAAATTCTCAACGGCGATGTAGAACCGAAATTAACATGCGCTGGGAAATATACAAAAATGCCCAGAAGCCTGCTACGAATATGATATTACAGTCAATCTACAATAAGTACTCTTGTCATTGTTGACTTGTTATCATATTTAAGCCTCTCACAACAGCGGGACGTTGAAGCATTTCCTTGTACCAGGAACTTAGAGCAGGAAATTGCTTAATGTCAATGCCGACGGATTTTGCTTCAGCAACGTATGAGACATGGTCGACATCGGCAACTGTGCTACATTATAAATTATTACCGGTACTCAAAGTGCTTGGAATCATGTTCTAGTCATTTACCATTTATTGTCCACAATATACCGTGTTTGGGTTGAGTACTTGGAATCATGTTCTAGTCATTTACCATTTATTGTCCACAATATACCGTGTTTGGGACCTTTGAAGGTGCCGCTCGAGGACGAGGTATAGCTGCATTGTTTTGTCCGCAAATCGTGAGATACCATAAGATACTTTTGCTGGGGCTTGGGGAAAGTGAACCGCCTCCTTGTGGCTTGGTCCTAGACGTGAAGCCAGGAAAAACAGCCAGTTATTAACTTCAGTATCTTCCGCAGATGAAGTAGGGAACGAGAGCTTGTGACGTATATCATAGTGCGCAATCAGGTATTGGGAGATTGCTCCAGGTTCTTGGAGTCTGAACCTCTGGCTGTTAGAGTGATTATCTGTTAATATCGGAAGATGGCTGTGAATATCAACAAAGTTGAATGTCTCGTCTGCAATTTCTTCGATGTGGTTAACGACGCAGAGATAGTAGGGAAGCCTTCAAGTAATCAGCGAAAATAGGGTTTAACTAGGGGGAAAAAGTATTGGGTTGGCCCACCCCAGTTCTTCAAGTAGAATTATTATTTCAAAGCCGTTTGAAGAACCTTTTTTGATGTAGAGGTGTATGGACTCTTTCTTGTCGGTATGATCGTTCATATTGGGGGGTTGGGGGTGGGGAAAATGGTCACAGGATGATTGGTAATTGGCGCTTTAAAAGTCTGCGGTGCGGGGAAGCAGGGAAGAGGCGAGTTCAAACCAATTTATATGGAAACTAGATGATACGCAGGCAATAAACTGGTCCAGCGTACCATTTAACCCAAGGTAACTGTGTTCTTTCGAGCGGTCAATAAGACACGATTAGTTAGATGCGGGCGATTACGCGATTACATACATACAAAGATACCTAAAAGGGACTAGTAGCTGGTTCTTAATGTCGTCCAGTTTGACAATTCCGGATATTCATGCATCTCTTTAATGTCGGGCTTCTGAAGGGTGAATTGATTGAATTGATTACTCGGATCTTCCGAGAACAGCGGGGCACAAAGTGGCGGTTAAAGTTCTCCATGAAACAACCCGTCACTTGTCGGGTAAACTTTCAAAAACCGAAGCAATGCTTCGTGGGAGCCGCGAAGCCTGGATAGTAGTGATATCACCACTGTGGGGCGAGACACGGCGATTGTAGGAACCATGGGCCATGGTACAATATACATTGGATCAACAGTAATATTGATAGGCGCCAATCTTCGAATATCTCCATCTGAAACAATCTGGGCGGGACGATTTCAAAATTCTTTTCTTCACCATCTGCTGCCGGTGACTAATATCGTTTTCTTGTACGGAGTGACTCACAAAGTCCATGGCACTACCCGTTGTTGTTCGATCCAGGAAGTTCAACTGTCTGAACGTAACGATCTGGTACTGAATGCCGATCAGACGGTGCGTATACCGCCGCACTCCCTTCATAATATTCATATTCTTCTTCGCCATTGTCACCCCGCCGCTCATACGAACATTACGACGGATGCGAACGCGATATCCACGCTCCGCAATAATGCAGCGGAGGGAAGTGCCGGTCGCCAGACGAAGGAAATTGTGCGTGCCGTAAACAATGAATGGAATCGACTTCACCTCTAGACGGAAATACAGATATGTTAGCGGTGATGATGGCTTTGCTGCATTGGAGCCGGATACCTGGTTTGGTAGTGCCGGGTTCGAATCTTGATCAGCGTCCATTACATTCTTAATCAGTTCATAAATATAGAAACTCAAACGATATCGGCTTTCATGATGCACCGATAAATCAGGGAAGATGAAGTAGCCGGCTTGGGAAGGACGATCGAGATATGCCACCCTGGCGACTGGCACACCTTTGAGACGGGACACGACCGTAGTCCCGCTACCCGCCCACGGGAGATGGGGCGTGCTGTACGCAAAGTTGCGTAGAGAAAGAAGTTAGCATTATAGGTGAACGTGACATCGGTCTTCTGCGCTTCGTATGCAGGATCAGACTCTGAAATACGCAATTCGACCACAGGCGGAGGGTCAACAGGGCGGCGGTCGGCGGCTGCTGTTCGAGATGAAATAATTAGCAAACCCCTCCAAGACTAGACACCTTAGAGGACACCATGGTAAGAAGGCCACTCACAGTTGGCGCTAGCACCACAGGCTCTGGTGCGCTCTGGTTGTTGTATCACACTCAGATTGTATGTGAGTTCTTGCCATCGCGAGTGATCCACTGACGGAGTCTGCGTCTCGATATGAGTCGGCGTAATGTGTGATCGGGCCGCAATGTTCAGTATGGTATTAATATCGTCCTCTAGGGAATAATTTTATCGGTCGTAGCGAGATCAGCAATCGGATTGGCAAGCGGTGGGTGGAACAGTCACTAAACTAGAAATAGTCGAGCATGAGACATGTACGTGGCCGTGATTGTTTCTTTTCTGTACTTTTCTGGTACGCGACCCGATCGCGTTCGAATCGGACCCGAGGCGCTTCTTAGTCGTTGTCAATCCCCCCCCCCCCGCCAAAACCTCATGGGAGTTGATTTCTTTTGTTTCCTGGTGGCCACGGTCGCCTAATTAAACCCTTGTTGAGTTACAATAGCCAGGCGGTCCATGGGCATGGGTGGAGTCAGTCTAGATGACTGGGACCTGTGGCCGGTTCGAATTTCCATGGATATGGGACTGGGTCACTGCCTCATGGTAGAATAAGACCTGTGCGACGAAAGATATGGCAAAGGGCGTGTACAGTATCTTCTAGAAGACTGCTGCAACGGAGCATGCGGACAAAGTCGCGACATTTCCGGGAATGAGAATCTGGTTGTTTTCATGTCATCTCGGCTACGTTTTAATCGGGGTATTGGAGTGCAATAGATTCTACAACAGCCCCGAGGGTCTTAAAGGGAATGCCGAGTAGCTTTAGAGGAATACGAATGCCATAGCACTGAGTGGTGACCACCTTGTCGCAACATCTGCATTCGTTTTGATTTCTATCCGGCTGTGGTGCTGCGACTAAATTAGCCGAAATTCTTACGGTTTCGGATCTCAGTCATCTTGTTCGTTTACATGATCTCAAACGGCCAGTAAAGGAGGAACCGGTCCAGGTCACGGTTGTGACATTGGTTCGGAAGCGACCATTCAATGGGCTCAAGTCATTTATAGTCTACTGTCGTCAGACTACAAAATTGTTGTGAATCAGTTTAGTGGATAATTGAGCTGGTACGATTCAATGATATAGACCTTCGAGAAGCTACTAGAATTGAGTAGAGGGAACGGAAAGCCAGTCCTCGAGGTTGGTCTTCTCTCAGGTGCAACTCTTGGCGTAGAAATTATCTCGAAGCCGACGCATGATATTACGTCACGACTGAAGCGACATCGACAGTATGTCTGGTTACCTTGGTATTCCAGTGTCAGATGATGCGAGAGCCGCCTGTGCCGCTAAGAATGTGGAATGAGGGTCTTTAAATTTAGTAAAATTTGATTAGACATTCTCATTTTGTCAACGTGCTCTGACGACTGCCTAGTTACTCGCTGGCCGCATGCTAAATGCCAACGCCGACATCACCTCGGATAGCGGTTGGTAACCATCGTTGGTTTACACCAAATGATCAATCGATCACCCGATCGATATTTCGAGACGTTATAATTGGTTTTGCAGATGGTTTAACCGTCCCATTTGCATTGACCGCAGGCCTATCTAGCCTCGGGTCCTCACGACTTGTTGTCATCGGTGGACTGGCAGAGCTCCTTAGTGGAGCAATCTCAATGGGAATGGGTGCATACCTTGCCGCATTGACGGACCGAGAACGTTACCTTAGCCAGGAAAAATCAGTAAGGGAAGACATTGTCTGCGGTCAACATAGTGAATTATCTGATATTACTGGGCTATTGGGAGACTATGGGGTAAGCAACGAGGTGAGCGAGTGCGTTGTAAACTGTCTTACCACAGAAGATACTTTGGCCAAGGTAAGTTCTAGCCACTGTTTGGAGACGACCCATGATACTCATCCATCACTACATTTTATAATGGAATTCAAGTTCAATTTTAAGAAACCAAAGAGATCGCGCGCATGGTTTTCTGCTATCACTATGGGGCTTTCCTACTTGATTGGTAAGTACCGCTCTTGGCAGCCTTCTCCCTAACCCCATGAACATTGCTTATCTTTGAAGGTGGCCTCTTACCAATGATTCCGTACTTTGTGACAAAAAATGTCACCCGTGCATTGTTTATTTCGATCGGTATCACTACAGTCGTTCTGTTACTTTTTGGATTCATCAAAAATTACGCAACTATAAAAATGACGCGATCTGGGTTATTCGGGGCAATCCAAACGCTCTCTGTTGGAGCTATAGCCGCGGGTGCTAGTTATGGTGTTGTATATGGCATTGATCATTCCAACCTTCATTGACCTTCGCCGGCTATGCCTATTGAGTTTTGTATATTAGTATACGGGATAGCAACAATATCGCCTCGAGAAGTAAAGAAAAAAATGTTTGAGGTCGAGGCTCATTTATAACTGCGCGCAATATGATTTACGCGCTGGGATTGTCCTTGTGTACGTACACGTACGATGGGGATTTTCCTAGGCCTAATTCGGCTATCGCCGTGGAGTCAGCGCCAGGTGGAAAGACTACGATTCTCCCTCCAAAAGCCACGCACAATCGTGGCCTTTTCACTGTCACCCCGATTTACTCCGTGCAGTATCTCCTTTCTCCGAGTATCCACCAATCCTGGTGCTGCAACAATCTGGGTCAATTCCATGCCACTGATAGAAACCCCACTTTTCTCGACAATAACTCACATTAGAGCGTTCCACTATCCCGGCATACTACAGACGCTACCGGTAGATACAGAAGTGCCCACTGCCTGCCAACTCTGTGATCAACTCTGCGCCGGATAAGATCTGTGTCAATCTCTCAACTTAGCCGCAGCCTTTGAAAGTGGATGTGATGTTGGCATGTTTTTAGTTCTAAAATAAACTTCGCTCTTGGGTTGTATTCCTTTTAACGTGCGGAATTGTTGATAGCGGACTATACACTACGTGTAGACATAATCCGGCCTTAAACAGTGCTTGAGCCGGGACGGTGGTGTCTGTTGTGTTGATGTGTTGATGTGTTGATGTGTTGATGTGTTGATGTGTTGATGTGTTGATGTGTTGATGTGTTGATGTGTTGATGTGTTGATGTGTTGATGTGTTGATGTGTTGATGTGTTGATGTGTTGATGTGTTGATGTGATTGTTGGGATTATAGCAGAACTACAAAAACGTACTAGACCTAGCATGAAACTCATCGGCACGGTGAAGAGCTAGGTGTACAAGTTCCCAATTTCGCGGTCGTACTAGAACATGATTGCGGATCTGTTCAGGATCGTGATAACGAACGGCTAATTGTACTAGCTCGTCGAGCTTCTACTAGAAGGCGCTTACGGTCACGAGATCTCGTTGATCACACATCAGCTCAGGATCACGGAAAGCTTCCTGCCTAATAGTAGATGTACGATTTTCATTCTCGGCGACGGCGTGAGCGCGTTGAAAACCAGGATCCTGAACCTTTCCGAATACTGGATCGGCCGCGTCGAAGAGATAAAGCACATAGGGATGATTCCAGCCACGCCCGAGATCTGGATCGTCGCTCTATCCCCGGTTCATGCGAAAAGTCGAAAGAGTTGACTAACCGTCATAACGAGCCGCTGAATTCGGGTACCTCATAAATTATAGCACCAATAGCCTCATGAAGCTGTTTTACAACACGATCCTAATCCAACCTAAAGCGTCTCCATATTCAGAGTAGCATGACTCTTAGGCCTGGGCAGGAGCCTCACTGCCAGCGTCAGATGCGACGCACACAAGACGATAATAAGGATCGCGACCTCAAGAATGGACTTCAAGATGTTCCAGCCTAGCTTCAGTGGCAACCAAGGTGATTATTCATGCACGGTAGGCTGATTCCAGTAGTGATAGACTAGTGAACGTCTACGCGAGCCTGAAGGGGGGCCATATGCAACATCAACGTATCGAAGAACCCCTTCAAGATCGAGATCAGCCTGATGCACCCCCTGGCGTGGTCATGAGCAGAAAGCGAATTCTAGCCCTAGCATGATGCTGCGGAAGAAGTATTCTCCCTGGTGGCCCCTTTCTGACTTCTTTTCCATATGTAGTTTCACGATCCCGCACATTTACGTGATCATGATCAGGGGCAGGCTCACGTCAATCTTCAGGTTCAAATCAGTGGCACTGCTTGCGCAAACCTTTGAAAATCGTCGACGACTTCATCTTCGGGCTCATCGACATGAGCATGACCAAGAGTCAGACCAGGATAAATTCAATGCACGATCTTCCTCTGGTGCGAGGCCGTGAGATGTGAACGGAGACCTTCGAGACCGGAGTGATGCTTAGGAATGACAAATTGTGCTACAATGGGATGAATTTGTCAGAGGCGATAATCGTAGGTATTGAGAGAAGCAGATTTATGACATGTGCTCTCAAAACTTGAACTAACTATGAAAACTTACGCAGAGTTCCAACAAAACTATCGTACCTTTATTGTCCAGCATTTTGAGTAAATCCCAGCGAAAGGGATTTTTGAACCATGGACTGAGACTTCGTGGAAATACTTATGACCATTAAAATCGATATGAACTGCGTTTATTCTGCAGTCAAGGTCACTGTTAATAAGAAGGTAGAGATACATATGTACAGTTTAATTCGATCGTAGTACGGAGTAATGTAATCTGACTCATTTATCTAAAATACCAGCCAGGTTCAAGATAGGAATTAAACATGTATTCCAGGTTCAATTTGACATATGGTATAGTTTAAACTATATAGTCAGCCTGTAAGGACATGAGACAAATCGGGCAGCTATTATGACCGGCTGAAACCCAACCTTCGAGACACTGATCGTGGAATACGTGGCGACATGGAAGCGTGTGGATTAATTGCGATTTTGAGACCACATCGAGACATATTGGACTGGTTTACCATCTCAATTAGTTTATATCAAGCTCTTTGATATAAATTAACATTTACCAATTGAATACACGATCAAATTCCATCAAGCCATCCCGCTCCGTTTGGACGGATGCCCACCAGACCATTAGCGGCATTGTTGGCACCGCATGCTTGAATTTATTCAATCTTCGGGCGTTGCATTCATTAGTGGGGAGTTGCCATGTTGTGCGTATTTCAGGATCTAGCGGCATAGCGCGCAGGAGGTTGACGTTGGAGAACGCTCTATTGTGATTAATTAATTTCTAGTGAAGTGACGTAAGAATTTGTACCTACAAAATTATAATGGCAGCATATATTAAAATGATAATGTACAAAGTCAGCAAAGGTAAATGCTCATCTTGACCAGAATCGGGTCTTGATTGGATCATAATTTAGTTTGCCTCACTGGACTTAATGATCATCGTTTAGCGGGGTCATGGTGGTACTATATATTACGTTTAGAATCATACGTAGCGTATCATACGACAAGGGATCAATTTCGTCGTTCAGCCACAGTTGTGATATCCCACCGAAAAGGTTCTCGAACTGAGAGGTGGCATTTTACCACAAATGATCAGGGTTCGAGTAATGATTCCATACCACTAACTAGGCCTAGACTGGTCATGCCACGCTCTGAGTTGGTTAGAGGATGATTGGCTCATTTCCACACGGAAAAGACAAAGAACGAACGGTGATTATGAAACCAAGCGGGCTGATTGTCGTTACTATTGGATCGCCACACTCAGAATAGCAGCTTGGATTAAATTCGGAACCCCCGCCTCACCATTCCGATCCGCATGATTTTACCCATGGCGACTTGTCATTATGGTTTTACCCTGCGTAGAAGTCCACGATATGGGGCGCGCCACTAAACCTTAACTCAGATGCCTACCGCGGCTTGCTGCTCTTGGATAATAGTAATCGATTCGCTCTTCGGAAGCCCCACATTGATAGGTGGACGAATATAACCGATTTGTCATCACAAGCCAGACACTAACTAATGAATTCATTCTTGAATTACTCATGTAGGTACGTAAATTACTTACTGTAGTGGGTTCGGCGACATGGTAGATTTAGTTGTTCTCGTTTTGCTGGCTTGTGTGTACGGCGGTTTTTGTTGGGGGCAACCTTAGCGAAAACCCGGTAATAGACGTGAAAAAGACATGGATGGGAGATGGTAGACATGCAGAACGGACGACGCTGTGGACGAAGGGATGTACAATCGACGAAATTCATTTTTGAGTTTGATTCTTCTCGTTTCTTGTCTCATTCTTCTCTATCGTGTTCGACTTTACGTCTACATCTGTCCTTCGCTTTCTCTCCTACCTCGGCCTGCCTGTACCAACCGGTCTGCTTGGGCTTCCCCACTTTGCTATGTACGAAATCTCGATAAATACATTCTTGTAATAACATCGCTGCCTTCCATAAAACAAGGGAAACTGAAAACGAGGGCAGGTCAAATTGGGGAAGTGGAATCTTGTATGTTCGGTTCATTGGTAATTTGAGATTTAGTTTCACCCTTTGAACTTATAGCGAGAAATATCAACCGGATAGTAACTACTCACTGCTAGTTCACATTAATATAGTTACTCAAAACGTGTCTATTTCAGCAAAGGCCATGTATCTGAGGGATTACATGGCTGAGATTTTTTGACTAACAAACCGGGATGGATTTTGAGTGGAACGAAATGCTCATTCTCCCATCATAAATCAACCATGGAGAGACTGTTCTTGAAGGTAGATTTAGGGGTAAAGGCTGCCTCAGATTCCAGACAAATCAATCTTGCTTGCTCCAGGCGTTATAACAGACTGATCGTCCCTGAGAGGTTTAATGGCCTCAGTGCAATCAAACCAAATATAGCCGTCAAATTGTCCGTGCATAAATGCTTGAGAATAATGAGAAAGCCGCTCTGTGTCAGGCCGGTATATAACACCAACGAAACGTTCAAGACGATTCTCTGCCGATAAAGCCCGATGTAAAGCAGGATCGATATGACCATGACGCAGATCCAGTAGAAACCTAGAGACTCCAGCCTTGTGGGCTATCATTTCCCAGCTATCTGGTCTGGATGGTCGAATAGTCATGATTTCCAAATCTCCATCCCACTCATGGGCTGCGGCCACTGTACCAGTATGAGTGCCACATCCAAGGATCGCCACGTGCTTGTGGCCTAGGTGTTCCCGACAAAGTTGCCCGATGTTGAGTTCGCCGCGATGCAATCCCATGCTCGTGTAACGAGCATCCCCGACGTGGGAATTGTGTGCCCAAACAATAGCCTTACAATTCGACGGGGGGTTTGGTCCAGATTTTGACGGAGAGCAATGCTGCAGAAGGCGGACTAATGTGTCAAACATGTGTGTATCACGCAACGTCCATGAGCTAGCGGAGCTCCAATACATCGCTTTATAGTATCTCTCTGCATCTCGCACCAGAAAAGCATTTTGCTTTCCACTCTCGTATTCCTCCCCGTCTAGAACATCGTTCTCAATATAATCCAGTCTTTTCTTCAGGAGATCACTTAACATCTGCGTGACAAATAGTTCGCAATCCCTCATACCACGCAAGGCCGCTAGACCGTAGGCTGCAGGATCGTCCACCCAAGGATCCAGACAACTATATCTTTTCTTGGCTTCTTTAGCTGCTGCTGGGTCGACACGGTTAAGATAATCGATCACAGACTGGATCGACACGCTCATGCTATAAAGATCCAGCCCGTAGAAGCCTACCCGTCTGTCCGGTGGGCGTGTCTCATTCCATTTGCGCATCCACTGGATGAGGTCTCGCATCTCACAGTTACGCCACATCCAAGTCGGAAATCGCTTGAAAGGTTCAGAGCTTTGGGCAGAGCTTGGCCTGAGGCGTACATAACGGTCAATTAATTCGGCGTCTGGCCAATCCGCTTCAACTGCAACAATGGTGTAGCCATGTCTCTCAATGAACCGTTTGGTAATTTCTGCTCGAGCACGGTAGTGCTCCGACGTGCCGTGACTTCCATCCCCTAAAAGGACCACCTGGCGGTCCGCGAATCTGTCAAAGTGGGATGCAAAGCTAGCCTCTTCGATAGCCGGAAGAGGCTCTATGGCCCTATTGAAGAGCTCTTGGATGGGTGTCATGGATTTTCAATGATGACCCCGAGACCGCATAAAAATACAAGTGGTCAAGCATCGAAAGCTTCTATTGAGGGTATAGCACGCTGTTCGGTACTGTCTTCGACTTATATTTTAGAAGATGATATCTATAACTGCCTCAGAAATGTGGACAGATTCCCTCATCTGCGCTAACATTCGCCACCCCGGTCTAGACTGTCAGTCTAACCTAGCTCCCGAAAATCCGAGCCAATCAGCTTGTGTGTACTTGTGATAGGCTGGCTCTAGACTTGTCGGTCAACATTAGCTTCCGTGCAGCAATTGCTTGTACAGTCTAGCCTTCCGAGATGATATGCCGCGGCAGCAAACCACGGTCAATTTTGCCCAATTCCATAATTCCTGTGGCTCCATTTGGTTATGAACCCAGAAGATGACTTCAGATCCGTACTTATTTTATATTTCGAACCAAGACGCTCTTGCTCCTTTTATAAATCTGGACGACGTTGTTCAGTTTGTTCGTTCAAATCTTCCAACTTGTTATTATTAAGAAATATTTTATCTTTCTCCCGTGGCAGTAACTAGAAGGACAGCCAGCTGACCCGTTCTAGCTATTTCCACCACTGGGGCAGATGAATTCGCATACCAAAAGCAGGAGTGGCAAATGATGGAAAATCAAGTGAAGACAAGAGCGAAATCATTCTCAAACAAGCTTCCTGGGCAAATTGACAATATGGATCATGAGGAGCCAAAGGTGAACCCTTCGGAGGCTGCAGTGAAACATGAAAAGGAAGATTTTCTTGCAGCAGAGCTTGAAAAAGCAAGTCTCGAAACCAAGGCCGTTCCTATGATTGGAGGTCAAAAGTCTCAGCAAAGAAAAGATACGGATTCACACAAGATTCTCGAGGGGGGTATTATTTATTTCTTTTATCGATCCCGAGTTAATCTTTTGGGGGCTCGTGAAATCGACGATGTTGCAAGAAGCTTCATTGTTCTTCGTCCAGCACCTTCGGAGACATATTCGGACCCAAAAATGGATTCATTTCAGTTCGGGGAAAAGTTTCGACTCCTTGTCGTGCCCAAGAAGGTACTCCCGAAATCTGGGGGGATAAAAGAGATGGGATTTGTGGAAAAGGCTGGAATTACCCTAAAAGAGCTTCAGGAGACGTTTATCGCCGCGATAGATTATAAGACCCAAACTCACGGCACAAGGACCATACCAGAAGCAAAAATGTACGCAAAAGGTGTCTATGTGATTTCTTCAACAAAGCGAAGCTCTGATTTGGCCTACATCCTTACATATCCTAAGAGACTCGGTCCTGTCCAGGAAGACTTCGGTCTCCATCAGCGAGGAAGTTGGATTGTGCAGTCGAAAAACCCGAAGCTATTTAGTCCGCCATCCATGAGCCTTCCTAATAAACCAGAGTATCCTGAGAGGTAAGTCTGAGTTCCTTAGTTCTGCTCAATGATCCTAACCACCAAGGTACAGTTTTGATGAAATTTTCGGCGACCACCGTTGGGTACCATTGCAACCTGATTTAATTAACTACCCCAGTGCACAGTTCCTCCTAATTGGCCGGTCTAGACACAAGGAATTCTCCATTACAACTAGGGTGAAACTTGAGAACATAGAGGAACCAGATAGGCAACTGGAGGAAATAGCACTTAAATTGGACGAAAAGGAGAAGAAATTTCGGGGTATTATTTATCTTATCTTTATAGTCCTTTCGTGATTAGAATTGGCTAACTCTCCCTCTCAGGATTAGATCCAGTTTATGGTGACTTGGGATTGGAGGTCCACCACTATCCCAAAATCTCTACAGATTGGGATCAATACTAGTGCTATCTTATACTCATTTCATGGGTCGTGCTGGAAATGCTACGGAGTTTGATTTTGTGTATATCGTATTGTAAACAATTTGCACTGTTCCGCGTTTCATCAAGCCCGCAGGTCTCGGGCTACTTGGCTGATTTCCCATTTCTTCGATCACTGTAGTTTTCTGCCCTGTCCCAACAAACCACCACCTCGAATGCGATTAACTTGATTCAGGCAAAGCTATTCGACTAAATTAGGAGACCTCAATGCTGGAGTGATTGTAGACATCGAAAACTAGGACTTTGACTTAAAGGGTTTGACCCCGACTTACCTTGCTTGCGGGTGATAATAGTCCCCTTTGTCTTTAAATTGTTATCTGAGCCGTATTGGTCCGCCAATGCCGAGAAAGAGTTAGGTCTAGTCGGCGCTGATAGAGGTATCCCTGGTCAGTCGAACGCATCTGGTGGAGAGTTGTGGGAAGAGTACACATAAGGATCTCTAAGTTCATTGAGTTTGGTTGGCAAATTTTTCTACAGATAATAGTGTTGTATTTCAGAGGAAAATTCATTAATTCTCCTTTCTGATGATATGCAACAGGTTAATGTATACACAACGTGAAGGACTCTTGATTTCTAATCAATTAGAAATCAATTTGGTTCTTCATATATAAATAAATGCAGGAATTTATTTCCGATTTTGCGGCTTTGTCCTGATGTGCTGCGTCTTGTATCACAACAATCTGGGCATCCATTCAGCCTAGAAACGATGGCCACATCACTGTCTTCCCAAGAGCCGGGGGTATAGCGTCCAAACTGAGAGATTTAGTGCTCTGTTCCAGAGATCCTTATATGGATTCCGCTGTAATAAGATTTACATAGCGGTGAGCAGATGTGTTGACAACATTTAAGGTACTCGGGAGGATCACGCACAAGGTGGCAGATTTTAAATGTGTTGGATGCAGATTATCCGATGGCGTCCGATAATAGTAAGCATCTTGATGTAGCCCTTATTGTTTGTCAGAATATCCATTTGGGGGGCCTAACATACTCGAACGGCAACGGCAAAGTAGGCAAATCCGGCCCGCCTACTGAATTCGGGTTGTCGAGGGTCTTGACGAAATGATCGGGCAATCATGTGTGAGATTTTCATTCTGAAAAAGTTGTTACAGAGCTGGCTGTTTAAGACCTGGATCAGACTAATGACATATTACCTAGCATTTCGTTGTTGGTATCCTAAACCCTGTGTTCTCCCCAAGAAAACACGATCTGCCCCATTCATTCGGGAATTTCAAGGATGTATCGGCCAGCAATCTTGCCTTGTTCTGTATTGCATTAGCATCTCTATCCACAAATCGGTAAGTAGCATCGTCACTTGGAACACATACCCATCAGCTCAAACACCTGCGGCAGGTCCTTCAGCGGAACAGTCTGGAACGGCGCCTTGATCAGGCCGCGGGAAAAAAAGTCGACAGCCTCGACCCCATCTTGGCGGTTACCGACATAGCTGCCCTTAATCTCGATCATCTTGACGACGGTCTCGAAGACGGGAGCCTTGAGAAATGCGTTGGCGGGCATCCCAATGGCCACGATGGCGCCGCGGGGGCGGACATACTCGATCGCCTGCTGGAATGGCTTCTCGGAGACAGCGAGCAGAATTACGGCGTGGACACCTAGCGCTTCGTGAGTGGCGGCCTTGATGTCACCGACGAGGTCCTTGGATTTGGTGAAGTCGATGTAAACCTGGATATCGGAGTGAGCTCGAGGGCCACCATACCAGGATGATTACTAGGGAAGAAGAAAAACGGAAAGTACCTCGGAACCAAGCTTCAAGCACATATCACGCTTCTCATCTCCACCATCGATCGCAATGATGCGCAACCCCATCGCCCGCGCATATTGCTGCGCCAGCGAGCCCAGGCCACCGCCCGCGCCGACAATAGCAATCGTCTGGCCGGGACGCGCACCAGACTCCTTGAGACCCTTATAGACAGTGATTCCCGCACAGAGGATGGGTGCCACTGCATCGAGAGGCACCTCTTTTGGCAGCTTGGACACATGGGTCGCCTTGCCGATCGCGTACTGCTGAAAGGTGCCGTTCACAGTGTAACCCGACAGCTGAGCTTTTGCGCAGAGCGGCTCGTCGGCGGTCTCGCAGAACTCACACGCTAGGCACGATCCGTTTAGCCATTTGATACCAGCGTGGTCACCGACTTCGATCCCCTTGGCCCGCGCGCCCTTGGCCACCACCACGCCCGCGCCTTCGTGTCCGCCCACCAGCGGCAACTTCAGCGGTAACGGCCAGTCACCCTTCATTGCGTGCAGATCTGTGTGGCATACTCCTGAGTATTTTATTTTCACAAGCACCTCATCTGGGCCCGGCTTGATGACGGAGATCTGCTTGTACACCGGAGGGCCGCCTTTCTTTTCAACTACCTGGGCCCATTGGTTCTCGGGGATGGTCGGGGACATTTTAATGTTGTGTCTGCTTTAGAGCTATGGTTACAGGATTATGGTGTGAGAAGTAGGAAGTGGTTGAGGCCAAGTGAGGCGTAGGTGAATAGAAGAGTAGGCGAAGACTGCCTAAAGTGTTTGCCAGAGTGTAGCGGGGAACGAGCAGTGGACTGCCACTCAAGGCCAATTTCCAGTGGGCGTGACGTGCGAACACATCCTGCAAAGTCCGATACGTTCTGTCAACTTGACAGAGGATATTTTACCACTTTACCACCAGAAACATGAGGTTCCACAGGGATGTCAAAATGAAATTTCAAAATTTCGAAATTCCTGAAATTTGGTCGCTTGAAATGAAATTTGAAACGGACCTTGAAACTTGAAATATGCGCTAGTCCTAAATAGGCAATAGATAAATCAGCTGACCAATCAAGGCAACTGGCTGGTTCCGACTGGGGCGGTGGGAAATCACACCTAATCTTCAGTCATTGGCTTGGTCAGGTTCAAGGGAATGATGACTCATCAATGCCAAGATATATTGAATTAAATTGAAATCGGAAAAAAAAGTGAAATTTCAATATTTCGAAACCCATTGGCCAATTTCGAAATTACAACATCCCTACCACAGGGTCCCATTTTCGCACTGTTTTGGTATTGTATGGAAGATTTCCTCCGAATACCAGCGTTGTAACACGCCGAAAACTGGGCCTTTGAGCCGTAAGACGCCTTACCATTCAGAGCAATAGCTTCAAGAATATGATATTAATTAGTTCCCTTCAGCTATTAATATGCTCAGTCCCAGACTTATCACATAACTAACCTGAACCCGAGAGCTCTCAAATCAAGTATTCTTCAGCCATATACCGCTGATCCCGTAATTTACTTAAAGAAAATAAGCAAAATACAAACTGTAATTCATAGACTGGTCTCGATCTTCAGATTTCCGTGTGAGGTACACATCAAACCCAATAGTACGTATCCATGACGTACATTTTCGGCAACTTACTTTTGCACCCTGAAGATTAAAAATAGGATATTGGATATCCATGGATATTGAGGATGCTGCTGGAGTCTAGATACATCAAACACCACCTCCCTACTAGATAGATTCTCTTCTTTCCTTTCTCTAGATTTGATTCCTTCGTTGAATATACAGGATTGTTTCAACTCCCTCTTGACTGTAACAATTTATTCAATTTATTCAAAGTACTAGAATTTACAGTGTCCTGTTTGTCATGCATTTTGAAAGCATACAACAAACCTATAAGCATGATAACAACCATTCCTTCATAGTTTTGCTGCTCGCGAATTCTCTCCGATCCCCAAGCATTAGATCCAACACTGGAGCGACATGACCTTCCCTTGGTGCCACCACGGTTTCCATGTTGTAGGGATTTGCAGTCTACCTCCAAATTAACAGGGGCAACCTTGTAAGAATGCCACATGCCACACATACCGCAAGAATCTTCGCAAAAGCTTGGTGAGAATCGACCATAATGTCGTCCTCCCCTGTGAGCAATAGTAGTCGACGTGCACTCAGGTCCATCCACCACTCCAGTGGTGCTTTGAGAGGTTCATTGTACCAGTCTGAAGGCATGTTTCCCAGAAAGTACTTAGCATGGATGCTGTTAGGAAGGAGCGGAATACTATCTTTCATTCTATTCCGCTCAACAGATGGCCATCTCTGGTCAAACGTTACCCAAGGGCATAACATCAAGGCTCCAGCAAACGGTTCATCTGGGACAAAACCCCCAGAGATTCGGGGATGTGGATGTGAGATGTGTGACAAAATCCCAAGAACCAGATTTCCACCAGCAGAGTCACCTCCAATCACAATGTTGCTGGCGAGCTTACCTTCCTCTTCAATCAAAAACCGTAATACGTCGAGCCCTTCAACTAGCTGGGTGGGATACTGTGCGTGAGGAGCGAGTGAATATGACGGCACAAAGATGGCAAAATCTTTCGCAGACATGCGCAATGCATTGACCATGTTGTTCAAGAATTCAAAATGGGCTGGTTGGGCAGGGGTATAGTAGTTTCCACCTATGTCTTTCTGATAAGTTGTTGCTCGTAATGACGTCCGGCAGGCCCAAATGAAAGGTTATCGTACCGTGAAACCATACCAAGATTTTCGGAGCGTCATGACTCCCAACCCAATGACCTTTCCCAGTGTTGCCCCATATCACCGTTCGTGACTCGACACCTTTCGAAACCGAAAAATTTTCATAGGAGGTCGCTGTGGTGCTAATTCTAGTCGTAACGCAAATTGTCAGAGCAGTCTAATATCAGAAGATAAATGGTTTTTCGCACGCACTGTATCTGTCGCACGGTTAGGCTCGATGTGAGCTTCCGCAGAGCTGCATGCGTCACATGAGCTCGGTATGAACTTGAGACATTCCCTCTACTCAGGGGAAACGTCAAGGCGGCGAAAAGACCTGTCGCCACAGTATGTAAGCGTGGAGATGTCAGGGCTGCACACACAAGCCTATTTCACATGTCGTACATACAAGCCTTGAGTAATTTCCAGGCTAGGTCCGCATACTCTAGTATTGTGAGACTAGTTGGGTGTGACATCCTGTCTGCGTCGTAAAACACTTTCTGGAGCTTGGGACAGTATTGTTAGATCAAGTCGGAACTCTAATCAAGAGCGCACGGAGACACTTGGACAGAACCTAGGTGGCAAACAGATTAACAACCAAAGTGGTTATCTAATATCCTCCGTGACCATTCGTCCATGGTTTCCTCGTACATTTCCGGCGACTAAGCTCTCTCGTTTTAATGAAGTGGAATGGTTCCAACTCATTGCGAGAATGTTAATTGCTGGAGTGGAATTTCGGAATCGAGACCAGATATATGACGTCAATGACCCAATGTTAAAAGGGCGTTTTCTGAACCAGCCGGGACAAGGTGACATTTAACGTGACTAGAGCCAACCTATAGTCATAATACTTCCTTTTCTTTCAATACTGTACTCTTTATGATGGGATATTTCCTACAGGTTGGCATCTGCTGGTAGAGACCACTGGACGTCGGCCCGAGTATGATACCATTTTATTCCACTACCCCACGACGCTAGAACAACGTAAAGTTCTCGTTACAAAAGCTTCTCCAAACCAAGATGCCCCGCCAATCCCGACTGCCGTCAAATGTCCTTCTCACCAATGGCCGATTCCCTGTTTCCCTAGACCTTGCCAGGCAGTTTACCCTTGCAGGATATAACGTATACTGTGTAGATCCTATGCGCTATCATATATGTCGATTTTCCCGATTTGTGAAAGGGAGCAAGACAGTACCATCGCCACGTTCTGATCCTGAAGGTTATATTAAAGCTGTGAAGAAAACCGTCAGATCATGGAAAATACAGCTTATCATACCCATACATGAGGAAGAGTTTTGTCTGGCAGAATCTAAGGACCCAGAGATTCTGAAACGACTGTACGCCCCCCCCGTGGGAAACGATCATGCTTCTTCATAGTAAATGGGAGTTTTCCAAAATGACACAAGCACTCGGGCTTGACGTACCGACAGCATATCTTTGCAAGACTATGGAGGATATCCAAAATCTTGACCAAAATACAGAATGGGCAGTCAAGCCTGTTTTTGGGCGGGCAAATACAAATGTCCACCACCTTCAGCCAGCAAATCCTTCTCCACATATACAGGTTAGCGACAAGGTTCAATACGTTGCCCAGGAGTGGGTTCGGGGGAAGCCGCTATTGCTCATATAGTGTATTTGATCATGGGTCCCTCAGGGCGCATGGAGTCTACCCAGTTCTCGAAACGATTGATGGTAGCTCATGTGTTTATTTTGAGGCATGCAGCCATCCAGGAATCAGGAAGTACGTGGAGCGTCTCGCGGCAGGTCTATTCCAGTTACATGGGCAGATAGGCCTGGATTTCATCGAGACTAAGGACAGGCTGGTGGCCATTGACTGCAATCCTCGAGCAACAAGTGGTATCCACCTTTGGACCGGAACCCCATTTTTGGCGTGGGCAATGGCAGGCACGCTAGCGGCCGGATCTATCAACCCGCCGTATACAAAACCCGATCGAGGAGTTAAGACAGAAGTAATACCCGGAATGTTCATGTGGGATCATAGAAAGGTGACCCTGAGACGCTATTTGAAGCATCTTTGGAGGCTAATAGCGGCACATGATGTTATATGGAGCTGGGTGGATTTTATGCCGTCGCTCGCATCCCCTTTCCTGCTGTCGTACTATTATATCTTATGTCGGCGGCATGGTTTGACGTTGCCCGAGCTGTTTCAGTGGGATTTGATATGGGAGCCAACTGATGAACAACTAGAGAAGGTGGGAACTCTCAGACAGAGGATTCTGGAGAACCAGGAACCCACAAATGATGTTCAAAGGAAGTACAACGCATGATGAAATGATAGCCAAAGGGTTGAACAAACATTCCCTTCGGGTGTATGTTGTATAGATTTCCCACAGTCCTTGCGTTTTAAGTTCTGAGTATGTTACGGGGTCTCTCATTTTGCCAATAGAAACATCTCTCGTGCTGTGCCGCTGATGTGATAAAGTTCTTCCCTCTGTATTTTGCCTTCCTCTGCATTTTCAAAGGCAAATAAGACTAGTACGTTTCAACAATCAAGGAAGCATTTGATCTCCCGGGACATGTCTAGTTCCGGAACTACCTAAGGCGTTTATTTGGCTTATACGACTGGTGACCGATTTTCGCGAGCGTAGCGGATTTCTCGTAGGTAATTCGAATTCATGATGTTACCCTGTAGCTCATCTACAAGATATGCGAATTCGATACCAGTTTGTTGCATACGATTAATCTTATCCTCTAGCCGCTCTTCTAGCATCTTCACGCGCCTAGTCTTTGACGTACTAGCATTGGATCAATCTCTAGTAGCCGATGACGGCGGACTTGGTGCATTAAATCCGAAATCCTCCCCGATATCCTCGACCAATTGAATTCATCGAGTACTATCTTATGATTGATTGGCCATAGGCCTGTCAGTTGAAAGCCTTGCTTGATTGTAGAAGGTTTGAAGGTCTTCTGCCGAACCTGTGTGATCGCACTAACGAAATCGTCCTTCTCATAGCCGCTGACGGTTGCTTCGTATAGACACTCACTATGCCAGTGCTCATATTCACTAAAATACCAACGTTTAGCGGTTGAAGGATATGACTGGAGTGAGGAGGTTGGAAGAAGAGGATAATTCGGTTATCCTCGCATTACTTAATGAATTCGTACGTAAGATGCGAGCCGAATTGATCGCATATAACCATACGATATCTGCCCTTAGCTGTATCCACTATAGGGCAAGGATGTTATTCAAATAGCCAGTATCGGTTAAGGAAATCCTCTCATCATCTACTATCTCGAACCACCGCTGCAGAAGGATCTTCTCGCTTAGGATTACTACCGGTGCGATAGTAATTTCAATGGCTGAGACCGCTTCAATAGCAGTTGCATACTCGCGATTAATACTGAAACCGCCAGAGATTTGGCGCTCAGGCTCGCGGGTAATAATTCACTGGGCTTTGCCTACACCGGTATCGAAACCGGTCTCATGGAAGTTCCAGATACCGTCTGAAGTGATTCCGTTCTTAGCAATTGCCTCCTTATAGAAACTGAACCAATCGCTTGCAACCTGCCTAGTGTAGTGGGGGAACCGCTGACGGGTCTGTAGTAGGCTGTTAGTATTGGGTGCTTGGGTCTTGCTTGCATCTTGGCATACAGGATTTGGTGTTCATCAACGCCTTCTCTTTCGTTTAAGGAGGAAATTGGCTATCCAGGAAGAAAGAAGGAGGAGATGCTTCATGGGACAACCGACCGTTCGTTCGAAGTAGGTTGCTCTTACTAGTCGCTCATTACGCTCAATGGATTGATCCTCTTCGCATTCTTCTCTCGAGTACCCTACAGGCTACAGAAATTTCAGAGGGGAATAAGGATCTTGTGCGATGAAGCTGTCTTCTTAGCCGGATTCTTCTATCTCTATCTGTCCTCGGTGCTTTCCTCTGCTTGGTGGTGGTTATCCCATTTGTGCCTCGACTTGTCTGTTTTGTTCAGACTGCCGTTAGTGCATCCCCCTGTTTACTAGTTAGGCACTTCTTTCTCTCTATATCCATGGCTCGCTGGCGGCGAGAGAGATACTCAGGATGACATTGGAGGAAGCGTCTTAGCCAGTGGTCGCTGATTGTAGGCGGTTTAGTGGAATTTCCGCGATGGCTGCTAGCCAGGATTGCATTAGCAGCAGCCGCAATAACCGGTCGATTAGGAGGACAGAAGATCGAATCGAGGATATCTATATGCTGGCAAAGGGCAAATTCTTGCGATTCATCCGATCTGCGACCGTTAGGTGGCCGTTCAGAGAGTGATGGGCGACCCTGATACTACGCAAGAAGCCACTGGTACGGCATGTTTTTAGCGCGCGCCTATGCCTTACTTAGGCGATTCAACGTTCTCTGATTCAAGAATGGCCAATTGGACGTGAGATTTGATAGATGCATTTTCTTTCGATTTAGCCATGGTTGTGGCGGGAGGTCGCGTAGTGGAAGGTGGTGTTTGCTATGGGAAAACGCGATATCTTTTGGGTGGGAAGTATCGTTTCTCGGCCTCGTCATGTTCGTCGCCACAGGCCCTCGTCTATCCATTTTGTTTGGTATGAACGGGAATCAAGGGAAAGGTTTGCAGGTAAACAAACCCCAGAGTGGTTCCAGGTTGTGAAACAAAACGATGATCAATTTTTATGGAAGAAATCAAAGAGCCTGGCACATATTGCGCTGTTCAAAACAAAGAATATGCATCATTGTCGTTGCACAAATTATTTCCAGTATACGGGGTTTAGCGTGCGAGCGTCCCCGTTCAGAACTTGAGAGTTTTAGGTATTTCCCATGGGAAGCTCTGGTCGGTGAAGTGACCATTCTTGGCTGTCTTGAGGTAGATGGGCTTGGTCAGGCCCAGCTCTCGCACGATTCCACCAGGCCGGAGATCAAAGTTGTTGCGGATGATCTGCACCAGTTCTTCCGACGACTTCGATGAGGTACCATATGTCTCGACGAAGATCGACAAGGGTTCTACCACACCAATTGCGTACGACAGCTGGACTAAGGCACGGCGCACCAGTTTGGCGTTGACCAGAGACTTCGTGATCCAGCGCGCAGCATAGGCAGCCGATCGGTCAACTTTGGAATAGTCTTTGCCAGAAAAGGCGCCACCACCGTGGGCACCCCATCCACCGTAGGTGTCAACGATAATCTTACGGCCAGTGAGCCCTGCGTCACCCTGAGGACCTCCAATGACGAAGCGGCCAGAGGGCTGCATGTGGTAAATTGTGCGGTCATCAAGAAAGTTAGAGGGTATGACCTTGCGGACGATTTTTTCCTTGAGGACGGCGCGCAGCTCGTCAGTAGCGACGTCGTCAGTATGCTGGGCAGAGATGACGACAGTGTGAACTCGGAGGGGGTTGACGGCACCATTGTCGTGTGCGTACTCGATAGTTACCTGGGTCTTGGTGTCTGGGAGAAGCCAAGGGATAGAGCCATCCTGGCGGGCAGCCTTCATGGCGGCATTGAGCTTGTGGGAGAGTAGAATGGTGAGAGGTAGGAGCTCAGGTGTCTCGTCAGTGGCGTAGCCAAACATAATACCCTGATCCCCAGCACTGAGCTTCTCGAGGGCCTCGTCGTAGTGAAGACACTGAGCAATATCGGGCGACTGCTGCTCGATGGCAACCAATACGTTGCAGGTCTTGTAGTCGAGGCCTTTCTCAGATGCATCGTAACCGACGTCCTTGATAGTGCTACGGATGATTTTCTGGTAGTCCAGCGCGGCTTTGGTGGTGATCTCACCGAAGACCATGATCATACCTGTCAGATAAAGACTCGTCGACATTTGAAGATTTGAAAGACATTCCCGATTTTCGTCGGACGAAACCCTGCCTTTGTGATTCAATGAATCCAATAAGCTTACCAGTCTTGACGGCAGTCTCGCAAGCAACCTTGGAGAGCGGATCCTCCGCCAGGCAGGCATCAAGGATGGCATCGGAGACCTGGTCGCTATTAAAGAAGGATTGCTTATTATGCTTGAAGAGAGACGAATGAGGAAATTCTATCAGCAGGAAAACCTACGCAATCTTATCGGGGTGGCCTTCACCAACAGATTCGGAGGTGAAGAGAAAGGTATTGCGCTGCGAAGAGGTGGAATTCGAATTCATTGTTATTAATTTAGAGGCATGCATTGGAGGGTCTTAGAGTAGAAAAGAAAAAAGGAATAGAACTAAAGGAACGAGTGGAAACAGGAATTTCGATATACGCTGGTCACGCCACAAGTATCCGCATGCCCAGATTCCGTACCGAATGTTGGGCCCAACACATGCACCAGTGACTGATAGGCTAGAGGACCACAAGAACAAGGAACTGTGGCTCGGACCGCCGCACAAGACCTCACGTAAGCACATGACACTCATTTAACTCTTGACTTTGGCCCAAGGCTTCCACATCTTCACATCCTGTCACAAATACTTTGTGGAGCGGATTGAGACCGCCTTTAGGCGTCCCCTGCTCTTCCGGTCATGGATGGCTCAGGTCGGACTTCAGCATCAACTCATGGGTTTGGAAAACAAACATCAACAACTAGTAGAACTTTCAAAATCCACCAAACTCATCTGCAAATTCTATTTAACATTTTATTTTAACAATGGGGGACTGTGGTGATTTAACCTGAAGACTGGAACCAAAAAGACGTGACATGATCGCTGCCAAGCCAATCACATATCCGTCGCGAGCCGCGATCGATTTGTGGGTGCTACTGCACACTAGTTGAGAATCCCGATGATCGAGAACGGCTACGCTGTAATTAGCCCTATCTCAACACTCTCATCATGATACAGCCCAGGACCATTTCATTTCATCACCAAGTTTTGGTGAGAGTTTCCCCCTCTTCCGGGAATTTTTACCAGGAATCACTCGTCTTGTCCTCCCCAACTGTTCTCTTTCTCAAGATAGTAGAGTCTCAAGATTGTGAACACGGAACACGGGGCTCTGACGCGATACGACGCATATAGAGAGGAGCTGGCGAGCAAGGAGGCTGCCGGGGAGGTGAGCATCTCGTTCGAGTTCTTTCCTCCCAAGACCGATCAGGGTGTGCAGAATCTCTATGACAGAATGGGCCGCATGCACGTCTTGGGTCCGTTAATCATCAATATTACATGGAGTCCGGACAGCCATCACTCTGACCTGACCTGAGAAATGGTCAATGTGGCTCAATCGGTCTATGGTCTGGAGACATGCATGCATTTGACCTCCACCGATATGCCGCTCGAAAGGATAGACCGGGCTTTTCTGGCTGTCTATAAGGCTAGCTGCACTAACATTTTGGCTCTGCGTGGCGACCCGCCTCGGGACATGGAAACTCGGGACGCCAAAGAGAACGGATTTCAATATGCGAAGGACCCGGTGAAATACATTCGCGAGAAGTACGGCAGCCACTTTGACATTGGTGTGGGAGGCTACCCGGAAGGTACCGATGATAATGCGGATGTAGATATCCTGATTGATCATTTGAAGAAGAAAGTCGATGCTGGTAGTTCTTCGTCATTACACAAATGTTTTATGATGTGGACAACAAATTCATTGAGTGGGCGAAAAAGTGCCGAGCTAAGGGTGTTATAGTGCTAATCATCCCTGGTATCATGACTATCTAGCAATATGCTTTTTTCATTCGACGAGCTAACTAGACCAAGAGTCGTGTGCCGCCAGGGTGGATGAAAGCCCTGGAGCCCGTCAACAACAACGATACTGCTGTGCGAGAGATTAGCAAGTGCCTGATTGCAGACATGTGCCGAAAGTTGATTGCCTCTGGCATCAACCATCTGCGCTTGTAAAATTGATGCAATCGATTTGATCGCTCCAGTTCATGAGCCACTGCTGACACCCTTGGGTTAACTACACAATGAACCTGGAGCAGGCAACAAAACTCATGTTTGGGAAACTAGGTCTCACTCCATCGAAAGAATCCCCCATTCAGCGAGTGCTGCCATGGTGGCCGTCACTTACTTTGTGCCGGAGAATCGAAGGCATGCGGCCGATATTCTGGCATAACCGGAACTTATCATACGTCGCTCGCACACAGACATGGGATGAGTACCGAGCGGCAAGCGTGTAGACTCAATATTGAGCGGGTAACAGGAAAGCAGCGGTTGAACACCGTCACCGTTGCCTAACGCATCACCCGAAAAGGGTGAGTCCCGCCGTCAACGTTAAAGATCAATTTCATAGCGCCAACAATATAACAGGGTTCGCTTCTTAATGTCGACAGACAAGTCTCAAGGAAGTGAGGCGCTTGTCCCTCATAATGAGACTGTTATTGTATGATAGAAGGTTGACCGTTCCTCAATATTTGTAATAGGCTTCGCGAGTTCAATACGGAAGCCAGAATATAAATGCCGCCACCCTTCTCCAGTCAATTCCCTTCCCAGTGCCAACTCACACCTGATTCACCTATGCGATATTTAAGAATCACAACGGATCACAGCACCGACGCGAGCGAGAATGATAGTCCGATAGCGCAGAAGTACGAGCAGCTTGAACGGGAGTTGCTCCAGAGTCAGAAACCGCCATTCGCTTACCGAGCGTCGCCCTGACGCGTGGTGTCTTGCGGCATCTCCCCAGCTACGTCAAGGACTGGATGCCAGGATATTCTTTCGGGAATTGTATCAAATTTGGTACGTACCGACCTCCTTCGCTGGACAAACGCTGATCGACGCAGGAAGGACACCTTCATAGAAAGATTCACTCTTGACCGTCAGAGCTTCCAGCCATTCTTGGAAGATCACGATGACCATCTCTCATTCGTTGTTCCCGACCCAAACCTGGCTGACCAGCCAGCGGAGCGTGAGAATCGACGCGCACTAGGTTTCATCACCATCGCAAATGCTTGCATGCGACTCCCCATCAATGCTCTTGGTATGGGATGCTTAACTAAAGACGCTCACGACCATCTTGTCGGGCGTCACGGCGAAGGTCTCAAGCTAGCGGCCCTGGTTCTCTCTCGAGATAGCTACAACGTGAGTATCACCGCAAGTGGTTGCAATTGGAGGTTTGACATGCACACAGACGCATCGGTTTCTTGTACTGTGGCGCCATCTCAGAAAACCAAGTCGATCGAGTGGACCGATCCTGCCCTCGACATGGCAAGCGTACGATACCATGTGGGGAGGGACGTGGCAGTGGTGATCGGCGCGACGCGGGCCAAGTCAGGCCGACCGGTCGCGCTAGACGCGTTTGTGAATTGGCTCCGCTTGACGACGATGGACATTCGCGGGCTCACCTACCCTGCCGGTATCATTTCCACACCACATGGCGACTTAATTCTTGATCCCCAGCTTCGAGGGCAGCTGTATCACAATGGGATCACCTTGACCAATTCCATGTGGGCGGCGCATTCCTCTTCGCGTACAATTTCGCCTATTCGACCACCTGCCGCGATCGACGCAGACTGGCATCCTGGCGGAATGCGGCTCGCCAAGTGCAACAGGTATGGGAGGAAGCTCTACGCAAGCAGGAAGACACAGTATTGCCTCTACTTGTCGATCTCCTGCGGAGGCACGCCCGTTCCGCCGACGCCGAGATGATAGGCCCTCTTTTAAAGCCACTGGCGGTGCGTCGGATCTGGCAATACTTGCTGCGTGAGTCAGCTGATAAGGAATTCTTTTACAGCGAGAGAAGCAATTATCAGGTATGTACTTGGGGATAGACAATGTCGCATTTTGATAACTGATGCAGACAGACCACGAACACAATCCGGGACAGCCTCGGCAAGCGCCCGACACGCCTCCCCGACACGCTGTGGCACATGCTGCGTACCCACTGCCCTATCCGGACCGTCGAAGAGCACCTGCAAGAACTGTTTGAGGTTGCAAAGCCCTGCACCGTCCCAGACACCACATTCGCGAGAGCAGTCGACCGAGCGCTGCGAGCCTGCCTCGCTCTGCTGAAGTTCACCGACCATATTCAGGTAGTCTACATCCGAGGATCGGCCGGCAACGTCGACGTATACTTTGACAAAGGACAGGGTACGCTTAAGATACATTGCCGATGGTTGGACTTTGCTTGTATGCACCACCGGTCATTCTGCCGGCCCTGGTCTCCGAGCAAACTGGCAGACCCGAACGCTCCGTTTTTCTGTTGCCATGTGGTGGAAGAGCTCTTGGTTCGATCGATTGCATCCATGTTCAAAGCACATCCGACGTCTCGACCTGCAGAAATGAAATTCATGTGCCAGATTGGACGTCGACTACGATATCTGCCACACAGCATCAAGTTGAAGCCATACCGGGGGGCATTCTGGTCAGTTGGGAAGACAATGAGGCGGAATCCTTTCGCACGCTCGGCCCCGGCGGCCCAGACTATCATGTTGTGCTGCATGAAGGTAATTGCGCAAGTGGCGAAACAGCGCTTCTCCACGATAAAGCAGGTAAGTGGTCATTAATCATCCGAGGAACAACTCTGACCCTTTGGTACAGCCCTCCCCAGCGACATGGTGCCCTGTGGCTGCCGCCAGCAGTTCGCTCGTCAAACACACCGAATGTGCCTCTTTACCGGTCTGTCTCACACATCGACATATTATGCCATGATTGCGCTGAACGATGATCGAGCTTTTTATGGAGTCCCGTCCGATCGAGTCTCGCCAGGGGCATATGAGGACGCCAAAGCTACTCTCCAGTAACATTCGGACAAGGTCTGCACTCTCTGCAGCATATGAGGCTTTGATGGGAAGGCGCGAAGAGCACAGACGGTAATTTCATTGTATTCCGTTCAAGTATGATATAACATTCTACGTGTTCCGCAGGCGTCCAGTTGGCTCTGATTCGTATTATTCAACGCTATTGCACGCCCGTGACAGTCTACAATCGAACACCCAAATCTCCGCGCCTCCGCATCCATACCACTAAAGTTTGATGGATTATTGAGGGTGCGTGTTACTAGTCTTCTCGCACATATGCAGCGCAATTTGATTCGTGGCGGTGACCAGAATGGATTGTCATCTAACAACTGTCTAGGTATGTGAGGAAACATTGCGAATGAATATTGACCCCTTGCCCACACACTCATTCATCTACCTACCACCGACGTATGCACCACCTTGTGGTTATGATCGGTTCAGACGCGACGACCGGCGAAGCGGAGTGGTGTTAGCCAGACGGGCTGACCGACGGACACTGCGTCTCGCGTCAGACACCGTTGATCTGCGGCGCGACGACCCTGACTGCGCCGGGAGACGGGCTGAACCGGCCCGCCGAGGGTTTTCGATGGTATTCGTCTCTTCCGCCACTGGAGATGCATGTACTCTCGCGTTTTCAACATCGATGTCGGGATTTGTCGTGATGGTCCTCGGCAAGCGGAGCAGGGCATCCAGAGCGTCGTCCCTTCGGCTACGGCGTATGAGCAATTGAAGTAACTAGGGAGGCTAATTGAGACTTACCAGGTACAGCAGGACACGTTAGATACCACCTCGCGCTTCTCCAGCCACTCCTCCACGCAGCCTAGATGAGCTAATCCCCGGCACGCTTTGCAACGTAGGATCACGCTCTCATCCGCCTGGTCTTCCCCATCACCCAGACAAAAGGGACAATGTATAAGAGACACCTCGTCGCTACGAGTGAGACTGTGCAGTTCCAGATGTTGCATCCCCGCCCCGATATTGAACCCGGATAGAGTGGCTGGTTCGGCCGACGAGATACACCACGGAACACTGTCGGTGCGCAGCATCGATGCCGTGACGTATCGAACTGTCCTTTCTAATGGCTCGAGAGGAACGGGGTCACGGCCCGGTGGCATTTGTCTCTCCTCGTTCTGACGAGTAACCCTGCGGGGAATCTCCGACTCTGAGGGAGTCGTGAGAGTGGGCCGCTGGCTCTGACTGGCATCCGTATCAAATGCGACAGAAGCATCCTCGGAGATGTGACCCGCTTGTTCCGCGTTGCGAGCCACGGCCTCATACCACTTCTGGCCAACGTGGTTTGCCTGTCGCTGCCGGTGCCATCTGGCACAGAGAAAGTTTTTTGCAATATCACATAAAATAGGTCGTAAAGTCGAGAAGTCGAGTGATCGTGTTGCAAGATTTGCCAGTTGCTGTTGGCCAGCCTTGATGTCTTGGATTTTGATGGAGTTCTTGCACGGGACGCCCGTCTTGGTAGTCCCGCAGCAGATTCGAGCCTCCTCGATACCTATCTCGTTAAGAATAAAACGGCCCCACGGTTGGTACGAAGACATGACTTGGTGATATGCCGGAATGAGAAACGATTCTAATGATTGCGATGATTGAGATGCCAACCGGGGGCCGAAGCCACTCCTTTATACCCCAGTATGGCTTCGTCTGAAATCATACGAATTCACCTCATCAGCAACATCTCTCATACGTAGCTGCCTACCGCAGTGAAGGAATGTGTCTTTTCTGTAGCTGAGGTCTCCTTGCCTTTATGGTCATGAATTGAACGAAGGCTACCGCCTCTCTATGCAGTCCTCACCGTCCAACGTCCACACCTTCCACACCGTCAACAAGCATCTCAATATCCGTGAATTACATGGGAGACACCGGTGTGAACAGACAATTGCATCTCATACTGACGGGTCGCCTGCGATCCAATTGTCTCTATTCGCAAAGACAATACGGTATGTATGCTCTTTCTTCCCGTGTGATTTGAGGGTTTCCACGTAGTGCCATCCTGATATTGGAATTTCAGTGACAGAGCTTACAAGATCTATCTCTACGTTTGGACAAGCCAGAATCGAGAATTTGTCTTCATTGCTATGCTATCGACTTCCCCCATGGTTCGGGCCTACATAATGTACCCAGAGATGAGTCGTGCAGGTCTTGGCTTCTTCAAGCGCCGAAGCGATGCTTGAATACTGTCCCTAGCACCACGGAGAGGTGCCTGCATGTCGTTTATGATCAATTGCAAACGTATTGTCGGTGCCATCGAGGGATCTTCTAACCCAGCCAAGGTAAGTCACTATTCTGCAACTGGTAATTTTGTGCTAAGCTAATGTCTCCTGCGTTCTTTTTCTCTAGCTATTGCCTCAATTGATAGGGTGGTTACAAAGAGGGCAAATTCCCGGTCGACAAGTTGGCCAAGGTTTATGATGCAGACCGTCTAGTACAAGCATTGAAAGTTCTCCACTCAGGAAAGGTCATCAAGCCGGTGCTGAAATGGGCGGACCTTTAGTCCGATTTGAATGAGACTCGCCAGGAATAGAGTCAAGGGTCAGAGCAATTCCAAAAACAACCGAGATTCGTAGGATCCAAGAGCCATTTGTGCTCCATGGCGGGATTTGATTACCTCTGAGACATTATTGTCCGATATTTGCCCCGAGATTCTCCTTTAGGTTGAAGCTAAAGTGCCGGAACGCAATATCGGCTATTTTGGCATGGCCTGTATTGAGCGCCCAAGGCAAAATTTCGCATGTGAACGAGACTTCAGACCCAGTTTGCTGTACTACAGATTTAGGAAGGTAGCAAATGTGGCCATAACAAAGGCTATGCCTACCCAACAACCCTATGTTGCCATCCCCGCACTTGCGGATTGATCACTTCCCCGCAAAATAAACTCACCCGCATGATGAACCTCGTGTTTCGGATGTGGGGAATGACCCACTTCGGAAGCGTAACCTTTAGTAGGCCAAAGAGTCTTCACGATTGGTTACATCGATCGAGGAAAGAACCATTCACATCGGAAGCTTTACTTTATCTCTAACTTTTCGCTCACCTACTTCCGATGGATCATGATCCTTGCCGATGCTTATTTCCGTGCTCTAGTCGACACCATTCTGGCCGCATGTATAAGAACCATGCCAATTCGCGAATAACTCACCTTCACAGAGACCTACATCCTTGAGCAAAATGACTTCATCCAAACCTACTATTCTTTTCATCCCCGGAGCTTGGCATCTTCCCGATGTCTTTGATGACACTCGGGCCGTCCTGGCCGCTCGTGGCTTTCATAGTGTGGCCGTGGGACTCCCAGCTATTGGGGCAGAGCCTCCAACCAAGGGCCTCGTAGACGACACAGTCGCCGTGCATAACGAGATCGAGAGATTATCTGACGAGGGCAATCAAATTGTGGTTGTGGCACATTCATATGGAGGTATGGTTGGAGCCGGCGCAGTGAAAGGACTTGGATATACCGAAAGGCAGAAGGCAGGCAAGGACGGTGGAGTCATTATGCTGGTATATATGGCTGCATTTGTTGCCAAGTCAGGAACCAGCCTGTTGGATATGCTTGGAGGAAAATGGCTACCATGGATGAAACTTGATGTTAGTATTTCCCTCTTCACTGCACGTGTGATTTTGCACGCATTAATTGCATACAGGGCGACTATTGCCGAGCCGAAGCGGCACCAGAGATTTGCTATAATGACCCCTCCCCGCAGGATCAGGAGAAATGGAGCTCTAGGACTGTGCACACTTCGCGCGCTGTGTTTGAGGATATAGTCGCTCACGAGCCTTGGCATGACCTGGCCTGCATGTACCTCTTCTGTGAAGATGATAAGGCAATTCCTTTGGCAGTTCAGGAGTCTATGGCTAGCTTGCTCGTCGAGTACAGTCAGTTTAGATGCTCGAGCTCCTATTCTCCATTCTTGAGCATGCCTGACAAGGTTGCTGAAGCCTGTGAACTGGCTGCAAAGATTGGCCGTGAAAAATGCGAAAGCAGGAAACTATAGGAAAGAACTCGATCAACTTTGCGACGGGTTTCACCATGAGGGGCAAAGAAAGCAAGCCTCCGCATACTCTCTGAGAGGGTAGCATTGCTATTGCAGGGTAACTGAGCCTGAGAGATCTGAAGTCATGTGCATTAATTTGTAACAAACTTGTTAACCAGAGTTTGAAAATGTCAGGAAAATAGATATCAGCATTGTATTGACTCGTCAGGTACCACTGAGGCAACCTGAGATTTGCAATCATGTAAGACCCCCTCTTTGTATTGCGCGTACTTTCGCCACTGCTTACCACCTCGGATTGTAACCACCGAGTCACTGGTATCCTCATGTCGGGAATGGTTGTCGAGGAGCCAGATATCGAAATTGGCGCTGGCGTCTCGTCCAAGGCCATCGGTCAACGCATTGTGGCTGGCTTTGACGGCAAGCGTGGCCGAAACTCACACCGCTTTGGCGGCGGCGGTCGCAGCGCCCGCCTCGCGCCGATCACCACTGCCACGTCCCTCCCCACATGGTAGCGGAGGCTTACCGCTCCGCACGAATCGAATCGAATCGAACTTTTGGCCGATTCGATTCGATTCGAAATAATATCGAACATAACGATTCGTACGAGGTCGAATTCAAGATCGATTCGAATTCGATTCGAAGTTCGCGAACTTTTTGGTACTAAAGCCTCATTGGGAAGGCGGTAAATCACTCTGACATTATCTGTTGTTCAACACCATAGCGAGCAATCGACACTTCATACTATAGGTAGTTTAATAATCAGCTAATAAATGAATACAAAGATAGCTACATTTAGTCTGATATAAAGATTGAGCAATTTGGTCTTGAGTTGAATAAGCTGTAGGGCACTTTCAATTTCGGCAATTTTTTGCCCAATGCTCTTTCCGAAATATATAGTTCTACTCCCAAGAGTTCCTAACAAGACCGCAATCCAATACGTGGTCAGTTTTGCTTTAAATTATACCAGCTCATAGAACGTATTAAGATACACGTAGTCTATCAATACAGAGCCAAAATATCAATAGTTACACATTGTATTCAATGCAGAGTCTATGGATAGTCTAATCGGGCTAGCGGGGATTCTACAAGAAACGCGTCTCCGCGCGTACGTGCATTTACCAAGAACAACATCCGAACCCTAGTCAAAAGCTACTAAGAACCACCCCTTCTGGTGCTCCAAAGTAAGCGATCAATTAAGACACAAGCACGATGTACTAATATAGCGTTACAGATGACATCTCCACTTGCTACGATATTCGACTATCCTAATACTAGGAAGAATAAACGCGATTATGCGGCGCTTAATAAATATGGCCTCCTTACAGAGGATAAACCACTTCCGCGGCCACGAAAGAAGGCGGCGGTCCGGACCGCCGCTAAGTCACCGACTCCGATTTCAACCTCTCCTACGGCTCCTAGCAATGTTTCTAGGAATTTATCGAACCTTGATACGGAGATATACCCTTCACAATCAATATCTCAGGTCGAATACGAGGTTGAGACGGCCGAAATCAAGCAGAATGATAAGACTAGGTCGAAAGAGCGGAGCTGGGTATAGAAATACTATCGTATAACACCTGAATCTAGTACCTAGAGATTCGGAAATAAGGAGCGGCTCGAACTTAAACACCTATATATTGTATCGCCATCCACTTATCGATTCTTTCGATTTACATCGAAACTACGATCTTCAACTACAGCGTTAAAACAACACCTACAGCAAACCCACAGGCTCTTTGAGGACGGTCATCCAGAGCGCCAAGGACTGTTAAGCTCGTGGATTTCCAAGGAAAAGAAACTTCTATTCGAAGAGGCTATCTTGAATTAGATTATATCGACCTATCAGCCATTTACATACGTCGAGCAACCTTCATTTAAGGCTATGTTGAAGTCGGCGGGATTTAAGGAGTCTATACCGGGTGCGGATACTGTTTCGCGCCGGTTATATCTTCGACTTAATGCTCTTGATAGTGAACTTCGAATCTTAATGGCTTCGGCTTCCTCAATCGCGCTATCTCTTGATGGTTGGACAAGCCAGAATTCATTATCAATACTAGCAATCAATGCTCACTGGATGTCGTCTGCTTTCCAGCAATATCGAGCTTATATTAAGTTTGTTAAAATCGAAGGCAACCACTCTAGAAAGAACCTTACTAATATCGTCGCGACGGCTCTTGAGAGGTTTCATATATCTAATAAAGTTATGACTACTGTATTATAGCTGATAACGCATCTAACAATGATACGCTACACCGGTGTCTCTTCCAAAAGCTATCTCGGCGGTACGATGAGTACCTAGCCGATACCGTTATCCGAGAAGGGACCATGAAATTTACTCAGAACTCCCAAATCCGCTGCTTTACACACATCCTGAATCTGGTTATAAAAACAATATTGAGGTCTTTACGCGCTAGTTCACATAAGGAAGCCTGTGACCTCCTTGATGATATTGCTAAGAGGAGCTAGAAGGCGATCAACGCTCCTGCTTCCCCTATTACAAAGCTTCGACTACTTATCCTTTAGATTGCGCGATCTCCTCAGCGAATACAAAAGTGGGATAATCGACCTAGCTGTACAAAAGCCATCCACTACGATGTTGATACTCGATAGAACTCTACTTTTGTTATGATCGAGAGAGCTAAAGAGTGTCGCCGGCAGCTCGAAGATACAGTCAACGATGAGCCAGATATCGAAGCCTTACGTCTCACACCTAAGGACTAGAGGCAGCTCTCAGATATCAAGAAAATCCTGGCTCCCTTCAACGAATATACTAAGTATATCTCTCGAGATAGCCCTTCAATTCATATGGCGGCGCGGATATTTAAGGAGCTCCGTTCTATACTCTTAGCTATTAAGGAACGGCGAGGCGAGTGGCAGAATATCTCGCCAGCACTAACTATTCCTATCTCTGATGGAATCACACTTCTAGAGCAGTACCACGACCGCGTCAAAGACAACGACATATAATATATCGCAAGTATTCTGGACCCTCGAATCAAGACCAAGTAGCTCAAAACGCTACCAGGTGGAGAGGAGATCATCGACCGAATCAGGACGTTCCTAAAAAAAGCATATCCCACCCCCAAACAGCCTATGTCGACGGCTCCGAATACTAGTTACAAGAGCTTTAAATATCGATTTCTGGAAGCCTTTCAGCCTACACAGTATAACGTCGCTAAGTCTGATATCGACCAGTATTTCGACACTCCTACAATCAGTACTAGTTTCGATATAAGCCAGAGCCAGACTGAGTTCATACGAAATTGGTAGAAGGCCAACAGCCTTGAATTTACTTGTATGGCCCAGGTAGCACAAGATCACCTTGCGATACCAGCAGCAGAGGTAGATATTGAGAGATTATTCAATGGTGGGAGAGATGTACTGGGAATTCGACGTTTCTCCATAAAAGGCAAAATGCTTAGGACCTTATTAAGGCTGAAAGATGCTCAACGTTGGAAGTCTGAATAGTTATGGTTTCTACATTAGATTAATGTTCTACGCGTAGTTTAACATATTTACAGCTCAGAATCAAAATTATGAACCGTGCTTAGAACACCATTCTATGTGCGAATCCAATGCATAAAGTGGTCACGGTTGTTGAGGTTAAGGCTGTCTGCAGGAGCGAACCCTTCATAATAGATATTAGTTCGCGAACCTGTTCGAAATTCGCGAATTTCGACGAATCGAATCGCCCATAGATTCGAAGCCCGAAAACCAAGGTTCGAATTCGATTCGATTCGTTGAAATTCGCGAACTTCGAACAGTTCGAAAATTCGTGCGGAGCGGTAAAGAGAATGAACTTCCTCTACTACAGTATGTGTCCCTTCTCTGCCTTTTCGCCATCTCCCAGAGACACACTTTGGCGCCTAGTCCGCATCGCCCGAGTTCTAGATCCTGCCGAAGCCAATGATACGGCGTCATATCTCGGGGAAGGGGCATCATCTAGCCAAAATTAGCCTAGCACAATCTTAGTGGGGCGCTGGGAAAGAAAGCGTGTGTGTCTGGGGGGTAAACTGTTTTCGAAATCCCTGTACTGTATCAAAAGACGAAGTGTAGGAAGTATAGAAAACAGGAGGATACTACAGAAGTCTGAAGCTGAGCCTCCTCTAGCAACCATCCCTTGTACAGTTATTCTCGAAATTCCGTTGACCAGTACACACTGAGACTACACTTCCACGCAACTCTTGTCCACAAAGTTCATCGCAGCCGCAAACCGATAATCTACGCTTAGTCAGCCCACAGTTTGGATACATTTAGGCTAGATTGTTCCCACCTGTAAAAAACTCCACTTTGTTCATTGAGTCAGCGAACTGTGCAAAGACAGTTTTCACTCTCTGATCCGCCTCTCTCCTTTCCAGTGATGCTCCTTTTTCAACCCGATCGCCCAAATATTTGGCTTACCGAAAAGCCTTAACGATTTCCCCGCGAGCTTGTAAGGCGTTTTTGGCCGAGTTCCAGTCCGCGGTCTTCAAGATCGCTTTGGAAAAACGCCAGTTCTCCTTCAACTTTCTTAAGATGGACCAGGATTCAAAAGTCGACCAAAAGTCAAGTGCACTTATCCAGTCTGTGATATTTTAGATGAGAATGTACCTGTCAGGAGCAATTGCGACGAACCGTGTCTGGTGTAAGGGGGCGGGTCAACGGGACATTCCGCAGCATGAGACATGATGCTTCCTAAGCAGGTGGTATACCAGAATCCGTAGCAACCGAAACCTTCGTACAAGGGTTCTTTCTGACGGAGCGACCTTAGCCGACAGGGAGCACAGACTAGACTTTGTGCTTTTCGCGGTGACTCCAGGAACCAGCGTTTCGCTACGCTTAGAGAACCAGGCGGGGGCGAATACTTATTAAAACTAGATCCGAGTCATGCCTTTATGGGAGCTTTACTCATGCACGTATCCCGTTGCTTCTTGACGCCTGAGTGTTAGCCCTTCCCTTTCACTCTTTGGTGAGTCTCCACACATGGGAGTGTTTTGTGAGTTTCTGAGAATTCATGTTAGCCATATTAGGGGTACTTTTCCTGGCCCCTCTGCTAAGCTTTAGCGCAGATCATCTATTGGGCTTGACGCATCAAGTTGAGGGCCCCACGTTTTGAACGTCACAGTACAAGCTCGGGGGAACACACCGGACCGCAACTTAATGGGGTGGGTCTAATAGATGATCTGCGCTAAAAGTCACCGTGTGTACTTGTCAAGGCAATTTCGAGAATGACTGTCCGTAGATCAGAGTGAAGCAGGAGCCAGAGGAAGACAGTACTTTTTCCCAACAACCTAAAGAAACGGGAGAGCCGCCTCTGTCGTCAAACGCCGATATTCCCAGCGCCGGGCAGAAAGCTGAGAAACAAGAGCTACTCCGATTCAACAAATGGACTTACATAGCGGAATTAAGACGCTCAGAGAAGTGGGACACTATGAGTGAAAAAGAAAAGGCAAACCGCAAAGCCGAAGCGCTTGCAAGATATCACCACTACAGAGAAGAACGGCTCAGAATGGGCGATATTGAAGAACGAGACGATGACGATGAGGAGGAGGAAATTCAGAAAACGTCGATCAGAGCTTTTGAAGTGAGGTATGCGAAGGAATAGACTGATGTCGCGGGCGACACTTAGCTTACTGCGATTTTCTATTGTACATGTCAGTTTTGAATTTGTTTGTTCCAACATTGGAAATTTTGATTTACAGCAGGAAGAATGGATTTGTATTGTTTAAGAGTCTCTTTGAAAGGCTGAATTGTAGTGCTGTGCCATTAATTTTGCACCGCCATTATTCGGATTCCCACGAGAACCCATTTTCATACGTGATAATGTAGCCGTAATTGAGGTTAAAAGAAAACGTGTGTGCCTGGGATTCGCATATTCTAGTGGGGGATTATTAGCTTGGAATGAGTCAAGTCAACTGTGGACAAAATCTGCAAAAGGCCGGCGTCTAGATCCGGCCGGGATGCTGAGCAGGGCAGAAGCCTTCCAAGAAGGAAGTCTCGTCTAATTCGATTTGCGGGTACCACTTGAAAATTTTAATATCGATGTCACCTAGACCATTCCCCACCGTGTGGTTCCTGGATCAGAGCCCTAAAGCTCCCAGGAGCACAAATGTACTTTGAGTGGTTTTCAAATTCAGTTTAATCATAAGGTTCTTGGCTAAAATTGCTATAAAAACACCCTTGTCCGAGGGGAGTCCAGCAACGCATCCCTAATACGACCACGTCTAAATCTGACCATGGTGTGTATTATCTGCTTTTCTCTTAACCGCCGGCAATCGAAGAACGGGAAGAACTAAGACTTTCTAGACAAACTTACCGAACTTACCGAATGAGCTTATGGAGTTGATTGTATTCTAATTAGATGTGGAAGACGTGACTTCTTTGACACGATCCTCGGTTCAACTCTTCTCCAAGTTGCGACTCTTCACCCTCCGGTTGAATATCAAGTATCGCAACAGCAACCTGCTCCACCTAGCAGCAAAGTGCAACAATTATGTTCTCTTCGAGGACTTGATTACGCACGGGGCCAATGTCAACTCGTTCTACCGAGGAGAGACTGTTTTGATAAGAGCGATCAAGCACTCGTCCGTGGCTGTGATTAAGGTCTTATACAAGCAGCCCAATTTAGACACCCGCCTTAAGAACCGCAAACAGAAAGATGCCCTGTGGTATGTCGTCAGATACGCCGGATTTAGTATCGCTAAGAATCTATTAAAGAAGGTCTTGCATCAATCTCGCCTTACTCTTCACACACAATATAGGCAAGCAGGGACGGCGCTACACTTGGCAGTCTTCTGGGGCCGGATTGGTATTACACGAATGCTATTAATACGCGGAGCCAACCTTGATATCAAGAACTATGCCGGCCACTCTCCACGAGATTTAGCGATTCAGGCAAACCGAGCTCCGATGGTGGAGTTAATAACATCGCACCCTCTGCTCCCTGTAGCCTTCAGGCAACAAATTCTGGAGAGCGACGATCCACCCCTACACCAAGCCATACCATATAGCTCACCCAAGGCAATAAAACAACTTCTAGGGGAAAGAAAAGACGATATGCAAAGGTATGATCGGAAGGGTCACACACCGCTCCATCTTGCCGTGCGAATAAATTCCCCTAGACTGGTTGATCTTCTCCTAAGCCATCCCGGTATCAATCCCAATCCCATTAGCAAAAATGGCAACACGCCGCTATGGATAGCGTCAGGCTCACAGTTCGATGAAATTACAAAACGGTTCCTCCGGCATGAAGGTGTAGACATCAACTTCATCGGCGGTCGCGGGAAGTATGACACGCCCTTGAGCTCTCTACATCACGCCATACTGAGGCTAGATACAACGATTCTACAAGCCTAGCTGGAGACACCGGGGGTTGATGTGAATCAAACGGCCGGAGGGCAGTCCTCTCTGGAACTCGCTGTGCAGTTAGGGCGAAATGATGCGTTGAAGATGCTCCTCGACTTCCCGGGGATTGCCATCAATGCGAGGGGAGGTGATCCGCCCCTTTGCCAAGCCGTGAAGATAGGAACGCTGAAGACGGTTCAACTACTTGTGAATCAAGGTGAAAAGGTGTTGGTCAACGAGCGAACCTGCATGATTAGAGATACCGCCCTATGCATCGCGGCCCGCCATGGAAACGTAGAGATTGTGAGGGCACTATCACAGCACTTTCATCTCAATCCAAACTTGGAGAATAATCATTTTGAGCATCCATTGCTCCTCGCAGCTAAGCGAGGAAATATACAGGTGGTCAGCGAACTGCTTAAAGACGGAAGGTTGTCGACCCGCTACATGAAGGACGCAGTGAGTCGAACGGGGAAGGGCTTGGTGAGAAGCACTATTCGACATCAGATCGACTTGCAGAAATGTTCCGAAGAACCAGCCAAAGAATGATAGTAAAGCTGGTCTCTCCGAATGTATGTCGAATCTGAATATCTACACTACCAATATATCTCCGTCTCCATACTGTCAATGATGATGATCATTTCCTTTACCCTAATAACTCGCGAGTTAGTTTGAAGTGTGGCACTGGGAGGGAATGCTTGTCTCGAAAGAGAAATAATTCTCGAAGCTCACCGTACTATACAGTACTCACAGCGATGGGCAGACACCTCTGCGCAGTGCTCGCCTCCTTGTCCACGACTCTTGCGTACCATGATTGAATTTGTCACGGTTAGCATGATAGAGGGTTATGAAACCAATTTGTACTGTATTCCAAAGATTGTCCCACGTGGAATTCATCCTAGCCCTACGTAAGGAAAAAATGCCCTCACCCACGTGATAATTATCATCAAGGTCAAATACAGTGAACTCCTACTTGAGCCTCTCTCCTGGCTTCAGATGCTCCAACCTGACTAACAAAAGTTTTATCAAAATCTAGAAGCGATTTAATATCTCCAGTTGCCTATGTTCCATCTAGGTGGTATACACCGCTCTGGACTCAGCGCCAAGGTCAGTATCAACCGCATTCTAGCATGCCGCCACTTAGACTGCCGACAAAATCTGGCTTTCAGATCTGTACCAACATTACCCCAACGGCTGACACAACAGCCAGCACACAAATGGATAGGAATATTTTCAGGCAGAAAATACCATAAATGAGTCCTATGGTATATTTATATATCATATTTGAGGGGTTTGAAACGGCCTTTGGGTATATGAGTGATCCGAGAATGGTCAATACACTTGAAGAGCAGAATACTTGTAGCCCATCTCTTTATACGGGACAATCAACTAACGGAGGACCATCCTTTAGATGAAGGCGTTGAATAACCCAGTGTTTAAACCGCAAGTGTTTTGCCATGCATAATTTGTCCATGATTCTTTTATTCTAGATCCCATTGTGATAAAGCTAACCTCGGAGCTGGGGATCAAGAATCAAGTCCCCATGTGGTGTGGGGATAAGCCGGAAGGGTAGGTGAGGCCACGAATGTTCATCGTCGCCAAGCGGAGCCAATTCAAAAACGCGTCTGGCGCTACCGGTGGGCTGGACTTGGCCCGCGTCGCGCCGATCACAACTGCCACGTCCCTTCCCACATGGTAACGAAGGTTTGCCATATCCAGGGCGGGGTCGTTCCACTCGATCGAGTTGGTTTTTTGAGACGGTACGACCGTACAATATACCGAAGCGGTGTCTGCGTGCATGTCAAACCTCCAATTGCACCCACTCCCGGCGATACTTACATTGTAGCGATCTCGAGAGAGAATCAGGGCGGCCAGCTTGAGACCGTCGCCGTGGCGTCCAACCAGATGGTTTTGGGCAGCGTGCGCATCTTTGATTGAGAATCCCATAGTCAGACCATCGATAGGTAGTTGCATACATACATTTGCGATCGTGATGCGGCCATTCTTTTTTTCGTACTGAATGAATCCCAATGCGCGTCAATTCTCATGCTCAACTGGTCGGTCGGCAAGGTGAGGCTCGGGAATCATGATTGAGAGATGATCGCCGTGGTATTCCAAGAACGGCAGGAAGCTCTGGCGGTCAAGATTGAATCTTTCGATGATGGCATCCTTCCTGTGTTCATTAGCTGAGGTGATGCGTTAGACAATAGTGACGTTCGATTGAATTTTTGTTGTCACCCGCTCAAGATTGCATATGCACGCTTGCTCAAACATTCACACTCAAAGTTGTGACTCAACAGAACCTAAAAGTCGCAACCACACAACCGACTTTGCGATTTTGTTCGAGAAAAAGAGAATAATGTATCGACAGGCACCGCAACCAGCAAAAGGATTTCTTGACCACTCTGAACTGCCTCACCTCTATACAGTATTTTACGGTATATGAAGGACTGCATCATGAACGGACCATCATTATTATCAGTTAAGAAGACGGAAAAGCGACTGGTATTCATCCGCATAGCGTCCCCGTGATAAAGCCGAGTGTGGTCAGCCATACCGCAGGTTAGAGAGTATCATAGTTCTCACAATGACACCAATCTCCGGCAAATACCCCCAAGCCAAAACAATACTATCCTAAGGCCGTTCCAGTGCTATTAATGCTGGAATTTGGGTGTAAATAAAGGGTTGGAGAGTGAGAATAGAGTTGTATCTTTTCTGAAACCATCCACTTGGCAGTTAAGAACTTGCGCACAAAACTAGGCACAGTGATGCTGAGAACAGCTGAAAAAAATTACGAAACAAAGGTAGCGAACATATTACATACATGTTAGACCAGGAATGAGATGATCAACTCGGCTGCTATCCCATTGCATCGTCTTTGCAAGACTGGTTCTACTCGATCATCCTAGAAGCGCGTTTCTCGCTTGCGTTCAAAGCCTCGACGATTCCATCATTAAGGGCAGCCACAGCTTTCCGGCTGCCAAGTAGCTCCAGAGCCTGACCGTTGCAGCATTGGAGTAATATATTGCATTCGGCTCTCAGCCATGCAATTGACCGCTGAAGCTGGCCCTGCTCTTCTTCGAGCCGTATCTTCAATGCATCATCGACGATGTAACAATTCCATAAGCGGAGCTACCAGTCGAGAAGGCTGACGATGGGGGCTGCGAGGGCATTGTGATGACGCAATATGTATTCAAACTCCGTGGTGAGGCTTGCTGGAGTAGCGGGGGCCTGAATTATCTCGAATCAGCATTGTTATACAATCAGGGGGAGGGCTATTTGACCTTGTTCTCACCATCCGAATTGACTTTCTCAGGTCATTAATTGTGAGTTGCTCCGGAAGCTCATTGTCATCCTCTCGGTGTACATGTTGTCTTTTGGAGGACTGGAAAGTAGGAGAAGACAAAGGACGTTTCGAAGAGCTCATAGTGTTCTTTTTGTTGCTGGATGTAATCTGACTATCATGAGTGCGTTAAATAGGCCGCAGATCTCTTCATGATATAATATATACATTCTCTACTGTACCAGTTCAGCGGTAGACTTCATAGCTTTGGTGATCACAGTTGTGAAAGTCCAGATGCTCTCCACGGAAACGATCAAGTTCCATCACCGTTGAGACTTGACCCGCCGAATCCAGTCTTTAAGTCGATAGCCTCGACCGTTAACTCTCAGACCATTGAACGGAACCAATAGCCAAGGAAGAAGTCCCATGTGACCTGTGCAAGTGGCCACAGGAAGCACAGACAGATCGGTCGTGTTCGTCTCGGATTGTGATATCAAGTTGGGGCTTGAACAGCCTTCCGTTGCCTGCACAAGTTCCGTATTTGACGGCGTACGTCAGGGCATTTTCTCCCTCTCGATTTTGCATCCGAAGGTCAATCTCCTTTATGATTGAGCAGAAGTTCGAGAACATCTATTGATCCCTGTTGAATAGCTCTCATCAAAGGAGGGTTTCCATGCAGGAAGGTGTTGGAATTGGCACCATAAAGAAGCATGAGCTCGGCCCGGGCATAGTCATTGTCTCTGGCCGCTAGATGCAGGAGACTGCTTTTCTGGTATCGAATGTTGTACTTGAAGATGCTGGGCTGCAACCTGCAGTAAAGATTCTAACATGATTTGCCCAAGGAGATCGTGTCATGGACGCTCAGCTGACTAGCAACGAGCACGAGAATTTGATTTGGTAGGCTTTGGAGGATTGCCTGCAGGAAATCAACTGCCTTCACTAAAGAATTGAGATTTTTCAGTAGTAACATGGGACAGACCATCGTGAAAGATAACTCTTGTAGACTACGAGGAATATGCGGAAGAGCGCAAGTTTGTGGAATGAGACGAACTTGTCACTGCCTTTTAAGGAGGGGTTCTGAGACTTTTATATTGGACACGGCTTCTTGAGGCTTCTTTTCTAAATAGACAGCTCCAGAGAGCCAATTCTACGTCCCTGGAGACAGTGTGTCCGCCCCGGAGATCATGATTCTGAGCTCCAGGGGCCCCGGGATATTGTAGGAGCTCTTCTGAGATAGTCAGAAGCTGAAAGTGACTTGTGGTGGGGTATGACCTGCCAGGATATTCCAGGACTACGTGGATGGGTTTTCGCCTCTGTTTACTTCAAAATGGTCCAGGCCTCCGCTACGAAAGGGGCGCATTCCTTCACAGCGGGAGGCAGCAACAGGACGCACGAGAGGTGGCCCACGTTGGCATCTCAGCTCCCTCAGCCACCCCATTTCCATTATTGAATCGTTTGTCATTTCCAGCTTACGAAGCTATGTCTTCTTGAGATTGGGATTATTTTCCTAATGAGATGGGCATCAGTCAACCTACTGAGGCTCGAATCTGTTGCGGAACCACCAAGGTGGGTGCACCATGCAAGAGCGAAACCAATTTCCAAGGCAACAACTGGCAATTCTTGCCGGACTGCCAGTTGACACTTGATATTACGATCCATCTTATGTGATATCGCGGGACACTTTCTCTGTGCCAGATTGGACTGGCCGCGACAGGCTGCCTGGCTTGGTCAGCAGTGGTATGAAGCTGCCGATTCGGAGTCAGGGACATGACAGACATACTCCAGGGTCGCTGCCGTAGCACCCAATATCGAAGCGGACCAGAGTCAGCAGTCGATATTTAGCCGTCTCTCTTGAGCCAGTAGGTGACGTCCATCAGAGTAACCTTGCAGCAGAGAACTATAACCGCGAAGAGCGTGAAATACCCACATCGCCTTCCGAGGAAATTTTGTGTGGAGAAGCGACTGTAAATCACTCATTCCAATGTTGGTGCTTTCGAACTTGGTCAAGAACTCAGCAGCACTGTCAGACCGCAGTGCCGTCTGCAGTGGCCTGAAAGGCCGTGTAAGCCATTTACTGGCCGTGAGAAGATCCCAGCTTTAAAATTATTAACTAAAGGGTCGGAGATATAGCATGTGGGTTTACTTACGTCAAAGGACCTGCGGAAAGTCCTGGCATCTCGATTTTATCGTACCCACCTCTTGCATGCACGAGGTACCGTAGTCCCCGAACATGGCCATCCAGAATCACTATATCCGTAAACCGCGTCAAAAGTTGCAGATTGGAGAGAAGAGGCAGTTTCATCCGCGCGCCTTCGTCTCGCTCGTGCGCATGTAACGCCAAGGCAAAAGCAGCCATGATAATCTCATCAGTGATAGTGCTGGAACCGCTGTCATCCACAGCTTTTCTTAGGGCCGTGAGGGCCTCTTGTCGCATAAAAAGCAGTTTGAATGTGTCCTTCTGGTGCGTGGGACTCTGTGATCCAGATGCTCTCTGCCGGATGAGTAGGTGCTCTGCACCCGAGTGGAGCCACGCGCTGAATAGAGGTGGGCATTTCATGGCCAATTTCATCCACTCGTGAATGAAGCTCTGACCCTTGTACGTCATACCAGGGAAAAGTTCCGGCCACATTTCTTGAATAGCTATAAATCTTTGTCAGCATGATAGCTTCAATCCCCCTGCTAGGTGTACTCACAGTAGTGAAAGGTTCGAGTGATGGTTTCACGGTCCAGATGAGATGGATAAGTATGGAAAGGGTCTAAGAAGCGGTGGCTATCATGATCAATCGTCAGCAGACTCGGTATCCGCCTGGTAACTGGAAATTGTTTTTCATGTCCTTGACATTCTGAGGAGGAAATGCTCGCTAGTTCATTTGCTGTGAGGTCTTCATTGGTTTTGCTATCAATTGCGCTTGTCGGGTTCGAAGATTTAGAAAGAGTAAACTTTATATAAGCAAAGGGTCTGGGAGCATGGTGGCTTTCTAGCAAACCTGCAGGTCTGTCTGAGGGCTGTAGTGAAGTAGAGGCTTGCGCTGAGTTTGCAAGTGGCGAGCCCGCATATCTGCAAACGCTGCCTGTTCTTTTTATTTTTGGAGTCAGAGGGGCGTAATCGATTTTTCACTAGGTAGCTTACCGAATACAACGTGTGCAGGCTGGTACAGGTCTGCTACATTGCCTCTTCCCTGTCCTACACTTTGAGCAAGATAGGCTGGATTTCGTCGGGTTTTGGTCGATAGGTACGACTTGCTGAGGGCTTATTGCGCCAAAGGGACCGCTGAGACAGCCTGTATATTCTGGAGGAAAGGGGGATCATGAAAGCCACATACTTTGAGCTCGAGATTGCCTTCGTGCCCCTTCTCGAAAGTCGTTGTGAGTTTGGCTCGTTGCTATCATACTGGCAATTCTGACACACGCTAGCCGAACCAAATTATATCAACACCTGTTATGGAAGGATGGTAAGCACGCTCTACTAACCGTGTACACCTCATTCAAGCTGGAAGGACCTTGTCGCATCTCCGCTTTTTAGACCGACACGCAACACATGCTTTCGCTGCATGCTCCTTGTCAAGTAGAGCACCTCTCATCGTTGCAAGATTTAATACAGTGGTAAGGAGTTCGTGGGATTAGTACAACGCCTTCGTGCGGATAGGGAGCATCCAACCTGAAGACCCTAGACACCGTAGTCCTTTCAGATCCTCAGGTGGCCCTCGTAATTTTATATATGATCGCTTGGCTTGACGTCATGTACACCGTACTGAACCAAATATACTTCGTACGGTGAGTGTTTCAAAAACTCGAAAGGTCAAAGCTCTTATCAAAGCAATCCGATATCGTATAGACTAGTAAGACAGTAGGCGAATGGGAGCTATCGGAGTCATGTAGAGTTGATTGATTAAAAAGACTAAGTCCAAATCCTCCATGTAGGAGGAAAAGGGGCAAGTTGACCTGTCCCTGGGCGGTGTAATGGAGTCAAGATGTTACCCTCGATTTACATACAAACTGAAAGGAAAACTGGGTGACTCGACAATCCCATATCACTGTAATATTCACTTCCACTTTTCACGACAACTCTCTTCACTGCCATCGTTGGCCCGCTTACCTAATTCATAACTGAGCCGGAAGACACAAATATTAGTAGAAAATGGGTGAATACAGTACCTTGAATGGCATGAAGTTCTTCCTCTTTCTTACATCCTTAGAAAGACGGGCTTTGAGACACCGTTCTTTTTGAAGAGAAAAAAGAAAAAAAAAGAGAATCTTTCTTGCATCGAGTTGAGTAAAAATATCTGCCGCCACCAATACCGTCAAAAGTCTGGTTAGTCGGGGCGTACTGCCACTAACCCAATAAGGAATTTGCACGGCCTGCCAAGAACATCAGCCTCCGATCATGGCGTTTTGCAAACATTGCGCTCACTAGTTTATATTGAAGCAAGTTTAGATACCGTATCATTGAATAGACTGAGGCGCAAATATCCCGCGAGCAGCAAAGAAAGATGGAGTAGAGCAAGGTACAGTGACTACGCAACACAATAGCTCAACACCGGGAACTGATAGAAACACTGTGTACTCCGTACAAGTATGTGTCCGTATCAATTCCCCCTCCCCCGACTTTAATTACTTAATTTACTGCCAAAGTCTGCGTGAAAAGACCTCAGTAAGAGCCGCAATTCTCTAGGTCTAGTTCGGTTCTAGAACCGCGACTCGACTAAAGACTAGTTAGTGCCAACCCTGGTGGCCGTAAAAGAACCAGCGAGCTGATCACGCAAGCGAGCTGGCCACCCCACCCAAAATCACGTCTCCTTACCATCCTACCTACAGTGATGTTACAAAAGCTTTTAACACACCCGTCCCTTGGAAACCTGTAACTAAGTACGGAGTAGAACCTCACTATACAGTGACTACGCAAAAGTTTGGACACCCCCTAAAGACCCCCTTACAGACCGCCTAATATAGAGTACATACCGCTTTCTAAACCTCCGTGCTAGGAACACGCAGAGATATGAAAAGCCGATATTATCACGAGTTATCAACAACCTATCTACTTTCGTGCTTACCAGAAATTTTTTTTCTTTTAAGAAACCTTTTCATGGAAGTGTTTTGATATCATGAGGTGCTTAGGGAGTATTTACGACCGGCATATATTATGGTACCAGCAAATGTGGGTCCTGAGGTGTCCAAACTTTTGCGTGGTCACTGTAGATCGTTAGCTCACGCCCTGACAATTTTCCATGCTGACAATTTTTCAGCTGATAATTTATGTTGACAGCTGAAAATTGTCCACCTGACTCTTTACCTGCTGACAGATTGTTATGAAAACGTGGTGGCACCAAGTGCGGCTGTATGGCTAATATGGGATATTTGTGATATGTCACTAATTGACTAGCTCCTTCAGGAATGAAATAAGGTCCTACATTCTATCTCGTAGGGTTCGAAGCATATAGAAAGACTAGGAATGTAAAAGAGGAAAAATCTATATGTCTTCGTTAGTAGGATCCTGCACTAAGGAAAATGTCTCAGGTAATTTAAGGGCTCAAATGGGACGCCCCACCTCTCCACTGAATTTTTTATATCCTGAAAAATTAATAATTAGTTCCTACTGCATGCGTGAAATTTTCAAAAACACACATATGATTGATAGCTGAGAACTGGTGCAGCTACCGAAAGTGGAAACAGCTCGATGCCGGGTGCCTTTGGCCGGCAAGCTTTCGAACACATTAGCCGAACCTCAGCTAGCGGGAACCGGAAAATGGCCACTATTTATATTCAAGGTCGCCAGCTTTTAAAATAGAGATTGAAGAACAAAGAAAACTTCTTTCATTACTAAATCTTCACCAATTAAGCAGCAGCCATGACAACTTCCACGTTCAAGATCGATGATAACCTCAAATACTTGAATGGCTTCAACGGCTTTCACCAGTATGCGGATTCTCTTCTAGTGCCTTATTATGGCTACTGATCAAGTATAGGTCTGAAGCAGTAGAGGGTGCTATTCCATCGGTTATTAATATCCCTCAAAAATCCTCCCACGGGCTCTATACTGAACGTATCTCCGGAAGCTCTTTTACCGTGCCGAGGAAGGACTCAAAGCAAACGTGGCTATACCGGCTTCTTCCATCGACATGCCATAAAGATTTTAGCTTACTCGAAGCTAATCCGTTCAATTTCAACAATACCTTGAACTTGAAGTACCAGTATTCTCCTAATCGGTTTACCTGGGCCCCTGTGCAAATTGCCGAGGAAGCAGATTTTCTTACTGGTCTTCAATTGATTGGAGGCGCTGGTGATCCTACTATGAAACAAGGACTAGCATACTATGCCTTCACAGCTGGAAAGTCAATGCCACCTAACCAGGCATTCTATAGCGCAGATGGAGATATCCTTTTAGGTACGCTTCCTAACCCTTTTATCTACAACGCTGTCTTATAAGTATTTTAGTTCCGCAGAAGGGCACTCTCGATTTACGCACGGAAATGGGCAATCTTCGCGTCCGATCTGGGGAGATTTGCGTTGTTCCCCGAGGAATTCGTTTCCACGTTTCGCTCCCAGCAGGTCAGGTGCGAGGCTTTGCACTCGAACTGTTCGAGGGCCATTTCGAGTTACCAGAGCTTGGGCCAATTGGCTCTACCGGCCTTGCAAATATTCGTGATTTCGAGATTCCTACTGCTAGCTTCGAAAACTCTGATGTTGATACGGAGATTATCGCTAAGTTTGCTGGCCAGATGCACCACGCTATGTATCAGGGTAGTATCTTTAACGTTGCTGGGTGGTCGGGAACATATTACCCTTTTAAGTATGATCTAGGTATAGTGAAACTTGCGTCTAAATATCTATTATAGGTAACTAAGACCCGAAATTAGGAAAATTCAACACTATCGGCTCAATCTCATACGATCACACAGTAAGCTCTTGCTGTTCACGAGACTAAACTAGCAAATTTTGCTGACTTTCCTAGGATCCTTCAATCTTCACAGTCCTCACTGCGCCTTCATCTGTTCCAGGAGAAGCCGTCGTTGACGTTGCAGTCCTTGGTTCTCGCTGGCTTGTCATGGAGAAGACCTACCGTCCGCCATACTTCCATCGCAACACTATGTCGGAGTTTGCTTTCCTCATTAAAGGCGGATTTGATGTTACTCCGTTGCCTCCACAGTTAGAAGGCTTGTTCTCATTAGCCAACACTATGTGTGCCCATGGAGCGGACGCAGAGAGCTGGAAACAAGCGACTGAAAAGGTGCTGGTGCCAGAGAAGATACCTCCCGGAAATTTGGGAATGTTGTTTGAGAGCAAGTGAGTTATTACTTTGAGTTTGATGTACATTTAAGTATCATCTCTGACTGTCTTAACTTCTAGATACTTCATTGGATTGACCGAAACAGCGAACAAGAAACTAATGAAGGTTCCGGGGAGAAGTGCGGCATTTGAGAAGGCGAATATTCAATTGATCTCAGACTAATTCTTGTGTCTTGGAGTCCATTTAGATAAACTCATGACCGAAAGCTAGCATAATTTCTTTTCTTATGATTCTTTACCTTAGCATCTACCTATCCCTCACTGCATGGCTGTGTAGGGAAGCATTATATAGGCAGAATTTGGACCCACAATCCTCACCCCAGGGTCTTTTCCTTACCTGGCTGCAAGCACTTTTTCTAATACGATTCATTTAACAAATTCTAGAAGTCTAAGTTATACAAAGTCTATACTTAGCTTTTTTGGCTTCTATAATCATATGTAGCCGTCGTACGATTTGACCCTAACATACTGCCAACATGTGTTTGTGCAATAGCCCCGCACTAAATGTATGCATGCTTATGTACGCGAGTATTATTGGATGAATACTGCATACCAGGTAGACAGCTACGATGATGGTGATCAACTATCACGTCAGATGGAAAAAGCAACCAGATTTCCAACTCTCTCGTGTGCCTTTATGTTTATTTCGGGATTTTTATGGTACTTTAGCATGTCTAAGAAAGATATGAATGCCACCTGTTTCTAGAGCTAGGTTGACTAAGTGTGACTCATATTGATTTCCTGTCATAAAGTTATCCTATACCATCGTGGATCTTTGTTCTATATAGCACGAACCTACAAAATCTTATGATAAGGTTCTGCTTTACCCCGACTGGACATTACACTACAGTGCACTCGACGGGGCTTATAGCCACTATCTAAAGTCCAACATCTTCTCTCATGAAGAGATAGAAGCTGCGAAGGAGGAGAGTGATGAAAAGCTTGATGAAATTCACATTGACTAAATCAGTGATACGAAGAAGCAGAATTATGTAATTCATAGCGAGATGAAGCTAGGTGAGCCAGACAAGGTAGGGAATGCCTCTAGGGTTTAAAAAACCCCCTAAGAAAACCCACAGGCCGAACGTGCGATTGTATTCGCACCAATTGCAGATGCAGCGTATATCTGATAAACATCGACGAGGTAGTTCAACAACCCGATAAAGATAACCAAGAGGGCACTCGTAAGGAAAGCCCCCCAAGTAGTTGGTACAATCCAGTGTACAGAGCTATGAAGAGGTTAGCTTCTTATCGCTAGTAGTGCTTTTCCAAGTCACGGGGACGAACTCAGATTTAGCGGACCAGGCAAACCAGAACATAGCCAGGGCAAAACCAATACCTCCACCAATTGCAAGCGGTAAGCGGTCTTCCGGCACAACATTCTCTTGCTTGATAATACCTAGTCCAATCTTCCTCTGGCGTACCTGGGTATCGACCAGGACAATGACACCACCGAACAGAGTACCTATGACAGTACCTAGTAGCGGTAGCTGCCCAACACCATGGTTTCCACCCCTGTTATTTTTGAACCACAATAGGGTATATCGTGAACAACATATGTTAGATAGCAGAGAGATCGGGTCGAACAGAACTATCCACGGTCGAGTAAGAGCAATCTTATAAACGCCCACTAGGTTTCGGTCACTGTCCTCCACCGGAGCTTTCACACTTTCTTACCCTAGTTTCTTTGTATAAAGGTTACATCGGCCTTTTTGATATAAGTTTCAGGGATAGTCAACATCATAATAGCTGACACGCCGCCGCCAATCTTTTTTGAGCTGGAGAAAACCTGCGACCACCGGCCCTAATGTTGGCCCGATTATAACCATTGCTAAAAAACCAGCCATAGCGTTAGCGCACTCTAGTGGATTCCTTAAATAAGCCAAAATACCGGGGCGGTTGCTCAATGGAGCTGAGACAAATATTCCCACCAGAAATCTACCAAATAACATGCCTGCAAAATTCGGCGGAAATGCACAAAGAAAGGTGAAAGCGAAGTAAAGCAAAAATTTCGTATAAAAGATATAGCGGCGTCCGTAAAACTCGCTCAACGGAGCGATAATCGAGGGCCCAGCGCAATAACCCAGTAAAAATAGTGTTATGGTCAAGCCCGCAGCTTCACTGGAAACACCAAGATGTTCTGAAATTGACGGGAAACATCCAGTCGGCGACCTCGATGCGAATATAGCATTCACGACTAATGGCACCGCGGCCACCTTCACACCAGTTCGACGGCGCATTGACCAATTCCGGATGTTGTCGATATCACCTGGAGCGAATCCTAAATAACAATTTTCGTCAAGAGTAATCAGACTTTGGACTGTTGGATATTCCGTTCGGTGCGAGTTCTGAACAGCGCGGGGCAATAGTGGTGGGGTGGACGTCATCGAGAATATTTGAAAAGAAAGTTGACCCGAGTTGTTCAAGTTCATGTCAAAGTATCGCGTGCTCGCGAGCCGGTCTGGTGAAGACCATATACTGGACCGTAGAAGACATTGTGGAAACTATAAAGAGATTGCAAGTATATAAGTATTCAAAAGCGGATCGTGGGAGTAATAAAATAACTTGTTAAATTATATGAAGAAGCCTTTGCTGAATGTCGGCTTCTTGCGATAGGATCTGCTTACCCGTGTTATTCCGTTACTTGAGTACGGGACCGCGTTCTACGATCTCCGTGCCTGTTATCGTCTTATGTGATTATCGCCTCAAGAGAACTATTTTGTGTTCGTTTTCCCCTTTAGATAATTGTGGTCTTTATATAGTTGTCGTTTTGCCGTTTTCCTCGGCCGAATGCCGGTACTCCATAAACAACCTGTACAATGGTAAAAAGAGCCACCTACGAAGCCCATGGTACCTCTTCGACGGTAATTTTTTGACTATCTTATTGAAAGAACATCATCATTACTCTTTTCATATCCTTGACGGCTGAATGCTCCCCTCACTTAACCGCGGGAGCGGACTGTGGTGATCGCTAATCGATACTGAGTTAGAAATTTGCATAGAGTCCAGGCCTAGTGGCTATAGTAGTGCTGGGATTGGACGCCACGGACTCAAGGCTCAGGCGAGGTGGGGCGGACTCTGTACGGAGTATTGATAGCACTATGTAAAGGCATACCGAGGCTCACAGGGACTAGCTAATGGGTATATAAAGCACGGGAAACATCGATATTGTACCCCAATCACATTTCTAGGTCTGCTCTCCCTTATTCCGGGTTATTCAGTGATTCAGAATGAGATTTCTGACTGCTTCGGCCTTGAGTTGCTTCATTGTGTCTGCTCTTGCAGCGGATTGCTTTGGTCAATCCCCGGTCAGTCAATTAGGAAAGAATTTCGGGGACGCATACTGGGATGCTCGTCAGAAAATGTGCTCGACCAGCTCATCTGGAGGTGGAAGCTGTCAATACCAGAAGGATTGTACAACGTCTTCTTCAAAGACGGTGCACGGAACTATCACGTTGACCGATAACGTCCAGCTCAAGCGGCAGAAGGATGGAGGAAGCGGCGGGTTCAAAGATTGTTGGGTATGATTTATATCCTATCAAAGAATATCAGTTAACTAATCATCTCTAATAGGACGCCACCGAGTAAGTCTTAATAGACCTTGCGTATGTTTGTATTCTAACGCCAGCAGGAATATCATCAACCAATGTGTGTATGACTCAGGGCAGATGGGCGGGTCTTGGAGGGCTAATGGCCAGTATTACGAGTTCAATTCGTGGATAACGGAACCTTGTCTGAAGAGAGTCAGAGTCTCCTGTGTTATATACGATGCTGGAATACCGTGAACGAGGTAAATAATTGAATATCAGTGAATTAAATGAGGCAGCTGTCGCGAATGCGGAAGTAGATATTTCCTAGTGACCAACGAAGAGTATCGAAAAGTCTATCCTAAGTAGGCCTTGGCACGACCCGCGGGTGACCCTCACGATCCTAGCCCTGACCCTGACCCTTATTTTTGAGGGTCAGGTTCCGAACAGTGTGACCCTCTGGGCGGGTCGTCAAAAAGGCCAAACATAGTATACTTACGACTTGCCTTAGTGCGCATACATTGCGCAGCGTTTGGCTGTACTTTGAGTATTTACGTTACAGCTCTACGCTTATGGACTCATGAGGGCAGACAGAAACCGACTTAAAAGTCTCTTTCATTAATCTACTCGATCGATTTCATTACACCGAGCCCAACTCATACCCATCGGGACGCTCGGAGCGCTTTCGGACCTCCCTGATACTCGGTATTGTGTATCAGGTAAGTGACCTTCAGCATCATCGTTGTTCTCTTCTTCATCCAGCTCAGATGTCACGCTCCTTCGCCAGTTACCGGGCGCTTTTTTACTTAGGGCTAAACCGGAGGCTGTGATCGAGTTAATGCTAGATCATCAGCTTCATCGTCATTGATTGGAATGAAATTATTCTTCTTTCTGTCATGTTCCTCTATCGCTGCCTGTTTCTCCTGATAGGAGAGACACTCATTAATCAACAAACGTTGATCGTCCTCGATATCAAAATTTAATGTACACATGAACTTTATAAGATCACTAATAGTTTTGAGGCTTAAGCGAATCTCGACGATAATAATTTAAAGAGCTGTTCAACTCCCGCACCGGCTGCGGGAATTAAGAGAATGCTCCATGCAAGACCTGCAGGGTTCTTGGTCCGGTTCCAATTCTAAAGGTTGGAACTTGAGACCCGTATGGTCCGACTCCAGGTTCCGATCTCGAGAACCGGAACCGGACCATGTCGAGGTTTAGTCGGGACACACGCGACTATTAACGTGAATTTCGAGCACTTTACGTTCTTCCCAATTCGCGCCTGCAGGACACTGGAGCCCATAATTCTGCCAAGAAATTTCCTATTTTAGCTAGATACTTCTGTTAATAATTATGTATAATATACACATGTCGCGCGTTAGACGGTTAGACGGTAGAATAAACTGCAATATACTACTATCTGCTATGTAACATTAGTACTGTATATGTAATTTCGATATATTTATAGATGGTATGAAAATATTACAAAGGTACGACCGTCAGATATCAGTAGTAGTAGGTAGTAATGGGGGTGGATGGTTGACCTTGAGATCGATATATTTTTGTCAGGGCGACACCATTTTTCCAGCACCAATATTTGAAGGAAATTGCGACAAAATCTTAATAGTTCCAAGGACCTAGAACCGAACCGGACCTGGAGAATCGCGACTCCTGTCCAGGTCTAGTCCCGACTGGGCGTGGATTACATTGCTATATATCCACCACTTAGTAATGATTATGCCAATATAGATTGCCAGCAAAGGGCGATATGGGGCATATCAGACTTCGTGACCTCCAATTGGTGTGCGACATGATTAAATAAGCAGCATTTCCGATAACGTATTTCCTAGCCGATCGGGCCACCCCAAAACACCATACTAAATGTAATATTTCACAGCTTGATATTTCAACGCTCGAAGCTGATTATCTCGTCTTAAGATATATTAGGATTTAATATACCATAATACGTATTCTACTTAAGGCTAAAAATATTTCAGGGTGTGACAATGTAGATAAATACATCTACGTCGGTCTGAAGTAGCGTATTTTTGGTATTACGTGTAAATAATTGTGTTATGAATATATTAGTTGTGCTCTACTATTTCCAATTATCAGAAAACGTTCTCTACCAAGAATCACATAAGAATAACTTATCGTTGTTGATATATAATGACCCTAAAAATCTGCCTCCAGTATGGTGTTTTGGGGTGGCCCGATCGGCCAGGAAATACGTGAGGGGAACTGCTACGGATGCAGCAGCTTTTTGCTAGCCGCACAGCAACCATGTAATATCCGTGTCACATAATCAATTCTGCCTTCCGATAGCTACATTTAACTAGTTTAACTGACTAGACTTGGCAACCATAGCCGGAACCTTGGCCGAATTGGGCATAGGCTACCTGTCGGCCCTGGGCTTGGCATCCCTTCTCAAAGAAAGTCCAGGCTTACCCCAACATTTTTGTACTGTAGTCTACCGGAGTTAAGATATCTCCGTGTGCTGTACTGGAGGCCATTATAACTGACTTTATTATATCAATTGCCGATAGCTATGATTGTGGGGATAGATTCACAGATTCTGAGATTAATGAAGCGGAATCGAAATGCTGAACAATTGATATCTCTGTTTAGGAAAGTGTATGTTCCCGCATTTGCCTGAGCGTTGAGTCAAGTGGAGGAGGCGGTCAGCCCGCATTTCCAGTCCAGCACTTAATTGTTCCCATAGATAGTTGAACACCCCTTAGTGACATGAAATGCTTAATTAGAAAGATCCAGAGACTTCTGTTCAAACCATATCTCGATAGACATCCTAGTGGTATTGCTATCATTCTTGGGCTGGAGCCTCTGATAAGGCGAGAGGGTGAACCTCCAACTACTGGGTGGAGGATACAGTAAGTGACTTGCGCGAATAGATAGATCATCATGGTAAATAGATCCGTATTTATCTTCAGGTATCTTACCGCTGTGGTGCCATACCTTGCGGCCACATCTTCGAGCCACTTGCCATTAATCTCTTGGTGTTTCGGACTTTCTGCCGAGAAGAGCGGCCAATGCAAGAATAATCTTTTTCTTCTTGGCCAATTCGCCACGAACCCAAATTCTGAGTATTCTTTGACGTATGAGAATACTGTTAGAGATCGTTCATCCCTCTGAAGGCTTGCCACAATCAGGCAAGGCCGCAATGATGTAACACAACTGGCTCAGCTTTTATCCACATGCCTATTTGAGGAAAGGGTGGTGCATGCTGATCATCAGAAAGAGTGAACCACATTTTCCAATTGAAGATCTCCATCAATCCTTCTCCAATTGACGGAGATAATCTACAGTATTACCGAAGGGTCCGCTAGCGGCCGCATGGCATAATCCGACAGACCTGCCTCAACCTAAGTGCATGATAGGGTCCGCATATCTTTTTTTGCCGCTGTTGAACATGTCATAAATATAGCCAGAATTCGTGCCCTGATGCTCATTCGCCCTTGTTTCTTGATTCTCAACTTCCAACTTTCATTGACACCTCTTTTGTTTAGGACATTATTGTCCATTGTTTTATACAGGATTTTGGAGAGCTGCAGAAGCTCCTAGCTTTGATACCCAGACCGGGTTTGCATTAACATTCGCCACGCCTATGGAGTCCACCAATCGCGAACCCTCGGAGAAGGCTCTTGCAGAGTCCGTCTCTTCGGAAAAGTTAGACGAGTCGCTTAACTTCAATATCTCAGACGACACACCCCAGCCCGATGGACCAACAGCCACGAAATCGGAGGACGGCAGATCAAAGGAGGGAACCGACGGGCAATCAGTAACCACGCCGAAATTTTTGACCAGAGTTAATTTGAATGCCAATTCGGGCGCAACAGACGTCGAAGCGAACGAACAACGAACAATCACAACAAAACTCTTCCCAATCACAAACCTAGACCAGGGAATCATCGGCTGGGATAGCCAAGATGATCCCGAGAATCCTCAAAACTTCGCCATGAGTCAGAAATGGGGTCTTTTGGCCTTGATGACTGCCATGACGTTCATTTCGCCTCTAGCATCAAGTGCATTTTCGCCTGCTGTGAGTTATGTTGCAGTCGATCTGCACGAAGATAATCAGACCGTTCTCTCACTAGGTGTTAGTATCTTCTTGCTCGGATATACTGTAAGTCGGCCTTTGAAAATATAGTCTCCTATTTGTAGCTTTGATCTATTGAGCCTAGATTCAACTGACATGACAATCTTACGATTTAGGTCGGCCCACTCGTGCTCGCCCCGATGAGCGAGATCTACGGCCGTCGAATTGTGCTTAGTTGTGCAAACTGGTTTCTTGTGCTGTGGCAGATTGGCTGTGCCTTAGCCCCGAATATCGAGACTTTAATCATCTGTCGCATGTTTGCTGGTATGGGTGGCGCGGGTTGTCTCACCCTTGGAGCGGGTCTTATTGCTGATCTTTTCCCAATTGAGCAACGGGGCCTGGCTACGGCCCTGTGGAGTTGCGGTCCCTTGATCGGCCCTGTTGTTGGACCTATTGCCGGTGGTTTTATGGGAGAGACAATTGGCTGGCGCTGGATCTTTTGGATGGTTATGATTGCGGCTGGCTTAGTGTCATTTGGCATTGAAGTTTTGAACCGTGAGACCTATGCTATCGTTCTTATCCGTCGTAAGACTGAACACTTGTCTAAGGAGCTAGGTCGCAGTGATCTTCGAAGCGCCTATGAGACGAGTGTGGAGCGAGCTTCTCTCTCCTTGACTATGAAACGTGGCTTGAAGCGGCCTATTGTTCTCTTACTTCGATCGCCCATGGTCTTGCTCCTGTCCCTTTATGTGGCTGTTGTCTACGGTCTGCTTTACCTCTTCTTTACGACTATTGCGATAGTATTTGAGAGTCAGTACGGCTTCTCCACAGGCTTGTCAGGCCTAGCTTTTCTAGGCATTGGCCTCGGCTTCGTTATTGGATTGATCTTATACGGCGTGACTAATGACCGTGTTGTCCTGAAGCTCACCGTACGCAATGGTGGTAAATATGAGCCGGAGATGCGCTTACCGGCAATGATCGCCTTCTCAAGCCTCCTACCTATCAGCTTTTTCTGGTATGGCTGGTCAGTGGAAAAAAATGCGCATTGGATTGTGCCTATTATCGGCATGGCCCCGTACGGTATAGGGATGATGGGGGTTTTCCTCCCGGTCCAAACGTATATCATCGACGCTTACTCGAGATATGCCGCGTCAGGAAACGCGAGTCTCACGACTATCCGATCTCTAATTGGAGCTGTGCTTCCATTGGCTGGACCGCAATTGTTCAAGGCTCTTGGTCTTGGCTGGGGCAATTCTTTACTGGGATTCATTGCGCTCGCATTCCTGCCGGTCCCGATATTTTTCTCACGGTACGGACAGCGCATTCGAGAGAAGTTTCCCGTGAACCTGGATGGTTGAAATGCATGACACAGAAAGTCAGATCAGCAAGATCAGCATCAGCATTGGATTTGGGTAGGTGAGGAGCGGCTGACATGGGCGAAAAATTTCGTAAGTTGGTGGCAGCGGGCCGAGCCGAGCCTGCGGAATCAACAACTTCAAAGTCCCTGGCCAATAAGCGCTCACGAAGAGTGTGCCTGATTTCTTGAGTTTTGCGTGTTCAGCTCTTTCCCCTTCTCTTCAGTAAGGAATGAACTAGGAACTGTAGTACATACAAATATGTACTTTATACTCTGTAACTTCCAGTCCATAGACCAATTTGTATAATTCCATCATCTTATCCATTCCCATCAGCCACTGACCTTCCTCCAATAGTTCTCTCTCTTGAAAAATGAAAGTAGGCGTTTTCTTTTTCCATTACAATTTCCCCCCTTTTAACACACGAATTCCGGCCAAGCAATAGGGATTGAGAATATTGTGGCTTTGCGGAACGATTTTACATTTGCAGTGAGAGCGTATCCTCCCGTTAAAGTCTTCCGAGCCCATACAGACTGTTGGCGAGAGTTGAAAGTGCAACCGGGCCCTAGGGCTACAAACTACATGGGCGCAAGGTTTCGACGGCATTGACGCAGTGTGTGTGTTGGCCATTTACTTTCTCCCAATTTTAAATAGGAGACTAGTCCCTAGGATGCATATCTCTCAATGTAGATCTACCGCAATACTTTCTGGTAGGCCCAGTTCGATAGAAGTGGAATTGTCTGAACTAATTCACTTAACACGGCTTGCTGCCATGTCGGAATAAAAACCAATTACCGCCTTTTGAGTGATACAGTACGTCCAATTAATTCGGTGTAAAACTAGAGCATTAATGTTGCGACGCAAGAAACTGAACTTCGCAAACTATGCGTTCCAGTGCACGGAGATACTTCATGAGCATCATAACAGTGAGGATATTAAGTTATTTCCGTCTATAGGCAAAACCGCCGGGGTGCCGGGTTTGATGAACGTCAATTCCTAGGAGCACACCGGGTTTTACGATTGCATCAATCAATATATAGAATATCTAAACGAAGTTATCAAGGGCAAAAAGAAGCTTCACAGAGAAAAGGTGAAGAGCCTCATCGACTCCTTATGGCCGATCTCCACACCCACCTTGAGAACGAGATTGACCTACTGGTTGATTTAGAAAAGTACGACAATGTCCACTAGGATACTTAGTTGAAGGCGGAGGTTAGCAAAATGATAAAGGAGTCGATAAGCCAGAATAAGTACCGGGTAAGCCCCTTCACTATAAGCACATAGAAGAACGGAAGAATATTTCTCTAACGAATAATAGCATAGAATCCAGATAAATATTTTCCCGTTAGCTATCGTCTCACACGATAAGGGATTCGGAGCAAGCGTGTAGGAAAGCTTCCCTCCGATACTATCTATCTTAGTATTGTTCCTGCGCTCGTTCTATATATACAAAATCAGGATTAGTAGAGATCCGCTAGCTATGACTACAAAGGTAACCCTAAAGAGCTACTAATTATCTAGGAAATACACAATCTAAGGTCTAACAGGTACATAGAGATAGAACGAGGGCAGAGATCTAGAGCTAGTCTCGATACCTACTAAAACGCCCTATAACGTAATTCACGGCCGACCGGGTCACCCCATCCAAAATCGCGTATTCCTACCAACCTACCTGATTCAACCACCTACTATGCCACCAATTCGCACTGAATCTAGCCATAAATTGGCTAATCAAGAGGGCAGAATCCTATTGGCCCTTTCTGATTTAGGTGACCCGGTCGGCCGTGAATTACGTTAATCAACCAATTCCGCCTAGCTTAATGTTACGATACATGCCTGTGTCACATGATCATACTAGGCCAAAAAGACCACTATATCCGCGATCAGCGGATGTGACTCAGGAGCCAATATATATAGTAGCGTGTAATATTGTTATTGCATAACACTTAATTCCTCAACGCGCTAGGCATTCAGAACTAATTTCACAGATTCAGGGGGAGTAGGAAATAGCACCTTCATCTCCCTATTACAGTCAAATATCAACGATTAGAGGCGCTCAATAACGGGTCCAGTTATATATCCTATCTTAATATCCCCTAGGTTACTCTTTGCTTAAAAAGCATATACAGTAAACTCCCGTTTTCGGCACGGGCCTCCGTGCAACAGAATTCCGATGTGCCTAATGAAAGTGTGCCACTAATATCGCGCTAAACCTCATCTAGTAAGAACTAGTCTGTTTTTGGTCTAAAGTAGTCATCCACCCTTCTCTGCTTCCTCCCATTGATCTCGAATCGAGAAAAAAGATGAGCGATCCTCTCTATATCACGTAGATCTCTCTCAGTAATTCCCTCTTGGTGCTGGGCAAATTGAAGAGCTTTATGCATATATTCAATAGCTTCAACACGCGAGAGGATATCCAGCGGTGGTCCGAATATATATTCGTCCTGGTCGTCCTCGCTATCCTGAACCCCATTATCCCCACCTGTATTTTCTTCTGAAAAATGAACGATAATATCAGATAAATCAGGCTCTTCCACGTCGATGTTTTCTCCTGGAGGGTCTAGAAATTCATCTAATGCCATAACCTCTGTACCAGGAAGCCGGTCGGTCACCTCTGCGTATAAATCACCTAGTTGAAGGTCCTCAGACGGAGACGTATTCATCTCATTAGTGCTAGGACTAATAAGCGTGCTCTTAATAAAGCACTTCTGAATAGTCTCATCTAGGACGTCACGTCTCTAAGCCTAGGTGATCCAATATAGTATATAATAGAGGCTTATTCTCTACGTAGGATCGACGCCGCGGTCTATTATATTAACTATCTATATCAACTATTTCTTCCGATAATAGTACTTAAGGTTTCTGATAATACCCTAGTCTAATAGCTAGTAAACCGAGGTCGCGTTTAGTGGCAAAAAAACGACTTTAATATTAGACAGCGGTGGCGCATATTCAAGCGCAGAGAGATACGCGCTAAAGTTATCGAGCAATAGCACGACTCGTCTTTATATACCAATATACCTATAAAACGAGCGGAACCATTCTTACATAACATTACCGCGTATCCATGCGTTCTTGTTCTATCGCTAGACATATCCAAGTACTAGGATATTAAGTTTTCGTAGAGCACGAGGCATCTTCGCAGTACCTATTAACCATAGAGGCATTCGATCTGAACTAGTAGCATTAGTCGTTACTACGAGAGTAATCCTAGTCTTATCTTTTTTATAACTAGGACTACCCTTACTCGATAGACCCCCATTTAGCATTCGACGCCAGAATAGACCTATTTCATCTATATTATAGACATCGTTTAGCTAATATTAGTCGTAGATAGCCCGAATAGCTTCTATGTCGGAATACATCGAAGCCGGAACCGATACAGATTCGCTATAGGAGGTATAATATCGGATTGAATAGCGCTATTTAAACCGTAATAGCCACCCTTCAGAGAAAAGTGGCGGGTCGAGATCTTTATACTAGGGTATTTTCTTCCAATATTCGACGGCTTTGCTCTAAATCAATGGGCCTATTATAGGAAAACCGGCATTCTCGTAACGCTGCTACTAGATATATAGGGCCTTATCTAATAGAGGCCACCGAGATGCTAACGGGCGTTTATTCTGACCAGCTAAACCAGTATCAAGGTACTCGTATTTAGATAAAAGAATCTTGGAGACGGTCGCACGGTTGATATGACGATTAAATTGAGATAAAAACCACTCAGCGCATTCTCTCTGAGTAGGTTTAGGGCGTGTCTCCGATGCATAGATACGTAATGCTTTTTTCTGAGCATCGGATATACCTTTGTTGGGTTGTTTTGGTATAGCCAGTTTAGCTGAAAGAGCGACCGAAGAAGGGGTGGAAGGGTTGGAAGGGGAAAAATCCTGCATTCTGATTGGTCGGTTTATATGACTAAGCAAAAATTGAAGAGAATTTTGTGTGCCAGACAAAAAGGTGTGCCGGTTGGCCTCTTATATATGGGAAAACTCTAAGAAGTGGGTCCATCCAACAGATTTTGGTGCCTAATAAAAATGTGTGCCTAACCTGGGAGTGCCGAAAACGGGAGTTTACTGTACATATCTAGTTACGCCGCGAACTCAGATTTCGATATATTCTTCCATAAATAGAGTCGTTCAGGGTTATTGTGCTGCGTCTATTCCTTATTGGAAGGATTTCAAAGAGGGAAGGAAGTGTTAAGCCCCTCCAGCAAAACCAAGGCTGAATCTTCTGGAAATTTCAAGCTTGATATTTATTATCCCTTCAAATAAAACCCGTCGCAGTGCTCGGTAGATTCTGAACTAACGATTTACATTCAGATTCATAGGGTACCTCAGACCGAGTCGGCATCTTCTATTCCAATTCGCCGTAACCCAAACTCACAAGTCAAGGTGGGTCATCTGGTATTGGCAGAGCGACCGCACAATTATGTCTAGACCTGGGCGCCAAAGTCGTCATTGGAGATCTGAACTCCCCTAGTCCCGAATTCAAAGACACCGAAAAAGTTCATTACTTGGAGGTGAACGTGTCCTCCTGGGAAAGCCTTCGGAAAATGTTCGCTCGAGCGGATGAAATCTTCGGTGGTATCGACCACGTCTTTGCCAACGCTGGCGTCGGCCCGACCACGGACTTTTGGGGTATAAAACTCAACGACGACGGGCAACTCGAGCCTCCCCCTCTCCGAACTATCAATGTCAATCTCATCGGCCCACTATACACAATTAACTTGGCGCAGGCCTATATGAGACAACTTGCAAGCCGTCGTCCTATGATGAAAACAGGCAGTGTTGTCCTCGCAGCCTCTGCTGTTTCCTTCCAAAACTTCAGTGCTGGCGACTATACAATCGCCAAGCACGGTATTTTAGGCATGATCCGTGGTCTAGTGCACAAGCTTGAAGCAGACGGTAGAATTCGATTGAACGCGGTCGCACCCTCTTGGACTAGGACACGGATGGCCCCGATGGAAATTATTCAGGCTATGGGTGTGCCAGTTCAGTCGCCTGAGGCTGTTGCGCAGAATGTGGTGCTGCTTTTCGCTGATGAGACTCGGCACGGAGAAGTCATCTACAGCTCGCAGGGAAAGTTTTTGGAGATCAATAAAGCTGATGGTGGGCTTTTATCGATGACGAAGGGGCTGCTCTATGATGATGACAATCTGGAGGGTGTGATGCGAAATGTGCATGAGCAAATCGCTAAAGCTTAAATGAACTTCTTCTTCAGAATCCGTCAAGAATATTACTATTTGTTTTATCTGTGTTCTTAATTTAGTGTAATAATAGATGGTGGGGGTTCATCCAGCACATTTCTTCCAATCATTCGATGCATAGGAGATATCAAATACATTTAATAGGCTGCGGCATATCCGCAGTTGCATAAATATCGCTAGTTTATCCTATTATAGATCACCATGTAACTCTTATGCCGCTGACAGATACTTGTTTTTAATGTTAATATACGTGAGTTCTCGTTATACCAGTACTCTTTAAGAGATTCTCCTACTTCCCTGCTGAAATAGTAAGAAACATGCCTGTATTAAGAAATAAGTTATATCAGTTTGCCTTGCTCAACCTAAGATATTAGGCTACTGCGTTCTAGTAGCCAGTAATCTTAATCTGTTTATTTGTCTATGGCGTTGTTGTAGAAGTATATATTCCTACTCAACGAAGTCAGTTCATTTCCTATTGAACACACATAAAATAATATAACTCTATAGAAAATGCACTAATATTTTCGTATTTAGTATCATAACATAGGGATACACTAATTAATATAACTTTTCATTTCATTACTATTATATTCTACAACATAAGGGAGAAATTTCAGCTTCTTTTTTAATTTAAGACTTAGAAGTTTCAGAGTATTATAGATATACAGATATACGGATATTAAATAGATATCGTACGATATCCGTATAACGTAGTTCACACCCGAACCGAACACACGGCGGAGCGGAACACCGTCTCTACTATAGACCTCTGTGGCGCTAATGTCTTTTCATTTTTAGACAATTCGACTGAACCGTGAGTAGAGACTAGAGTACCATGAACGCTTTCCAAACTTTCATGACTCCACAGGCCTGGACCGGGGCAAAGTGCGAACTTCATCCACAAAGTGTACAAAGTCCAGCCCGCTAGCCCGCACATCTGGCAGTCCGCACATCCGCTAGTCTGCTTTTGGTATCCTTGTAAAACGGCCGCCATGCTATACAAACCTTTGTTTTCTTTTCTGAGACGTAGATTTTAATATCGCAAATATTGTATAATTTCAGTATCTCTGGTTGTCACTCGTTCGGAGAACTTAACTCGTAGTCATGATCGCCTTGAGACTGCCCTCCCTCACCGATGAAGCCGGCACTGTCGGTGACGGAAATCTGCATTAGTATTTGAGTCTATTCAAATAAGTCCCTTCGAGACTTACGTGAGCGGGAGTGCAGATGATTAACTAGGCGCTCATAGCAAGATTTTATTTCCCCTTTTACATTTAAATTGTATGGGGTAAGGTGCTGCGCGATTTCTACTGCAACGGAAGCCGCTTATCTGATTTTCGTCTCCGCGGTCCGCACATGCATCCGCCACTTTGCTATTTCACGGCTTCTACCGCTAGTCCTAGCTAGGCAACAATGGCGACGGCCCTTTCCGACGGACGTACTACTGTTAGGGCTTATGTTAAGTGTCATCCAATGAGCAGACATACGACGAGGTTTCTTGTCTCCAGGCGACGAATATCCGTGTATACGTAGTCTCTAATAAACCTTTCAGCGGCATTTAAAGGAAAGAATCACAACTTTACCAGTAATTTTACAAATTAAAACCTCTAATAAGCTTAGCGAAAAATACTCCAGTCTTGATTAGTAGCTACCTGAATCGGGCCTTTTCGATAATGTACCCACGGAAAATTACAAACGTAAAGTGCCATTTTCACGATGCCTGTTAACGACTGAGAGTAAATAATGCTGGCCTATAGGCCGATGTAGATGCCCTGGTTGTTGTATGAAATGCTTATCGTGCGATTGACTCCACAACAATCATGAATCTGAACGTGAACATGATCTAAAAAAGGTATTGTGGCTGGAATATGGAATACAAAAGACTGAGTACGTAAAATAGTTGAATAAGAATAGCGGCCATAAAAAAAGCTGTCATAAGAATAGCGGTCACTGACTGAGCTGACTTACTCAGAGGGGCAAGTGGACAGACTGGAGGTTGCTTAGCGGTCTTACCTGGCTACTTAACTAATGTGGCAGGTGGATCAACTCCAAGTCTTGATGTTCCTGTTCATGAGTAGTAACTGGCTCGTATCCAATGATATAGCAATGCAACCTAATTTTGCAATTGACTGACTGATACAAATAAATAGTGAAACCATACACAGGGATGGGTTGGATAAAAAAGCCCAGAAAAGAAGACAAGAAGACCAAGTCGACAACGCGCAAACCCTTCAATTTTCTTTTAATAAACTCTTCGACTGTTTTTTCTATACCGTGTTCGCTCAGCATGCCAACGGTGCCTCCTCAGCATGAGATGATCATCCCAACTAAGCCTTCGGTTCCTATAATGTACTCTTTCGTCGAGAGTCCTCAACAGCTCCAAGGATCCAAGGCCCTCGTGATATTTTGCAGCGGTCTGTGTGATCCGATGAATGTCTGGCTGCCAACGCTCGCGGCCATAGCAAGAAAGAGAAAGCAGAAGCCCCTCCTCCCGATGCTCCTTTACGATCGCTTTGGTTCTGGTGCAACTGGTCCGGATCCGACAGACAAAGGCAAAGGCGCAAAGGATACGCACGATGTTATGGACTCTGTTCACGACCTGCGAGAACTGCTTATCTGCATAGCACAGCGGCACCTTGCCGTACTGCCAACTGAGATCGATGCTCTGCGACTAGTGTTCGTGGCCCATTCGATGGGCGCTATCATCGCGGAGCTCTACGCCAAGACATACCCGAGAACCGTGGCCGCATTGCTTGTGCTCGATGGAGCACCCACAAATTCTGATGGGCAGAACTGGTATCCAGACCCTGATACTTTAGACTTTTCACCGGCTGCACTGCCCGAGGGGGTCACGGCCGAGCTCTTGCGAAGGGCAAGAAAGCAACAGCGAGCAAGTGTCTACAACCCGAACAGCGTAAACGGTGAGCAATTAAGGTGGAGCAATGTTTCAGACTATATCCCGATAGTTGGTGCTCCCAAACTAGAGGGTCCAACTGATGGTACCCCGCTGCTTACCGTAATGGCGCATGATCCGGTTCCATTTGCAAAGCAGGTAAAGAAGGTCAGTCGATCCATCGTGAATCACACCAAGCTTGCTATGTGGGGAATCGGAATATCAACGTCCAAGGACTGACAAAGAGCAGATAACAGGTGCAGACGAGAGAACGACCCAAAATTACAATTCGCCAAATTGGTTCCAGTATCTCGAAGAATTTTCCAAACTTGTTGACCCGAACCTTCGTAAGGGTCCTACTATTGCAAGAGGAAGCGGTCACTTCATACACTTAGAACGGCCAGATCTTGTTGCCTCAGAGCTTAATCAGCTTCTCGACAGATTGTTCTATCTATATGAGAGGTTACCCGCCAAGCTATAACGCACTGGACTTGTGGTCAAGATGCCCAAGCTCTGCCGCTAGTGACAGCGCAGTACGGCCTTCATTATCCACCCAGTCGAGAAGAGCCCCTTTATCTATAAGGAGCCTTAATGAATCAGTAGGACGGCATTCCACAGCGGAGAAGATGCTTGTTCGGCCGTCAGAGTTGCAGAAATTCAAGTTGATTCCTTTGTGCTGCAACAGTTCATTGAGCACTCTCCACTCCGATGTCGCCTTCGCCAAGGGTGACATGCCGTCTATCTGGAAATTGATGTCCAGTAATGAATCTCTCAGGTAATTTTCGAGCTTTTCGGTCTTTCTCTTAAGCAGTTTTGGTCTCCTTTTTGCAGATGTGATTACAGACGTGATCATAGAAAGAAAATCTCGCTGAAGTCGAGCTCGAGCGATCGCTTCCTGAGAGGAATTATCGTCACACAATACGGTTTACATTTTCAATAGATCTTTTTTTGTGATGATTGTAGTCGGAATTGATGTTTTGGGTGTCACAAAAACAATCTCAACGTACGTGAGGCTTGACGGGCATTTTAGGCGGCTGACTGAAATCGCTTTGCTGCCTTAGACTGAAGCCTATTTTGGCTAGCCGTAGATAATTTTAGTCTCAGAGGCGCAGACATGTTACAGTATGTGAGTAAGAATATGTACTAATATGTCTGGACAGGTCAAAGCGCTCCGTTTAAACACTGAATGGTTTTGTTTCCTATTTCTCTCGAGAAGGAAGGCCTAAGTTAGATAAGGTGCCAAGTTTCACTAGTGATTGTTGATGGCCAGTGCCAACTGGAAGGGTATAGAAAGGACATTTGCGAAAGGGCTGGCAGCCAACACCTCATGTGACGGGTGCTCTTCGCAGCAGGATTCCTGGCGCTTTTGGCGCCCCGGTGGGTCTATGGGAGGCCTTGTATGGTTCCGAGAAAAAGTGCGCCTCGGGCTCCATTGCTCTCTGGGAAAGTCTCCTTGATTTTCAGACTTTCAACTTACCATGTCTCTTCGAAAATGAAGAGGCTGGACTTGTTCTCTCGGGCGAGAGCGCCAAGAATATAAGTATGAAAGGAGATAAGCGTGTAGCCACGTACTGTAACATTTCCAAAAAGAACACTTGACCTTATCCCCATAACCGTCTCTGGGCCTGAAATGCGGGGCTGGCGAATTGCCCCTCAGTGCCTTATCTATGTACGTTCGTGGTCTAGTGTATCCCGCTCGCCTTTTTGAATTTCCTATTAATAAGGAGACAATTAAGCTCAATGTTTTTTAAAAGCCTTAAAGCCTTCCATCATCCTTGGCTCTACCTGGAGATGCGTAATCTGGCTGCCCAGGCGAGCGGTGAGAATACAGTCGTAAATCAGAATGTCTCCAGCTTGCCCCAGTCCCTCGATTGTTCCTTGCTGTACATCAGCCAGCTTTACCCTGGTGCACCGCCCTGCCCCCAAAAATGCTGGTGGTGATTTGCACAAGTCAAATTGCCAAGAAAAACAGCTTCAAACATGCCAATCCTTGGTGAAAACGTGTACTTTAAGAACTCGGCTTGGTCTTCGGAATTGGAAGTGTGGGCGGCGTTGCACACGGGCAGGAACAGCGTGCGCTAATTCGATACCCGGAAAGAATCGAGATCAAATTGAGGCCTTGATTAAGTCCATGATTTTCCTCTACCAGGAATCTCCAGAATTGATCTTGAAGATGGAAGAGCTTAGTGCGCTCGCGAATTGTCATTCCCACCGACGCAAAGATCAAGAAGATGCGCGAAAGACAAAATGGATGGCTGCTTTTCCGGTGCAGCCTAGTGACGTGCGTTATGTCGAGGTGCAGGTCACGGAATTACTTGGGTCTGCTTCCACTCTATGCGGTGCAAAAACAGAGTCAAATCCATATCCGAACAAGATCGGAGGCCGAAAGGTTCAAAATTTCCAGAGAATAACTGACGAAATCGTGAGGCTCAGTATGTACCACAGAGTCTCAGATATTGACTATCATCTCGGAATTTTGAAAAAAAAATATGTGCTGCTCCGACCACGAGCTTACCATGCATCTTAAAAAAGGGGATTGTTGGAAGTCCGAAATCCTGGGAATTTGCACAACGGCAGGCTTCGGTGTGGGACTGCCGACTCGGTCTGAGGTACCCTATGAACCTGAATGTAAGTCGTTAGGTTCAGAATCTACCGAGGACTGCGACGAGTTTGATTTGAAGGGTCAACAAATATCAAGCTTGAGAATACAGGAAGATTCAGCCTTGGTTTTGCTGGAGGGGTTTGACACTACCCCCTTTCAAATCCTTCCAAGAAGGAATAGACGCGGCACAAAAACCCTGAACGACTATGTCCATGAAAAACTTTGCCGAAATCTGAGTTCAAGGCATCGGAAACGCGGATATATCTATGCTTTTCAAGCAAAGAGTAACCCGGGGTATATCAAAATAGGATATACGACTAGACCCGTTCTCGAGCGCCTCCGATCGTTGGTATTTGACTGCAACAGGGAAATGAAGGTGCTATTCCCTACTCCCCCTGAATCTGTGAACTCAGTGCCGAATGCCTGGCGCGTTGAGGAATTATGCCATGCGGAATTGGTTGATTATCAAGTCCAGGTTGATTGTACAGGGTGTTTGAGTGAGCATCGAGAATGGTTCCAGATCTCTGCTGCAGATGCATTTGCGGTTATTAAAAAATGGTCTGCGTGGATGAGAACCACACCATACGACCCAGTGCTCGGAAACTTGAAAGAGAAGGAGAAACGCAAAGCTGCGGAAATGGATGACTTCATGAGCGAACTAGCAAAGTCGGAAGGTTGAATAAAAGAGACTATGAAAGTATGGTCTGGGAAGGTCTACAGTACACACACACACAATTCATTAACGCCCGGCGGCTGAGCCGAAAGGGCAACTATCACTAATCTACCAGTACATGCATGTTTGGGTATAAGCCGTGTCTCCTTGGAGCCCATACAGTATTTCCTTCCGTATTTGCCCTTTCAATTGCCAATCTCATAGCAGGTCCCTGTGGGTTAGTATTGGTGAGTAGACTGGCTTGAAGGCGCTTCTTCAAGTGTTCAACCTCCTATCTTCGGCAGTTGAAGCGCGTCTACCGTCTGTCACAAGGGGTTGGGGTTAGTAAGAGGGGTTATTTTGTTCGTTCGTCGGCAAGGTTAAGTGGCCTCAAGTCGGCCCGTAGCGATGGCAAACTGTACTGAGGCTCGCACTGCATCCAAATTGGGCGTCCACTTCTGGTCATCGGAGGGCGATTTTCCACCCAAGAAGAAGGAGATACAGAGAGAGAGAGTGTGTGTGTGTGTGTGAATTCATTTACCTTGACCTCTCGTCGAAACGACATGCAGGATACAACAACTATATATCCGTGTATGTACATGTAGAGTGTTCCACTTCCTGAAAACGAACTTAGAGCCTCGTCAAGGCCTACCGTGGCCTAATTGCCGTTCCTATTGTTAGGCTGCCCTTGTGGTGCGCGACTCTGAAACCGTTGTGACGCCTCAGCAAAATCCAGTACGGCCTTGACCGTCTTGGCTCGTGAGACGGTGTCTGGTTTACCTTTCTCACCTTGTTTTGAGCCTCCCAGCAGACTCGACACGCTATTGAATGCGTCTCCAGCTTCTTTCCTTAACTCTCTTCGAAGCTCCCTCAGGTTCGGGCAGTCCACCAGTACATGGGTGACTGTTTCTTGTGCGCCGCATACGCACTGGTCGTCGTCACTATAGCCAACTTTCTTGCGGTAGCTGGATAGCCAGTTATGGCCCGTGCGCAACTGTGTCAAGAGGTACGCGCGGTTCCTCGGAAGGTTCCCGTATAGTCTTCTCGTATGGCTTGCTGGTAGGGTGTTATCGATCTTTCGCAAGTGACCACCCTTAGTGGATGACTTCCACTCTTGTTCCCACTGCGCGTAGATATTTCGACGTATGAATGCCCTCTCCCTGGTAAGGAGCGGGCGGAAAGGATGGGTTTTGCCCGGGCTGGCGGCGTTCTTTGCTAATCGATCTGCAGCGTCGTTTCCCGGATTGTCACAATGCCCTGGCACCCATTGAAGGCGGAGTATGATTCCCGCCGCTGGAACCTCAGCGGCAGCCTGGAGGATTGCGTGAACGATACGTTGCCCTGATCTGTTTCTCGCGCTCTGAACCGCCTGTAGGGCGGACCGGCTGTCGCATAGGATCGTTGCTGTTAGTTGCCTATCTGCAGTTCTTGGGTGCTGGTGGGCGATTTTAAACACGATGCTGATCGCGTAGAAGATGCCTATGAGCTCCGCGACGTGGACAGACCAGCGGCTCATCGGTCCTACTTGGATCTGCTGCGCCTCGACGATCTCTTGATTGTTGTCTAGGCTACAGCGGCAGCACCCAGGCAGTCCTGTCGACCAGAGGCGTCAGAGTAGACCACAACGTCGGATGTTGAGCGAGTAGCCTCGGCCTTTTGTGCCGCTGCTTCGCGGTCAGTCCCAATCTCGATTTCAGCAAACGGATTGAGACGCCACGGCGGTAATGGACGTGGGTCGATAGTTTCCAGTTCGTTTAGCCTCTCGATGTTCATGGTCTTCATCGCCTCCGCGAGTGGGAAGCGAGCATATGATCCGATATTATTCCTACGTTTCTGGGCTCGTGAGAGTGCACTCCAGATGGGATGATCCCTTGGCAGCGTGTGGAGGCTAGCGATGGTCCTCTGGGCTCGGTGACGGAGACGCAGGTGGGTGGGGGGAACGTATGCTTCTACCTCCAAGGTCGTCGTGGCCGCTGTTCGGAATGCCGACAGAACCCGGATCAGCGAGGTCCTTTGTACGGTGTTCAGCTGTCGAAGGTGGGTTTTGTCTCGTAGTGGGTCGTGCCAGATCGTTGACGCATAGTCCACTACTGGTGTTACACACGCCTGGTAAAGTTGTCGCATCTGTTCGGGTCGCAGGTGTCGTAGTCCATTCAAAGCGATAGTGACTTTTGTTGCGCGCTTAACAGCTTGTTGCACATGTTCTTTCCATCTTAACTCCTGGTCAAAAATCACCCCTAGCAGCTTAGCCGTGGGCGATGGCGTGACGGTCGTTCCATTCACAACAACCTGGCCCTGCAACTGGTCCCCTCGTTTCCGGGTTAGGTGGATGAGTTCGGTTTTCTTGGTTGTGAAGCAGGACCCAGTTCGCCGCGCCCAGGCTTCGATGCGAGGAATATCTTCGGTCTGTATCTTGACTAAGTTCTCCTCTGCCGAGCGACCTACTCGCCAGCGGAAGTAGTCATCGATGAAGGCTGATGCGCCACCGTGAAAGGTGACGGGTTGGTCGACTAGTTCGGAGTTGAAGAATGTGAAAAGAATCGGGGAGAGAGGTGATCCTTGTGCGAGTCCTGCGTTGGCCAGCGGTGCCATATCTGTGCGAAAATCGTCGAATCCTATGCTAGCATATCGGTCGCTCATGAAGCTCGCGATCCACTTTCTCGCCACCGCGGGGATCCTCCTAGCTCGTAGGCAGGCATCTAGACTCACTTGATTGACCCCATTGAAGGCTCCTTTTAGGTCAAATGACACGAGAGTTACCACTTTATTTTTATACCACGCCCGGTCGATCGCATTCGAGAGCACCAGCAAAGCTTGTTCAGTGGTTCTTCCCGGCCGTCCACCGAACTGGGTGTCCGGTAGTAGGCCGTGTTTTTCTGCTAGATATGACAGTCGGCGGGCTACTACTGCCTCGAGGAGCTTGCCCAGTGTGTTTAGGAGTGAGATCGGGCGGTAGGCCTCTGGGGCCGAGTAATCCGGTTTCCCAGGCTTCCTTAGCACCACGATCTTTGCATTCCGCCATAGCTTTGGGTGGTGGCCTAGGTTCATGGATACATTGAGGATTCTAGTGATAACGTCCTTTAGGTGTTTCCACAGTTGCTTCCACACGAGCATTGGCAGATTGTCATCGCCCCGTGCAGTAGTTCCTTTCGCCGCTTTAAGAGATCGTTGGATCTCTAGCTCAGTGATGGGTTGCCACGGGAGCTCCAGTGCTGTCGAGGTTGGTTGGCTATCGGAGGGAGTATTCATTTCGGGGAAGAAGGAGTCTATGAAAGCCTGCGCCTTCTCTTCGTTTCCAGTAAGCTCGCTGGTACCGACCTTCAGCGCTGGGATACACCCCCACGCCTCTCGGGGTTTCATGTAGGTAGCCGCTTTCCATAGTTTCCCTTCCCCTGCCTCGTCGAGGAATTGTCTCCAATGTGATGCTTTAGCTTTCTCAATGGCCCGAGTCCACGCCCGGCGTTTTTCTTGCATCTCTCGGAAAAGGGTTGTGGACGAAGGGTGCTCTCGTCCAAGCTCGGCACAGGCTGACTGCCATCTTCGGCGTAGCTGGTTGACCTCGGTCTGTTGAGCTTTGAGGTCCGGAGTGAACCACCGCTTAGAGTATGGCGTTGGGCGTGTGTCTGGTGTGTACCGATCTATGGCTGCTGTCGTTGCTTCGATGAGTTTCATCACAGCCTCATCTAGTGCCGGTCGTGTTTTGATATCCTTCCATGGGCCGATCCGCTGCACCACATCCTCGCCAATCTTGTTCCATTCTGCGCGGTTAAACGCCTTCTTTGGCTTAGTGGCGGGCTTGTGCTGAGCTTGGAGGTTCCATTCCGAATACGTGGCACGGTGGTCTGACCCGTAGTTCTCGTGGTAGAGATGGCATTTGATGAGTAGGTCTGGTCGGTTCGTCACCGTCTGGTCAATGGTGGAGTTTCTTCCCGGATCGTTTAGAGCCCAGTATGTAGCCGTTCCTCGTGGGAGGCAGCTGTATAGGCCATTGGCTTCGAAGAAGGTGATCAGGTCGCTTGCTTCTTCAATGAATCGCGGTTGGATGTGGTTACCACCCCAGGTTGGGTGATGGCGGTTGAAATCTCCCGCGAGAATGACACTTGTGGACCTCCGGTTGTCCTGTGTAGCGGATGCGATCGTGTTTTGAATAGCGTTGAATGCTGGTTCCGCTGACGTATCGGCCGGTGTACACAGTGGGACCGATGGGATGTAAACAGAAAAGAGGAGGAGTTGAGAGTCCGCTGTCCAAATCTTGATTGCGGTAAGGTCTGGGTGGTCACAGTGGATCTGTCGGTGGGAGGACGTTGAGACTCTCTTGTTGACGTAGATAAGGCTCCGGAACCGATCAGCATCCGTCTCGACGGTTGGTCGATATAGCCGCCAGGCGCTGTGGTTGACATGTGTTTGGTAGGTAGTAATTGAGGGTTCTTGGATTAGGAGCACATCCAAGTTTTGGTTTTCGTGATCGTTGATGAGTGCTTCCATCCGTGGTCCTGATTTCATGATATTCAACTGTAGTATACGTAGGTTCGTCTCTAACATTGATGGGGGTTGGAGGTTGCGGGGGTTGGGCACTGTCGGTCGCCGGTTGGGTGTTCGCCGCCGCAATCGAGGCATCTGGCCCTGATTCCGGGAGGGCATCGTTGCCGCTCATGTTGGCCCGCACAATGTCCACAGCGTGGGGTTTCCCTACACGACCACGCTAAGTGACCGAACCGTTGGCATCGGAAGCACCTCTTTTTCTTGATTTCGCGACGTTCCACGCTTCCAATTTGTCTTTGTCCAACAAGGAGACCATTTTTAAGGACATAGTCGGCTCCCTCAGCGGAGTCGAACCAGATACCCAGCGATGCAAATTTCCCTAGCACCTTATCCTTCCTTTTCAGCCACGCCAGCTCTTCGATTCGGAAGCCGCGTTCCGCTAAGTCGTTTTCTTCAATGATTTTCTCAATTGCTAGAGTGGTAGCGTTTTCTAGGTCGAAGTCCTCTGTCGGGGTACGGTGCACGACGACGCCGAATCGTGGTTTTACTAGCTTCGTGTTATTCCCTAGCTCGCTCAGCCATTCGGTGTTGTTGCGGGCCACTTCGGCCGACTCTGCGTCCTTGAAGCGGATAACATATCCCGTCTTGGTGGTCCCGATACCGGCAACCTGGGCATCCTGTGTGGAGGGGGCGTTCAGTAGGGCGGTGCGGATGTGGGTGTTGGCGGCCTCAGTGGGGAGGTATCGGCAGAAGGTGCTCCCGTCGGTGTCGTCATTATCTCTTGGGTCTACTAACGTTCTCTGAGTGCTGATTCGGACGCAGTTCCGCTCTTTCTCGGGCGGCTGATGGCTGAGCTGGGTAGGATTGTCGCCGACGTTGGCTGCTACTGCAGCCCAAGATCTGGTTGGGGTTGCTGGCGTCCGGGTTTCAATTTGTTCTCACAAAGCTCTGATTTCTTCGTGGAGCTTCTCATTCTGGTCTCTGAGTACGTTCTGGTCGTGTTTAACCTCTAGGATCTCGGCTTTGGTGGATTCGATGACCGTGGTTTGGTGGGAGATAATTTCCTTCAGGCTGTTGATGAGTTGTCGCACCTCCTTAGTCGTCACCCGTCCGTTATTGTCTTCCGAGCCTGCAAACTCGGGATTCGAGCGTGCAGCCGTGGTGACTTCGTTTCCATGGCGAAGGCTTCTTCTCTTTCGAGGTACAATCGACGGTTCGAAGTTTTCCAGCGAGAACAGTTGTGCCCCTCCTTGGGTGTTTGTGGGGGAGGGCTCGGGCCCTCCCGCGGGTGGGTCGGCCATCGGTCCGGGGTTAGTTCCCGTTCGGCACACTACCACGTTTTATTTCGCAATAGTATCAATCAGAGCACTCAGTTTCGAATCGCTTTCGAATACTCGCATGCCTTTTTTGGGATCCTATTTAGTACAGAGACGTGCAAATCCAGCTTCACCAATTTACACTCACTTATTCTTTTTGGGCCCCACTGCCAAGCCGCTAGTTTAGGAATTGGGTATAGATAAACTGGTGACGCGCGCTGTCGCACGCTGTGGCCCTGAAACGAAACAAGTACGAAAGGCAAATCGTAAATTTGGTGATAACATAGCAAGTCGAACGGTCAGGTTTGACACTGCACGGAAAAGGTACACACGCATATTCGCTGGGTCGGCCAATTATATATATAACTAAGTAGAGTACCGTAGTAGAATACGGCGTAGGATATAATAATTGGACGAGCATAGATACAAGAGCATATCCGTAAAGTCAAATATATTAAGAGGAGTAGACATATATTAAAACTAGGTAGAATAAAACATTAAAGTAAAATCCCACAAATGAAATAAGCTAGGGAATCTCTTGCTTTCGTGACGTAACCGTCGAATATATCGGGTATAGTGGGAGTGCGTGCACGGTTGTAGAATTATAGCGCACTTAAAGTTACGGACGATAGTAGCGAAAGCCGATTGGATGTACGTGAATTATAAATAGCCTAAATAATCGAGTCAAACTATAACACTAAGTAACCGTAACCGAAGGTCCGAGTGCATTCTATGTAGTCTTATATATCAGCGAAGTAAGGCGTAGGAATAAGTTCCAGTAGGCTATAGTAAGAGCTATGGAGCAGAAGAGAGGTAAGAACAAAAGGTAAACTTACGACCAGTGCAGATAAAGCTATAGAGCGTCTTGGACCAGCAATAGCCAAGCTTAGTAAGGATTCCACAAGTCAGCGAATCGGCGACGGTAAGCGTGAAAGTCAACAAAATACTAAACTTAAGCCAAGAAGAGAGTTTTACAACGAAGGACGAGCCAGTCATAGAAGTAAAACGTAACAAGAAGCGCAGAAAGAAGCCCTAGAACCCTAGAACCCGAACAGCTAAGACAGATAGAGACGGTCTTGGCGGCGAAAATTGACCAATTAGCGGCGAGAATGTAGACCGATTTTGCAGTACGTATGCTGCCAAACTTTGCGGGCCGCTCACGCAGGGTAGTAACCCCTTCACTCGTTCCTCGTTTCAGGGCACGCGCGCTGTGGCCCTGAAACGAAGCAAGCACGAAGAGGAATTGTTGCTTTGGACCAAATTCAAAATAGAAGAGCACCAAAAGCCGTTTCCGATATGTAGGTATAACGATATGGGTTGCTTGGAAGTCAAAAGCTATGTAAAGATATTAAGCAGACTAGTGTTTAGGACGAATACTTTATTTTTTGATGTACCGAGAACTTGAGCTGTATTTCTAGGGCTTTGAAGTTTGGAGTTGCTTCCGCTAGTGTTGCGATCCTTCATATCATACTGTAGGTGAATATGCAGGCAGATCAATATATGATTGCGAAGTAAAACAAGAGAGGATACGGATCGAAGTATGCACCGAAACAACAAAGTGATGTTGGTGGGAAGGTTCTTCCTCGGAAACGTCAGACATATGTAACGTTATCTGTTACACCGTCAGGAAATTTCATAGCAGCTCTTCGATGCATTTCAAGCCATGGAATATAAAGTTGAGCAACCTATAACCGGGCAATGGAATGGATTTATTCTGCTTTACTTGGTATGCGCTTACCATAACCTGATGAGCGATTTCGATACCTTCATATGTCGCGTCGGAATGCAACATTTCCATTTCCCCTTTATGCGCGATGGATTGGAAGTTGGGGATCTGTACATTCAATTCTATTTCAGTTGGCCCGGCTTGACTGAGACCACCTAGAAACTTGTTCCGCTTGTGATCAATAAAATCCTCTCCTGTGACCGTGGCCCCTCGATTGGGATATTTGCTGGAACTTGCCGAATGCGCCATTTCCTCGAAAAGTAGGAACCTTTTAATTGGCTCGGCGTGATGCTTGGCCTTGCCACGAAAATGCACATTTTCTATCACCCAGACTTGGATACGACGGCAAGTAACTTTTGCGAATGGGATGAGCTTTATAGCAATAGGTATCTGTGACCCCAAAGGGAACGATTTTCCGAAAATAGTGATGTTGTAATAGAGTTGACCCTCCCAGATTCTCGATATCGCAACGGGCTCAATCTGCTTTAGGCATCCCTCCATAGGGCTCCGGATGAAGGGGATATAGCGAATGCCAGCGAGGTTAGACCGAAACACTCCTGACCGTTCAACGACAGCTTGAAGGAGCCATTTGACAGAAACCATCTCGTTTTCAATTGTTTCTGGGTTATGTGAATCGATCAATTGTTCAAATTCATAAGTGTAATCGCCTGGAGCAAAGACTTTGTAGCCTCGGTGTAACCTCAAAACTCGACGGGCCCAGGGCTCGCCGCTACCAGCTCCATAACCGTGATCATAATTCGTTTGGAGAGAGATATCCATGGTCTCTTTGTTTTGATTGAAGTTCGTTATCGCCTCGTTTGTCCCGCGTACCTTCATCGTTGTCGCAACTAGAGGGCTTGAAATTTGGAATTTTTTTGCCCTGTATTTAATATTGAACATTGAAAGTCCGTCTTGCGCACCCGCAAGAAATAGTGGCCATACGTGTTTGTTAAGCTCTTTCACGTTTTGGATTTGTTCTTTCTTTGGAAATATCCCTAGGTTTGATTGATATAAATACTCAGCGCACTAACGTGAAAGTTGAAAAGCGGCAGCAAGTATCACCTACCATTAGACATCTTCGTTTGTGCGACGCCTTTGAACACCAGTTCAATTCTCTTTATCTTGATAGCCTTCGTCAATCTGAGTCGCAAATTTCCACTCAGCATAACTGATCTTGAAGCAGCTGGGTCGGCTGGATCAAACTGAGGCAAATAGACTACCGGTTCAGTCAGAGCCAAAGCGACCGTGATCCCATTGGCGCTGGTCGCGACCGCCTCGTTGGGCAAAGGTGTGATAGCGGGTGCAGGAGTTGAACTCATCACCCACAAGTTCCTATACAGGTCCAAGGAAGCGGTTGCAACCTCCTTACCCTTCTCAACAGCATTTTGCTCCGTAACCGACCCCATCTCACTAGTTATTGGTGCTAGCATATCTTTGATGTCGTCTGGCGGTATTCAGCCATTCGCATATCCTGGTGTATCTGCAAGGGTTTGGGCAGGCATAGCCAAGAAATCGCTTGATATTTCAGTGCAATCACCCCAGTTACAGTGGCTACTCAGTCTCCCTATTAGATGCGTGATTTTGGTTGCGTGATTTTCTTGATTTGAGTTTGGAAGAAAAATATCTGCATTCCGACGTCATAGACGGCCGCACGAAGTGCAAAGGTAAACCCAAACCGTGGGTTGGGTTTTTGGTACGGCCTAGGTAGATCTAGACCGCAGCAGACCGAGAGTCTAAAGTCACATGATAACTCGAAAACCCTGCTCTGGAATGCACACAGTAGATACTGGTAGTGGCTTATTTAATAATTTACCAACATTTGGTTCAGTGCCTAGGCCTTGTGTCTCATGCCATAAAATAATAGGCGTATGACGGTTCATGTTGCTAAACAGAGGGTATTTAGAGGATATATATGCTCGCTTTGCTCTTCTAACTATTCGCATTCCGATTCCGAGTCGTCGAGTTGGAAAGTAGGAAGAGTACTTCCATATTGTTTCTCAAAGTGATCACTTTGCGATAATTCACCATGTCAGAAAAGCACTCACAAGAAGGCTATAGTAGTGATCCACATAAAGGTCCTACAAAGTCTCAAGGAAATCGATCTGACGCTAGCGCTGGAATAAGCACAGCTCCAGACGTCTGTGACAAGTAGGTCATTAAATTTTATTGTTTTGAATAGGAATATACTCTTACATCTAGCAACTAGTAATACCAAAGAACGATCAGTTTCTAGAAGCTCTACGAATCTACCTGAGGGTGCCCGATCAACACAATCCCATCAGGATCAAGTAGGGGACCACAGAGGTGCTGGGACTCTCGGGCCGATGGCCTTGTCCTCCTTATCGACTTATCCTACGTCCATCCACTGCCATTATTGTCATAAGCAGGAGGTCACGAAGATTGAATTTCGAGTTGGGCGTCGTGCTAAGTAAATTTCCGTACTTCCTCTACATAAGGGGCGTGACAATGGTTAAGTACACAACACTGACTCGTAAATCTATTGTACTAGGCTTTGGTCCTGTCTTTGCTGCATTTTCCTTGGGCCTTGTGGAGCTGTTCTGCCCTGCGTCATGAAAAGTTGTCAAGAATGTGAACATTACTGCGGGAATTGTAACAGGCTTCTTGCCGTGGTAGAAGCACCAGGTCAGGTACGTCCAGCCTAGGGCAGTTTCTAGTAAGTTATCACGAAGTGAGAGAATTTTGTTTGGATGGCTTTGGAAATGAGGGTTTTCATCTGTCATATGCCTACAAAGGTCGCCCTTGTCATTTTGTCGCGAAGTTGTAACATGTAATAAAAAATGATGAGTTTCTAGAAACACTAATCATTAGCTCACTTGAAATTCCCAGAAATTCGTGGAAAATACGCTTTCTAATAACACTCGCTGTGCGGCTGGAGGAAATGATGAGAGTGACATAGGCTATAACTTTACAATGGCTAGAAGATTAGAGATGACCGGTACTTGGAGAGAGGAGCAGTGCTGTTACCTCTCTGATAGAAGAAAAGTTAATAATTCGGAAACGAGCGGAAACGAACAGGCAAACGACAATAAGGCGTGAAAAAGTTACTATTACTGTCGGGACATATCCCCCCGTCAGAACAAACCAGCGGTGACTTGCTGCCAGTGACTGATGGATAACACTCCTTGCTTAGTGCACGAATTCTTGCGTGCGGCTTGGTGTTGTGACCACTGAGGGCCAGTGTGTTGGATCCAGGGGTGTTTTCCAACTACACTGAGAATCGACATTTACCTACATGAATCAATTGACCTTTGCTTTTCGAGCATATATGCTGTCCACTTAACTGTGTACACAGTACCTAGCTGGTGGTCCAACAATTATTTTCACTGTTTGTTCTTCAAGGGCATAAAAAGAATCTCACATTCCAACATACGACTCAAGTCAAATTTATTTCCTATAAATTACATCCGCAAATCTAAATTCACCCACTCAGTACCATTCTTCCTTTCTCAAGTCGCTGACCGAGTCAATGTCATCAAGAGTGCCCACTGGCACAAAAATTAGGCCGCGCATTCCCTGCATTTCAGATTCGCGATAGAGAACCGACCCACAATGGCTGCAAAAACAAATATGTCCATGCTTATCATCTGGCAGGACAGCGTTGAAAGTGTGGGTGCTCTTTAATAGACCAGGAACGAGAGAGGGCCACTTCGAAACCCTTGTCAATTTGAAGCTCGTCTTCGGCACGACAATGTTAGTGGTAGTGTATTCACCGCTGATCTTACGGCAGCGAGCACAGTGACATATTATCTAGTAGAAAGTCAAATAAGTAGATAAAGAAAGGAACCTCGCTAGTATGAGATCTTCACCTTCCTGAATACAGCAGCATCCTTATTTATGATTGTGTATTTGTTCACGGTGCAAAGACACGAACCGGTCAACATGGCGAGTCTTTCGGGGGTATGACTCTTGGCGAGAGCGTTACAAGAAGGTGTTCGTTGACACATTGAAATATAGGTAGAACATCAGACTCTCTCGCGGTCACTGATGACGTCTTCGACTCCACTAACGTAATTCCCGGCCGACCTGAACGCCCGGCCGTCCTTAACACCACATGTGTATACATCTAATACTTCTAGCAACAAATCTTAACAAATCTGCAAGTTAGTGTTATTCCAGCTAGCGATGGTTTCTTCTTGAAGCATTGGGAGCCGTTTAATCTCAGATACTACCGTGTGTCAGGTGAAAACTCAATATCTTCCATGGAAATCTTCTACAGGAGATGAAATCCGTTGAGTGATCGAAGTCTAGACAGTTCGACAGAGAGCAGTATTTTCTGTGAGCATCCCATCCCCGTCTGGTGGGATCGTTATTTGAGGTCAACGACGGCCTCAGTGAGGGTTGAACCTTGGACTTTGTAGTCGGTTGGGCAGAAAGCTGGGCATATTGGCATCTGTCTTCTTCGTACAGAGAAGCCTTTTATGGAGATGGACCGTTCTAATGAAAAAACAGGTATTGTGGAAAGCTCATGGTCGTCCAATTCCGCGGATTGCGGTCGGTTCAATCTCCACAAAAGACATACGGGCGGTTTTGTGAAACATGTAGAGGTTGTCAATTTCAGCGCTGATAGGGAAACTTACGTGTTGAATATTTTCGGGAGAAAGACGACTTGACTGTTGAGTCTTGAACTACGCCTACCGCTATTCCGATCGTCCCGTCCACTTGGTCAATACGTGAACAAATAGTTGTCAGTATCACGGCCGGCATATTCCGGGTATAGAGATATAGACCAGGGAATAGGATCTTTGTTCCTTGGTCGGGCTGCTGAAGTAGGTCTTCAGCTCGTAGCCACGATTTGGTTTGGGTTGTGGTTTTGACACAGCTGTGCTCGGCGGGAAAGATACAAATACTCTGCGATCTACTTATTGCAAAAAGCTCTATTTAGATCCGATTTACCTAATGTCGAACGGAGTTGAGTTTGGTTATAGTGATGGCACATTCTATCTGACGTGTTAGAAGTGAACTAATGAATGTCTTTAGAATTCAGCCGACCTACACCGCGTACGGCGGCCGATAGACGCCATTTTTCATAACCCCTTGCCATTTTTCAAAACCTATAGATAGAACTGGCAGAAAAACGGCAGAATTACATCTAAACTTCTAAGTCCATCACCATCGAATACTCCATCACCATCGAATACTCCTCTATCACCATTGAATGCTCTTCTATCGTTATTAAGGACTAATATTATAAAGCGATGATTTAAACTATATGATTATTAAGTACATGAATTGCCGACAGTAGTAATTAGTCTTCCGCACGACCCCAGAAAATCCCAACCCCACCCCACCCCAACCCCAAATGGGATGGGGTTTGGGATATGACTCTTGGACCCCAGATGGGTTCTGGGGTTTCTATCGAGGACCCCAGATGGGGTATGGGGGACCCCATTGGGGTTACATACTTAACAAACAAGCCAAGTCCCTGGGACTGCATAAATTATGCATCTTCGCCTGTAATCTAGAAGTATTTCGTTTACAATCCTCTAATTCCATGATCTAGGATTTCTTTCGTCGAAAATTCTTATTGGATCAAAAGTAACTCAATTCTTCAGTAGCGCTCATACATATCGTCCTCCCTGATTCTTCGCTTTCTCCCTGAAACCCTGACCTGGGTGCTGTTCTCTGGTAGTCGCACCTCAGCGTCATCATCATCGTCTACATCTATGAGATTACTGAACTCATTATCCTGCTCCTCTGTATCACTAATTAGCTCGACCTCTATCTCCTCTGGCTTCTCATCCATCTCTTCCTTCGCGGTTTCAAGCTCATCTAAAGAGAAGAACTTTTCAAGCTCCTTTGCTTGCTGCTCCTCGAGATCAAACCTTGATGTGCAAAGGAAAAGCATAAGCTCCTCAATAGTCTCAGGCTTCATACGACCACGACGGTAATGACATATATCACGCGCAGTATTAAAGAGTCGTTCGACGCCAGCACCTGTTGCTGGGAAAGATAGAATATCCCGTGCTAGTGATGCAATCGCGGGGAAGCGCCCTTGGTGTTCTCTCCAGAACTGAAGAGGTTCAACATCAGTAAGATCTGGAAATTATGTAAGCTTTAAGGTCTGTCAAAGGCATTATCGTGATCCTAACTTACCTCCATCAAGATATTGAGTCATCTCATCTCTAGGTGGCTTTGGGACCTTTGCTAGTGCCTTTTGCCCATTCAACAGTTTGTTGAGCTTTGAATTTGGCCTTTCTTCAACAGGGGAAGTTGCGGTGCCATTTATCTCAGTGATAGAGTTCTGGTAAGGAACTAGAGCCTCCCGGAACGAATCCCGATACTTAACACGCCATTCTTGATCCCAGTCATCTGAAAGAAAGAATTGAAACCTGCTATCTGGGGCCAGCATAGTACTAATAGCATAGATATGCCCTCGAGCATGATCTGTCTGCGAGTAGTACTCAGTGAGCTTTGATCTGCTAGCTTCAAGGGCCTCAAGCATCTGCTTCTTCCATAGAACACGCTTTCTTCGGAGCTGCTTCATTGACTGCTCAAGATGCTCAAACAGTGCATTATAAATCCTGAAAACAAGATGTGCGGTCACGTCTCGAGTCTTTGAGAGTGCCTGTGTGTATTCAAAGAATGGCTCCGTGAGACAAAGAAGATAGTCAATCTGACGCCATTCTTCCTTGTCTAATAACATTTCTTTGCAATCGTATTCCTCGCAGAATAGTGTAAAGAACGACCGTAAGCGTTTCGCACGACGAAGCATAAGAAATGTTGAATTCCACCGAGTTTTCACATCCTGAATCGGTAGAAGTTTCTGTGTGTTGGTTGCGATCTGTAGTTTGTTGAATGCCTCCCGTCGCTGAGGGCTTGCACGAACATAGACTGCGAGGTACCGTACCTTATTCAAGGTATAGGAGATTTCCCGTGTCTGATGCCGTGCATTTGCCTTCGCGAGTATTGACTGCCGGTCGGTCCATTTCGTCTCTGTAGTATCATTCAATGGGACTGCTTTGATACGATCAAGCAGCTGATTCAAGCTAAGTTGAATGACATGAGCAAGACAGGGGATCCGGATGATATTAACATCATCGGATAAAGCCTGTTGGAGAGAATCAATAAGTGTCTTGTTGTTTGACGCGTTATCAGCTGTCACTCCAAAGACTCGATCTTGGATCTTATGGTCATTTAGGGTCTGCAGAAGAACACTACTTAAATTGTTCCCAGTATGAGCTCCATGAAGGGGCTTAAAACCAAGAAGCACCTCGCGGTAGACCTGGCACCAACCCGCGGGTAACCCTCATAACCCTCCACCTAACCCTCCGCTTGGGCGGATCAGGTTCCAAGATTCCGACCCTCAGGTGCGGTAGCTCGAGGGTCGACCCTCAAGAGGGTAACCCGCGGGTAAACCTGAGGTGCGACAAACATGACAAACAGGTAAAAAACGTCACTCGGGGTCAATTGCATATATTATGTAGAAACAGGCCGTTTTCTCTTGTAATTGTAAACTAAAACTTCATTACTATATGGCCTTACAGGAGCATTTAGTGTATATCATAGGTTTATCTTCGAATGGGTTATAGGGCTTTGAATGATTAATTATTTACATGATCATTTAGATTCGAATACAGGGTTCTCAAGTCTTAAACTATTAAACTATATACCCATCCAGAAGTCTTGACCTTTTCCGCATCCTACCTGATACACGATGCTGCGTATCAGGTAAGGGTGATACCGAGTTCTCTTCTGGATCCGCAAATTCATCGACGTTAGAGACTCCCTCATCATCAAAAGTGACCGCCGGCCGCTTTCCAGCAGCGACCTCTAAGAGTGGTGGTGCGACCGGTGTATCAAGGTGCAACTCGATGTCTTCCTCAGTATCACTGATAGCCTCGGAGCAATGTGTCTCGATGTCGAGTTCTTCAGACGTGGCTGCGATCTCTTGCTCTGAAAAATACTCCTGGAGAATCAGCCGCTACTCCTCCTTGATATCGAACCTTGTTGTACATAAATATAACATGATATCGCGAACAGTTTCTGGGTTCAACAAACCCCGGCGGTAGTGGCAAACGTCCCGAGCAGAGTTGAAAAGACGCTTAACTCCGGCACCAGTCGCTGGAATAGACATCACATCACGGGTAATGCTTGCAAGAATAGGGAACTCCTTCTCATTATTTCTCTAGAAGATCCGCGCGGATTCATCGATAGTGTCTAAGAAGGTCAGTTTGATAATTTATTTAGTAGGTTTACCCACTTACCACTCTGAAGATATCTAGTAAGCTCATCGTGCTACGGACCGGTTGATGGCTTCGATAGATCACGCATATAAGCCCTCTTAAGCGCTGATTTGGTTGTTGATAGCCTACTATCAGACTGTGTCATATCTGATGGTATACGTCGGCTATATCTCTCGAAAAGAGACTGGAGGCTCTCACGGTATTCCTTCTTATAGTTCTTTCCTGTGTGATCCGGGGCCTAATCACTTGTTGAAAAGAACTCTATCTTGTTTGACGGATCCAAGATCGTTCTAATTGCATAGAGATTACCTTCGACATTATCTGTTATACCGTAGTATTTCGAGAGTTTGTCTTTCGCAGCCTTAAGGGAGGAAAGCATTAGCTGCTTCTAGGAAACCTTCTTTCGACGAAGCTAACGTATAGATCTTTCAAGATGATCAAAGAGCCTATTATAAATACTAAAGATGAGATGAATACTCGAGTCTTTAGTTTGATAAACTAGCGTAGTGAACGTGAAGAAGGGCTGAAGGATGTAAAGTAGATAGTCAATCTGTCGCTATCCCTCTGTACTTAAAGCAAAATGGGGTTGATCATGGTGCGAATAGTACTCGTCGAATGTAATATAAAGCCTTTTCGCCCGTTGGAGTATAAGAAACGTCGAATTCCATCGCGTACGAACGTCCTGGATTGGGATAAGCTTTTGCCTATTGGACTGGAGATTCAGGAAGGCTTCCTTACGTTGAGGGCTTCTGTTGATATAAACCGTAAGACCTCGAACCTATAAGGATAGTTAGTGATTTATATAAGACACTTAAATAGAAACCTACCTTGTTTAGAGTATCGGCGATCTTATGTTTCTGCTGGCGCGCACGAAGTAAACGTACACGATCATTAGACTATGCTGATTCGGCAGTGTCGTTTTGTGGTGAAGCCTTGATTTTACTAAGTAAATCAATTAGACTTAATTGAATGATATGCGCAAGGCAGGGCACTTGAATAATCGTAGAATCTGTCTTTAGCTGTAGTTCGCGGATTGAATCATTCACCGCTGTGATTAGCGTCTTGTTATTAGACGTATTATCAGTTGTTACCGCTAGTACACGATCGGTGATTTGGTGTTTTTGTAAAATCTGGAGAACAACCTCACCGAGGTTCACGCCAGAGTGAGTTCCAGAAAGTGGCTTAAACCTAAGGAGAACCTCGCGATACTCCTATTCCTGGTCTATGAAATATCCCGTTATAGCCATGAATGTATCCTGGAATGGTGAAGTCTAGTAGTCAAGCGTAAGTGATAGTTTTGCACTAGATGGGAGCCGTTGTAGTGTGTCTTGTTGATACTCTATAACGAAACTCCGGAGGCGCTCGCGAATGACCTTTCTCGATGGGACGCTTGGTGGTGTAGGTACTAGCCGTGCGTAGGAAAGGAGGTCGTGGAATTCTTGATGCTCGAGGAGTCGGAAGGGTAATTGCGATGTAGTGATGAGATTAAGAATCTTCTGCTCCTATGTTCGTTGGGTAAAGGTAGGCGCTGGTCTTCTTTCGGCCTAAGGGAGAGTGAACTAAGTATTAGTATTAACGTTAATATAGGCTAGTTCGAACATACCGCGTCACTAATTAGTTAATGGATACTACTAGTACCTTTCTTCGGTAGTCGTTGTCGGTACCTTGGTCTATCGAGATGTTTCTGTATCGTCGACGTTCTAGTATGGTTCGTAGCTGGATACGCGAGAACTGTACGGCAGTGATTGTATATAACCCCTGGCTTTCTATCTTTGGCATTTGTAACTTGCTGAAACCCTTCCCAGCACTTTGCACGACGGCTTCTAGGGCTTATATCCCAGTTAATACGCTTCGACTTACCGTAGTCAGTGTGAAGCCACCACTGAACGAATTCTGCAGATATCGCTGGTGTGTAGATGATGAACTCGTTAATACGGTCGGGCCTGATTCGCGGAAGGGTATCTGGGGCCTGAGATACCGCACGAATCTGAACTCGATTATTCGGAAGGTCAAGGGCTGAATTAAACTGGCTCTCGGACTGGAAGTGACTCTGGCTTTCGCGTTGGGAGAGGGAATCGTTAGGGAGGAGGAATTGGATCGCGTCTAATGGCACCCTGTCTGGAGTTTCGAAGCTAGACGATGAGTAGACTTCGGAGAGCTGAGACATAATAGATTTAGTAAACCAGAAGATAGTATATTAACTGAGGATGGAGATAATAGAGAACTTACTGATTTGTTTACGCGAAAAGACGTGCGATTTTCTTGGGGTATCTGTTTGACCCTGTTGTATATGCTAGAATTGATGTATCGTTTTTTGTATCTACCTATCGAGATCTTATTCGCTAGTATAGTGGATAACCCGAGAATTAACCCTCCCCGTACCTTAATACACCTTAATATACCTTAAAGAGACCCTCGATTAACCCTCCCCGCACCTTAGTACACCTTAGTACACCTCAAAAAGACCCCCCATTACCCCTGAACGCACCTTAATGCACCTTAAAGAGACCCTTAGTTTAAGAAAATATTCTTGACCAGAATGTCTAAGTCTAACAATTAGTATATTTGAACCGAATTGACGACCTACCTATATCATCTGACCTGAATTCTTAATAGTAATTTGATAGGAGAAGACTTAACGATTCAAATGATATAAGAATGAGGGAATTTAAACTCTATCTTTATAGCTTTCTTAAAAAATAGTAGTACTACTTATGAAGATACATATGCTTTATAGGCTCTGCGATATATATATCTATAACTTTATATGCTGTTTTGCCGATGACCTTCATTAACTACCTACCGCATCAATATTATTGAATATCACTTGACATTTATATATGACTATGCCTGCTGTTTACTTTTGTATGATTATTTCTCCAAAATTCATCATGTTGATAGAGTATTCGATGAAATGTCTATAGGTTGACGGAACAGCTGTAAAAAACAGAGATGAATCATCCATTTTATCCAGCCAAAAGAGGAAAAGCGTCGAAAAATTATGCAAATGCGGGTTCATGCGGGTCGATGAGGGTTACCCTCCAGCGACCCTCCCGACCCTCAGGGTCGGTTGAGGTGCGAAAGTCTGCACCTACACCTCTTAAGGTGCGGTGCAGGTTCTGAAATTTCGCACCGCGGGGAGGTGCAAAGCCAGGTCTAGTCTAAACCTGCCAAAGGTTTTTACGGCTTTAACCTCATTTTTCTCGTTTCCTTTCTCAATTCAAAAATAATACATCGTTTTGTATTCAATAAAGGGACCAACATCATTCAAAAGGCCACCAAACACAGGGTCCGCTCACTATAGGATATCTCACAGGAGCAAGTTTGATTCTTTCTCACGGAGGATGCCATATGTGCGTTGTTTCTTTCTGGAAACGACCAAGCCAAAACCCTACGTGAGAGGCATCTTTGACGGGGCAGGTTGAATTATTGCCCCCGTCACTATTTGGAGCTTCCTGACAATATTTCTATGAGGCGTTGAATCAGATCACCCCTCCACCGAGAATGGCATACGAGGTTTACTGCGTGCCTAGGTTTACTGGAGCTACGGATTTATTTATACGATAAATGCGATATCTAAGACAAACGTATATACAAATATGAGATCAAAAGTTGTCTAATATATAAACCAACCAGGTGACTGCCGGCGCTTCCTTACATCATGCAAAATTATTCCACCAATTCAGAGATGGCAGCCTGTTCTAAGCTGTATCAAACATACTCCGCAGAGCCTCCACAATACAAAAAACATGGTACGTCTTTTTGTCCAGTCTGGCAGTAGTGGACCGGGTTAAGAGAATGCAGACCGGCAGAGTGCTGAACGCTTCTGGGATATGAGAGACTCTTGGTCATTCTTCCGAAAACTTCGAGAAGCATTTCGTATCGATCGAGCATTTTTGAAATCACGCCAATTGGTCACATCGCCCCAGGATCTGCAATACCGAAAGTACATCCTATCTCAAGCGATGATTAATGTCAAGGCATTCCGTCGACAAATAACAAGAGGCGAATTGGGTTTCGAAGAGATCAGCAAAAAAAGAGCTAGTGTTTACGGAGCCTATGCTCAAGCCATGAATGAGATTGAAACCTGGACGGGTAAGTTGAATAGATTCAAAACTGGGCAGGACATTGATATGTACTGGAATAGACTATCGATTCCCTACCACTGCCTTCATTGGCGAATGATCAATATGGGGGAGGCTATAATTGTTGAAATGGAAAATTGTCCAAGTAGATCAGAAAACTTGGGCGATTCCGGCGATGACGATCCATGCCTTAGAAACAGAAGACTAGCATATAATATAAACCTACTTCAACACCCAATGTTACTGGCTTGCTGAGCCCTTTTTGCCTGCTGATGGTATTCAACGCTAACGGGGCATAATAGGAGGTCCTCTTCCATCCGTGATATGCACAATCAAATGTTCAGAGAACCATCACTAGCTGCAATATACAACTTTTGCTCTACGTTGAAGCGGCAACTTATGCTTTTTATTGACGTCAGTGGAACAAAGCTTATGGCCGTTATTATTGGAGAGATGAATGGCCGTGAATTTGACACCAATGACACGAAAAGGGTGACTGCTGACTCCTCGACATAGTCTCAGGGATAGATGTATGTGTGGACAGCGGTCATTGTAGTGGGGCAAGCATCAGAATCATCACAATCTTCAACTAGGACCTTGAATGCGAGTCGATCATGATTCTAAGAAGCCATTCTATTTTCCTTTATACTGGGATTTGAGTGGAAACGAAGGGGATGGACGGTGAGAGTGGAAAGCCGCATTGATTTTAAGGCTACCTTCTTCGTGGGTGAGATCTCGCGCACACAGTCCAGGAACATCGATTTGGATATCACCGAAACAAGCGATTGTATACAGCGAAGGCAGAGAGAAACGGAATGCACAGTAGACCAGGAAGAAGGCAACAAATCAGTCTGTATCGCATTCGCTCCTCAATTATATTTCAGGGGTCTAGGACAAACGAAAAACTTGATGGCCGCAGTAAAATTTGCCAAGTTTGGTAGATACCGAATAGATAAGTAAAACTATAAATGCAAGGACAAGACACCCTGTGACTCGCGCAAGATAGAATACTTTTTCCTACCAGACAGGGATTATATCTCATAGGGTGATTCAGACATGAACCTCTTACTAGCACTTTTTACCTCTATCTCAGTGGTTCTTGCCGGGACACTTCAGATAGTGGACCACGAGGGGCAATGCTTTGTGTACTCTACGGAAAATTCCGACTGTACCGGGATTTCAGAGCCATTTGCCTCTTTGAATGGCACTTCTTGCTCCAGTAAGGCGACCATCGATGCTTAAAAGCTAGTACTAACGACTTCAAGATCTGATCACAGCGCGGAAACACACCAAATCCGAGTCCGATACAGTCAAAGTCAATTTATGTATCTCTAACGAACATTTCGCCTGGGTGGAGGTGTATCGGAGTGGTCTACTGTACTTCCATAATGATCAGGGAGACGCAGTGAACTGCAAGATCGATAAAGCTCTACAAAAGGGTAGCTTATGCACTGCGGAAAGCACTTCAAGGACTGTGATACCAAGCGAAAATCCTCAACCGACTTCACCTGACGCTATGTCCTCCCAGGCTTCATTTGTGACAACTGTATTGACCACAACCCTTTCGAACTCGAGCTTCATTGATTCTGCGTGCGGCTGTTAGTTTAAAAAACCTTCATTTATCAAGGCCACTTTGCTGCTTGATTTGCAATCTTGTCTGTCGAAATTGAACTCACCCGGGGACCGGGAACACCATGTGACCTATGAATTTCTTGCTATGTCCTGTATCTCCTATGCCCTAATTGCCCGGGCTCAGGTTTCTCTAATTGTTTGACTGAATCCTTTGCGAAGATTGCAGTTTAGTGCAACTATTGAAGTACGATGACACATGTATAAAGAAAGCCAGGAGAATCTGGTAACCGATTTGATTGCTGGCTCTGTAGTTTCCTTACCTTTTTGCTGGGTTAAAGGGTCTTGGTCAGTACAGAAGTTATTAAAACAGCTTTATCTGCCAGACACACAAGAATTATTCCTCTGATAAATCAAACCTGTCCGGAACTCTCATCGGCATTTAATTGGAGAAAGACCCACCTGGCAGGAGTGTAGCTAGCTGTCGGAAGCTGAACTTCGGCGATGGCACTCAAATCCCTACTAAGCTACTGCTGTAACCCTTTACTGGCAAATTTTTATTTATTCCCAGCGTTTGGTTGCAAAGGACCTACGGAAATACATCATCGATATGCCCCTACCCTTCTAGTCAGGCTAAGCGAAACGACATTAGTTTCTCTGAGGGAATGTGAATACAGCCTATTATCGGATAAATTTTGTCACGACGCTTGATATATGTATACCATAGAGTGAGCACCTGGAAAAAAGGACTCCAGATTTGGCCATGAGGGAATCTCTTGCCGAAATAATGTGGGACATAGACAACTACTCTTGAAGCTCTTTTTACTTTGTTTCTCACAAGGTTGTCATTCTTAAACATAGCTATCGTGAGTTCTGGAAGGACGCACACCAGGAAAAAAAAGAAAATCCGGTCCACGCTCGCTCGCCGTTCATTTACTGCCTTCAATCACTGCGAGAGGACAGTTCAGTGGGAGTTATTGTTCCACGCGCGCACATATCCGATCTCTCATCAGAAGAACCTCCCAATCCTAAATCAATGCCGCTGTGCCGCAAAGTAAATGACCGCCATGGACCCGTTGATAACCAGACCAAGACCCCCGAAGTATATCATGCTGTAGTACAGAAAGCCGCTCGGTATGTCATTAAAGCTCGCAAACAAGATCCGGAGTCCATAGATATTGCTTGCGATATAACCCATCAAAAATAGGATTGCCAGGCTTCGAACGAACTGAATGTAGACGAAAGAATACCGGAACCCGTTTCTCTCCCGTACAAGTCGCAGGTAGGCGGCGAGGATGAGCCCAAATGCAGACAACAAAGCCGGAGGGAGAGCAAGAATCAACATGCTTTTAAGTACGTTGGTCAACATATCATCGAACATGATAGCTAGCATGGAGTGATCGGATATGGTGTGGCTTGGTCTCGCGTGATCTCGCATGACGATTGCACGGGTTTCGACCGCGAGCTGAAATGGGTCGTAGATAAACTAGCTCTGGTGACGGGGAGTACCGAGAGATGTACTGTACGTAAAAATCCAAATCATGTCGCAAAATCTCAGATGTAAGAGCTCAGAGTTGCTGTTTCAGCTTCCTCTAGAAATCCTTATCTACCTTTCAAAATTCTTTCACTCATCACGAGATCTGTTTGCGATGGCCTGCGTTAACAGAAATTCAAAAGATTTTTTCCTGCCGTGTCTCTACACCTTCAATGTTCGCCATCAAGAAAGCTCCGCGTTGATCTGGGCCGCTCAAAATAACAAAATCGCTCTGGCAAATCGTTTGCTAAAGGAATATCGAGCAAATGCCAACACGACAGATAATAGATCTCGCACGCCTGTTTTCCACGCTATTCAATTTAGAAGTGAAGAAATGATTCAAACTCTTTTGGAAAGTGCGGCAGACATCAATTGGAAAGATGACCAAAAGCAGACCCCACTGCTATATGCTCTGCAGCGGGGACACCTATCCTGGCGCGTGTTTTATTGCAGCATTTCAATCCATCAGTAAATTGTATGGATTCCAAGGGTCGAAATGCTATCCGGTATGCTGTTGCCAATTGCGATGAGGAATTGGTACGCTTTCTCTTAGAACTGCGAAGCGATATATGGATGATGGACTGCCGACAGACTACCACTCTCAGCCTGGCGATTTCCAATCGAAATTTGCCTATCATCCAGTTGCTGCTTGATCATTCACAAGCTCATCCTTCACAGCCTCGACTAGTGGACGTCCATGCTGGAGACCACCCGCTTTGCTTGGCAGTCCAGGCTGGTCTGAAAGAAATTGCCCATACTCTGATCAAATATGGTGCAGATCTCCATATCACGGACAGATACGGCCAGCCCTTGTTGCACCAAGCCGCCAGCAACGGGCATGATCGTGTCATCCGACTGTTGCTGGGCCATGGAGTCGATGTCAATAGTACCGACCCAGGGGGCCACACAGCACTGCATTTCGCTGCATTTTATGGGCACAAGTCAACCACAAAGCTACTTTTGAGCAGGCCTGGAATTGACATTGCTGCTTGTGACGGCGAAGGAGCTACAGCTCTCTGTGCGGCCGCCCGTGGAAACCACCGATCCGTCGCATTGCACATCTTGGCCGAGGAGCCAGCCAATGTCAATGCACGCTGCCTTGGCCAAAAGACTGCTCTTCACTTTGCGGTTGAAAATAGAAACGTTCTCCTCGCTTGTCTGCTGGTAGATTTGGATTCACTGGACCCAAAAATCTGCGATGACCAGGGGTGGACAGCCCTCAGCTACGCGGCGGGCCAGGGCGATCTGCAGATGTTGGAGCTCCTCCTTACTCGCACCGATCTGGATTTGAATGTAGAACGAGCATCTCCCATTTATCTTGCTGCCGAAAGAGGACATTTGGAAGTGGTCCGCCGACTTGTCTCCCTTGAAGAGGTTGATATCAATCAGACTGTCTGGCACAAGTCTCCTCTATTTATTGCGATCGAAAACGGCTACCGTGGTGTTGCAAAGTTGCTTCTTGAACAAGGGTCTCGACTGGATGTTAATGCAAAGACCGCTCTTGGGGACACCGCACTGCACATGGCTGTCTCTTATGGGAATCTAGATATTGTGGAGCTATTGCTCAAGGACGATCGACTAGATGTCACGGGTACTAATCGATATGGAGAGTCAGCCCTGGAGCTGGCAGCCCGTAATGGGAAGGAGCACGTTGTCAGGTGTCTTTGGCGCGACCGCCGAGCAAGAATTGTTTGCCACTTCCGGAGTGCCATGGAAGCAGCATCGAATATCCGGATTCTTTATTTTCTTCAGGGGCAGTTGTTGAGACATGGAGTGGAACACGGTGGCCGTCGGCCAGCTCGACTTGCCAGAGGATCATACCAATTCACGGAGTCTAGAAGGTCGCCATCGCTTCGCCGGTCAACACGCATGTCACAACCGCGCCTTGACAGATCTTAGATGACGGATTCAGGTTGGCGCGGATTTTGGATAGATTGACAAAGTGTTGGAGACGATGGTCCATAGTTCATTCGTGACCTGCTGCAAATGGGTCGCATGGAAAAGGTAGAATGCGATCGCCAGGAAATGTTCGAACGAGAATCCAGTTAAGAGCCACTGTTCAAGATCGAGCGTCTTCAATTAGGTATGCGAAATGAGATTGAGCGGTGGTCTAGTTGGATTATATGTATAGAAATTGGCATGGTTCTACGTTGTTATCGCCGATAACTCGTCATCTTTCTCCGTTTGGTTGACTTCAGGTGTAACTCGCACGCAATGGACGGCCATCATCAGGCTGTGATCATGCCCGGGTTGCCCAACCCGAATCAGTGGGAGTTTCCTTCGGTGCTCCAGACATTTCAGAATTGATCTCGACATCTATATTACCACAACGGCGGGGTGGTATCTGAGCGGGAGAAGGCAACAAACAGAATGCGCGACTTGGGATAGAGGAAAATGGGGTTTCTCAAATAAATAAAGGAACGCGCATCTCCTATGGCCTTTGTTTAGGAGATGAGATTGATGGGAGATATTCCGCGGGGTAAATGCCGTGTTGTCGCTAGATCTCGCGCGGCCCCGCAGAATAACCGCAAAGTGCCGGACGGTATCTCGGAAGCACGTCGGAAGCACGACGTCTTAACACGCCATGGCGGTCTGCCAGGGATCTCTCAGCGGATCTCTGCATCTACACACATCTCTGGTCTTATGGATACTAGTCCGTACGCAGATTCTCCCTGTCAGATAGCCCCAAGGTTGGTATCAGGGTATTACCACCGTCCTTGATTCCAGTACCCCATCGGATGGGTTCTCTCAAACCAAGTATCACGAGGAGACGGGGGGCGGTTTTTCTCCGCTTCTTCCCGCATTCTTTTTCTTTCTGCCTTTCACTTTTCCCAATCGCGCCGAACACCCACGTACTCAAAGACATCAGGGGCATCGGCAGGTGGCTCCTTATTCTCAAATGCTAGCTCTTTAGGGAGGCTCATCTTGATGTAATCCTTGCTGAAAAACTTGATTCGCACATCATGGGGGCCACTTGGTAAGGGTGATATTATGAAAACCGACCCACTGAATTCCTGGGGTGGATCAAATGGTTCAAACTGGACGCCGTTGCTTGCGTTGATGTAGATATGCCCGTACATCCTCTTCGGGTCAAAATCTGGTCGTGGATTGGAACCAAAATCATCCTCCAACGATAGGTGGTAAAATTCAACATATCCTGGTCCCAATCCATTATAGAAATACCTATATTGGTCTCGGCAATGAATGATGTACCTGGTGGCATGCAAAGAAGGCATGGAGGTCAGGTTGTCCTCCTTTGGGGCGTCCATGGAAGAACGGTATGCCTGGTTGACCTTGTTTTCTATTTCGCTTTCGGACTGAATTATGTCCAGGATATCCTGTCGTTCCCGTGCAAGCTCCCTTTTTCGTTCTTCACGTAGTTCTTTGAATTCATAGTAAACGTCGGCCAAAGAATCAGCATGTGATCTCTCGGATGCACTGTCATCTTCTTCTTCATCTTCGTCGTTGTCGCTTTCCTTGTCGCTATCCTCAAATTTTCTTCTTTTCTTCGTTGGCTGCTCTTCGTCACTCTCTGTTCCCTCTCAAAAGTTCCGGATGGATTTTTATTTTTCTTCGGTCTCAGTTGGGATTATTCAGGCCAAGGAAAGTTGTTAAAAAGGCAAAGGCTTTTTAAAGCACGCAGTCTTGCTAAATGGCTGTGCACCTGTGGCCATTTCTACGTGTTGGTCTTGGGTATAATATACGTTCGAATCGAAAGGACAAGATATATATTTTGTACAATCAGGTCTAGAAGGCATTAGAGTATTATGTACCCTTGAATCTGCATACACTATTCCCAACACACGGCAAAGAAACATGCGAGCCATTCAAAATTCAAGAAATAAGAGCAAACAAGTCGCGCCGTCCACAAATGTAACGGATCCCATCGGATCTGGTAAAATGTCTGTTGTGGTTCCTAATGTCAGAAATCGCGACCGCAAATTAACACCAATCGGTTCTAATTGGCAAAGCCGCAATTCATATCACCCATGTTTATTTGCGAAGTGAGCTGCCAAATATTCCAGTCTACCGCCTCAACCATGGAATAGTCACAGCACAGAAATGTAATTTTGATGTTGCGAGTGCGGTTGAGTCAACAAGTGTTGCAGTGAACAAAAAGCCCTGTTGGTACCGCTCCGCACGAATTTTCGAACTGTTCGAAGTTCGCGAATTTCAACGAATCGAATCGAATTCGAACCTTGGTTTTCGGGCTTCGAATCTATGGGCGATTCGATTCGTCGAAATTCGCGAATTTCGAACAGGTTCGCGAACTAATATCTATTATGAAGGGTTCGCTCCTGCAGACAGCCTTAACCTCAACAACCGTGACCACTTTATGCATTGGATTCGCACATAGAATGGTGTTCTAAGCACGGTTCATAATTTTGATTCTGAGCTGTAAACATGTTAAACTACGCGTAGAACATCAATCTAACGTAGAAACCATAACTATTCAGACTTCCAACGTTGAGCATCTTTCAGCCTTAATAAGGTCCCAAGCATTTTGCCTTTCATGGAGAAACGTCGAATTCCCAGTACATCTCTCCCACCATTGAATAATCTCTCAATATCTACCTCTGCTGCTGGTATCGCAAGGTGATCTTGTGCTACCTGGGCCATACAAGTAAATTCAAGGCTGTTGGCCTTCCACCAATTTCGTATGAACTCAGTCTGGCTCTGGCTTATATCGAAACCAGTACTGATTGTAGGAGTGTCGAAATACTGGTCGATATCAGACTCAGCGACGTTATACTGTGTAGGCTGAAAGGCTTCCAGAAATCGATATTCAAAGCTCTTGTAACTGGTATTCGGAGCCGTCGACATAGGCTGTTTGGGGGTGGGATATGCTTTTTTCAGGAACGTCCTGATTCGGTCGATGATCTCCTCTCTACCTGGCAGCGTTTTGAGCTACTTGGTCTTGATTCGAGGGTCCAGAATACTTGCGATATAGTATATGTCGTTGTCTTTGACGCGGTCGTGGTACTGCTCCAGAAGTGTGATTCCATCAGAGATAGGAATAGTTAGTGCTAGCGAGACATTCTGCCACTCGCCTCGCCGTTCCTTAATAGCTAAGAGTATAGAACGGAGCTCCTTAAACATCCGCGCCGCCATATGAATTGAAGGGCTATCTCGAGAGACATACTCAGTATATTCGTTGAAGGGAGCCAGGATTTTCTTGATATCTGAGAGCTGCCTCCAGTCCTCGGGTGTGAGACGTAAGGCTTCGATATCTGGCTCATCGTTGACTGTATCTTCGAGCTGCCGGCGACACTCTTCAGCTCTCTCGATCATAACAAAAGTAGAGTTCCATCGAGTATCAACATCGTAGTGGATGGCTTTTGTACAGCCAGGTCGATTATCCCACTTTTGTATTCGCTGAGGAGATCGCGCAATCCAAAGGACAAGTAGTCGAAGCTTTGCAATAGGGGAAGCAGGAGCGTTGATCGCCTTCCAGCTCCTCTTAGCAACATCATCAAGGAGGTCACAGGCTTCCTTATGTGAACTAGCGCGTAAAGACCTCAATATTGTTTTCATAACCAGATTCAGGATGTGTGCAAAGCAGCGGATTTGGGAGTTCTGAGTAAATTTCATGGTCCCTTCTCGGATAACGGTATCGGCCAGGTACTCATCGTACCGCCGAGACAGCTTTTGGAAGAGACACCGGTGTAGCGTATCATTGTTAGATGCGTTGTCAGCTGTAATAGTCATAACTTTATCAGATATATGAAACCTCTCAAGAACCGTCGCGACGATATTAGCAAGGTTCTTTCCAGAGTGGTTGCCTTCGATTTCAACAAACTCAATACAAGCTCGATATTGCTGGAAAGCAGACGACATCCAGTGAGCATTGATTGCTAGCATTGACAATGAATTCTGGCTTGTCCAACCATCAAGAGATAGCGCGATTGAGGAAGCCGAAGCCATCAAGATTCGAAGTTCACTATCAAGAGCATCAAGTCGAAGACACAACCGGCGCGAAACAGTATCCGCACCCGGTATAGACTCCTCAAATCCCGCCGACTTCAACATAGCCTTAAATGAAGGTTGCTCGACGCATGTAAATGGCTGACAGGTCGATACAATCCAATTCAAGATAGCCTCTTCGAATGGAAGTTTCTTTTCCTTGGAAATCCACGAGCTTAACGGTCCTTGGCGCTCTGGATGACCGTCCTCAAAGAGCCTGTGGGTTTGCTGCAGGTATTGTTTCAACGCTGTAGTTGAAGATCGTAGTTTCGATGCAAATCGAAAGAATCGACAAGTGGATGGCGATACAATACACAGGTGTTTAAGTTCGAGCCGCTCCTTATTTCCGAATCTCCAGGTACCAGATTCAGGTGTTGTACGATAGTATTTCCATACCCAGCTCCGCTCTTTCGACCTAGTCTCATCATTCTGCTTGATTTCGGCCGTCTCAACCTCGCATTCGACCTAAGATATTGATTGTGAAGGGCATATCTCCGTATCAAGGTTCGATAAATTCCTAGAAACATTGCTAGGAGCCGTAGGAGAGGTTGAAATCGGAGTCGGTGACTTGGCGGCGGTCCGGACCGCCGCCTTCTTTCGTGGCCGCGGAAGTGGTTTATCCTCTGTAAGGAGGCCATATTTATTAAGCGCCGCATAATCGCGTTTATTCTTCCTAGTATTAGGACAGTCGAATATCGTAGCAAGTGGAGATGTCATCTATAACGCTATATTAGTACATCGTGCTTGTGTCTTAATTGATCGCTTACTTTGGAGCACCAGAAGGGGTGGTTCTCAGTAGCTTTTGACCAGGGTTCGGATGTTGTTCTTGGTAAATGCACGTACGCGCGGAGACGCGTTTCTTGTAGAATCCCCGCTAGCCCGATTAGACTATCCATAGACTCTGCATTGAATACAATGTGCAACTATTGATATTTTGGCTCTGTATTGATAGACTACGTGTATCTCAATACGTTCTATGAGCTGGTATAATTTAAAGCAAAACTGACCACGCATTGGATTGCGATCTTGTTAGGAACTCTTGGGAGTAGAACTATATATTTCGGATAGAGCATTGGGCAAAAAATTGCCGAAATTGAAAGTGCCCTACAGCTTATTCAACTCAAGACCAAATTGCTCAATCTTTATATCAGACTAAATGTAGCTATCTTTGTATTCATTTATTAGCTGATTATTAAACTACCTACAGTATGAAGTGTCGATTGCTCGCTATGGTGTTGAACAACAGATAATGTCAGAGTGATTTACCGCCTTCCCAATGAGGCTTTAGTACCAAAAAGTTCGCGAACTTCGAATCGAATTCGAATCGATCTTGAATTCGACCTCGTACGAATCGTTATGTTCGATATTATTTCGAATCGAATCGAATCGAACTTTTGGCCGATTCGATTCGATTCGTGCGGAGCGGTATCACTAGGTAATATATCTGTCAAGCGGTAAGTTAATCTAACGCTCCGTATCTTGGCAGTTCCAAGTGAACTGAGCACTGGTTGCTCTTCTGGTCAGACCTAGCATTACCAATGAGCCGAACAGATGGTGATAGACGCTAACGTTGTACGTTAAGCTCTTGTTTGCCTACCACTCTTAATATTACTAAGTCCCAGCATCTTCACCATACGCCATTGCCGCCGTTTAAGACCTGCCTCGTGCAACACTTCGAAGTTCTCAAGTACTTCCATTCTCTCCTCTGTGGAAGACATGTGCATCTCTTCGCGACCTTGTTCAAACCGGGATGCCTCAAGATATGCATCCACGGGTTTGCTCAAGGAAACATTGATCTCTTTGCGTAGGCCATGCAGAGGATAGCCAGGCACCCCAACCAATCCTATTTGCATGTCAGTCATGTCCGAGCGAAAGTAGGTGGAAAACTCATTTGCTACCAACCTGCTAGAGGTTTAATCAAAAGGCCAGCCAAACCCTTAGCAAGACCACTGGGAAGTTTTCTAGCACCGCCGTGCTTGAAGCTATACAGTGGTTGAATATATAGCCCAGTGACGCTGTCATGAAGGCTGTCTTTGAGTTCCTGTACCGATGTGCCAGACAATATTTAGGGGCCGAACACAGCTTGACTAAGAGATTTAAGTACCTTTCCAGCGGCTTCGAAGCCGGTCCAAACGCCTGTAACTTGTGGACATGGCTTTACCAGGTGATCATTGTATAATAATGGAGCGTTGTGAAAACCCTTACTCAGTGTCAGCAAGATGTCGGCTGGTAATTTAATGAAAACACGCAGAGCTTTCTTCGAGGTGATGCTAAGAATAAATGCAGTCTCAGAGGTGGTCTGACGCATTTTCAGCAGCTTTCCATTGTCGCACGACGATTTCTGCTCTGTAAGCCGGAGACTCCTCTTCGGTCCACCACTGCCCCGCAGAGTTAACTTAGCCAGGATATGTTTCACACGCTTCTCATTGCAGAGACGGAAGGGCTTGTTGATTCTGCGAGCATGTAGCTTATCCATGATGTCCTTCTTTCTCTCGGCTATACTGTGTCGTTGACATTGGACGTATGGGTCAAAATGTTCGTGGGGTTCACCCAAAACACTGTGTACGGAAAGCAGGCACGATGAGATCGCACCTGGAACATCAAAAATACTAGCGACAAGGCCGGCAAGGGTACCCAGAATTATCTGGGATACTGCACTGACTGGCTCAGCGGGATTACGATAGGTGTCGTATGCTGCAGAATGATACCTAGAGTGCTCCAACATCAGAAGGATCTATCAATCGTAGAAGAAAATTGCTTACAGAACAAGATCTTGCGGGAATATTTTCCCGCTTTCAACGAGAACAGAAGCTGCAAAAGCACTCAGCTTGGTATTCATATGCCTGACACGCCAGGCTGCTGCCCGCTGTGGACACAGGTCACATTGTATTAGCTGAGGATCAAGGTGTCTGTGGAAACTTCGTACGCCGTCACGAAGTCCCGATTCATTGGACATCTCGATCTGAATCTGCTGTGCCGCTTGTTGAATTTGTGGCTGAAGTGCGACCTTAATACGTTCGATTAATTTCTTCGGACTCAAATCCCGGTAAGGAATCGGTGCGGGGCCAGCCCCAGCTCTGGCAACAACATTACCCCAGAAATGCTGGTCACCAAAAAAAGGAATTATGACAGTTGGACAGCGATGGGCAAGTCCGGCAGCAGTTGTTCCCGCACCCCCATGATGTATCACGCAAGAAACATGCTGGAAGAGCCAGTCATGCGGTATGCTTCCAATGACGAGGACATTGTCTGGGAGATCCAGTTCCTCCCGTCCTAGATCGGCCCATCCCCTAGAGATTATGACACGCTCGCCGATGCTGGCAATAGCTTCGAGAACGATCGTCAACAGTCGAGTTGGATTGTCCACCACGATCGATCCAAATCCGACATATATTGGCTTTTTCCCGGCATTGAGAAAGTCGACGATTTCCTGCGGGGGCTGGTATTCTGGCTCGTGTGGAAAAGAGATAAACCCACATACTTCGATGTGATCGGACCAATCCAGTGGCTTCGGTAACAGTGCCTGTGACCTTAAACCAGTATATGTAAGCAAAAGCGATCTATTTGGTATAGATAGGTGGCCTTCTGTAAGATCGTACCAGAAGTATGTATAGGGTATCCTCAGCCTGTGGGTCACGCTGGAGCCAGTGATTGTATCCAAAGGGTCAAGGGTTAGGCAGGTTTTTCTGAACTTGTTCACCAAATCACCAAGCCCTTCCCAAATCATTAAATCCACCATTGCATAGGAAAGGTAGTTCGCGATAGACCGCTGACACTCTTGTGGGTGGGTTATGGCCAAGGGATGTGGGAATAACTGCGTGGGCGACCAAGGCATTCTGACGAAGAGTAAGCGTGTTGTATATATATTGATATATATATATGCGCTGTGACAGTCACAATTTTATAAGGACTGGTGCAAGTAGGAACTCACGTGAACATTAGATGCAGTGGAATTCCAAGCCGTTGTGCGCAATGGATATGAGCCAGGCTAGGAGGATTGGCGATGATCGCATCCGCCACGAAGGCTCGCCGCCGATAATCCACCGCATCACCCAAGAGGTCATCCATGATATGATGAAGATGCGTCCCATCGCCCGTTTCAAAACAGGAGTGCCAACATCCGTCAATAATTTGCCTCATTTCGCGTCGACGCTTCTGAATAGACCCACTTCTGATAGATTCGAGTTTTGGGATCAATCCCGAGTTCCTCACCATGAATGCCATTAATTCTGTCGGGTTTCCACCTATACTAAAGAACTCGAGGCCCTCGGAGAGAACGACATTTCTGAAAGTGAGATGAGTGGCAAATCTAACACGATGTCCAACACTCTTTAACTGCTTCCCTAGCGCAATGAATGGCTGGATATCACCACGAGATCCAATAACTTGGATGACAATGTTGAGACGCAATTGGACATCATCCGCTGCGAATCGGCGAGAAATTTGCTTGGGCGGGGTAGTACATTTGAGCTGGGTAAACAATCTGGCGATCTCCGGATCTTGCTCGCTAACGTGTATGTCCACTCGCCCATCCCCTGTTAATCTACGATGTCAGTAAAATTTTTGATACACGCTTTGTCTCATCCAACATATTTACAGACCTTGTAAGCGGGATTTCCCGTCCAGTCTTCTTTCGTTGAATCTATTGTGTGACATATCATCATACGCAGGTTGCGGAAATCCCATCTCGTCACCAACACCACTGTCGAAGATACTCATTGGCGTAGATTGTTTTCTGCGTATGAGTGCAAATTATTGGACCAGAGTAGGGGGCCTGACGAAGTGTATAATAGTGCGTAATAAGCGTGTCGTGGAAAACCCCCGCCTACTCGCTAGTGAACACGTAAGTAGGTAGAAAGGCGGTGGATGGCGGTCTACCAGTGGGTATCATCTTCACTCTTGATGTATCTAAAGGAATATGTTAATAAATGACATAGGTCAAGCGAAAACGAATGACGTTGACAACCTTGGAACAGTCTGAGTGGGTCCGAACGTGTGATGCATGTTCTAGGCGGTCCACGTTGTCTGATCCATTTTTAAACCTACTGATTTCTGATTGGTCGCGGGCGCCAACAGTTCCCTGGATTGAGGTTAGCCAGTCGGTGCTTATGAAGTGGGGGATTTAAGAAGCCCCATTTCCCCAGGTATGACCACCGATCTCGAAATTTCATGGCTTTTCCAAATCGGCCTTTAAAATATATTTGTTATTATCGCTCACAGTATACTGCGGTGGATGAAAATGCCGCCAAGAATCATCATCGTGGGCGGGGTAGCTGGTGGAATGTCAGCTGCAGCCCGAGCCCGCCGCTTGGATGAGAATGCTTCGATTACTGTTCTTGAGCGAGGATCTTTCGTGAGCTACGCAAATTGTGGTGTCCCATACGCCTTGGGGGGTGTTATCGAATCCGACAAAAGCTTGGTACTTCAAACAGAAGCTAGCTTGGAAGCGCGATTCAACATCGACATACGGTTGCGGTCAGAACTCATGGAAATCAGCCCACAAAAGCATGAAGTCAACATACACGATATACAAAGCGATACCTTCTACAAAATGTGCTACGATAGACTGATTCTTGCCCAGGGAGCCCAATCGGTTCGCCCTGCAATCCCTGGCATGAGTTTGGCACAGATCTTCACGATGCAAACGATACCAGACTTGCAAAGGATCCGAGAATTCATCGTGAAAAATAGCTGCAAACGTGCAGCTATTATTGGAGGAGGATTTATAGGACTAGAAGCGGCGGAAAACCTACGCAAACTTGGACTTAACGTTTGCATGATTGAAAGTTCCAGCCACGTCTTTCCGCCCTTTGATGACGACTTAGCAAGAATTATACACGAGGAATTGGAAAATCATCAAGTTCATCTGATTACCAACAACACAGTAACAGAGATACAAGATGACCGATCCTCTGTCAACCTTCATCTTTCTGGGGGCCAACTCATATCTGCAGACGTCGTCATTGTGGCAATCGGTGTACGTGCGCGATCAACTATAGCCGAAACTGCCGGTCTTCATGTTGGAAGAAGTGGAGTTTCTGTTAACATCTTTATGCAAACATCTGATCCAGATATATATGCTGTCGGAGACATGGTTGAGGTCGAGAATCGAATTTCTCATCAAGCTACGTCGTTGGCACTTGGGGGTCCGGCTAACAGACAAGGCCGTATTGCTGCTGATCACATCTTTGGAGAGTCGACACCGTATAGAGGGAATGTTGGCACATTTGTGTGCCAAATATTCAACCTCTCAGTTGCAATTACAGGATTTTCAGTCCAGCGCTTAAAGAGACTTGGTTTCCGTCCACTTTGGGTGACCGTCCACCCACTTGATCATGCCGGCTACTACCCTTCCGCGAGCCCAATAACACTCCGGGTTGCTTTCGAACCTGGGACAGGCCGTCTTCTTGGAGCTCAAGCAGTTGGAAGTAAAGGTGTTGATAAGCGCATTGACGTCCTTTCGATCGCACTGCAGGCCAATATGTCCATCTTTGATTTGGAACATGTCGAATTGGGTTATGCGCCACCATATGGTTCGGCTAAAGATCCTATCAACATGGCAGGATTTGTCGGGAGCAACCTTCTCCACGGAATAGTCGAAATTGTGCACACCGAGAAGGTCCAAGCTCTAGATGCTAGTTGGCAAATTGTTGACGTCCGTTCTCCTGATGAATTCTCTCGAGGACATATTCCATCTGCTCGCAATATTCCTTTGGAACAAGTGCGGCAGAATGTCCAACATTTACGGAAGGAATCTCCAGTTCTGGTCTATTGTTGGGTGGGATATCGTGGTTATATTGCCTACAGAATACTACAACAAGCCGGCTTCAAAGTCGCAAATCTGGACGGAGGCTTTAAGTCTGTTGTGCAAGGCGGCTTTGGAGATTTGATAAACACAGTCAGTCGAAAAGAAAAAATTGTCCAGCATCGAAATTGATTAATCCAATTGAGCATCTTTTTCAAGCACGTCTTACTCGTTGATAAACTCTTCCCCTCTTAGAGACACTGAAGGTTGATTTTTATAAAAGGCTGCAGAAAGCGTCCTATTGCTGGATCAATGGCATCATTGCTTTCGGCAGACTTATACTTTTGAATGAATGCATTCTGTATAAAACTAAAGAGGATTTCGGAAACAGTTTCCCCTCCAGACACACGCTTTCTTCCCCAGCACCCCACTCCGATTGTTCAATCCGGATACGGCAGAGACTAGGCCTCTTCTAGTACAGTCTAGTTCGTTGATTGGCTGGTTGGGCCATTGGCCATTTACGTTCGACAATCTAGACCTAGACCAATAGTGCGTCCTGGGAAAGAAACCGCGTGTAAAGAAAGCGCGTCTCGTGGGGGGAAACTGTTTTCGAAAACCACCACTATAGGGATTAGCCACGAGTGAGCCGAAACAGACGTCCAGTCGATTTACAATAGTCGCCACCTTGTGCGCACGTCATATTTGAGTGAAAAATTGTCTAGCATCATGCCATATCCGGACGCGTGATACAGTTTATAGCATGGTCGATGATATCACGACTGACGGCTACATACGTAGTTTACTCCTTGGATATATGTCTCGGTCCGTATGGTATCGTAGAGCCGTGTATAGAATATTCACATAGCAGCCAGGACAGAATGCAGTCAAAGAACTTTCAATGATCAATGAATCCCAACTTTGACGAGGAATTGCGGTGCTTCTGTTTGGGTATATTCGACCTAACATTGTACGGGTGGGGGGCGGTCTTCGCGTCTATTGGGATTAGATTTCTTCCGACCTGAAGCCAAAAATCTGTTAAAAAAGATCATTTCGACTTCACAGGTTTCAGTTCGCACCAAAATATTAGACATTTAGATAGCTTTCTAACTTATGTTCTTGTATTTTGAGCAGAGGTCCTCAGATATGTAACTTTACTTTTCACTGGTAACTATACGTTCCATCCCTGCCACGCCCCAGAACTGGTCGGAGACGGGTCCGATGACAACTGGGTCATGCTATTTGCTCAAATGAGTTTTCTGCCCATAAAGGCTCTTGGCAATTCCTCAACTTTTTCACGCCATTATCTTAAAGCAAATATGTCCCAATCCCGTATTTTCGGTCAACTCGCTCAGAATCGGAGGACTTCTGACGATGATAACCGTTCTCAGTTCAAATGGAGCAGCCCTCTACGTCCTTTCAAACGACATGAAAAGCGGACCTCTGGAGGTTATAATGTCCAAAATTACCACCAATCGCTCAGTACGAAGCAATAAAAATGTCTATCTCGGCAGAAAGATAGGGAAACAAATATCGTTCACAAACCGGAAAGTCTCGAGCCACAAGAAAAGAAATATGCTAGCCTACCAGAAGATTCCGTTGAAGCAAAAGAACATTATGGAGCCCTCTCGTTCATGAATATTGCGGAAGATAATCAATACGAGTTCATTGAGATGAACCGCCTGACAGACAACCTACTCGACCGACCGGTCGGACTATCAGGTCGTTTGCATGCATTTCGTCGCATAGGCTCGAAGCTAGTCTTTTTTACATTTCGCCGGCAAGCATACACTGTTCAAGGTGTCCTATGTCAAAGTGACAGAGTGTCCCCAAACATGATGCAATGGGCTAGCCATCTCAACTCAGGCGACATTATGCATGTGCGGGGAGTGTTGAGACGACCAAAGCAGCATATTAGAGGATGTTCTATGATGTATAAAGAGATATGGATTGAAAAACTTCATGTCCTAGTCCATCACGAGGAAAGACTGCCTTTCAGCGTTTACGAAGCCGAAATCTGTCCCGAGAAGGCGAGACCTATTAGTGGCTACTGTACATTGATAACTGACTACGCCCGCCTGCAAAACCGAATACTCGACTTACGTACACAAACGTCCCAAGCGACTTTTCGTATCCAGGCTGGCATTGGAAGCATATTTCGCAGCGCCCTCGAGAGGCGCGGGTTTATTGAAATACACACGCCAAAACTACAAGGTGCTGCAACTGAATCGGGATCAAGCGTCTTCGCGGTGAAGTACTTTGACAGACAAGCTTTCCTGGCCCTGGATATTGAGATGGCTATCAAGCTTCATTATTATGAAATGTTACGAGTCATCGATGAAGTACTGAAGGAGATCTTTGTGCGCCTTTATCGTGACTATCGATCGCTAAGACATCGATATCGTCCGGTATCATACTCATCCACGGATCTGATATGGCTAGACGAAAAATCAATAGTGACCCATAATACTTGACTAAGCCCCAGGTCTGTTCAAACTACACAAGAAGAAACATTCTCATGCTTTGACGTAGCGGCTCTTTGACGTGGCTTATCTATGGCGCAGAGCGATGGCAATCCAACCCAAGAGGCGGTATACAGCAATAATTGCAAGTAGTATTCCCACCCACTCGGCCGTCTTGCCTGTTGAATACCCATAAAGTTCCAAAATTCCCGATCCTCGAATCTGGCACTGAGGGGCCAAATCTGTCGAAAACATGCAATGACAATTCGCATCGCATGAATAGACCCTGCGTGATAACTCGTTTACCAACATTCCCTGGAACACATACGCCTATTGGCAGGTCTTAGCACCAGTTTCACCAGGGCATATCCGCTGCTCACCTGATAGTCAATATAATGGAAAACGTATTTCCAAAATGGATTGAGCAGCCCCAATGGAACCAGGAATCCCCCAACACACATCCATAATCCATTCGCGAACGCCACGATAGCCAATGCGATGACAAAGTTCGGGAACATTGATGATGCGAATACAACCAGGGATTCGGCAGCGACGAGATCCAAAAAAATCCACATTACCCACGTAAAAAAAGCATCGGCATTGGGATAAAAATTCGAAAGCCAATACGAAATGACCGAGAATAGCACTGAAATCAAAACTGCGACCTTAGTCAATAGTAGACTCAAAAATTGAACGGTCACCCTGCAGACGTACATAGATATGGCAGGCCAATAAGAAAGTTCGATACCATAAATGGCAAAGGTCCATAAAGGCCGTTGGCGCGCTCTTTGACAAACGTTGCGCGGTCTTCCAGAAACGCGGGTACATAGGCTACTGCCATAAAAGACATGAATGCGGAGCCGAAGAACTATCGATATATTGTGAATGGTTGTCTTAGGACTTTTCGGCGACACACATACAATAGCATTAATGAAGGGCTGGATATAGTTCTGTGATGTCTGTAAGCGCAACCATACGGTGCCCATCATGATTGCTAGGGCTATTCCTTGCTTAGTCTCTGATTTTACAAATCTGTTAGATAACATACCAAGATACATTAGGATTCGTATCTCGTAGGCGACAAAATCGCGATAGCTCTTGACGAATAAGCGATGCAGGAGGGTATGTGTAATCTTGAGTAAACTTGGCCGATCCAGGTCCTGAGCAACCATGCGCTTCTCTGTAGAATGGGGCTGCATTGATACCTGCATCATCAACGCCTCTGACTCGGTCGACGCCGCCCACGCAGACTGAATTCTTTCTCTTTTCCCTGCCGCTGATCCGCTTGCTCGGACAAAGTCAGCCGTTACGAGGTCCAGTAGAAACTCTGCTGGGTTCGTGCGAGAAGGTATTGGATACCCAATCTTGCTAAAATATCCCTCTATTTGGTGCAGGGAGCCAAAGTAGCAAGTTTTGCCATCAGCAAGGAGTAATAATTTGTCGAAAAGCTCAAAAGTTGTCGTGGACGGCTGGTGGATACTCAATATCACTAGAAGCTTATGGACAATGAGGCATTGTGACTAGTAACGACACGCCTTCAGGATATTTCTGCTCACATTATTGTCTCGCGCAAGCTTTCTAGTGAATGATATCACCTCAAAGCTAGCAGTGGAGTCCAACCCACTGGTCGGCTCATCCATGAACAAGATTTTGGGGGAAGTGATGAGTTGACTAGCGACGCTAAGGCGTCGCTTCTGTCCGCCGCTGATTCCTTTGCGAATAGGAGTTCCCACCAGGGTGTCGGCTTGTTTTTGGATTCCAAATGAATGCAAAAGCTTGCTGGTACGGCTTAGACGCTCATCCTTTGATATGTAACTGTTGAAATCCGTCCATCAGATCAAGACCATGAAGCAAAGCTGATAGAAAGCAAATATTACGTACTCAGGTAGGGAGAGGTCTGCAGCGAACTTCATTGTTTCTTTGACGGTTAATGACCCGATCAAGACGTCTTCTTGCTCCACGTAAGAGCTAAGAAGTTGAAAACTTTGTCGGTCTACCTGGGTGCCGTTTATGAGCGCCTCTCCCCTAACCTTGGCCCTGGGACTAGCATCCCTGCGAGCGAGTAGGTTCAATAGGGTAGTTTTCCCACAACCCGATGGGCCCATAAGCGCCAAAAGCTCTCCTGTGACAACGTAAGTATTGCCGGTGCTTCACATACTCGTCTTGCCTTTTCGTCATACCTTGTTCTACAAAGCCGTTGACTTCAGTAATCAAGTTTAGTGGATTCCCCGAGCTACGGTCCTTAACAGTGACAGTCAAGTCCTTCCAGTGGAAACTTTGTACCACATGATTAGCCAAGAAGCGGCTATCGCTATTGCGCTCGAGGTCAAAATGCTGGTCTTCCATGTTGTTGTATGGGTTGTGCTACAGGATTGGCGGGGAAGACCTAGCTTTAACGCTTTAATAGATGGAGGGACACAACAAAGAGGTTAAATTAAAAGCTTTGCTGGGCTCGGGGAAGTGGACTTTCTCACCAAGCCTGAAAAAAAGTATGATTATCAGTCCTGATCTTGTGAAAATACAATGGCGTGACTTGCCGATTATGAGGTGATTAAAGATTCTAGACCACAACGCAGAGGATCCAGTATTTGGCCAAGGCGATGATTCCATGAATTATCAAGTGGGTCTCTGCCATACTTTGCCAATACCCTTTTCAGACTACAGGACTTGAGCTGACCTTGGGAGAGCAGCGTTCTTGAGCTATACGACATTGATATATACTGAGGATTTCTATTGTTACAGAAAGCACTTGCCCCTTAATCCGCACTTGCTCACGGTGGCTAACCGGTAATGCGTACAACGGGATTTCGCGGCGGATTATTCCTTCCCGATAGATAAAAGTAGGACAACCATTTCCATGAAATGAACTTGCATGGTCATTTTTGCCCGGTCGCAATGAGAAAACTGAGTAGAATTTTTCAATAGATCACAGTGCCTGGCACCGATATTCGGCCACTATGAAGCTTTCCTCTTCTGCGATTGCAAATTTTGAAATAATCGTCCCTAAACGACCCTTTCAATCATGGGGTTTATCGCTATCTTTACCATGATGGTCGCGATGATGGTGGTCATCATCATGGTGGTGGTCATCCCCATGATGGTGGTGGTCGTCATCACCATGATGGTGGTGGTCATCGTCGTTATGATGATGCTTATGGTGGTGCCGAAGCGTATGTTCGTTTGTACGCTCTATGCGTGGATCTTGCGGGGAATCACCTAGTCAGTGAGTGACTCGTTACTAACTGATCACACACTAGGCAGATATGCATAAGCGCGTACCTTTCTCCATACTAGCAGGAAAATAAATGATTAATTGCCTTAATCAGCTGCTCGAGGGTCAAGCACGGGGGAAGGAGTATCTGTTTCAAAGAGATCTGCGGTCGTAATGGATTTAAACTGTGATACTTGAAGTACTAAATTCTTTCAAGATCATTCGATGTCGTCATGACGACATAGAGAATGTTCTGGCCAGGATTGACTTTTTCAAGCCGCGTTCGCACCCGCTTGCGCGGAACTTTGTTCAACGAGGTTTCATGCCTTATTGAGGAGAAATAAAACAGCTTAAATAGCCAACGGAAACTGTCAGAACAATGAACGGTGTACCGTGACTACGCAAAAGTTTGGACACCCTCTCGGGACTCACTCCAGACCGCCTAGAATAGTGACCTACCGCTTTCCAATCTCGGAGCGAGGAACACGCAGAGATGTAATAGCGCGATATTATCATGAGTTTTTGATAATCCACCCACTTTTGTGCTCACCAGAGCCTGTTGAGTTACATAAGTTAGGCTTCTGAGAGAGTTATCGATATCCTGAAGTACTAGAGGAGGGTTTCCGACACTGGATCCAATCCTTAATCATCACCTGACCTGTTGGACCGTGCACACAACTAACTGTCGTGGAAAAGTGGAGAGTTTTATTACAGTGACCTCGGATTGGTCCATTTCCTTCCCAGATTTTGTATTGAAGAGGGAAGCGCTCGACGGCAGTCTGACCAATCAGACGGGTCGAGATGAGAGAATATCTACCACCAAGCCTAGAAATCGTGCTGAGAGACCGAGTCGTGAAAGATAGGTATCCGTAAAAGAGTGTATATTCGTCAGTGTGTTCTTCTTGTCCCCTCTTCCTCTTCGAAGTAATGAGTGTTGAGAGGCCTGAATACCTCAGGAAACAGAATCTCAGACTAGTACAAAAGAGGAAAAGGAGGCTGACTGGTAAATGACTGTTCAATCAATACTCCTCAGCGTATTCCAATACACCTCAGTGTACTCTCACCCAATCACCTTCTCTACATTGTCACCTGTTCTCCCACTACAGTATGTGTTTGTATGTAATATGCGGGTAACCTTTCGACATCGGTATGGTCACTCGAATACCCGGTTACACCGCCATGGGACAGCTCAACCTGCCCCACACACTCTGGAGAGAATGGGTGATTTGGCTATTGCCTATGGCTGGCTGGTGGGTGTAGATTATTCGTAGTGTTAACTTCGAGCGGTTGAATCTAAATAGACCGGCTGATCGTAACATTGGTGTTTCAGCACAGTCTCCGATTAAATTGGGCTGACAAGGAACTTACCTGCGCAGGAAGACTCGTTTGCCTTCTCATCGTCAAAGTGTTATTAAAATTGAACATTATTATCTCGACTCGACTCAGCTGGTAAGTATATGCAAATGTACAGAAAGTTTGGGCCAAGACTAGACCGAGGGCCTGGCTAGCCGGCACGAACACGAGTCGAGTGGAGTGAACCGCTGAGGGCCTAACGAGAGCTGGGTAGCTTATGGGTTGGGTGTGTACTGTTCAATTGAATGAGTGAAAGGCTCCGAGGGAATGAAAGGTGAACAACTTATCATGGGTTGGCTGCTGCAGAGCATCTAACGGCTTCTTGGTACGAGGGAATCCATCTAATGCGACGCAGATGTTTATTTTGACGGAGAACCCGGGGGAAGTCCGTATTTATAAAGTATCAGCTTATCTTGTTGCCGCCTGCTTCATATTGCATCGGTATAAACTTGTCTGTCTGTCGCCATTTTAAACAGCCTTGAAGCCTATGCAAAGTGAGGCTTGTTGCACGTTCCTCTATTAGGTGATCGGATGGACAATGAAGGTGATTTGGTGAAGGGCTCTTTCAAGAGGCATATAATGGCATCAGTTCTTTGTGCTACATATGTTGAAGCAGCGATGACTTTTCCCAACTTAATTCACCTGGGTTTTGTCAGGGTTCAACCTTGTATCAACGACCGTGATGTCAGCAGTTGAAAAATGATGTGCAGCGGATCACCGGCTCACTGCGAGGTATATGCAGATGAGCCGGAGACCAAGACCTACCCGAACAGTGTCCTATTGTACTCCCTTCCTCGTTGCGAGCCAATAACGACGCGCACAAAGGCCTCTCTTCCTAGGTGCTATTGCCTCAAGATTTCGTCCGAAATGCTGCTCGCTCTGGTAAAGCCTCTCACAGTTACCCATTGCGAATGCTTGAGTGACCCCCGAAGCCTGGCGCCCAATCTCTGTATAGCCCACCGCTCGCTACAAAACTTTCCTCATAGAAGGCATAGGCTTAGAGATGAGGGCAGACACTCATATTTGTGACTACTGCGGCTGTGCGGGATGTGAAATGATGAGTACACTCACGAAAAGTACGTTAACCTATTTACGACACGGTCGGTTTTAGGATCATCTTACCTCATCCTGGAAGCTGTAGCGCTCCTACACAAGATCCCAGGCCAGACCTTTGGTTTTGGGGATCTAGGTGAGATGCTCCTGGGGCGGGCACTTTGAATCTACGCGCAGGCTTCTGACCGGAGCTGGTTACGAGACGAAGGGTCCTGGGATCTCCACTGGTGATCCCGCGAATGACTGAACCGAATCTGGGAATGCATCCACTCGCCCCAGGAGCCACTTGGTTCTTAGGACTCTCGAGCCAGATCCTGGAACCTCTGCTCTTGGTCCCGGGGCCAGGAATGTGCTTTCAAGGGTTCAAGTAGGATATCACTGCGACGGGTACTTTGGTTCCACGCGCAGGCTGCTAGTCCTCACTTCTGCGAGTTATCTAATGAAAACCCTGTCAGGATCATACATGAAGCCTACAGGGCGGACGGTGACATAATAAAGAAACCCATCTGCTGCTCATGGTGTAGGCCACTGAGTATTCTTGCATCTCATATCTCTGTTCTTCCGTATACTGTAGTATCTAGGCGGATGCCACCATTTTGCTCCAAATATGGGTCACCCTAGACGCGAGGAAGCCCTGTTACATTGATTTCTCACTCTACATATTGGGATCCAGGGCCAACCCACTATACGGTTCCTTCGTGTCTATTGATGATTCCACGACACTGTCAAACTCTATGTACAGTATCCATGAAAAACTCTCAGATACGTGGATCTCGCTCGCGGAAGCCCGATCGACTGCCCCTCGAGAACTAGATCGTTTTGTCTGATGGATATTGGCAATTTTCGCCGATTACCTCACGTTCGAGAGTATTTACTCCCATAGATTAAACACGGAATTAACGCTTGTGGAGGCGTGTTAGTGGATTCTTAATTACCCTTGCTAACGGTCATGGCTTCAGACATGACAATCAACAGATACCCATAGGGCCGTACAAGCGACGGTTGAAATAAATTCGGACGGTGGAAAACGATAACGGGTCGCGCTTTCGCATTCCCCGTTCCTGATCTGATATTATAAATATGCTCCTATTGCCAATTACTGAATTTTCTAGTTGCCGATCATGGCCTCTACTAATCCTAAGGAAGGGAAAACAATCCTGAATCCTGAAAACGAGTCACCTAGGATTCAATTTGGCCAGAATCCGTCATCTAAGATCTACTGACTCTTGACTGTGGCAAGCGCGCCGACCGTCGAAGTGACGGCCTGATGCGAGATTCTAAGACCTAAGAACTTCCTGGGGCAAGCCGAGCTGACCGACGCACACCGTGTTACACGCTATGTCTCATCAACTGCCCATGAAGGAAATATAGAATCCGAGGATTTGATGCGGCTTCCATGGCACTTCGGAAGTGGCAAACATCTCTTCCCCGGTAGTCGCGTCAAAGGCGCCTGACAACGTACTCCTTTCCGTTCCGGGCTGCCACTCGCAGGGCTGACTCCCCATATCGATTAGTCCCCGCGACATCGAGTCGATCGTCTCGGAGCAACAGCTTCACAATATCCAGATTCCCATAAGAGGCAGCAATATGTAGTGTTGTGTTGCCAAGAGAGGTCTTGGCGTTAACGTCCAGTCGAGACCCTTGTTCAAGAAGCAGTTTTGCAACACCATGGTAGCCGATCTCGATCGCGATGAATAGTGGAAACTTGTGCCGGTAGGTTTGATTGACATCGACCTCTTCAAGAGAGACAAGTCGGCGGACAACTTCCAGATGTCCCCTGTCGGCGGCAAGATATGGGAGGAGCGTGCGGTACATTCAAATCTAGATCGCTCCTAGTAAGGAGAAGCTCCAACATCCGCAGATCGCCCTGGCCTGCCGCGTAGCTGAGGGCCGTCCACCCCTGCTCATCGCAAATGTTTGGGCCCAGTAAATTCAAGCCCACCAGCATACAAGCGAGATGAAGTTTCTAATTTCAACTGCAAAGTGAAGAGTAGTCTTGTGGCCAAGGCAGCGTCCATTGAGATTGGCTGGTTCCTCGGCCAAAATCTGCAATGCGACGGATCGGCGGTCTTCACGAGCAGCCGCACAGAGAGGTGTAGCTCCTTCGTTGCGTTCTATTTTTCAATTCCACACGTGCTCAAAAGAAGCTTGGTAACGTTCCCCTTATGCCCCTGCCCAGCAGGATCAAGTGCATAATATGGACTGAGCTCAAGACAGGTCTGTACTCGAGTTGGGAGTAGAGGTATTCGCGAGAAATCCCATTGTCCAGCCATACAGTGCAACCAAGCCAAATATAAGCGGGAGCACGCCTGCCAAGACGCACAATGGCGGTTGGAGGACAACATCCTGGCAAGACTTCGAAGGATTCACACGCCTTAGCTGTGGCAATCACGAACACTCCAGCCACACCCGCGGCGGCGATTCATATACAGCGTTGTACGGTGCAGGGAGTTGATGGTTCAAATATTTGAACATTGTCCGAAAATCATGATGCGCAGTGGATTCTAACGCATGACCTGGAAGTGAGAACAGTTACCAGTGGGCCCAAAGTGCACAAAAAACTCCGAATGGGTTGATGGTTGTCCACTGTTCCTCCCGCAAGTCCATTGACATCCCAAGGTTTTCTGGGCTTTCAATAGGTTTTTGTCCTTTTTCTGATCTAGAATTGATCGGGAAAGCAATAATTAAATGTCTATTGTACGAGTTAGATCTAGCCCCAAATGAATGGCTGAATGAGCTCCCGACATATAACTTTTGGACAGCCTTCGATTAGCTCGGATTTTGGGATTTCCCCGCAACTGTGAGCCCAGCTCCCTTGCGCTAAGAAATCCAGACACGGTCTGCATAGAACTTGCTTCCTCAATAGACAGGAAGTGAGAACATGAATGAAGTCAAAGAAATACAAAATTACTAGGTCGACTAACTAAAGCTATCCTGATAGAACGATCAGGCAAATCTAATTATCAATTGCGCAACATCCCCTGGCTTTTTCTCCATGGGGTAGTGACCACCATTTTCGAGCATAATACCGTCTAGTGCCCAGTCAGCCATATTGTTTTTGCCGATTACACACAAAAGGGCCTCCTTGTAACCTCTCCCCAATGGATCCCGTTCTCCGAACACGACGACGCTTCTCAATCGTCTCGCAGTGGTCTCGTCCTGGTCGCCACTTCGATTCTCCCTCAGGTAGCGACGTGCACCGTCAATTCTCTCCGATAGCAGGGCTAGGGTGTTCAGATCATTGAAGCCTTTTAGACAAAAAGCTTCACAAACCTTCCACAGTGGCTTCTCGCGCAAATCCTTGAGGAAATGTGGCGGTATTCCGGTGCTCATGTAGGCAAAAGGCTCAACGCTCGGTCCAGAATTGGCTGGTAGGTGCCGGTAAGGTGCACCGTAGCCTTTAGCATCCTCTCCTGGAATTTCATAAAACATGAGCCGCGTGATAGTGGATTGGGAAACATATCCATCTAGGACTCGAGTGAGTAGAAACCAGAGCCCGTAGAGAACACGGCCATTCGGGCCCATTTCGTTGGGTTGGCATGGTAAGAATGAGTTGACGAGGAAGAGCCCACTGCATGATGAAGGAGGAAGATAGGGGATAGAACATAGAGCCACATAGCTATAATGTTGTTATTATTTCGTTAAAAACAGAGCCGTAGAGGAATGGGCAAATACGCGGTTGCCGTATGTATGAGGAAAAGGCAAATTCAACTTACCCACCCCAGTTATGTCCTACCAGCACAGCATCTTTGAGCTGCACATGGTTTACAAAGGCCATCAACGTTTGCATGTGAAGCTGAAACGTAACAGACTCTCTTCGTGTTGGCTTGTCGCTTCGTCCGTGGCCGATCCAATCGAGCGCATAAATTTCATGGCCCTCCGCGAGAAGTCGAGGCATAATCTACATAGGGGCACTTGTAAGTAGTGTCGCAACGGGTCCGTATAACAGGATCATCTGAAAACGCTCAAACATATTCAGACGCACCTTTCTCCACATATAACTCCAGCTCCGACTTCCGTGTAGAAACAGAATGGGCTTTTTCGTCGGAGGTGAACAGCTCCCGTTATCACCTTCCTCTGGCCTCAAATGGACGAATCTCGCTCTTGCACCGCAAACGCTAAGCTCTTCAGTGTGTTCATTCCATGAAAGGTCCTTCATCCACTCCTTTCCGGATTGTTCGACCCTGATCAAATCATCGTCTCGGAAAATATATTTTCCCTCAAGCTGAAGTTGAGCCAGCATCGCCAACTGCCTCCTATGGGATTCGGTTTGCTCAATGAGCTTGTTCCACGGGAGGATAAGGCACCAGATATTTCCGAAGATGTTCGGTATCAAACCAATCAGGACTTGTAGAATGTATGTGGGGAGAAGGACGCTGATTGCGAACAGCTGGAATATAATGTAAGGTAGAAGGAATACACTTATACTTTCGTACGCTGCCCTGATGGTGACAACGATCTGTTCAACAGCCATGCGTAAGAAGCAGCGAGTGAAGCATAACGCCGTCAAAGTCACAGATTGCGCCTTCTCCGAACCCCAGTTCAGGACGAGCGGCTTTCTCCAGGCCATATTGTAAGAGTCAGAGGCGAAACGATTTCTGAGAAAGTCTTCTCTCTACCAAAGTGATTAATGAAATTTGGCAAGATCCTTCCCTCTAGATCAGAGAAAGGAGAGATTAATCATTTATAGTTCGCATTCCGGAAAATGCGAATTTTCCCATTTCCTTGCCGTTGTTATCCCCCTTGGTATTTCTATTCTAATCCTTCTAAAACCCATGTGAAAGGTATGTAAGCTGAGAATGCGCCAAGAGATTAGGAAGGACAAAGTTTCTAAATACTCGAGCTCCATTCTCATGGTCGGAAAAACGGGGAATGAGGTTTTGAGAACAACTGCGCTTAGAGATTGTGGAATTCAGTATGAGTTAAGTACGTGGCAACTATTAGTTGTAACCACGGTTAGGATCCATGAACTATCTTGGGCACGAGGCGCGTACGTACAAATCTGGCAGTAAGCGTTCAGACTTAAAGTTTCAGTCTCACAGTATCCTGGGGTGATTTTGACTCCCCCAGGACTGAATTTAAACGCAGTTACAGTAGATTTCGAGAACAATTTACCCCCTAGACATTTACTTTTACTCTCCCGGAGACCCACTTTAGCGCCTCGTCCGGATCGCCCTGGTTCTAGATTCTCCTACAGCCAATGAATGATACAGCGCCATGTCTCGGGGAAGGGGCTCTATCTAGCCAAAATTAGTTTAGCGCAATCTAAGTGGAGCGCTGGGATAGAAAGCGTGTGTGTCTTAGAGGGGAATCTGTTTTGGAAATCCTCTATAAAAGAAGCGTAGACATAGTGAGCTTACTGCAGTGCCCAAGAACGCAAAGAACTATTCATGTGAATAGCAGCTGTAAAGTGCAAAAAGCATTAAAGTGAGGCATCTGATGTATTGCATGAAGATAATCACTGCGGCAAAGAGATCGCCAAAGTGTGAAACTGAGGTACCTAATTCTAAAGCACTCGCAAAATTCGGACTTCCTCTCTTTCACTTGAATGGGGCGGCTATGATTACATGGGAACCGCGAGACCCTCTAGAGGAGATGGCACTGTTCATGGTTTCATAGGTCAAGTTGCTTGGTACGATTATGACGATACTAATCATACTATATAGAAATAATTCGCCCTTGCACTCGCAGCCATTATGCCAGCAACATGACGACTTTGATGTCGCCAGTTTCTACTAGAGGTTTCCTCGCACATGTCTCTGCCATATGCAGTGGAATCATTGACTCTGGACTGATTTAGACTCGCTATTATCTAACCAATGAATAATGGCTTTAATTGTCAAGTTGGTTCAGCTAGATTCGGCCAATTGGCTGATGTGAGTCTTGTTAATTAACATTCCCGTCGATCTCGACGGACTGTGTAGAGCCTCTGAAACAAATCTTAGATTCCGACTGCTAAATGTCGCTATCAATGTTCGAGTTTCCTTTGATGATTGTGCTTACATGATCGCGTTTTATTCTTGAAGGGGTCCATTCAGGGGTTCCCGCCTAGCGATCCCAATGGTTAGCTCGTTCAGGGGGCTGGCAACCACTTTAAAGCTGTCGGCAGGCCTAACAGCACTCCCGCATTGCAGCATATATTAGAGCAAGCTACATCGGGCCAATGAATCCATCATCGTTATATGCCCGGTAGTTTGCTATATCTGTGTTCTGGAATTGGCTTGAGCCTCAAACATCGTAATAACATATATTCTATTCATGTCCTAAGCTAATCGCTACACAAGGCTAGACACTCGTGCTCCTCACACATGTAATTCTCCGGGTGCAACCTATTCGGGAATGCCATTTATGTCGCCAAACGCCTCCTAGTCTCCGAGTTATATCTCTCTTTCTCGAATATAATGATTGGAACTTCACTGTACTTTCCAAAGTTTACGGGAGTGCTGTCTCTAAGGCTGCTCTGGGCAATATGAGACTTGTAAACTCTAGATGACATGCTGTGTTTCATCTACTGGGATCTCCGGTTCGGATGCATAGGAGCCGTAGCTATCGTCGTCTGCAAAGTCTTCCGCTGACTCAACTGTCTTGTTCGTGACGAGTCTGAATTCGATCGAGCTTAGAGAGAACGTTGCCGTAGACGATACCAGGGAAGTCGAAGTTGACCGCGGGTTGCGAGTAAGCCTTGTTTCGCTCGAGTAACCGGCCTGCTTTAGTATCAATAGATGAACATGGTTTCTTCACACAAGACATACCTTTGTAACGGTATGCCACAGTTTTTGACACCACCCTGATAATCTGCCTATAAAAGTTGAAGCGAAATTATCGAAGCAATAGAAGTTTTGGTGAGCTATACCTGGCCACTGATTCGTTCCTCGCATGTCTGGGTTGCTGGTGGTGAATGTGCGATACCGAGAATATTTGAGGATATGACAATTGCAAACGTTACTCTACCCAAGCAAATTATGCAAGTAGAGAAAATTTTCTCAAAGAAAAACCTGACGAACGCGACCGGCGGGGCTAGAGTCTCACTTTATTCTCGTTGCATATTCCAATGCTATCGCTTATGCTAGATATGATTCACGTAGAGAAACCAATTTGTAGGTATTCTTGTTGCAAACATATCAAGATCGGCGGGTAGCTTTGTGATCTGCTTAATAATGCATTACTTGAGCCATTAACTACCCTTCTCTCCGGTCAAAGCCCTCGCGTCCAGTCACACAGTCAAAACCGTCAAGAAGCATCTCGGTATCCGCGAGTACACCTCGGAAGTGAATTTGCTATTGTGTCTCAAGGGGTCGCCTGCGGTCTCATATCGCTGTTTAATAAGACAACAGCGCTGTAGGGTTCTTTTTTTCGTATAGTTAGAGGACTTCGACACAGTACCCGCATTTATATTGAGTTTAATGCCAGGACTACTGTACTTTAGTCAAGACCCGGCCCCAAAAAATCGCAAATGTGTGCTAAACCCGTTTCTATTCCAAACTTGTCCACCTTTGTCACTGCAGTGTCAACAGCAAGTATTGCCAAGAAAGCTTTCCTGGGACACTGGACATTGGCCTCATTAATTGCAACCATAGTATAGCGGTTTATTGACACAGCAAAAAACGCTGCACACAGACACGTTATCCGTAAAACAATGAGCGTATCGCATTCTCGTCATATGCTGCTGCCGAATCAAACGGTACGAAGAACTACACGACTGGAGATAAAATACATGAAACCGAGGAATCTCAGAGATGTAATATTGCGATAACGTAATTTCCAATTAAACTAGACACCCAGTCAAATCGGACACCCAAAACGCCTAGTAAGTGCGATATTGTATAACTAGATAATCAGCATTCAAGGCTTCGTATCAGATCTAAATAAATCCTAGTAGTTGAAGTTCCTGTCCAAGTATTTTATCGGGTCAATGAATGTTATATGCCTCATGTTGTAGACATATATCTCTGCAACACTCAACCAGGGCGTATTTTTGGCAATGCAAGGAAATATCATATAATCTATATCTCATTGAAGTTGCGTCATTTCTTACGCTTATGGAGTACTGTCCTTCTACAAATCCAGTAAAGATGACGTCTTCCTGCATTTAGTATAGTATTTGGGTGTGTTCGGTCCAACTGGGTCTCCGACTTAATCGGGAATTACGTTACGAGGAAGGCCGGTAAGTATCACATGACATGGCTAAAACACCCATTCCGGTCCCAGGGATTTTAATTGGCTGGAAGGAATTGCCCCCAAAAGCTCGGCGATCGTTGCGCAAATTTCACCAACTTTGTCCATTTGGAATTCTGCGACCATGACAATATTGCTACCGCAATGGACACAGACAAGGGTAAAAATTACCTATGCGGTCTAGTCAACAAACTGGAGCTGAGAATGTGAAATTCCTCCACGCCGCATGGTACATCCAATTAGCACACATTGGCTGAGTCCATGTCTTCCTAATTCCTTACTTTTGTCCCTAAGACACGCAGCAAGACCCAGAGTGACTAGCGAACAAGAATTTCAGCCCGCCAATGCGATGCTGTTGCTAAGGATCACAGTCGGTAGCACCAACCAACGAGGAAATTCGGCCTTTCTCTTCGAGAGGATGGGGTTCGATCTGCCATTGTGGCCTCGGCCTCTAAGCTTTTCGTACAGTCTGAAACTGAGGTTGGAAGGCCACATTATAACTGGATTCTTGCTTTAAAGGGAACTGGCATGTATATCTACCAGGAAGTCGTTACTTTGGGTTTACAAATATTGCCAGATATTTGTGGACATTATTTTCTAAACAAATGGCCTCATGTGTGACCCAATTGTTGGGACCTTGTGAATACCGAAGCCGGTTGGCCTTTGCGCCTAAGGTCTACTACCTACGTAAAGTGCGAGCGAACAATAAATAAAAATTAAGACTAGCTCTCGCGGAAGCGAGCTATGCCCTACATAGGGAACGGCATCTCTCAAAAAAGATTTAGGGGTCTCGTCAAGGAATATCTTGGTCTTGTTGTTTCTTGGGGTAAGGGGACTCTTCATCTACTACGCTGGGACTTGTCGTCTACTTCGCAGAGTTCAGAGCCGCTCCAGAAGCCTACTCCGTGGGCCAGTCCCGCTTCGAATAACCTTACTCGCGAAGAATGATCGCATCAAAATACAAGAACCCTAGCCAAAATTACAAGGGCAATGAATGGGACAGGCACGTGGCTAACCGCCAACGGATGGTCCTTGATCCACTGTTCCGTTTCCCATCCCTAGCTAGCATTTTCGTTCCTAGATATGCCTTCCATGTAATAGAATATGTTCAACGGGCGTGTTAAATTTTTGAGTTTTTCAGTAAGTAAACTCAGTCGACTATAGGTAGTGGCACGATGTGGACGCTTGGGTGGTTTATAACAGATACGATAATCCACTTCAAGGTTGTAGCTAGAATCAATTTGTTCTATCAATGGTAGAGCGAACGGCTGGGGTTTTCCGATCGTTCAGTGCTTGCCGGAACCAAAGCAGATTGGAACAATTCGACATTCCAATTACCCGCAATCGAGATACGTACTTATGTACTTTTCCGCTTGTGCAAAGAAGGCCCACAAT